AATTGTTTTTAAATAAAATGCATTTAATTTCAAATTAAATAATTTCTACTTTTGTTTTACTTTATTTTGTTATTCAAACCCGTTGATGTATCTTAATATAACAAAAGAAATTTGTATATTTTTATTTTAGAACGGAATACTCTCTACATTACAATAATATACAATAAAACTCAAATTCATTTGAATAATAGGTCTTTCGATGTATGCGTACTTATACATGTACAGATTGTTATTAATAAAAAAAAATTAAAATTAATAAATAATATTTTACTTTTAAGAAATAAATTTGCAAGTGTACAAATTATCACACAATAAAGAATAACCCATACAATGCGTATTATTTACATGCGAATATAGGTATGAATGTATGTATGTTATTTATGAAGAAAGTTTAGATTGCTTTATCGGGGTAGATGCTGGCGTTGTAGCCTCTTTTGTTAGTGCATTTATGAGTACATATTTAGCATTCACTCACAAAAAAATTTATTAATTAAATTATTTAATTTATATTTATCAGAAGTTTCAAATAACACTTATATATTTATGTTTTTTACAAATATAACTTTTTGTTTTCAACTTTTCAAAAAAAAATTTCACTGATATTTAATATATATTTTCAAACTCAACACCAAACATTAGTGAAACACAATATCGACTCTATTTATAAATTATAAATATATTTCATTTATTTTAATAACAAATTGTAATTAAAATTTGTTTGTAATCCTTCAAAAATTATTATATTGTTTATTGTTATCTATTACATACAAACACTTATATTTTTACTTAAGCATCATCTTTTCATCTTTTTATTTATTCGGAAATAAACGCACTACAAAACATCTATCTAGAACATTTTCAACCAAGAGATAAAACAGAACTAATGTGCCTCAAAAATCCACATCACGTAGTCAGAGTCAGAGTCAGAGTCAGAATATTTTGTATAGGAAAAACAATTGACAGATGCTTGCAGTAATAGGAAGTGTACAGTGGAGAGCGAAAGATTTTCCCTGCATTTAGGGTGTATTTTTATTTCATTAAGAGTAGAGCATTTGCTCATAGTGTAATAATAACATATGGTTGTAGAGAGAGCACACACATGCACACCTGCATCACTATTCTCTGTTCAATTTATAAATATATAATCATGTATATGAAAAACAGACTTATTAAAGGGAAAAGTACAAAGTGGCAACTCTCTCTTTTAATTATGAACATAGGAAACTATAAAAAATAAAATAGTATTAACTAATAAGAGTATTTTAATTTGCAATTCAAAACAGTTTTTTTTTTTTTGTCATACTATATATATTTTAAACTATTTATACTTTTATATTTTATTAAAAATAAAACAAAATTTCCATGCAATAAATTTAAAATTATTTGCAATCGAAAAATAAGAACAAATTTAATTTTATTTCCAATATTAGTTATGACATTATAATAAGTTTCATTTTCTACTAATTTATTTATATTTAGTTTATTTATTATTTAATAGTGACAAATTTTACTTATACGGTAAAACAATGGGCTTATAGGCCCAACTGGAACCCTTGGGATCATAGGTATAACCTACCTAATAGTGACAAAAATTTAAGATTCATAAATTGGTTTTCCCGCAAATGTCATGTATAGAATAACATTTGTAATTGATTATATTATACTAATTTGTAAAAATTATGTATATTTTGTGTCTTGCTCTTTAATAGTAAATAATATAAAAAAAAGTAAAATATCACAAAATATACAGTACAGTAAAAATGCTAACTAACAGCACTAAACTTATGAAGAAAACAAATGTTCTAAGAGTTGCCAATTTTACGTCCCAGCAATTTCAGTTGGTTACAACAACAAAACAGTATAAAAAAAACAAATAAGCAATAGCAAAAGAAAGTAAAAGTAAAAAGAAACATATATAGAAAAAAACTAGTAACACTAAAGAAATGGTAGAATAATTTTCAAGAAAAGTGAAATAGAAAATCCATATATAAACACTAAACCGACGAATGTAGGTATACAGACACCGAAACATTATTACATATCCTAAGATTTTCCACTAAGAATTGATCCACGAATCAGAGAGGTCAAACATTGATTAAAAAAAGATTACAGAAAAGTTACAATAGTTCATCTATGGACGCAGGGTCACAAACAGCTAATGATCAAGTTTATCAAAGAGTAATACTAGTAAAAACATTTCAATAGTAAAAGACTTTTATATAGCTAAAATGCTGTATACCTCGTACAGCAAGAATTGTACCAATCCACTTGAGTTCAGAATATAACAGTTTCTTATGTGTTCATCTCAAAATATTTCATCTCAAAGTGTATTCAACCACAATTCCCAAAGTGTAGCCCAACTTAAGGTCTTCTATTCGTGACGTCGCCCATCTGTTCAGGGTTGTTTGAACATTACTGATCTATGGTTTCTCTCATTTGAAGTGGATAGTCTATCCGGGATAGTTTCAAAAACTTTCCAACTTTTCTTCGTCTCTCCCTATCTTCACCCAATCACATTCTAATCCATTCAATATTCGTATTGTAATTTCATTTTTGTTTCCTGTTTACATCAATTGTTATGATGTAAGCACTAAATAAAACAAATTGAATTTCTTTACATTACCCAACATATAATCTGGATTGGCTACGTTATTTAAAAACCAGATGACGACACATTTAAGCGGATAGATATGGACTGAGGGATCATAAACATTTAATATTAAGGGTAACTGACTGTGTTTATTGGAGAAACACTATGAAGTAATCACTGACATATAACGAATTATTTGTTAAAACTAAGAATAATGATAATAATTTTCAATTTAGTGTAAGATTTTTTAACTATTAAGATAAGAATTTCATTTTGATACAAATTTAGGTTAAAAATAATATATAAAACTGTATATAGAAAGATCTATTTGACCATCGGTATCTATCACTGTATAAAGCTCATATACATTTAGATAAAAAGTATACACTTATACCTAAATTATTTGTTATCTATTTAAAATTATAAAAAATAATACTTAAAATTATATATTTCTATAAAAATATTTATAAATTATTATTGATATCTCATTTCTTCCAAAAGTGAATAGAATAAAATCAAACATGTATATGATCCACCATATTGAGTCGATGTTTTAATATTCTACATGAAGAACTATGTACTATATAAAAAGTGTTATTGTTTTACAATGCAAAAGTAATTAAATTGTTTTTCATGAAAATAAAATTTTATTGCTAATATTTATTTGATTAAAAACTAAAAGTTCAATGCGACAACGACCATTTTTACCATATAAAGATGTTTATCTAAATACATTTATATAAACATACCGAGCTCATTTTACTTAGATTTTAGAGAATAATAAAATTGCATCAAAATAATGAAATATACTTCAAACTAAGGTATTCAACGAAAACTACTTCCATAAAAGTAAAAAAAGCGTAAACAAGTTTTCTGGAAATGTAAAATTTTAAAGATTTTTCCATGAGCAAATTTTTTTTTTAATCAAGTAAACTATGCTACATTGCATATTTTGTAAGTTATATGAAGTCAACGTTTTCATATATATACATATTTATTGTTCCGCTTGATTTCATATCTATAGATTAAAAAACTGGATCATCTTACATTTAACAAATTTAAATTTTTGATTGAGTTACTAGACTTCAGATTTGCACATTTTTATATGAAAGCACAATCCAAAACTAGACGTGCCATCTGGCTAGACAACGCCACGTATATTTGTTTGACTAATTAATTGTAATTACGCCCATATTCCGGTCATTATTGAATTATAAAAACCAAAATAATGCTTTACGACTGCAGAGGTCTAGCACTGACTGCTTCTTCTCCAGCAGTCAGTATTCCCAATTCTTATTAAAATACATATAATCATTTTAACGAACTGTAAAATAATTGCCTTAATATTTAAATCTAATAAAATGTAGAAAGGAATACTTAAATATATAAGTATATGTATTAATTTACGCAAAAATTACGTATTGTAGCCGTGTGCGAGTTCGAGTAAATTGATGATAAATTCAGGGAAATAGTAAATTATATCGGTATTGTAGCAAATGATGGTATTTACCAGAATTTCAATTAGGGTAAATTAGAAAAATTAGTTACTACCATTGTGAAAATTTTATAAGATGTTAACTAAATAAATAAATAAATTTGAAAACTTTTACCAGAAAAATAATAAATAAGTGCAATAGATAAGTGTAAATAAGTGCAGTGCAAAAAATTCCTAGGAAATTTTAATTTACTTTACCTCTTAATTTACTCGAACTCGCACACGGCCTAAACTGCTTTTGCTTTCAAACCATAAAACCCTTGACTAGAAGTCGTAGTATTTCATGACTTCAAAGTTTATCATTTGATATTAAATTAAATGCTATTAAAATTTTACTTTTGATGCATGCATTTGTGTTTTTTTCTTATTGATATTTTTCCAATAAGAATTTTTTTATCTTATTTGTAACCATCGTCGACTTAAAAGGTTAGTTATCACGTACTTAAATGATGCAAGCCATATTCGTTTTTTATTTAGTTCCAAATAAAATATTCAATTGGTAACTTCACTGATAAATTATATTTATAATTTGCAATTTGGATTACAATACTGTTAACAAAAAATATATGCACGAATATAAATTTCATCACATCAAAATGTTGATCATGCACATATACAATTGATGCAATTGGCGCGACGTTTTATAATCACTTATTAATAATTAAAAACATTACAAACATAAAATGATTAGACTTTAATCAAATTTCATGTTTTAACAAAAAGCTCAATAAGAATATGATTCGGCAATTTTTTGCGCCTCGCAGGATATATATTGAGTTGTTAGTACTAAATATGTGGTGCTTAAAAACGGTATTATTACATGTGAACATCACAATCATCCAGTTAGATATATTTTTAAAATTATAATATATAATGTAATAAGTGCTTTTTAAAATACTATTTATTTAAACTTACTCTAAATCAGCTCTTAATTTTTGTGATAAATTTGTGTAATTTTGCAAAAGATCCGTATTGCCAATAGATGAACTAACTTCAGCCCGATGAGCATCTTCTTGTGTTGAATTGTCAAGAATTGATGAAAATACTAGTTTATTGTTATTACTCATCAAGTTTCTTAGTATCAACAATCACTTAATTTAAGATCTATGATATTTTAAACACTTTTAATAAAAAAAAAACTAACTTTTCGCATCGACACAACCACATTAATGGCGCAAAGCAAACCAGTAAACAAACTTCAAAATTTAAACTGTCTTAATCACAGCAATATACGCAATTTTGGAGAGTTTTTTACTATGGAGGTAACTTTTGCGAAGTATATGAAATAATAAATTTCTACAATAATTAAAACTAATAAATAGTATAGATAATTTTTATTATAATACTGTGTTATGAAATTGTTAATAGTTTTTAAATAAACTATTCAATTTTAAATTATTAGATACCTTCATAGCTTCATATAGTTAAAAACTATAAATTTATAAAAAAAAACAGAGTAATATTTATTGACTGTTATACGTATACATTTTATTTATTTATATTAACTAAATGGATTTCATAGATAAAATCTAAAATTTACAAAAATAAATTCTAAATGGAAAAATAATATATAATTTCATTGAATGTACATATAGATTTAAAATTTTAAAATATATAGATATAGCTGGGAAAATGTTTGAAATAAGCAATATATATTAATATTTAGTTTTTAGCATTAGAAATTTATGGAATGGACAGCAAATCTAAAGCCTGATAATTCGATAACATGATCACTTCACAAAAACACATTACACATATAATTATATTATGTATTGAGCTTGATCTAAACATCCCATATACATAAATGTTTAAATGAGTTTTACACAAGGATCGTAACAATTTATTTTATGACTTATTACTTGCATTTTAAAATAACAAACAAACAATAATAATATATAACAATATATATAAAATATGCATTATAAGAACAAAGAATGTTGTTATAATGATAATTAAATACTTAAAAAATTAGATAACTTTTTCCAGCTTGTTTTTTGTTAAAAATTTGTTTAATAACTAAAATTTTCGGTTCCTCTGGTTTTACATGAGTCTATAAATTTTTTTATTGTGTCTCTCCAATAACAGCCCTGCCCTTAACGTTACTTGTCAAGTGATAAAAAAATCTCCAAAATAACTTTATAAACTTTTTAGCAAATGTTATTAGTATTACGCGAAATTTTAATTAATTGGGCTAAAACAATACTAGTGATAAGAAAGTAGGACAACCATTGTTTTATAAGAATACAACAATGATTATAATATTTGTTAATGTGGTTTGTTTAAAAAGTTAGTTGGGAACACCTTGTGCATTTAATTGTGTTATTAAAATACGGATATATAATGTTTTCAACATTAAAAAATAAGATTATGGAAGAAACTGGCTCAACGATAGCGACACAAAGGCCTTTAAATCATACCAACAATAATCGTACACGTAGTCGCTTTGCTTCCAACGCGAGTATTAACTCAACAAATGACGATGCATTGTTTGTAGGTTCAAATGTTGTAAGATAAACAATTAAATAATTTTAATTGTACCTAATATATCTTATGATTTTTAGTCAGAACAGTTGTCAAGCCTACGTAGTCAATGTAACGATTTAACTACAAAAGTTGCAGATCTAATGACCCAACTACAATCAACATCAGAAGAAAAATCAAGAGTTGAAAAAACTAATGAAATTCTGTTAGAAACCGTTAAGGTAGCCCAAACCCAGAAGGACTTATATTGTGATGAGCAAGAAAAAATACATAACTTACAGCAATGCGAAATAGAGAAGTTAAAAAATTTGCTTTCATTTAAAGAACAAGAGGCAATGGATCGATTAGCAGCTTTACGTCAATTTCAGCAACAAGTACAAGATTTAACAACAGAACTTGAACAGTATAAAAAATATGAGCCAATCGTTGCAAATTTACAAGTAATTATCATCTTTGCTTATTTATTGCGAAAATGTTTTATTTTTGATAACGTGCAAAACGTGGCATAGAGATATAAAAATATATTACGTCGTTTTATCTTTAATTTGAGCGCTTTGTTCGATTATCTCATAATTGATTACTTCTTCTACACAATATTCATTCTTAACTATTTGCATTTATAAGTTAGCGCGCAATATTAACTTAATTTTTGTTTTCTTTAATAATCAAAAATACCTTCGCATAAACAATATGTTACTATAACTAAAAACTGCTTTTATTGTTGAAGATATATTTTTTTTATTTTTGCTGTATTCAAAAAAACTCATTCAATTGGCAAAAAAAGCAATTTCGAAATAATTTAAAAGAAATATGGATATGTAAATATTTAAAATTGGCACAAAAAATGCCAATTAGTTTTAAAATCTATATTTTTTTTATTTCCCTTTATTTATACCATGTGGCATCTAGTATTCAGTTTTACATAGTGGATCCATAGTAGTCATATTAGCTTATTATCTTTATATAAAATTTATTTCATAAGCGCTTTTAGCATCAGTTCATAAACCGGATAATATTGCATTAATAAATTAAGCAAAACAGATTTGCTGTGATCATAGTACTCAAACATTAAATTATTGTATATCCTTTTACTTCCAACATCAATAAATTTAATTTTGATTGTTCTAGTCTCATTAAATTCTCAACTTCACTATATTAATTAATGTCTCCATCAGAATGAATTAGTTGCATTTAAAATATATTTGTTTATGAATATAAAATATTTCAAACTTGACTCAATTTGTTTTTTTTTTAAGGATGAACTCGAGCAACTGCGTCATTCCTCAGAAATTGGTAAAAACAATATGACTACAACGCTTGCTGCAGTTGAAGAAGAAAACCATCATTTAAAAATGCGTCTTAGAATTGTAGAGCAATCACGTGTTGATACACTGACCAATCTAACGCCAGATGAAAAGATTAAAGCGTTAATACATGAAAGAAAATTACTTGAACAGCATTTAGAAGAAGCTCAACTGCAGCTATCGGATATTAAAAGCTCTTGGAGTGGACAAAATTTAGCATTGGAAACACAAGTAAACCGACTATCGAAACAAGTGGCAGAGGAAACTACTGAAAAACGTAAAGCTCTTAAAGCTTGTGATGATTTAATGGAAAAAATTAAGAAACTCGACTTCGAAATGATTAAATTCAATGATGAGCTCGAGCAAAGAAATAATAAGGTAGTCAATTTATATATTTTATATAGTATTGAATTTTTATGGCAACATATTTTAGATCAAATTGCTTGAAGAAGAGATTGATGAATTGAATTTGGCACTAAATGAATGCCGTGATAAAAAAGAAAACGAAATATTATTTGAACGTAATAAATCTGTAAGTATTTCAACAGACGTTGAGGATTTACAATGGGATAATATGTGACTAATTCTCCTTCTAATTGCACTTCCACCAATAATAATTATACTAACATTTGCACTTAGTTATATAATTTCTACTAATTGTTGTTTTTATTTTTATTGCCTTGAATATATTTATTATTTAAAATAATAAAACATTATTTAATCTTAATTTCATGTCTTTATTTATTTTCTAATATAACAACTTATTTATTAATTAAATATTCATATAAAATTCTACTGTAAACTGAATTGTTGATATTAGGAAACGTTGCAAAGTGAAATTAATGACTTAAAATTACGCGTTACAACCGCAGATGAACGGTTTAGTGAATATACTACAAATTCTGAGTTAATAGCACAAACGTTACGACAACAAAATACAGAATTACAGGACAAATTAAGTGAAGCCGTTAAAAACCTAGAAACCGAACGCAGTGAAAAGAGTATTGCATTAGAAAATAATGCAGAAAATATAAGAAATGCTGATGATCTTGCAAGGCAATTTAAAGTGAAATCTGATGAAACTCATCAATTAGAGCAGAATGTGTTCGATTTACAAAATGACATCAAAACAAAGGATGTGGAAATATCTAATTATAAATTATCAATAAATGAATTTGAAAATACGATAAGAACTAACGAGGAGAAACTAAACAATTTTGAAGAAATGCAAAGAGAGGTTAATGAAAAAAATAAGGTAAATAACTCTAAAAATTATAATTAAATTAAAGTATTCATTAAAAACTAATTTACAAAAACCAAATAATATCCTTAAAAATATTATACCTTTAATTAAAAATAAAAATTCTGTTTTAATAACATAAAATTGGTTTTCGATAGTTATAATCAAACGGAAATTTTAGTTGCTTAATTAGAAAACAAATTAATTTTATTGTTACATTGTAATTGTAATTTTTTTAAATTATAATTCTTGAATTTAGTATTGTACTTTACTTTTTTATTTTTACTTAGTCTATAAAAATTTTAAATCAACGTCTTGCTGATATAAAAAAAACGGTGCAGAAAGAATTTCGTCATTCAAAATCATTTGACATTGACAATAAAGAAGAAAAGACTGCTGCTGAGAACGTCCATACAATTACCAATACTTGTACATGCCATCCGAATGCACTTTCTAATGGTGTTATAATCATGGATGAAGTAAATTTCAAATATTTAAAACATGTGATTGTTAAATTTCTTACAAGCAGAGAAGTAAGTTAATTTTTTGTATTTAAATCTCAAAATAAGTACAGTCATTTTTTTAAAGGTTGAAGCGAAACATTTAATACGTGCTGTTGCCACACTTTTAAAACTTTCTGCTGAAGAAGAAAAGCTTCTACATGACACCATTAATTGGAAAATGAGTTGGTTTGGCGTTAAACCTAATCATGGAAGCGGACAAAGAGCATTCTCCATACCGCCAAGTTAATATTTAATTTGGATAAAAATGTCACAATTGTGATAGCATTTTTTTATTAAAATATGTAGAAAACATATACCTCCTAAAACTTTTCCTTTTTAATTAACTTAGTTTTAAACTAAAGTTACATTAATATTTTTTAAATAAAAAAACAAAAAAATTCATATAAAGGTAAAAGATAAACATCAAAACTAAATTAAAGATCTCTAAGCTATGTACATTTAAATTCCCATTTTTATATTTGTTTTAAATTTGTTGTTCTGTTTTAAGTTTAATCGTTGATCAATGCAATTATTTTATATTATAATAAAGTATATTAAAATAATACTCTTAGTTTTTCACAAATAAAATATAAGCAATAAAAATTGTACTTATAAAAATTAGTACTCTGCAAAATATTTTTAATACTGAAACTATTTATACAGAATTTTTTAGGCCTAACGATGCTTTTACACGTCAATCAATTTCCTTTTATTGTTTTCTGTTGTTTGTGTTAATTTTTTTTAAATGTTTATAGTATATTTAGTTAGTATATTTTAATATAGGTCGATCATTTCTTGTCTTTACGAATAATATCAAAATTTAATTCGAAATAAATTATAAACTAATTAATTGCTAATTATTAACTAATAAATTAAGTAATTTTAAGTTTGTCTTTAAAAAATATAAAAAAAAAAGTACCAAGAATGGGATTCGAACATGTAATTTATAATAAGATTATTTATTATATGTTACATATATTTTTTACATATCAAAACTGTATAAGTTTTGATGAAGTTAAATTTCGAGTTTTATGTACAAATTTACATAAATATTCAGTTTAAAAAAGTATACTGATTTTAAACATGTTTCTGAAATACTTACATACATCTTCTCTAAGGCACACTTAAGATATACATATGTGAACTTGTGATCATACATTGGCTTGGCAACATTTACTTATACATATTACTATGTGAATCAACTGAAATAATTTAAATTAAAAAATTCTTTTAATACAAATTAATTTAAAGTAGTACTCTTTAAGATATATTTTCAGCTTTAATATCTGTTAATAATGGTACTGTACTTGTACTTTTAGATATACATTTTTCTGAATTCATTTTTTCCCATTCGTTACGATGAATTTTTTTTCGATGTGCATACATGTTAGCTTTGGAATTAAATGTTTTCGTACAATGCGTACATGTATACAATGCTCCGCCAATGTGTGTTGTCATATGTTCCTGCATGAAAAATATATAACAATCATAATATTGTAAATTATTTAGTACTTAATTACCCTTAAAGTAAAAGATGTCTTAAAAGCTTTATCACATAAGGTACATGCAAATTTACGCTCAGTTTTATGCATATATCTCATATGACGTTCATGAGCGAACACGCTTGGAGAAACCTATAGTAAAAATTGATTTATATAACTATAAATAAACGAAAACAAACACCTTAACGCACCTTAGAACAAATTTCACAAGTTTTTGGAATTTGATTTTCTTCAGAATGCATTACTTTTTTATGTCTTATTAAACCATATTTTGTTGTTAATGTCATACCGCACTCATTACATTGTATTGGCGCTGTTTTTCCACTATGCGTCTCCATATGCTGTCGCAGTGCTTCGTTACCTCTTATAGATTTACCACAAAGTTCGCACATTTTTGTGTGAAGATTTAAATGTACGTTGTTTAAATGTTGTGTCATCATATATTCAGTAGCAAATCTACAATTGATACAAATATATTCCTACTTAATAATATTAAGGAAAAAAACTTACGATTTTTTGCACTGCGGACAATTAATGTTTCTTAATTCCTCAGGAACATGCAGAGTTAAATGACGCATATAAACTGGATGACTAAAATAGCTTTTGTGGCATTCTTTACACTCATATATTCGTTCTCGACCTCTTTCGTGCAGCTTTATGTGTGATTCCAACGAACGTCTGCTTGAAAAGATTTTACCGCAATGTTTACATTTAAAATGTTGAGGATTAATGTGGACATTAATATGATCAACAAGTAAGCAACGTTTTAGAAATTGTTTTCCACAGCATGTTGCAAATCCTCGGGATTTATGTTCTGTACGATAATGGAATTTTAATTGAGCAAAACTTTGCAATTCAACGTTACAAAAACTACAACACAAGTTCATATTAGATACTATAAACTCATCCACCTTATCTCTTATTGTCGTTTTAGAACTTAATTTGGAACTTATATTTGATTGTGAGGAGCTTTCACTGCAAGATATAGTTTCTGGCAAAATTTGAAGAGATTCTGCAGTAATTTCTTGTTCGACATCAATTTCTTGTTTTTCCTTTTCTTTAATTTTAATGTCCATTTTTCTATTACTTCTCAAAATTCGCCTTTCCTTTTTAGAGTAGGTACGATTTTTTTTCATATTTACTTTAAGACTAGAAGTAAGAGTTAACTTTTTCTTTACATATGTTACTTTTTCTAACTCTTGAGGCACTGATGGAGGGTCATTCTCTATACTTTCATCATATTTGAAACTGTTGAGTTCCAACAATGAAGAATTTTGTATGTTTAAGGGCTCTGCACATATAATGTCCATATTACTGCTGTCCACAATATTTGTTATATTAAGAATGTTATTTTCTTCATTTTTAATTTGTGCATTTGATTCTTCAACATGTGCATCAAGGGGATCGTTTTCCACCTTTACTACAACATTATTCGGTAAAGAATGTACTGATTCAACTTTTAAGTAAAATTTGTGAAAAGTTAAAATTGCTTTCCAGCATTTGTTGCAAATGTAACATGAATTTGAGGTAGAATTTAGAAGCTAGAAAAATATTAAGTAATTATTAAGTAATTAAGAAAACTTAAAATTACCTGGAAGTGAATATGTTTTTGTATTATTTCCAAAATATTCAAAGAAACTCCCTTTGGGGAATGAATTAATATATGGTCGCGTTTATTACAAAGGCATAGTATGCAACTCATTTTCAAATTTTTATATTAAAATGTAATCGTTAAAATATGTTTCACATAAAAAATTTGAATTTGTTTGAAAATTAATTAATTTAAGCCTTTTATATTAAATCACTATAAATAAGGGCCATGTTATGCAGAGTGTCTCGGGCACGGCAAATTACGCTCTTTCGGGCTATGCCGAAAATGCATGTTATGCAGAGTGTCACATCAGTATTGCCAATTTTGTATTTTTACTACTTCTTGGTTGTGCCTAAATTTAAAAGGAAATTTAGATATGCTCACTCTCAATTTGCCACCAAAAATAACTCGCATGAAAAAACTCATAGAGGCTGTAATAATGCTATCTTATTATTATATTATCTTTTAATAAATGTTAACAGTATTTATGCATTTTTTTAAAATCGGAAAGTGTAATAATTATATTATTAGCGATTTATAAAAAAAATGCTGTGTTGCTTACTGCCATTTTTTCTCCAAAACGTACTAGAATTGTAGTAGTTTACTCCTAAAAGGCGCAAATTTTGAAATTTATTACTAAACAACACTGTTTTGCCTTAGTGCCGGGGCACAAAAACGCCGGCTCTCATGCCGGAGTTTAAACGGCCATATTGTTTTTTCTCTCATTCTCTAATTTAAAATTTGCATTGAAAACAACAACAATTGTACTCATGCCGTGCCCGAGACACTCTGCATAACATGGCCCTAAGGGCCATGTTATGCAGAGTGTCTCGGGCACGGCAAATTACGCTCTTTCGGGCTATGCCGAAAATGCATGTTATGCAGAGTGTCACATCAGTATTGCCAATTTTGTATTTTTACTACTTCTTGGTTGTGCCTAAATTTAAAAGGAAATTTAGATATGCTCACTTAAAATTTGCCACCAAAAATAACTCGCATGAAAAAACTCATAGAGGCTGTAATAATGTTAATTTATTATTATATTATCTTATAATAATTGTTAACAGTACTTACGCGTTTCTTTAAAATTGGAAAGTGTAATAATTATATTATTAGCGATTTATAAAAAAAATGCTGTGTTGTTTACTGCCATTTTTTCTCCAAAACGTACTAGAATTGTAGTAGTTTGCTCCTAAAAGGCGCAAATTTTGAAATTTATTACTAAACAACACTGTTTTGCCTTAGTGCCGGGGCACAAATACGCCGGCTCTCATGCCGGAGTTTGACGGCCATATTGTTTTTTCTCTCATTCTCAAATTTAAAATTTGCTTTGAAAACAACAACAATTGTACTCATGCCGTGCCCGAGACACTCTGCATAACATGGCCCTAAGCGTCACCTGTAATCGTAAAGTAAACATGTCAATTTTTTACATATGTTTTATTTTTATGAACGTTACACAACACAGACTTAATCTTTTAGATTTCAAAAATTCAATTCTCTGCAATCTATATTCTGAATTAAACATATATCCCTTTATTATATTAGCAAAATTGAAAGCTTAAAACAATAAATAGATATTATATACCATTAAAAGTATTTTATATAAAAATATTAGTCTTATTTTTCTGTTCCTTTATAACAATTTTTGGCCTTCAATATAAATTTTGCAGCGTCAAAATTTAAATACAATCTTTTTCACGGCAATATCCAAAACAATTGTATGGTCAGCCCAAGTATTAACTTTATCAAAAACCACCAATCGTTTAAGTTAATAGCACATTCACACTGTCTCATGTAGGCGGTTCTGCTCATTATAGCCACTAATGAGGTGATTTACCATACAAAGTGCTTTTATATAAAAGTTTATAAAATTTCTTTCAGATGCATAAATGAGTTTATAAATGAACGTACTAAAACGATAGTAAAATTACTGAAACCTAAACAAAAACGTGTGTTTTGTTTTCATTTGATCGCTAATAGCCATTGTGTCGTTTAATACAAAACAACTTGAACATGAACAAAAACTAATAGTTCTTTATTGTATTTTGTACAAACAAAACACAGGTGCAACTACAAAAATAGCAATGAGAAATAAAATTAGGATAAAAAAATTTTCAGACAAGAAAATTTATTTTCTTCATAAACAATTCTACGGCAACTATGCGTAAGATAAATTTTAAGCAACAGATAAAGTTGAGATAAGGAAAAAGTGCCTTTATTTTATATAAATGTCAGTGACGGTTGTGATTTTATTATAACCGGGAAAATATTTAGTATAAATGTTTAAATTTGTATATAGAGAAAAAACTGTAACTGTTGGTAATTTAAAATAGACTGAGAAATAAAAATTCACATACCTGAAATCCACTTAAGTTGTTAAAACTACTGAATGCTATCCTTTCTAGTTATAATAATCAACTTTTAAAATTTCGCATATACAAATGGTGGTTTAAGCATGTAATTTTTAACAGTTGATTTATGAACAAAAAACATATGATTTCCTTAATTTGGGGTAGTATGAACACTACCATATTTCATTTTAATGAAATTAAGGAAATTTGGCTATCTGAACATAGTATAAACCTATAAACTATAAATAAACATTCGTACGACTTACAACACTTTTTTATAAGGTTATAGCAACAGCTGTGTGTCATCTATTAACTAGATAAAAAAATTAAAAACGTCATGTCTCTTGGCAAATTTGGAAAGATTGCTGTTGGCTGGTAAAAATTAAAATTTTATTTTTTGGTAAATTACGTTATAATTATTTTAAATAAAATATCCATATTTGTTCATTAGGGCAATTATAACTTTCTCGGGTGTTTCTGCTTTTGTGTTATCAAAAAATTCTATTGATAAACACCGATACGAGAGTATGCAAGTGCGTGACCGCATGAAAAAATCGAATATTGGTGAATACGAAGCTGTGGGAAGTAGACGTTTTACCGCTTAAATATTATCTTATATTTCTGTAACATATATATACATTAAATTAAAAATGGCTCTACCTCAAATAAGTCCTGGAGATCAAGCTAAATTGCAAATGATGCAAGAAATGGAAATCGAAATGATGTCTGATTTATATAACAGAATGACAAATGCATGCCATAAAAAGTGTATTCCGCCGCGTTATGGCGAAGCGGATCTGGGTAAATATTATAATAAAAAAAATGTAATATATTTATTAGAAACACAAATTATTGTTAGATTTTAATTTATTTATATTGTATGAAATGTATCGAATTATTTTAAGATTTTAATTTTTAAGAAAAAAGGTTTGATTTAATTACAATTTCTTGACCGCTATAATTTGACGACACATTTTTTTAAAAATAATTATTTCACGGGTTAATTGGTCAGTAAAATAATTATTTTAAAAAAAATTTTTTGGTCATTAAAACATTTAATTATTAAAAAAACGGAGGGCACGACACATTTTTGTAAAGTTTGTCGTACTGAGCAATTACTTCTTATACGCTATATGTTATTGCTTGGTGATATCGTGCTTTGAATTTTAAACTTATTGCAATCAATATATGAAATTTTTACAATTGTTTTTCTTTTTTTTTTTTTTATTGTGTAAAAATTTTTAACTTTTAAGCAACTTTTTCAGATGTCAATCTGATTTACCGTGAAATTGCGGTACTTAAGAAATTGTTCTCTTTAACATATGTTTTTACTTTAAAGTAGATTATTATTATAAAGTACACTGAACTGAACATTTATATCCTAATCAATTTTTTACATTTCAGGAAAAGGAGAAATGGTGTGTATTGATCGTTGCGTTGCTAAGTACTTGGACATTCATGAAAAGATTGGAAAAAAATTGACAGCAATGTCAATGCAAGATGAAGAATTAATGAAAAAAATGGGAAATTAGAGACTTAGTATTCATATTCCTGTTAATATATTCCTTCGTTTGCTTTTACTATTAAAATAAAATACATAAAAATTTATTAAAGTAAGTTTTTAATTATTAAATTTACCACTGAATTAAAATTTTATATACATATATATAGAGAGATTCTTTAGTGTAAATTGGTGATGAACCGTGAAATGACTGGTATGATCGGAGAAAAATCCTAATAAAATAAAAACTGGTCCAGTTATATATTAAGAAAAGTTAAAAAACAAATACCTCCATGTGCGGTACTGGTGTACTTTCATCTGTAGAGTCCACATCGCTTGTATGAACACTGTTTTCCCAATTTTGTAATTTGTTAGTCTCAGTTTTATCGTCATAATCAACACTACAATTTCGTTTATAAACAACATTCTTGAAAGACTGAAATTTTGTTTAACAATTTTTTTGTTATTATATTAGGTATTATTAATAGTACCATTAAATGAAGTAGTACATCCGATTCATTACATATTGGATTTTCACTTATATTTAAAATATGAATAAAACTCAAGTTACTTAAATCTTCTGGTGTAGGTAAATTCGTTATTAAGTTAGAATTAAGAAATACGAAACGCATTTTTCTTAAACGACGAAAACAACGTGGCACACGATTTAGATTATTGTATTTTAAATTTAAATGGACAAGTTTATTAAGTGATCCAAACGTATTTGGTAAACAACTAATTTTGTTCCGTTCAAGCGTCAACCAAGTAAGATTTCTTAAATGCCCAAAATTATTTGGTAAACTATCTATATTATTATTACGTGCACCCAGTGTTGAAAGTTTTTGACAATTGCAAATTTCTGGGGGTAAATTTAATAGGCCGGTGCTGTTGCACCAAAATGACTCCAAAAATTTGAGGTTCGCAATACTTCCAGGTATTGTCTCAATTTGATTACAACTTATATTTAAAAAACGTAGATTAACTAAATTGCATATTGTGTTAGGAAATTCTTTAAGGCAGTTGTAGTCCAATGTAAGTATTTGCAATCGTTCAAAGTCATTCAACAATGGAAACTAAAAATAAAATAAAAATAAAAAAATTGCAATTTAAGTTTAAATACTTTTTTTTTCATATATTTAAAATACTTTTTAAATGTGTCATATAAAGATAAAGTTATGAACCAACTGAAAACACAAATAAAAACATATATATATTTTAAATATTTTCCACAATTGATTTTATAATTTATGCAAAATGTATGTGATTAAATGTAGTAGATGCAGTTTCAAGATTTATTTAATGTTAATGTAATTATGAATTGAAAAGATGACAATTTACTAATATTTTATTAATTTAATAAAAATCTTGCCACTATTTTTTGTTCACTTATTTTGTAAATAAATAGTAAAGTCAACCTCCATCACCCTTACTAATTAAATCATATGGGTTATTTTGATGATCCTAAAAATTCAATCTTTTGCCTATAAAAGTTAAAGAGCTTAAAACCATTTTAAAATTTAATAGTTTTTCAAGACAAAGTCTCTGCCTATAAAGTAAGTCCCTAGAATATGTAAATAAATGTTCTACGGATATAATAATATTAGTTGTAGAATGACAACACAAAGTTATTGAGAACAATATTTAATTTCATCACATATTTTCCTAATCCACTATAAGATTGATATCTCTACGGGTACATATCACTAAGATTATCAATTTAATAGGGTTCTTTTTATTATAGATGGTCTGCAATATTTGGTCATTACTATTTGATACTTAATTGTTTTATACAGCAAAACTTCAACAACTTCAGATCTTCAATGGTACTATATAACAGAACTTTAAACATATGATGCTCCAATAATTTAGTGCAATAAGTACGTGAAAGTTTTAAGAAGACTTACTTTCTAATCAAATCAAGTTTAAGTGTTTTGTATGCAAATAGGTTATTCAAAATTATTTATTAATTAATGATCATTTAGAGTTGCACCGTCCAGAGATGCTAAGATGTACTAAGTGAGTATTTAGGGATTTCGCAACTAGTTTTTGATTTTTAAGTTTTAAGTTACGAGTACTTACCTCCTCAATGTTATTATGATGCAAATATAATTTTAATAAAAAATTACAGTTGTGTAACAAATCTGGAATTTTTTTAATTGAGTATTTACATAAATTTAATGAATAAGATTTATGTTCAATAGCTTGTTCACATATTGCCAAAATATAATTTGTATGTAACCAATCGAAAATAAAAGACATATTTAACATTAAATTTACACTGAACTAGGTTTAAAAATTTAAGTAAATTTGTAAAAGTGGAAATGTGAAATTAACTGCTAACTATGTTATTAAAATTCCTCTAATCAAATTTATTTATTTTTTAAATATTGTCAATAAAACAAGTTAGATTGACCTATTAATGCTTCGCAATAACTTTAATATATATAAAATGTTACGCCTTACTGCGGTTTATTTTTCGTAGCAGATATAATTTTATTTATGTAAGCACAATGATAGATATTTTTTCTTACAGCCTTTAAAATTCATGTTTTAAAAATACACTCGATTTGCCTACCTTGTTTATGAAGTTGTGATGATTTCTACTTCTCAAGATATTTAACTTTTAGAACGAATGAAACATTTGTATTATTATTATGTTGAGGCTAGTTGTGTCAGTGCACTTGACCACTTTTACTCTCTATTAACTGCGAGGTTTCTTCATAACCTCTCTCTACGCCTTGACTGGATTAATGTTTATCACTTCCCTTATTGACATTAAATTTGCATACCTTCTCGAGGAGCCTGTAACCATTCTGAGATTCGATAACGCGATGTTGTTACTATTCTAATACCATTTTCTGGTCAATTTCGAAAAATATTTACTTATTAGCGACCTTGTTCTACTGGACATAGATTAAATAAATGTTTTCTAGTAATTAAATCTCATCTTGTACCGATACAAGCAGATCCATTGCCGTAACCGAATTGATTTTTTAACTATTATTAAATATTTTATTTAAATATCAAACAGAAAATAACATTTTTAACAATTTTTGATCAACTAACATTTGTGACTCTATTATATAAAAATGTTTTCTATTCAATAGGTAAAACAAGCAACTTATAAAGAATATAACTAGAAATAAGTTGTTTAATTGCATATATTTATGTTCTATTTCCAATTTCTAGAGGTATAAATATAACATAAATTAATGCCAAAAAAAGAAAAAATATTAGATGATATAGAGGTATATGCAATTATATATAAAGCATTCGTTTATTTTATTTTTTTTTTATAATTACAACTTTCTTATTTACAACGTTTATATGTATATAAATATAAATTTACTTAAAATACTATTCTATACTATAAAATTCAATCAAACGTATTAATATAAAACTATTTACTAGAAAAAAAACTGCACTTTGTGCACCAATCCAATAAAATGTATTATATGTTTTAAATTCTAACAAATATGCTGGTAATAGCCACATACCCTGACCCAATAACCAAAGACTAAAATATAAAATGGCTTTTAACAGAGATAATTTTTTAAAATTTTTTAAACAAAGTGGTAACGCAGCCATATACCACACAAAATATTGAGACGTTACAACAGAATTAAATGTTACTATTATAAAGGACAGAGAAAATATGCAAAATGGTAATGTTTTAAGAAATTGTCCAAAACTGATACTTAAATATAATATTAAACATAACTGTGGAATTATTATAGTTAATTTTTCAATTATCGAAAAATGTACATTAGAACCCAAATACTGCATTAAAAAGTACAATGAGAAATTATGCCTCACATCCTTACGTACAAAATGATATAAATATGCTTCATAAATGTATTGCCAACCGTATAAATGATAGAATATTACTGATACTACAGAAAAACCTAAAATTGTTCCAAATATTAGCGTTAATTGTTTGGATGAAGGTAAAATAATTTGCCTAAAAAATTCTCCAGTACTATTAATCAGTTTTTCTGATAAAGAAAGATAGTAGGCTAAACTAAAAACAATTGGATAAAGACGTAAATGTATAGAAAAACCATGACACAAGCCTGCTGCAAATATCATCCAGTTACGTCCTCGTTTTAAATCTTGAGATCGGGACAGCAAATAAATAGTTAATATAACGAATACACTTGAAATGCTATCACCATTCCCACGTGTTGATATAACCAAAGTAAGAGGATTATAAAGCCAAAAATATGCAGAGGCTCTTGCCAAAAAAGTAGAAGGTTTGTTTTGTTTGAAACAATCACAGCTATTCACCAAATGCATTTCTTTATTTTGACATTTTATAGTTTGAATTCCTTTACGGCTCTGTCTTAATTGTTCAGCACGGATGATTTTGTAAATTAGAAAGGATACAGTTATGTCAAAAATAGCGTAAATCACTTTACCACAGGCCATATGTATCCAAATATTCAGCATTTGAAGGTATGCCAAAATAGGACTGTAACGATACGTATGTCGGTCAAAGGGAGAATTTCCATCTAAAACATAACGAGCACCATCAGTTACAACCTTATAGTCGATATCTGTGTACGGAACTTCGGAGCGTTTATCTTGAATATAACCGTAATATATTAGTGCTAATCGTATTATAAATGCTATCAACAGATGTGTACGAAAGCGACAATTCATCAAATAAACGCAAGTCCGGTTCAATTGGTTTGTTGTCCGTGCAGCACACTTTTTCATATAAGTTAGTAAAACCATCGTAATATTTTTGATTATCTCCTGTGCACTTTTAAAAAAATAAAAAGATCACTTTTTTATATTTTTTACTTATTTTTACGTATTTTTGTTTATTTCACGTTATTGTTACAAACGCATTTTTCCTTCCTTAGCAACTTTTTGTAAACACTTCTTAAATTCTTGAAACTCTTTTTCGCATACATTCTTTTCTACATTTAGTTCTCGAGTTACACAAGCTGCATAAGTCGCTGCTGTATTAGCACATTTTGCAAGTAATACGGGATAATTACGAAGTCTTTTATGAGCTTTCTGTACAGATTCCATATCACTTCATATTTTACAAACTAGAAAGTTAAAAGTTAATCTATTTATTTAACGTAAATGTGGTGGCACACGTTTGGTTGGCGGTACTGGTTCGGCAATAAATATATCGTATAAAGGTTTTGAAAAGAATATCAGCAATGATCCAGTAATTACTGATATTTGAAATAGTTTAGGATTTCGTTGAATCCAACGACGAGCCGGGAGGTAAGTATTACGAGTTTTTCTACCCGATTGATTGGCTCGTTGTTGCTTCAATATTTCAATTTCCGCTTGTAATTGTGGAGTGGTTTTGTATTCAGGAATTGGATATTTTTGCATTATTCACTAAAAAAAAGACTTTAGAATCTACGTCTGCATTGATTAATAATGTTTATTTACAATCTTACCTATGCTATTAGAATTTTGTGTTTGCAAATAATTGCGACTTAAATCTATTCCAGAACAGCACACTGATTCTTTATGCCACTTAACACAACACAGCCGCAAATCCTCTAATAAATCCTGGCATTTACTCTCTTGGTACTGGTTTTCTATGTAAAATATATAAATATATTACATAATACAAATTTGTAATTATGTGTATTGCCATATAATACCCTGAAGACAAACTTGAATCCTGCAAGCGTATTTTTTACACGGATCTTTTGATCTACTTGTCATTAAATATGTTAAAAACTATTTATTGCAGAAAATAGTGAATATTTTACATGATTTGCCAAGAACAAGTCAATGTGTTCTGAATGTTCTTCTAAAAACCTTCAAATACAGAGTTGTTCAATACAACAAAAGTACATTAAAGTATGTTGAAAAAATATCAAATACATATACATAATCAAAAAATTTTGTCTTTTAATTTATTTTTATCTTTTTATTTTAATATGATGATTTAAAATGAATACATACGATTTAACTCTGGTCTGTAGGTATCGTCACAATCTCCTGCCTGGCTACGTGCCTTGTTTGACTACCTTTTTTACAATATCTGAAGATAAAAATAATAATTATTTTATCGCTTAAATGTGATTTTTTTTATTTAATATAAATTTAATCTTTCATTAATAAATTTATAAATAAATTAATATAATGTAATATTATTTTCAGATGCACCTTTATTTTAAAAACTGAAAAAATATTTTAAAAGTAGTGCAAATTTCTAAATTCAAATGTAAAGAATAAATTCTGTTATTTATTTAAAATAGAGTGGAAAATAATAATCCACATACCTGAAATCTATTAAAGCTTTTAAAACTACTAAGTGCTATCCTTTATAGTTATAATAATCAACTTTTAAAATTTTACAGATATAAATTTTGTTTAGAGCATGTAATTTTTAACATTCGATTTGTAAACAAAAAACATATGATTTTATTAATTTGGGGCAGAATGAACACTTTCGAAATTAACTTAATTTTATTTTAATGAAATTAAAGAAATTTAGCTGTCTGAGGATAATATAAGATTAATACGGCGTTTACATTGGCCGAAAATGGCTCATTTTGGTCAAAAATCGAAAATGAGTATCGAATGGCTCATTCTTGCATATAAAATTTCAAGCACAAAAATGAGCAATTTTCTCACATTCTGTATGAATGACGTTCGAATGCATTCCACATACGTTCCAAATGCAAAGGAATCCATTGAACATACCCTAAATGAAAGCTCTTCATGGCATTTTGACAGTTTGAAAAAGCTGTTTTTAACATATTTACAAAAAAAGGTAAACAAATGTTTGGTGGTTGCATTTTCTTGAAAACGATGCACTGCTTTTTAGAACTTTTACTTCCCAAAAAGTAATTAATCGAAGTTAAAAATATGTTTTAAGTTTCTAATGTAAGGTTTGAAGGCATATTTAACCTTCATGCAACATTTTTTTGGCACAGGCCAAAAATCAAATCAACATGCAAGTTGAAAAATCAGCTGTTGAAATGAGAACAAATGAAATAGAACGAATGTAAACACTTTCAAATGGCTCATTCAAAATGAGCCATTTTCGGCCAATGTAAACGCCGTATAAAACTGTAATGGTCTTAGACACAAATTATATATAAATATTTTAGTGTTGATTAAATTAATAACTACTTTTATACAAAAATTTTTGTTCTTTATATTAAGATTACTAATAAATTGATTTTTAAATATACAATAATTAAACTATAGCCTATAACATGATTGTGGGGACAACATAAGATCGAAAACATATATATATATATATCACATTTTACAGAGCACAATATTAGTGTCACCAATAGTATAAAATAATTTATTTAAAACAAAATATTTATTTACATAATCAATATTTTAAGATACAAATAATAAAAAGAGGTTCAAAGATTATAACATATTCAACGGAAAAATACATTTACGAAGAGAAAATATAGAGTAATACAAAATATATAGTAGAGTAATAAAACAACCTAAAAAGAGCAATATAGTATTCTATCAGCCCTGTACCATACCTGTGTTTAACTTCTGTCAAATTGTTTTTAACCTTTTTGCCGTTTATTAAAAGAATTTAGAAATTAAGGAAAACTTTTTGTTCTATTTACAAGAAAAAGTCCAATTAATTGAAAAACTACAACGAAAGTTACCCTTTGGTAATTGTTGAAATAGAGCTTGTGTTAAATATAATAAAACAATAATAGTTAAAAAATTTTCTGCATTGACAATTCCTACGTTACAAACAAACAGTGAAGTGGAATACTGTACATACGCGGTGTTGTTCTAAGCAAATATTTGGGAACGTAAAAATGCCATCTAAAAAGAAAAAATATAATGCACGTTTTCCAGCAGTAAGTAATAACTGTAATAAAAGTAATTTATAACACATATAAAGAAAATTGTTACTTTTATTTCCCATTTTCATTATTCCCATAATTGCAAATTTAGTTTATTCAAGAATAGTTTCAATGAATTTTCAACAAACTTATTTGTTATAAAAAGTTAATATTAAGTTTTTTACTGTGTTTTATTTTTAGGGCCGAATAAAGAAGATAATGCAAAGCGATGAAGAAATTGGAAAAGTTGCACAAGCTGTTCCTGTAATAATCTATATCCTTTTTAAAAATTACATATATTTTAAGACTTAACGTATATATCAATCATTTTAAAGGCAGTTCTTTATTTTATATATTGTGTATATTATTAATTATTATATATATCTATTGATATTTGGTTTCAAATAAGTAACAAGCATATATTCAAATAGGAAGAAGGCAATCTGATATCTTTAAGAGTAGTTTTATTATATATAGGTTAAATATTTGTAAGTAATAATACTTAATTTGTGCTTACAATTATCAAACCTCATTAGGATATTTTCATATTGATTTTATATGAAAATTAACACTGCTGCCCATTTGTGGAGGTAATTGCGTTGGTGTAAATATACTTCAACAATGATGTGTCAGATTAAATATCTAACTTGCGATCAAAATAAATATATGATGATTCCATAAAGAAAAATATATACTATCATATTTAATATGAAGAGATATTTGAGACCAATACTTTTAGACCAATGAGGCTACTCTATCCGCAATGAACTAATCTTACAAGATTATAGAGACATATTTGCAATTACCGTAAAGTAAGAAAACAACGATTTGTAGAGTTGTTGTTTATTACCAAATTGATATTAAATTTTATTCAGGTTTTTATGTAGTTTATATCATTTGTTAACATATTTATTTTCCTTAACTATAACATTGTTTCCAAAAATACCTAGAACATTGGAATTGTTTGTGGAATCCCTACTAAGGAAAACGTTAAAAATTACAAATTCTCGAAATGCAAAAACCTTATCTACTTCTCATATGAAGCAGTGCATCATGTCAGAGCAACGTTTTGATTTTTTACGAGAACTGGTTAAAAATATACCAGATATAAACATTGCCGAAGAATCTGCAAACTATAATGAAGACGAAACTCATAGTTCACCTGAAGAAGCATACCCTGACTCTGATACACCATTTGATTTGAGTATGCCATCTACATCTACGCAAGCAACACGAAATAGTGCAGCAAATGGAATCACACATAAATATGCTACACGAAATGGTGGATTTAGAATTAACACGAATATGAATACAATAAATGAAGCAAATCATACATACCTGAAAAGGGAATATGATATTGAACATCAACATCAACTATATGAAGGTGTTGATAGGGGATCAAATTCAGTTATAACACATACTACCAAAATAGCAAATATAAATTCAGAATGTTCACCAGTAAAAATATTTCGCTCTGACTCAACACCGGCTGGTACAACATCTCAGAAGCCTAGACAACGATTAAAACATCAACCACAATCATTACCGTATGCAATGGATTGCCATAATACAACCACACTAAAAAATCAACCAAATAAAGATAAAGTGTTATCTCAGCCCCCAGCTGCCATACCCGCCCCCATTGTAAACTTCGATTTTTGCAATAAACCTGTTGTAAAAATTGATTATAGCAACATTTCGATGCCTGGGCAGGTTTCATCATCTCCATTATCTGTAACTACAAACGCATCTAACCCAGACATTAATTTTGCTAATGAAGCAGTCATTAATATTGATTTATCAAACATAGTTCGAAATGCAAGTGACAAAACTATTGAAAGCGATGAACCAATGGCAACAATAAGAATAGGTGCTTTTCCAGCTGCTGAATCAGAATTAACTTCCAGTTCTAAATCTAGCATGGCCTCTTTTAAAAATTCTATTGACACCACAACCAACACTGCGAAAAATAAGAATTCGTTTTTCGAATTAGATGAAGACTATGACAATATATAAACTTTAATTTGTACTTTTAAACTTTTTTATGAATAAAATAAATAAATAGCTTTTAATTATATTTGTTTGAAACTAGATACTAATAGAGTTGTTTGGATATTTACTATTTGTATTTATTATTTGACTAATTAGATAATATTCTGACAATTCTAACGACAGTGAAATCTTCTCTAACTAGTTTTAAGACATTTTTGTTTACTTGCTGTCCACACTCAAAGTTAAAAACTTTAGCTTGTTTTCTTTTTATTTATTTTGTCATGCTAACTTACTATCATTGACGCCCCATGCTCTACTGAAAGATGAGGATGACAGAAGAACTTACTACCATTAATTTATAATTTTTGTTTAGATTAGCTACTCTTATAGTAGTCTTATGACTGGGATATAAATAAATTTAAATTTAGTTCATTTTTTCGCTCAACGTTTCGATTGTTTTTTTCTAACATTTTAAGGGTTATCTAAAACAGTCAATGTGTAAATTAAAAATTGTTCTTATAAATAATAATATGATCACTTCTTTTATTATTATTATATATAATTTCATTTTGATTAAGTCCTTATCGCTTATTACAAAATAAAGACTTATCTTATTTAACAACTATTTTAGCATATTGTGATAAAAATGCTTTCATCTGTGCAGTTCTTAAAATTCATTATTGAGAGTTTAAAAATATATAATTTATTTGATATTAAAATTGATCAGTGGTATAATAATAATATATATAAATTTTCCCATTTACATTTTTAATGATTTACAATAAAACAACAAAATACATAAATATATCAATTTATATTAAAAAAGAACCAAAGATGTTTCAAAAATGTTTTAATAAATTATAGTTCTTTGTTAAAATGGAATATTAATTTAACGGTTCGGTGTTGATTTTGTACTTTACTGTATATTACAGTTATATTTTGTTGACTTTTACATATTTCACATTTAAATTTTTCGTTTGCTTAACTTAATCCTCTGGTACTTTCCATTGTAATTGTTTTCCAATATCGTAAAGATTTTTAAGTGCAGTGCTAAATTTATTCTCATTTTGCAATTGCAAATAATGCTTATAGAGTTGTAGAGTGGTGCGCGCATCTTCCACAGAGTCATGTGTTTCTGATTGTATTTTTGTTCCTTAACAAAATAAAAATAAATTAATTAATTAATAAGTACATAAATAAATTATGTAAAATGTTATATATTTTTTGTACTAACCGAAAAAATGCCAAGCTAAAAATCTTAACGATACCATGCGGTGATGTGGCAGATGAAATAAATGCACAGTGTCGATGATTTGATCACACGGCACATGAATATTTATTACTCTGCAAAATTGTTTAAATCTTTATAACTTCAAATAAATTATGTTTTATTATTCTTACCTAAAATCGTTTTTTAAACCATGTCCCACAAATATTACTCCAACATCTACTAAATACTTCAATTTCTGATATGAATTTTTCAATGCAGTCAATCTCTTGCTACTGAAATTAGCATCCAAATCTCCAGGTTTTATACCAGAAAATTGTGTCAAATAATCTACAACTTTTTCTTGAGTTGCTATATAATCGTCCATAAATGGAAAGCCTTCATTTGGACCTTGGCTATGTAGGTAAGAATATAATAAATGTATAATAATAAAAGTTATTTTAAATTTTATTTTACCCTCGTATACATGATATACGTGCAACACTCATATGGCACGGCTTTATGGTAGCAATTTTACCATCTGGACGAATTTCACTCTCTTCCGGATTTAAGGTAACAAATTCAGCATCCATTGCTACTAAATCACCAGCTTTTGGCAGTTCATTAGGTTGCAATGGCCTCAAAAATCCGTCATTTAGTTTGCTAGGCGAAGCATTTAAAATATCCTGCAATATAAAAAAAAGAAACCATAAACATTGACTGTCAGAAGAATGACAGCCAATTACCTTACCTGTATAAAGGGATTAAAAAATTGCGGCCTAATGTCAATTATATTCAGAGGAGCTGTGTTGTTTTCAAATTCTGGTTTCATACTTTTATAAAACAGAACACAAGGTACTTTCCAATCGAGGGTAAACCAAACAGATTCTTGCGTTGAAACCGGTGATATGCTAAAAGCAATAAGTATCTTTAGAAAAAGTTGTACAATAAAGTTAAATTATTTTCAAATAGATTTATAAAATAAGTGATTGTTTAAATGAATAAAATTCACTCAAATATTTAATATATATTTTGCTTTTTATAGAACCATACCTGAAGTCATTAAAAATATACCATTGATCTTCGATATTGTTTTTTTCATTTGTAACTTTCAAGCTATGATATTTTTTATCAACATTTATAAGTGAAACAAGATGTTTTTGTGTGCCATCGTCAATTTGACATACTACCGCATGTAAAGAATAATCTCGATTTATAGAACTATTAAATACTAAAATTTAAAATAAAAATTTTTTTTTCAGTTTTTTTTTTTTGAAAGTTTAACTATTTCGTACCTGTTTTTAAATCCTTAACTTCACTAGCATTTTCAGTAACATCTTGAGTGATTACCTGATTCTCATTATGTGTGGTTAAATTTTTCTGTAAATTTATAAAAAAAAAAAAAAAATGAAAGCAATAACATACAAAGCGTTTGGAGTTCTTATACATTTGTCATCTACGATTATAAGGATCATAAAATTTGATCAACTTGTCTGTATTTTTTAATCTAAATAAGCCTTTTTTCTTTAAACTTTATCAATAAAGTCTTGTACAGTTCAGAGGAGTGTCACTTAGACTCAGATGTTGCTGAGAGCCCGGACTAAAAGTGATATACAATCAAAAATGTATACCGTTAATATGACATCTACATTCATCTCTATTTATTGATAACTATTTAGCTAATACGTTTTTAGCGTAGTTCATTGGATATATTTCCATTACATTATTCATTACATATGGTTTGCCTCTAGGTAATTTTCAATTTGCTGCGTCACCTAAATTGTCAGTGGATTTGATGCTTCCCAAGTAGCACAAGTTGTTGACATTCTGTTGTTGTTGTAGAACGGAACTTAGTCGACGAGTATTTTCGGCACGTAGACCCGGCCAACTTAAGTGAAATCGATATTTTTTCCTAATTTTGTGACGCATATTAAAGCAACAAAGAACGAAAACATGCTATTTTTTTACTGTCTAAACATACATATTTACAGAAATATATAAATTTTGTCTCGATAATAATATAGACGATTATATATTATAATGGAACAATTAACAATTTTGATTACCTCTTCATGTTTGTTATTTGTGTTTTCAACATATACGTTTAAATCACCTTCTGACTTAATAGACATTGAGAATCCTAAGGGGAACCAAGCATTTTGGCGGGCACTTGGAGATGCACTCAATGTAACTGTATTCAAGTTGGAGGGAGATTTTCTGAATAAAACGGAAGCCATTGAAGTTTTGAAATATAATTTTTTTGATATTAAGGAAAAAATTACTTACCTATCAGGATGTACAAAATGACAATCACCTCGAGAACAATTAACACCATATCGACATGGCTTATTTGTGCTTAAAATAGCTGGGCTTTCAAGAGGAGTCGTAAGATTTTTGTTTAATTGTCGTTTTAAAAACGATAAGTCTTTTTCGTTGCTTAGTCCACAATTAATGGACAAAATTTCAGGTAAGCTTGTAACCTTAAATATTCGAAATATAGTTATTTTTGATTGTAATATAATTTGTTTTTATGAATGACAAATACCTTTACACTTTGTTTCGTTGGTGAAAATTTTTTGCAATTTTCACAAAATGCTTGAATCTGCTTTTCTGATCGAAGTGATCCTTTCAATATTGTGCTAAAATTAAATCCTTCAATTTCCTTATTGTGAACGGGGTAAGTAAGATTACAAGCCAATAAAATATTTTGTTTTGTTTTCTATAAATTACATAAATTTTGAAAAATCTATTAAAAAAATTTTACATACTTACTTGTCCATTACACTTTAAACAACGATTAATGCACATTTGTTTTGTACCAAAGAGTTTAGTTATTTCTGTGTCCTCATTCATTTTACTTCCTTCACTCTCATCATCCCTTGTTGTTTCATCTACAATATATCTATTATAGAAAATAATTGTGTGTAATTTTTAAACATATACCATATTTAACATCAATAGATTGAAATATATCGTTCAGTTTGTTAACATCTGCAAAGTTCTTACATGGATTAGCTGCTAAATTCTCTGATAAAATGATATCAATATTTAAAAGTAAAATAATTAAATAATAAATTATTTATGAATACCATATGCAGTAGGATAAAGTAGATTATTGTAATGGGTTTTTTTGTGCGAGTCAACAATTTCGTAATGCATTTGATGTAAAATGAAACGATTCCAGTTCTGTAAAATATATTAATTTCAATAATTCTAATTGTTTAAAATATATATCTTTAATTACTTGTATCAAACTTATCAAATTAATATTTGATGAATGATCTGACAATATTAAACCAAGAGCGGAAGCCTCTGGTACAGTGCGAAACGAACGTAGGAAATTGCTAGCTTGACATGGAGTTGTCGCTAAAATAAAAAACAAATTGACCATACAGTGATTTTTTGTATATAAAATCGTTATTATTATGTACCTGTACATTTATCTAGCATATGAAACAGAAAGCCCAATTCACAAGAGAGACAAAATTCTCTATAGCATGAGTGAGAAATTAATTTCATTCGCAGTGGTTCAATAAAATATAAGATCTAAGATTAATTATATATATAAAAAATTAGGGAAAATATTAATAATTGTACAAATGCAGTTCGTTTTGTTACCTGAAGCATTGAATTACAATAAGAATTTGGTAACGTGGCTTCTAATCCAGCAAAGCAAGTTTGATTGTGTTGTTCAAAATCAAAATCTTGTGTACCTAACTTTGAATATTTCACTTCTACTTTTCGATAACGTCGTGGTATAATTTTTACTCCATTTTCTGTCGTTTTAGTATTATTTGTTGTACCATTATTTGTAGCTGCAGATTGACCTGAATCCATTATATATGGTATTTGATTTCGATGCCCAGTACGTGGATTAGCCGAATATCCAATTGGACCTTGCATTTTCATGTTATCTATAATATCATTATCTATTGGCTTTGAACGTCTATATTGGTAGGACAATAGTTCTGTTGGCCAATCAGAAAACCATCTAGATCCAGTTACTAAATGTGGTAATGATATAGATGACAACGGAAAATTTGTATCTGTAACCGGAACAATTGGAAGTTGTGGAACTGGGTCGGCAAATTCCGTGTCGCGAGGATACACATTAAATTGGGGTTGCGGAGCTTTAATTGAAGTAATGATACTAACATGTCCAGATTGATCACCAAATGCCATTACTTGAGATGAAGAACTTATGTCAAAACTTAAACACTGAGTTCCAGAAGTATTTATTTGGTACATTGATACTTTTGGCTCACTAAGTTCAACAGTATCAACAAGCTGAACTTGGCCATAACTAGACACTACCGCTAATCGAGAAGCTTGGGAGGGAATAAATTTTAATTGTTGTGGATCGATCAGCACTTGAATTGGGGAAACTAATCGAAGCATACGTAAGTCATATACCATTAAAAACCGATCAGCTACAAGAGTGCCTTGTCGAATACTGTAGCCACATGATATTAAATAATTTCCTTGCACATCAAAGTCACACAAACTACCAGTGTGCGTTTTTATTGTATGTTCAACATGTAAGGAATTTAAGTCACGTAACGTAACTGTACCATATGGATCTCCAGCGAATAAATATCGAGAATTTTTACGTAGTACTGTACAACCTCTCGAACCAATACGTTCCTTAAATATAAAAGTTTAAATACATTAGCTACTTATATATTTATATAATATTGGATTTACACAACCAATTCAAATACTACATACATAAACTTATAAAAATTTTATTAATTTGACTTACTAGCTGAGCTTCCTTTAACGTTCGCAAATCAAAATCAATCATATCATCTTGCATTCCAGCTATTATTAGGCGATGAGGACTTAATAACTGCATGCAAACCATTTGGGACATATTTCGACTAAAAAAATAATTATTGAGACATTTAATATTAAAATATTCTACATGTATTTATAATGTGATATATATACTCAAATATATATTGCATTAAATATATTTATATTACCAAAATGTAAATTTTGGAATTCCTCTTCGAATTTGGTGACGTAGTGAAGTCGGAGTCAATGCTAAAATGCCTGAATCGATAGTAAGAATTTGGCGAACTACATCATTTACATGAATTTGGAAAGAAGTGTACTTTTTTAACGTGTTGCTGTAATATGACGTTATGTGACCCTAAATAATTTATCATAAATAGAATCATATTATAATTTTACTTTATATACATTAAGTAATTATTATAATTAAATTTAAATTATTTAAGTAATATATATGTAAAAGTGTTTATGGCATTTGTACTAATTAATTATATGCATAAAAAATGTTGGTTTCAATTAAGCAAAACTCTAATGTACAAAAAAAATTTTTTACAGTAGACGTGGCATACTTGTACCGTTACTTTTTGTATAAACGCATAAATTTTTTTGTAAAAATGTAGCACTTAACTTATTCAAATTATAATTGAATTTTAAGTAATTAAACTCTTACCCCTTGGTTTCCCATCCATAGAAGCTCCTCATAGTCATCAAATGCTACAGTTGATACTCCAAAAGTTTCACCTCCGTCTGCTAGTATCGGAACAAGATCTATATAATCAGAGGTGTCATTGGGTCCAATGCTAAATCCATTAAAACTAGGAGAATAATGATCTGCTTGATTTGCTCTACCATCATATATATCTATAAAAAAAAAATAAAAGTGAAAAATATGAAATTATTAAATTAATCAAAATTTTTATGCTCACTTGAAATCGGAAGTATGTCTTCTGCTCCGATTGTTTCTGAACTGCAGTACACATAGTCCATTAAATTTTAATCTCGCTTCGAATGTAATATATAAAAAGCATTTATTTCGTTTTAATTAATATGTACCAAATAAATAAAATTCTTTCCGCGTTCGTATCACTATATTATAAATTTGTGTTTATATTCTGTTTTTTTATACAGAGTTGTGTTTTTTAATACTTTAGGGTTGGCACACAAAAGTAATACTAAAAAAATTTTAAAAGAACTTTATTTACAACAATGCACTGTACAGCATGATTTCACAACATTCATATGCTTAGCGAATTTTGTCTTCAAACAAGATTCATAGCATTATATGTTTTTTACATAAAAAATATATTCAAATTAAAACAGTCCAAATTACGAAAATAGTACATAACTAGTATTATATTGTGAAATAATGTAGATGCTTCATAATGAATACATATAAGGTCTTCATAATGAATACATATAAGGTCGAAATAACTTTGAGTAACACTGTGTATACAGAAGTGCGTTCCACCAGCAAATTTTCGAGTAAATGAGAGCATCCCTGTCAAAATTTGAAAATGCTACATATCCAATAAAATTTGTGCTGATGTGTAAATCAGCTGTTTTGATTTGTATTGTTTACTTACGCGGCAATGAGCTTAAATTTGGCACTTTATTTGTAGCTCGTGGAACAGACCTAATATATGAGTGCTTGATCAAACATACATATATATGGTACTAATTTACTTATCGTAGCTACTTGCATGCAGATAATCGAAATATGCCGATAAGTATTTTCTGCAAAGACTGCATATTTAAAACGACAAAAAATTAAAATTTAAATCCTAAAGTAAATTATAAACCAAATTATAAAAAGCAACAACATTGAAGCTATTGATATACATATACACAGTAATACGGCATTTATACTGGCCTCAAATGGCTCATTTAATTCAAAAATCGAAAATGAGCAGCAAATGGCTCCTTTTGCATACAAAATCTTGCAAATGAGATCCATTGGATCGCAGTCTATATAAATGCGTTCCAACTTGGTTAGAATGAGTTCCAAATATGTTCCAAATGCAAATGAATACATTGAACATACCCTAAATAAAAACATTTCATGGCATTTTGACAGTTTGAGAAAGCTGTTTTTGACATATTTACAAAAACGGTAGGCAAATGTTTGGTGGTTGCACATCCTTGAAAACGATGGACCTCTTTTTAGAACTTCTACTTCCCAAAAAGTACTTAATCGAAGTTAAAAATATTTTTTCAGTTTATATTGTAAGGTTTGAAGGTATATTTAACCTTCATGCAATATATTTTTAGCACATGCCAAAAATCTAATCAACAGGCAAGTTGAAAAAGAAGTTGTTTGATATTAAAACAAATGAATTACAACGAATGTAAACACTTTCAAATGATCATTCGAAATGAGCCATTTTCGGCCAATGTAAACGCCATATAATTGAGCTAAATTCAGCTTCTACACAGTTTTTCAACTATTTCCATTAACTTGATTGTATTTGCTGGAAAGAAAATTAGAAATCACAATATTACTTTTTAAAAATGTGGCATCACATTCTTGAAGAATTTCACAAAAATCAGTTTATTGCTCATCTTCGCTATTTGTAAATTCTGTTTTGTGGATTGAAACATACATCGGAACATTCCAAATATTTAATTGTAATGCCGTGTTTACAGGAATTTCCAGAAAATATTACAATGGCCACTAATAACGGAATCTCAACACCATCTTCGGATAATACCGAACACAAGGATCAGGATTCAACGCAACCTATAAGAGAAATTACACAAACCGATCGACTAAATAACCGTTTACTAAAATCATTTTTAGAGCATGTGAATGCAGGACATATAAATAGTTATAAACTTTCTAATTGCATTGAAAGTGACAATTCTAACGACTTTAGTCAATAGTGATCTAGATTATCTACATCCGTTATTTGAAATGTTTACCAATAAAATTTCTGACCAAGGCACATAGTTAACTTTTTTAAATAATTGTATAATAATAATTGGTTTTTGTTGCTCATGTCATAAATACACCTTTATTATTCAAATTTAATGAGTTTTTATTACACAAAAACAGATTGAATGGATTGTTTGATATCTAAAACATATCAATTTATATTATTTAATATGATAAAAAATTATAATTATAATATAGTATATAACATGTTATACAAGTGACAGAATAAGACAAAATTAGTAATTTTTTGTTATAATGAGACTTATATATGAAGTATTTTAATATATAAAAACTTTAACACTATATTCTTGATTTTATATACGCCGACGCTTACTGTTGTTAACTGGAGGAGGCGTAGTTGATGGGCTAATTGACTCAAAACTTGAAGAACCTCTTGTGCGTTTCATGCTCCGTTTAGGAACTTCTAATAATTTTGTTGTAAATTTTTTATCTAGGTCCTTTATAGTTTGAGTAACAATTGGTTTTGGTGATGATTTTTCTATAAATATTTAAAATGTTAATATTTGATAGTGAAATGTGTTCTAAATAAAAAAAAAACCTTTGGAACCATTGTCTGTAGCGACAGCAATAATAGAGGGTCGATTGATTGCTGGCACGTCAAAACATAATCGTTTTTCCTCAGACTCTTCCTTCTTCTTTGATATTAATAATCCATATTCGTCTTCTGGTAATGAAAATTCTTGTTCTTCATTAGGAAATGGTAAAGATTCCAATTCATCAAGCATTTCTAAGTTATACAATGTATGCAAATGAGACCATATGCTTTCAGTCGGTATTTCTCTGTTAAGCGCATTTGATAATCTCTCAGCAATAACAGCCATATAAAAATGTTTATTTATACCAACTGGCTTTAAGTCGGCTAAAGCCAAAATTAGTTGAACTTCGTCCTCCGTAGTCCATTCGTTCAGATCTTGGGTAGAATTTCCTGGAGCATTAACTCTCTCTTTTACAGTTGACATGTTAAATACTTCCTAAATCACAAAAAACATTTGTTTTCTGTTTCTGTTTCCCTTTTATTTGTTTAAATGGTACATAAATCTGTCATTACCAAAGAATACAAATATAGGGCGATTTGTTGAATACAAATACATTTGGGATGAAGAGATAAATTTTTTAAGTTTTTGTGTGTGATATGGTAAACACAATATTGTTTTATATATAACTACAAAATATTTATATAAATATTTATTATAATTATTAATAAAATGTTGAAACACTTAATATAAAAACATTCAAAATGTGCAATAATTTCTGCACAAAGTCGATAATACAGTTAAATAATGCTAATGTATTGCTGTGATATTTTTTATTGGTAAAACTTTGTTCAATTTATATTTTGTATATATTAGCATTTATTATTATATTAAAGCTATTTGAGACAGTGCATTTATACTTACGATATTCATATGTACATAGGTATATATTAAATGTTGAACTTTATAAGTGTGCATATTCAATAAATATTAACAATAATCATTATGTCCGTGTGCGAAAACGAGTAAGTTAATGGTAAATGGATGGAAATAGTAAATTATGTTGGTATGGCAGCAAATGTTGGTATATACCAGAATTTCGAGTAGGGTAAATTCGATAAAAATTGATAAATTAGGTGTTACCATTGTGAAAATTTTATAAGATGTTTAATAAATAAATAACTAAATTTAAAAACTTTTAACTGAAAATAATAAATAAGTGCAATATATAAATATTTACATAAGTGCAGTACAAAAAATCCTTAGGAAGTTTCAATTTACTTTACCTCAATTTACTAGAACTCGTACACGGCCTATGAAATCAAAATAATAAATAACCCTTCTTAAGTAAATAAAGTTGTTTTTAAAGCATTAACATATTAAAATCACAAATATAATATGTGACCCAACACTTGTGTACATTGTAGATAAGGTAGTTCTGCTTTTTCTTTCACGATTTCCAACACTAAATTCAAAAATGCTTTATAGTTCTTACCAACATATTGTTTGTTATTGCAATGGCAAATTTTGGACAGCACGTGTCGGGGTTTTCACCCGATGGGAAGCTATTCGCTTTAATATGTGAACAAGGGACTTTGAGGATATGGGATACTGACACCAATGAGTTGAAACAAGAGTATGCACCAAATTTACAGGTGGTAGGACAATGCTGTACATTGACATGGTTGTTGGTTGATACAAAAGGGACCAAAAAAAAGGTAGAGATTATCGCATATATTTTTAAATTTTTTACTGAAGGGTATTTTATTTAAAGATCGCAGATAGTAATGAGAACCAGGACAATGTAGGCTTATACATAGTTATCGGCACAAGCAAAGGGAAAGTGGCGCTGTATTCCTATGCTCTCGGAAAGGTCATATTAAACTTAAAAAAATGTATGGCTATGTACTAAACATTTTTATTTTATTTTCCAGATAGAGTATAATTTGAAAGGACAGGGACATAGTGGGAGAATAACATCTATTATATATAATAATGCTGGACAACTATTTACTTGTGGTGTTGATTGTCAAGTAATATTGTGGTCAGTGACCGAACAAAAAAAAATGTCTCATTGGTCTGTTGGTCCAGAAAAACCGAATTGTATTGCTTTTAATAAAGTTTCAAATACATTAGTAGTTGGCAGTCGCCAAATCAAAGTGTACTCAGTGACCACGCATGAGTTATTAGAAAGCTTTACAGGTCATGTGTCTGACATTTGTCTGTTGGATTCATTTACTGTTAATGATATTGAGTATGTAACATCTTGTGCAAGCATGGAGCGCCTTATTTGTTTATGGAAAATTGATCTTAAAGGAAAAAATAAAACACCGGTATCTACATTTATAATGGAGGATATTGCTAGATGTTTGTCATGCCAGCTAGATAAAAATAGACTTCTTAAAATATCAAGTATTACACGCAGAGGACTTATAAATTTATATTACATCGAGACAGAAAAGTACATTAATCTTTAAAACTATTACTGTGCAAAAAATAATTGATTGTTTTGTTTTTATAGCTTAATATCAACTAAACCTTTTAAACCGACAGTAACTATTCAAATTGCTTCGGATAATGCGAACATTATTGAACCAATTCCAGCAATTGCGATATCACTTCAGCACGGTAAAAAGACGAAAGACTTTCTTTTTGGATATGGAGATCAACGCTTCTTGATATTTGAAAATTTCACACCAGCTTTAAAAGAAAAATTGGAAGTTTTAGTAAGAAATAATCCAAAAAAAATTTTACGTCAAAACTTGGATAAAAAAGCTAGCAATACCCTTTCACAATCAAAAACGCTAATACCAGCATATTATTTAAATGAGGTCGTTCATAAGTCCGCTATTAAGATGCCACAGAAAAAATCGGCTGATTTGCCGTTACAATCACGTTTACAAAATTTAGGTTTAATAAATGACACACCTCAAGTTCAATCCCAATGCAAGGTTCAACTTCTAGTGCAAGCGTTGCACAGTAAAGATACAGAGTAAATTCAATAGCATTTAAGTTAATGAATAGTAAATTTACTTAACATTTTAAATTTGAATTAGGTTACTACACTCTGTATTGTTTACAAATGACGAAAATTGTATATTGCTAACATTGCAAAAACTGCCCTCGAGATACGTTGGAACTCTGATAAATGAGCTTACGATGTTAATGGAATTAAATCAAACGAAGTAACTTTTCATATTTTTTTATTTAAATATAAATATTTATTTCATTGGAAATATTTTAGCGTATTTTATGCAATCAAGTGGCTTAAAACGTTAATAAGAACGCATTCTAGCCAAATGTTAGCAATGGGCGCCAATGAATTATCGAACAGATTTGAGGCTTGTATGGGCATAATAGAACATCGTACCGTATATGTATCTGATATGTCTAAGTAAGTAATGCTAGAAAATTGAATTATTATTTCAATTTAATAAAATTAAATAATATTATTTAATTTTTTATATTATTTAATTAATTTTAATACATATATTATTATAAATATAATGCAGATTATGTGGTCGTATAAATCTTATCGTTAAACAAATGAAAGGAAATACAGATGGGAATATGGTGAAAGAAGATTTCTTCACTTATTATGATAAAGGTATTAATAATAATATTAAAATACATTAAATACATATATATAATATTAAAAATATTTAATATTTTTTTTTAATGTGTTTTTTATTTAGATTCTGCTGAGTTAGACGATTCATTCGATATTTTAACAAGTAATGAAGATAATCCAGATAAGGTTAAAGAAGAGAAAAATATTATTGAAAATGGTTTAAAAGTACATGATTAAATTTAAAATAATAAAATTTTAACATATTCTTAAAATGTTTGATTTTTTTTTTGATCTTAAAGGAATTGTTCAACCGATTTAGGAAATCGCTTAGTAAAAAAAATGTTAATTCCTTCTAAATCTTCCCATATTTATTTCGTACTAAATTTACTCCACAATTTCATTTTTATAAAAACATTAATATAAATAATTTTTAAAATCGAAAGCTTTTACAGTATTGGGAATTGTTTTTACTTTTATTTATTTAACAAGTATATGATACTAAAGGATAAAGAATGGAAGAGTTTGAATTGTATTGATATTTGATTGTGATTTTTCGGTCAATGTGATCTTAAATTAGAATGTATTGAAATGTGCAATAGATTTATAAATGATTATTAGTATTATATTTTCTCTCACTGCTTTTAACAGTTTAATATCTTTTACTAAGAGGCTTAACTAAAAGTAAGAGTTGAGAAACTCGATATGCTGTCCAGTTTAAATTTGGAAGCTTGAAAGTAAAAAACAGTTTTCTAATTTTTATTGATTTTTTGAAAGTTACTTGCAACTTTTTGCTTTTAAGATAAAAATTAAGTAAGTCTTATTTTTAAAATTCTGAATGAAGCTTTATAATTCTAACATAACGTGGGGAATTTCTTGTTATTTACTAGAGCTATAACGATCTATTCTGTCGTATGCGTAGTAATTAATTAATTGATTTAAATGCCTTAACTAGCGTTAAAAAAAGGATGCAATATTCTGATTTATGAATTTAAAAATTTAAGAAACTCATTATATATATATATTATTTTCTTTTGCCACATAATAGTTTTGATTTATAAGTAATATTGAAATGATATTTATTATTAAAATTTTGTGTTTTCCATTAAATAATCATACAAATATCGGTTTAAAATTGGTGTGTTTTACTGATGTGGTTAAATACAATATCTTTAAAATTTCATAAGGAAATTACTTTCATAAGAAATTTACTTGTTTTTAAAGAGTAAAATTAAAATTTAATTAAATTAAAAATTTCACTATTGTTAAAAATATTTTTGCTGTAAAGACTTAATGCACATAATACAGTAATTCTTTAAACAAAATATAATTTTTATTACGAATAATAACCCTCAAAAGATCTTAAGATATCTACATAAGCTTTTCAGTTATTTATGCTATATGCCATAAAACATACATACATGAAAGCCATCAATATAAAAAAAGTCTGGATTATTTCCCTTATTCAAGAATATCGAAGTTGATCAATAACAGTGAGAGTTTCTTATAAATTTTTGTATATATGTTATATTTATGTATATACATATTGTTCTTGCGAAAATATTTTTCGCTCTAAATGCAAAAAATTCAAAGTACAATAATTTACTAGAAGTCAAATAATAAACAAGCTTCATAATAGCTTTGTAATCACTAATTAAAGTTATCTCTTTCATGTTTTTCTCAGTAAAAAACTACAAATTATTTTTTTAACTACAACTTTTAGGTCCATTTCACGCTTAATGGTTTTTGTAAGCAAAACCGGTGTAGTATGCGGGAGGTCTTATAATACTGAAGATATTGAAGGTAGAATAATACAGTAAAATTTAAATTTTTTTCGAATAACTAATATAAGTTTTTATAATGAAACAGTAAAAATCAAAAATTAGTTCGTGTAAATATTTATTATAAATTTTATATATATATATATGTATATATATATCTATAAAATTTTATGATCAACAATCACGCTAAATATTCACTTTAAATTTAAACAATAGTAAGAATAATAACATAAATATCATTTTCAATAAACACCATGATTTTATTCAAAAAACGGAAGTTTCTTAAATAAGTCCTAAACATAGTATCAACAAATAGCTAAACTATTTAGGGTATACATTGAATTTTGCAGTGATCTGCCAACAAGGTTTTTTAACCGAATGCTTAGATGCGTATAAATACTACAAGATTAATTCAGTAAAATTATAAAGTTTTTCTTTGGACTCTAAAGAAAAATTCTAAACTCTAAATTTAATCCTAATTTGTTAGACTTTGTAAGATCAAGGCTAATTATGCATATTTCGTATAATTTTCTTTAGTTTTTAAACCATGTGCTTATTATCACACATCATTTCTTCACATCATATTTAAAATATTTCAAAACAGAAATCTTTTTATTACATACATACTATATAATATTTATAAAAAAATGTGTAAAATTTATAATATATAAATTTTTTAAATAATTATATTATTACAAGAGTGTTATTTTGTATTATGTATGTATCATCATAATGAGTTTGAAGATCACTATATTGTTTTTTAACATTTTATACATTTGAAATTAATATAAAACAAATAAAATAAGCGCTACACCTGTCACACTATATCATCAGCTGTTAATTATCTGGAAAATTTTTAATCAAGCTAAAAATATAAAATCCAGATTTGTCTGAGATTGGAAAAACTATTTCGAAGATTGGTCAAATGTCATGATAACGTCTTTAAGAGTAAAAAATTGCTGTTAATTAAATATAATTTAATATAAAGCATAATTAATAAATACAAATTAACAATTTGAAAACTATGTCAATTGCGAGAATTTCGGGATCAAATTTAACGCCTAGTGGTAAGCTATACGCTTACATATGTGATAAAGGAAACCTAAGAATCTGGGATACAGACACTAACGAGATAAAGCAAGAATATGAACCAAATGAATTTGAGGAAGGTTTGTGTTCTGCATTTACTTGGTTGCCATTTCATGAAGAAGAACCCGACAAAAAAGTAATTATTTATTTTTTTTATATTTGCTCAATGTTCGTTAATGAACTCTTTTTTTTTAATCTTACATTAGATAGAATTTATATTAAAAACAGATGGAAGCTCGGAGGAGCACTTACATATGACCATTGGCACCACCAAAGGAAAATTGTTGTATCTTTCACTGCCTGAAGGGAAAGTAATAATAATAATAATAACTTATAACTAATAATAATAACTTATAACTAATAATAATAACTTATTTTTTACATATTTTAATTAAATGAAACTATTCATAGGTTTTACAGCCTTTTCGTGGTTGTGGACATATAACACATATAACAGCTATGGTATGTAATGATCTAGGTCAATTGTTTACATGCAGTTTAGATTGTAGGGTAGCATTATGGTCATTAAGAGAAAAGAAGCAGATATCTGTGCTGTATGTTGGTCCAGAAACTCCAAATTGCATGGCTTTCATTAGTCACTCAAATATATTAATAGTTGGTGGCCGTCAAATTAAACTATATTCGGTAAAAAGTCATCAACTTATAGCAAGTTTTACAGGACATGAATCTGGTACGAGTTTACTGGATTACATTCTTGTTGACGGGCATGAATATATAATTTCGTCTGCTAAAAACGAAAGCATCATTTGCCTTTGGAAGTGCAATACAAATAAAGAGGAAAAATTACCAGTAATGACATATCTAATAGATGATATAATACAATGTTTATCTTGTCGATGCGATAAAAATAGATTTGTACAAATAGGAGTTGTTACACGTAAAGGTGTAATAAATATTTATCAATTACCATTAAAAAGGTAATGGCAATAATATTTTATAGAATTTATCTAACTTGTTTTTAAAATTATTTTCAGTTCAAAGTACATTGATTTCCTTCAATCTTCTGCAACTATCAGGATAGTATCAAATAGTCCCGCAGTTGATGATGCAATCCCAGCAGTTGTGATAAATTTGAATTCTCGAAACAAGACAAATGAATTATTTTTTGGATATGGAGATCAACGTTTTTTGACTTTCGAGAGTCTCGATTTAAAAGTAAAAAATTTACAAATATTGCAACGAACAAATCCCAAAAAAATAGTATCTTACAAATTGGATAAAGTTCCCATTGAAACGCTAAGACTATCAAAAAGGCTGAAATCTGTTCTTCAAATGAATATTTTAGAAAATAAGTCGTGTATGAATATATCGTCTAATAGAAATCAACTTTTCGATTTAAAATTTAACTTAAGTAACCCACATCAACCTAAATCTGAGAGTAACGTTGAATATTTAATACATATTTTGGAAAGCAAGAATACTAAGTATTTGTCTCTTACAAACAATTTACAATATTTGTTCATATTTTTTTTTTTTTGAATTTTTATTTAGATTACTTTCTTCAGTTTTGCTTACCAACGATGAGAAAATAACATATGCCACTTTAAAAGAAATACCTTTAAAATATATTGGAACTTTCATAAAAGAATTGACTTTATTAATGAATTTTGATCAAAAGTAGCTTTCAATATAAAACTTATTTACGTTTTACATTTACATTTATTTTATATTGTAGTTGTGCAATAAAATGGTTGAAATCGATCATCAAAATCCACTACAATGAATTGTCCAAAATGAAGAAAAAAGAATTATTTAACATTTTCGAAGAGTCTCTTGCCCAAATGGAATATTGCTTCTCCAATATAACAGCAATTGCAAAGTAATGCTTCTTATAAAATTAACATTATAATAATAATTTTTAATTAAATTTATTTTTTTTTATTAGAATAATTTATTGTCTTGATTTAATAATATATCAAAACAAATATAAGTTGGAACAGAAAACAACCACAGTACCTTATATATTTGTAAAGGACGATTTTGTGATTTACCATGACAGAGGTATTAATTTATTTATAAATTTTGTAATAGTAATAATAATTAATACTTTCCTTTTATTATAGCTTAGCTTTGTCGTAGGTGATAGTATCTATATAAAGGAAATCAAGATATTAGGGCACCTAAAATCATTGTTAAAATAATAATTCTACCACATGTATCAGCTAAACCAGTACAAAAAAAAAATATATATATAAATAACATCAATATACCCTCTTTTTATTAAACATTTTCAATTTTTAACAATAATTTTGTGAGTACAACAGCATATTTAAATAACATACACATTATTTGTGAACAATGTTGAAACAACGTCAAATTGTGCATTATTACATTTTAAGGATATTCTATTTTTAATACATAAAATATGTAAATAATTCAATTACAAATAATAAATTATGACATCATATAATACGAGTATTACCAATTCTTTGTTGTGTGTAAACTTTATTCAAATTTACTTTATAGCCTATTTTCTAAATTGATATATATTTCTAATAAAATGTTCAACATTTTTTTAAACAATATATGCATAAAATCTTTAAGCATCTACATAAAAACTTTTAAATTTAAATTCAAGTGACTACCTTAAAGCCTTTTTTATTTGAAATGCAATAATTACCAGTTACTTTTGATAAAATTAATCAAACCATTTGTTGAGGCATCATGAGAAGTAATTTTATCAGCAGTAGCAAGTTCTGGTTCAATAGCTTTAGCTAACTGTTTACCTAATTCTACACCCCATTGATCGAATGAGTTAATATCCCAAATTGCACCTTGAGTAAAGATTTTGTGTTCATACATGGCTGAAAAAAAAAGTTTAAAATGAGAAATTATTTATATACACTGCATTAGTTAATCTATTACAATTGCTGTGTTATTGCTATATATCTAACAATAAGCAATTGCAATATAAACCTGTTATTACATAATAATGTAATAATGTATTTTTAAAAGAAATTATTACCTATTAAAACACCTAGTATAAAAGGCGTCAATTTCTTTACAACAATGGAATTTGTTGGACGATTTCCGGTAAATGTCTTATGTGGTAATAAATCTTTCAATTTATGTCCTTTAAGGCCAGCCTTCTCCAATTCTGCACGAGCTTGATCCTCTGATTTGCCTGTCATCAAAGCTTCAGTTTGAGCTAAGAAATTAGCTAAAAGAATTTTATGATGCGCTCCTCCGGCAATAGGATTATGAGTTTGCGCAGGGGCAATAAAATCGCAAGGAATTAACCGTGTTCCTTGATGAATAAGTTGATAAAAAGCATGTTGCCCATTTGTTCCAGGTTCGCCCCATACAATAGGACCTGTATTATAGTTGACTACTTGGGAGCCAGATTTTGTTACAAATTTACCATTACTCTCCATATCACCTTGTTGAAAATATGCAGCGAAACGATGTAGATATTGATCGTAAGGTAACAATGCGTGAGTTTCGGCGTTATAAAAATTCGTATACCAAACTCCTAGCAAAGCTAAGATAACTGGTGCCTATTTTAGTAACATTAATATTTTAAATTTATTTAATAATATAATATATTGATTATAAATACATTATGCTCTAGTGGAGCAGACTGGAAATGAGTATCCATAAAATGTGCACCTTCCAACAATTGTTCAAAATTTTCAAAACCTATTGAAAGGCAAATAGAAAGTCCGATTGCCGACCATAAACTGTAACGTCCACCGACCCAATCCCAAAAACCAAACATGTTTTTACTATCTATTCCAAAGTCAGTAACTTTTTCCTGATTCGTAGATAAAGCAACAAAATGTTTTGCTACCGCAGATGGCTGTAGAAATTGGAAAAAAAAAATAACAATATTTATGTTAACATTAGATATGTATAAACTTACATCTTTTGCATGCTCTAATAACCATATTTTAGCTGATGTAGCATTAGTAATTGTTTCCTGCGTTGTAAAAGTCTTGGATGCAATTATGAACAGTGTCGTCTCAAAATTGACTTTCTTAAGTACTTCGGCCATATGAGTGCCATCAATATTAGATACAAAATGTGATTTTAAACCTTTACAATAAGGCTTTAATGCTTCCGTTACCATTAGTGGACCTAAATCTGAACCACCAATGCCAATATTAACAACATCGGTAATTTGTTTGCCGGTAAAACCACGCCACACACCAGAAAGAACTTGATTAGTAAATTCTTTCATATGAGATAATTCAGCACGTATATCTGGCATAACATCTTTACAATCGACTAAAATTGGATCAGAGCCACGATTTCTCAAAGCAATATGCAAGACAGCACGATCTTCGGTTATATTTATGTGCTGGCCTGACAACATAGCATCGCGAGCTTGTTCCACACGACGTGCTTTGGCTAAATTTAATAAGAGCTTCCAAGCATCATCGGTTATACGATTTTTAGAATAATCAATCAATATTTCACCATCCTTAGGTGTTCTTATTATTAAACTATAAATATTATATAAAAAATATTAATTAATTTTTATTAATCAAAAATGTATGAATAATATATATATATTAAAAGAAATAAATAAATTGGTAGGCTTCTATATAATATAATAAATAAATATGTATATATAATTAAATAAATAAAGGCAGATACGATTTTGTATTTCGCAATTACAGTATAATTAAGCTACATTTTTTATGGTAACTTAAAGGTGGTAAAAAAAAGCTTTCGCTTTTAAGTAAATCAAAAGGAATTTTAATGCAGTTATTAATAATATCTATTTAATTATAAGTTTAATTTTTTTTCTTGATGTTATATATACAACTTGGCTTTATCTATCACTATATTCAAATTTATGCTAATTCAATTTTTGGATACATATTATACTTATTGTTATCTTATTAATTAAATTTAAATATTAAGTTAATAAATTAGTGTTTTTATGTTTTAGAGACCGTATAGTATGAAAAAAAGAATGTTGAATATATAACATATTCAAATATTCCATTTTTTCAGACAAGGAATACAAACCATAATAACTTATTGAAGAAGATAAGAGATACGGGTGGTATATACATATGTAAAGTATGGAAAATTTGTTATTTTTCTAATCAAACTAAAATTTCTTTTTTATTTTGTTTATTGTAGTATACCTGTATTTACTAAAACGTTGTGGATCGTTATCAAAAAGCTCCTTTATGTTGATTGTCTTTCCATTTTCGTCAAAATATTTCTGTAACTGTTGGTAAGTTATTTCAGTAGGTAAAAGGGGTAGTGCTCCTGACATTGTGGTTTTTATTGAATCACTGACTTCAAGAATATAAATGCGAATTTAAGAATATATATATGTATAATGTTCTTCTTTTAATATATAAACATAAAAAAATTATGATTTCAATTCAAATCCCTGTAAGCAAACCGAAACTGCAACCTTAACTTAACTGTTTCACCTTTCAAGACCGTCTGAACAAATTTTCATTAACATTCAAATGACATTGAAATGACGTTTAAGGGTTGTAAGTATCCGCGAAATAATTGTAAGATTGTTTTTATTATATCTCATGTTACAATATGAAATACATTTTTTTAAATCAATGTAACAGTTTTCAATGAAACCTTGTAAATCATTTTGAAAGAATTTATATAATAAATTATATTCCAAATTATATTTATTTATTTTCATTTAGGATTATTTTATTATTTATTAAAATTATTTAATATAATATTATTTAATAAAATTTATATTTTTCAGTATTGCGACTGTTTTGAATATTTGTCACATCCAGATTTTAGTAAAATAAGATTAAATAAAAATACAATATATTATATAATGCATAAAAATGGTAACAAAAATGGTAACGACCTGGAAATCGTTATTTGGTAAACTTTTAGATATAATTTCTCATTATGAAATTATTGCCTTTTTAATAAACAAATAAGTAAGTTCAGCAGGTCTGATAAAGTTTTTGGCAATTAAAAACAATAACAGCTGATTCTTCTTAACAATGATTTTTACTACTATACAATATTGCAAAATATTTTTTAAAAAAATGTATATTAAAATGAAATAAAGAAAATTAAAAATTTGTTTTATTAAAAACTATTAAAGTTTAGTAATAAGATATTTATTTCTACTTAATGACAACTTAATATCAGTAATATCGCATCTGCATTTGGATGACATTCCATGGGACTATTACGACTATAATTATTACTTGTTATTCAACGTACTGTTTTTTTTGTCGGCTGCAACATTTCTTTTAATCAATTTGCAGTAATACTTCATATATGGTATTGTTTCTATATTTTTTGTAGTCCACCAATGTATTTGTACCTTTTTCTTCAAATGATTTAATTTTTTTTTTAATTCTGCTTCATATTTTTAAGTAACTTTTAGTTTAACCATGTTTTATTATGTTTATTAATATTTGTAAAAATATTTATATATTGTACTCTTTCGTAACTGACAGCTAATAATTCAACGCTTAAAACTACTTTAAGTTTTTTGCGTAATGCTTACAAGCGATGTAAGTATAACTTATTTTAAGACGTTTACGCGATTTTAAAATCAATTTTCAGAGCTTTAAAAGAAACTCGCGTAAGTAGTGTGATTAAGTGATTAAATAAGAAAAACTTATGATGTAACCATTTTTGAATCATTTTATTTACCAATTATTTATTATAATTAATTATATGGTATTTTGTTTATTTTTTTATATAATTTTTAAGACATATATGTAATAAATATTATTGTTAATATAATTCACAAAATGATGACGCGCCATCTCTGTTTATTTATAAAATGCGGTTACTCTGTTGGAAATATTTTTAATTAAAAAGTAAGATGGCGATTGTTTGAATTTTGTATGTATTGTGTAAGTGTAATTAAGAAGTCAAAAGCAAAATATGTTTCATTGCTTCACATTAATTCCATTAAGAATATCATACTGTGAGAATGTTTATAACTTCTATTGATTTTGATTGTGAAAGAATAATTTCTAAATAAAATGCACAAATTTTTTTGCGAATTATACAAGTATAACCACAGTATTCAGAGGGGGCACAATAAAGTGACATATAGTGAAGGTAAATGCTGTGTTTACAAAAACAAAAGATGCTGAATAAATGTCAAAATGTAATATATAATAATAATAAAATAAATAAATCTATTTTTATAAAATAAATTTTGCTAAATCAATGAATAACAACAAATTTTTAAAGTGGATTCAGTTCACAAGCGTATCCATGAAATACGTAACCTTGTTACCGCGTAGCACAGTAGCATTTTACTTAATACAAGCTTAAATTAATTTTTTAAACTAAAATTTGAATAAACGTAATGTTAAACTATCAAGTTAAAATTATTAAATGATATAATATGGATTTTTTAATTTATTTGATAGAAACTCATAAGAAATTGTGTATAAATTGCTAACATGCGTATCACGGTATTTAGTAAACAGTAGCATCCTTTGTTCATCATAAACTTGTTTTACTACAAGGTTAGGCGTTTCGAAGCTATTTCGCACTCAAATTTTAGAATTTGATTTTTTTTTTTACTTTTAGGTACCTGTAAATAAATACTTTTGGTTTTACTAATAACAAGTGCACTTACACTTTGAAGTTTGAAAACGTCAGGAACGTTTAAAGAAAAACAATATGTCTGCTCCATTGAAGCCTGAAGAATTAGCTGGTCCATCCACTACTGCAAAAAGCAGTAGCTGTCGTAGCTCAGGCCAACCGCAGACTAAGAGACAAAAAATTGATAAACATAAAATTAGTAACAAACTAATCTCGATATCATCGCTTTCAAGTACACCGGATAATTCAATTCCTCCGGATATTGTAGACACAGATGAAATCATTCATACAAACAACAATACTCAGTTAAGTTCATCACTTTCGTCTTCTGCACATTCCATATCCGTTCCTAGCTCTTCTACTAACTCCCCAACGTCAACACCATCAAGTTCTAGGGCTACATCACTATCTCAATTATTGAACGTACAAAATATTGGAAAAATATTTTCTCCACAACCAACAAATAATGGAGTCTGTGACATAACCAAGTTATCAAATAATCTCAGCGGTACAACCAGTGGGTGCAGTAGTGGCAGTAGCTCCGGTGATCAGTCCGCTGATGAAGTGGACCGTGTAGTGTTATTGAATATGTGTTCATCAAATATAAATAGTTTTAATAAATCACATAAAGACACAAACTCTGCATCAGCAACAGTTGTTACAGATGAATCAAAAATTGCTCAAGATATGCGCGAATTTGAAAATTCATTAACTAAACAATGTTTATGCGGTGTGTCCGAACGAACATTACGGAAACCTTTTCAATCTCACTATTCGACAGACTTAAATGGACGAAAACGAATAGCCAATATAAGCGAATGGCCAACAAACAAACTGTTGCAGTTTCTTTCGAATTTACAATTATTATTCGATATATATCTAAAACAAAATTCGAAGGGGTTTATTTGTGCTCGCATAATGGATGTTTGTGATGCACTCATACAAAATGATCAAAACCTAATCGATGAAATTATTATCCTTGCTGGATACAAAAATGCATATGTACAATTTTTGGCAAGTCGTGTTTTGTCGTCATTCCTAATTATAGCAAAGCAGTCTTTAGATGATAATTGGATGAAAAAATTAGTTAATAATCTTTTCAATTTCGATCATTTAGATAATTTAGCAGTTCAAAAAATGCACTTTAGCTTGGAAATAATTAAACGTATTGTAGAATGGAAGGATGTTGACTTACACCCTCTTGAAGATGAAATCGCAGAAACACATGAAAATGCTAGTTTCTCCACAACAAGCGAACCGGAACCGATTAATAGCGGATTAGAAACGCATCCATTTTTACATTTACAACCACAGATACCGTCTTTGGATACAAATTATTTCGCTGTACATTATCGAGCTAATGAACACGACACAACAAATCAAAATTCTGGTGAGGCTTCTATTAATCAATGTGAAGTAACCGAATTTAATAACAAAAGTGTAATATCAAATGTTCATATGACTGATATTTTATATAGTTCTACAAATAATCAATTAGAGAATAATGTATTGGTCAATTCAACTGACTTAGATACAAATAATATTGTACCGTCAACTTCTTCAAATAGTACGCACCATGAAGATCCAAAATTTAACTATTCTACGCCACTTACATCGCGCTGTCATATAATTACATTGACTGATTCAGAAAGTTTTGATACCACATATCTTAAGTGCATTACAATTAAAATACTAGAAAATAGATGGCCAGATCTAGTCGAAAATTTGTCAACAATTATATCCCATCATTTTAGTATAGAAAATGCCGAGAATTGTATTTTAAATTTTCTGCAGCTATGGGAAAATATAATATCCGTGAAAGCAAATTTATCAATTGAAGAAACTCTCCCATTTTATGCGCAATTGGATAATTTTATAGAATTTTTAATAAATAGAGATCTTTCCTGCACAATTTATAAACAAATGTTAAGCCTGTTTAATGAGGCGCTATGCTATGGTTCAACTCTCGCATTACAAGATATGCTTCCAGAGAAAACATGCAAATTGGCGCATGGAATAATGAAACAAACTATTCGTATGCTTGAATCAATGCCACGACAACGATCACAAAATTCTATAAGTCTTATAGGATTTAAACGAAAACCAGTCATTTATACAGCGGGAACATTTCAATCGTATGAGGATGAAAATGATTATGAAAGTGAGAACAGTAATGCACTTGAAATGGATAAAACTATATTACAAAAAATGGTATTGCTTGTGCTAAAGTCAGTTGCTGTTACAGTGAAAGAAATACGTATTGATTCTTCAGATTCATCAATTGATTCAACTGATCACGATTTCTTGCAGGATATGGTGCATATTGAGCGTGCAATACGTGAAGTATTACAAAAACTTGAAACATTCATTAAGCATAAACTTGAGTTTCATCCACAAGATGATCTTTGTAAAATACTTGTATATTTATTCGATGATCAAGATGACTATCTGATCGAAGCAATGGTTTGTACTTTAGATGTCACAACAGGAATATCGTTTCGAAATAATGCATTTCCTGAACTTGTCAAAATGTTAAATCCAATTTGTACGTTTCTTGAATTTCTTAAAATGATATCGAACAGTCATGTTTTATTGCTTGACTTACTTATTAGTAACGAGACTTGTTTTTTACTTTACCTGTTACGTTTTCTCAAATATATACGAATTAATTGGAGCATGTTTTTAGAAACTTGTCAAAATTCTGTAACGAATTCAGGCGGCAATTCTCTAGATGAATCTATGAGTGTCTTAATTCGACTACGATTGCAAATTTCACATTTAGTGGCTCGTCAATTATATCCCTATGATATATCGCCTGTTCTACGATATCTTGAGATATGTGAGAGTTTATATGAGCCAGATGAATTAATATAGTTGTTTTTAATATACATATAATTAGTTGTTATTAATATACTTAGTATTAAACTTATTTATAATATTGTTTAAATTAATATTTATTTAGTAATGTATTAGAATTTTGTATAATTTGTTATATCAATGAAATATTGTAAACTTTTAATATAGTTTTTGTTAAAAATTAAAACTTGCATGCAATTATATTGTATGTAATTAATTTTAATAATTAAACAGATATTTTATTAAATTTAAAATATGTAAATAACTGATTCGAAAAATTTTCAATATAATTTTTTAAACATTACTGACATTTTATTCCCGAACTGACATAGTTTTAGTAATGTTATAATTCTTGCCTTTAAAATTTAAAATTTATAGATTTAATATCTAAATATAGGCATATACATATGTTAAAAATATTTTGTAAATTTGACTTTTGTAATATTAAATATTTTAGGCTAAATTATTGTAATATATATTAATATACATATATATTAAAACAGATTTTTATATTTATATAGAATATTAAGTATAAATTATTTTTATAAGTTAACCATGAAAGTAAGACAAATATAAAATTTTTTATAATACCAAATTGTAATATTAAATACTTTGTGTTGTTATTGATTTTAAAAAAGGTTCTTTACTTCAAATTTAGTAAGTAATAAAGTAAAGTTACTTCTAATTATTAAACTTTCATGCAATACTTGACTTTATTAATTGGTAATATGACATTACCAATCTGAAATATTTTGTTTTCTTGAAAATATGTATAAAAATATAGATTTTATACAAAAAAAAAAGAACATTTTCTTCAATGTTTCTGTTGCATATGTTAACTTATATAATAGTGATGAATTTCAAGTTAATTTAAAATATGAGACATGCAGTTTTATATTTGTTTAGTATAAATATTATTAATATTTATGATGTAATGATGGTTACTTATTATTTATTAAATATTTCTATTTTTGATTTAACAAGACAGAAACGAAAACACTCCTTTCGTTTCGAGAGAACTCTGAGGCAAAGTTATGTAGGAATAAGGGATGGGAATAATTGAACTAAACTTGGAAGCAGGTAAAGATAACTTACCACACATATGGCACAAAATATGACTCAGATTAGTATGTCTGCTTACCCAAGCGAACAAATGAGCGCCATCATTACGAGTAGAACTGCAACTGGGTCACACATATGAACCGACTTTTCATGTGCTTTATGAGAATCTTGAATCACTGAATCATCAAGTCGGCTTTATTATTTTATATATATTTACAAATTCATTTATTAATTTATAAAATGATTTATTGGAAACAATAAATTCAAAACCCAATTTCACATTACTAGTCGGTGAACATTTGGGTGATATTTTATGTTTTACAACGATTTCAAGTAGCTTAAACTGCAATGAATAAAAATATTTTTAAAATTATTTTGTGCACATTGATTAAGTGATTTGTACAATTTATATTTTTATTAAATCTAACCTTATATTTCATTAGATTCGTTTTTATCATTTATCATTAATATATGTTTTTAAAGATGCTTCAGTTTTTATTTTGTTAAACAGACAAAATAAATAAATAAATTCGTAAATTTATTTAATATAAATATACATAATATCAATTTATTACTGTATATAGAAGTATTTAAGAATAAGTTTTTAAAATATAAAAAAAATTATTATAGTGATGTTTTTAGTTATTATTCTAATAATTCAATACTTTGTCGTTTATTTTTTTCTGGCTGCAGTATATATATATATTTTAAACAAATGATTTCAAATATAATTCGAAGTATAATTTTTCAAAAATCTGGACGATTATAGATGACTTTATAATATAACTTTTTAATGCCTATTTATCATTCGCACTCGCCTTTTAGTTTCTGGATTAAATGGATCTGCCTTTTCATCAAAAGATCCAGAACCACTGACAACTGATGTACGTCTCAAAGCTGGTAACGTTGTTGTCGGCATTGAACTTATTTTCTGTCCATGAAAATTAAATGATGTTGGTACAGAACTGCGTCGATAAGATGATAACTCAATTGATTTAAATTCTGTAAAATAAAATTACATCTTAATATTCTTATTAGTTCTGTAAAGAGAGATTGTTTTACATTTTTTATATAGGAACAGACCAAATAATTACATGGTAGAAGGTGAGGGTGGAAGGCGAGCTCACTTAGTTCATGAGTAATCTTTTTATGATGCTAGTCACTTAATTTTTATGGCTGACTGATTAATCTTAACAAGGATTTTAATACACACATTGACATTCCATCCAGTTTTAAACAGATATTAATCTGACATCTTTAAGAAGCAGAGACAACCTTTGCGTTAGTATATAGCAAATGGTAAATAGTTTATTATCACGAATCTATCGTCACTATGATTATCATTTTCATTTTTCTATCACTTGTCTATTTCTGGCTTATGTCCAAGTAGCAGTTCTACACTTTATGACTTTTTTGTTTGTCTTACTATATGCACCAATCTGATCTGTTACAATTAACCGCCTTACAATTTAAATTGATGTCTTGTACATATACATAAAAATTAGAGTTTCGAACAGGACATGTTTTATTTCGTTTCTTTTTTTCTGTTTTTTTTCTTCAGTTTTTGCGTTTTTATGTATTGGTACTACAAATTAGTTTCCTAATATGATTAAAAACATTTTATTCATTTTTTTAAATAAACTGATTTTTAATCATCTGCTACTTTAAGTATATTCACATCAATAAACTATTTCATTGTTTATATGTATTTTAGATTAGTTTAAATAATGCTAAACCAAAATAACCCGATATATTTATTTTCTTTCATTTTTTTCTTTAGACTCAAAGTCCTAAAAAAATATTTTCCATCAATATTATTTGGTCATGATTTTAAATAAAGTTTTTAGATTTTGAATGCGTGGGGTGTAATATATATGCGTTCTAATTTCATATACTTCTACTTCACTAAATCTTTGAGATTTAAAAAGTGAAAATAGTGATATTATATTTTTCTAAATGTCCCTCAAATTCAATACATATACATATTTAAATTTTAGAATAATAAGAGGAACACAATAATTATATTACCTTGTAATTTGGATAATTCCTTTCCATCTGCATATAAAGGTCTATGAAATGTGATGTCTTTTATGTTCAAATTTTCAGAATCTCTTAAATTTTTTCCATACTGTTGATCATTAAATGAAAATAAATTTCTATAGTTTATCTCACTTTCAGCTATTTTTATATGTTCCGGAAAACCAATAGTATAACGATCAACAGAAATCGAACGCATTTCCGTTAGACGTGGTATGGCTTTTATACCATCTTTATTCAACAAAAAAAAAAAATTTTGTAGATATTGACTTTTTGTATTTTGTGTTTTAAATTATATAGTTGTACATAAATTAAAGCAAATCATATTATTTCAATGAAACACATTTATTTTAAATAATAGTATATTATTTTTTTATTATAGACAAAAAATAGGTCACAAATTACAACATTAATATATATGTTTGAATATATTTATTTTATAAGTATAAGGGGACATTTATAAGATTTGTAAAAATACAAGATACAAAACTACAAATTTTTTAAAATTAGAAGACATATAAGTAAACATTTTAATAGTGTACTCTAGTATATTATAAAATAAATGCAGAAAGAACATATGTATATTAGAGATATATATTTAGGGCAACAATTTTAGATCAGTTAGAAATAGTTATATTTTTTTATTAGAATCACACAGTTCTATATATATAAATTATATGCATGAAGAAAAAACTTAAATAAAATCTGCAAATGTTAAACTAATGAGATACAAGTATTATTCATACGTAATGTAAAAAATATTTACCAGAAAGTGTCGATAGTATTTATTTGTATATTTTAAATATTAACATACTTTTATTTTAAATAACTCAGTTAAATAAATATGGGTATTTCCATTTTCTAGCATCGAGCTTGGTAACTGAGTTAAGTAGTAACAATCTAAGACGGGAACTATTTACCTTTACTTGAAATATGTTATGTTGGTGCTATTTTGCACTTTTACTATGTAACTTGTTTACAGAGATCGCTATCTCTTATGCAAAATAAGAGGTATTCCCAATTTCTAGTAACGTCATAACAGTACAAATCAGCTACACTAAATATATATATTCCAAATATATTTTGTTGTTAATGTTTTGTATTGTTACTATAGCGATATTCATGAGCTCGGTAATCGAGTAACATGATAATACTGTCAATTGTCAATAACTAAATACATGTACTTAAAAATTATTTTGTTGCTACCGCTTTGTACTGTTAATATGTTACTCTTGGTTACCGAGTTCTTTATGCTAGATCGTGTATACCCCTTACGTTACTCGATTACTGATCCCGTTACTCGAGATCGTGAATATCACTAATGCTTTGCATTGTTAACTTTCCTAAATAAGTTGGACATAATTTTGTTTAGTGAAGTCTATTGAAAGACGTTTACCGTCTTTTTAAAACGATTTATTTATTGTACGTAAAATGTTGTATAAATTTATATTATATATAAACATTTGCATATAAGGAACAAATTCAAAGTACAAAAGTTGCTGTGCTTATAATAAAATAATGTGTTATGGAAAAGTGTATTATATAGTATATTATAAAAAGTAATTGCACATTTAGATAAGAATACTTAAGATATAAGGTAGTAGTTAATGCATTGATTTATACATTATTATTATTACACGTTTACGATTATATAATATCACAATATTTAAAACTACAAATTATTTAAAAATAGTTTATCTTTAGTAGAATATGTAAATAAAACACCATTTTTTGTAAATTTAAACTTATTAAAACAGTTAAAAGATTAACAGGCAATTTAGGTTGAACACACATACATTTATACTTTTAATAAATTTTTGGTTGAAGTACCTTTGGAGAATCGACGGTCTTGTTTGTGGGCTTGGGCGTATGATTGAAGAGAACATCGACGAAATCGTTTGTCTCCTTTAGATTGCTATAATTGTAAAAAAGAAACTAAAATATATAAGCAAATAGGATTATAAAATAATATTTTTAAATTAATTTTATTTATAATTAATTCAAAATAAATATAAAAATTTTCTGTACTTCTGTAATAGATAAGTCCGGTTTTAAGTTGAAATATGTATTGGCGAACTTACAAAATCCAAATATGAGAAAAGAAATTTTGTTTTGTCATAGAAAATGTTTATGAGAAGAAACTTTTTTGTAATTTTGTTAAATTTATCTAATACTTATTTATCTAATTTGTTATTGTAATTAAAGTTTACATTTTTTATTGAGTTCTATGAATTAAAATATTGAATTTTTATATATAAATATAAGATAAATTAATTATTTTTTTATTTTATACTCGAAAAATGATTAATTTCTTATAGGCGACGTAAAACCTTGTGGTACTCGTAACAAAATATTTTGATGGTTTTCTTTTTAAAACTTTTAGGTCAGCAGAGAAAATTTGCAAAATATTTATATACTTCTTTTAGTTTTTAGACTCTAAAAACAAAAAAAAAATTAATTGTAGCGCTTTCTGTCCGGTATATTTGGCGTATTTTTGTTCTAATGAAGGTGTTTGCTCAAACACCGGCCTTCTTCTAATGAAAAACATGGACATGGTTTCAGAATTAGTGGAGCATTTCTTCCCCCGCGTTGCATCCGTCAACCCTGTACGCCTACTTATACGACTAGTACCATAAAAGAAGTTATATTTATGAGTAACGACAAGGACTAATCGCCTGGATAAAACACCAAGGCAATATTTTTTTCGATACCACGTTCTCAACAGTCTTCTTATATTTTGTGGGGAAAAAGTAGACATTAACATATATCATATTTTCAAATGTTATGGCCAATTGACGTTATGATATATATACATTAGACATGAATCCGTCTAATAATAATAAATTAGAATTAACCTTAACTACAACTCTATTGGTGATGATACCGATCTGTACATAATTGGCTTATAGCTTAAAGGCTATAATTGGCTCTAGATTGAAGCGACAATATTCTTACTTACTTCTTCATTTCTATGCTTTCAAAATATTTCTTTTGTTAAAACTCTCTATTTATTCTACCACCTGGACGAAGATTTCTTATTCATTAACAAAAAGTATCAGAGCTACAAAACTGCTTACCGATTTATAATGTTGGTTTATATCCGATGCAGCTTTAAGAAGTAAGTATATAAAAACGATTGCGAAGATATATATAATTGGTTCTGCAGCATAACTTTTTTGATTTTTTTGTTCATTTTTGGACTGATCTTTTTTAGTTATCGGTTTTACTTTTACTGATTTTTTCATTTTTTGCGTACTCCCATTTTTACCATTGGAGTTTTTTGAACTTTTGATGGCTTTTGTTACAGCTTTTCTTCTTAAAGTGGTATTGTTATTATCCTTCCATTTTTTTATATTTTCTGTGGGTTTCAAATAGCACTTAGCTGAATTCCTTATATCAACATCTTCCACAAACAGTTGATCCAAACTATAACAAACACCGATCTCATTTATATCTGAAGTGCTTAATTTTATTGGACTATCATTTCCTTTCTCCAACAATTTATTGTTTTTATTATCGATAGTTAATGCTTGTATTGATTTTATAGCATATAAATTATTAAAATTCTGTTGAATTATAAGAATTAGGATGTAAAACGTTAGTAGTAGAATAAGAACTCCGACGGGAGCAACATAACGATTATTATTTTTAGTATTACTGCATATTAAGGATTTTGTAGTATTTTTATCGATTGATTCCTGCTTTTCAGAAAATTTAGGATCCTGTGAAATTTTCAATTGTTCGCTGTCCTTATCGCATTCCATTAGAGATGATTTTTTCAAGTTCTTAAATGATAATTATCAGATTTTTACAATCTATTATATTATCTTGACTTATATATTATATATGACTATATGCACCTTACTTCCAATTACATTATAAACTTTTATAAATAATTAGGTTTAAAATCAATAATTGGTCCTTGAGTTTTATTGACTTAAATAGTTTTTATAGTTTTAAATAGCTACACGGTACACTCTAACGTATTATGTTAATCGATAAAATAATAATTTATTCATAAGGAAATTTTGGCATTAGTTGAGGGAGGCTTGTATACTGAATTTTAAAAGTATATATACACACATATTTTTAGTTGAAATATAGTATTTACAACTGTATTCTTATTACTTGTTTACTTATATTTGCATTAAATGTATATCCGAAATATTCTACGACTTCCAAAATATTTTACAAATTAACATATAGGATTACTTGAATCTATTTTAAAAAGCACATATTTGCACCGTGCAACTTAATGAAGCGCATTCCTTCTATTACTTTATGTCAAGGATAACAGCTTTATTTGGTACTTTTGCGTACGTCAAGAAATGAAATTTATTTAGTACTTTTTGGAATTGTATGATTCGTTCAAAATGGACATTTTATGTGGTTAATTATTTTAAATGTTATAATTAAATTAATTTTTATTCATCATAATAAGATATGTACTTATATTTGTTACTATTAAAATTTGCCTTTTAAAATTTGGATGAAGTGAAATCTAAAATTTTTTGTTTAAGCTATATACCTAAAATTCTGATCAACAAATATTCGATTAAGAACGAAATTGTATATAATACCGGAATAAATTGATATATAATAAACAAGAATTAAAATTTCTCTTCATTTTGCTTACTACCTTGCTCTTTTCTACTATAAAATGATGTCCATTTTTCTCTTTCTGTCTTTAATAATAATTTATTATTATTTGAATATTTACGATAATTAATATTTCGTCTATATGGGTATACAAATAAATTAAAACGTTATTTTATAGATTTAATTTTTTACACCATATATATTTTTTTAAATAAATTGTACAAATTAAATTTTTTTTAACTTCAGGATCTTATTTATCATTTCTGTGGTTGTAGTCGTAATTTGTAATTTATTATCTGTAAAGGCTTATATAAAAAATAAACTAAAAAAATAAAATAACCAAAGAAATAATGAATAGTAGACAAAAATCTCCTTTAAAGTAAAACAACTGAATGCTAAAAATAAGACAATAAATACTTTCATATGATTACGAATGCAAAAGTCTACAAAAACAATAAAACAAAAATGTATATTAAGGCAAGTTTACTAAATATTTTATTATAATCTTTCCAAATTAAAATAAATACTTTCGTATAATTAAGAACACAAACTTAGTTAAAATGTGCAGAAGCAATAAAGATAAAAAAGGCTCTTAAGACAAGATAAATACGTACTTTCGTGTAACTAGGGTTACAAACTTTATTAAAATGTCTACAAAAGCAATAAATACAAAAAGATGTTAAAACAGATCCAAAAATAAATATGTACTCTTATATATATATGTATATAACTAGGAACGCAAACTTAATAAATATGTCTATAAAAACAGTAAATACGAAAACAGGACAACTCCTAACATAAATTTTCTATTTTGAAATATTCTCCTTAACCAAAGATAAATTCTTTTCTATATCTAGGGTCAAATTCTGAAGGGTCTAGGAAGTTAATAAAGAATTCTAGCCAAGAAGGACTCCGAAGGCAAGCGTTTGACAAGTAGTTTGAAATACTCTCACCAACTAAATATAAATAATTAAAGTGTGAAGGAAATATAAATAAATATAGGAAATATAAACGTGAAGGAGTATTAAATATTATAGATATACACTTAATTTGAAAAAAAATGTTATCAAAACACAACTCTTATATTTACACATTGATATTATTAGTTGTGTAAACAAAGACAAAGATAATTACTATAAATATGCATTTTATTATATTTCATATTCTGACTCCCAAAATAATGTTAAAAAAATTAAAATACAATTATAAAAATCATTTAATACTTGAATAAATGTTTTATTACTTTACTGTGGTATATTATTTTCCCATAGTTTTTGTAGTACATATTATTAAATCCTTAATAATCTCTACCACTAAAAAGTAATGTTGATCAAAACTAAATCAATAGTCTGATAGAAATAAATAGGGTCCCGGATCCTGTCCGAGCGGAGAATAAATGCTATACAAATTTAAATTACTTTTTTGCAAAGATTGTTATTCTTCATTTGATTGTTGTTTGAATATAAGACTAACTAAATGTTGGCTAAATTAATCAAACCATGCTCTTTCATTCTTTCTTATTGTCCTTCATAAATACTTTCTTGTGATAACTTTGATATATATTTAATGAAATAGCTTATTCAAATATTTATTAAAAATATTGTTATAGGAGTTCTTGTTTCCGTCTACAATTAAAAAAACATTGTGACCTTTATTCAAAAGGCGGAATGGCTTCAACGTTTGTTACTGTTTAGAGGATCATTTAAGGCTGTAGTACTCTGCTCCACTAGATACCTAAACCCCTTATTTTTTAAATCTATTTATCGTTATTATTATATAAGTTATATAGACGCATGCTATTACACTGGGTTTACCATATAATAACATTTGTCGTGGTTGTGGCTCTGAGGATGAGAAGAAACTGTATTACATCTCATGTGTCAGTGCTCATCTTTAGCTAGGAGAAGATTAAAAATCTTCGGGGCCGCTTTTCTTACCGACCTGACCGAGCTGTCATTCTGCAAAATTAGCAATTTGTCAAGTTTATACTGTTTACAACTGTCAGGTTGTTTTACATTTACCTAATGGAGGAGTCGTTGTTTTTTTCGGCAATTGGGCATATACTGACATTTAGTATGTATAAACAAACGTCTATCCTGTAGTACCATTATTAGTACATAGTGTTTTACACCTTTATAGTAAGGTTTTTAATATTAGTTTTCATTTTTTTAAAACAATTTTTATATTGTTATATCCATGTTATAGTTCATTGTTGTGTTTGACGAGTTTTAGATAGATCAGCAAGCAGTTAACATTTCTAATGTATCATATTTGTGGCATATCAAGAGTGGCAAATGATAATTGAATGAATGGTGGTATTTGGATAAGCTTGGAATAAGCGACTGAGCATGGAATGAAATTAAGAGAGCGAATGTTGTCTGTACCAAGGTTCGGGAACCTTGCATACTCCATGGCTGTAGAATGGAATTTATTTAATATATATTAATTATTGTCTATTCCATTGTCTAAAGCATGAACTTAGGTATATTCTCGAATATATAATGAAAGAAAGTTAAATTTTTAATAATTTTAATCATCTCTATATCCTTTTTATTAAAATATTGTTAATAACTTTATTAAAATATATTTAAAATATATATCAGAAAATATATTAAACAGATGCGCGTTTTAAACTTAAATTACTTTCAACAATATCAGTGGGTTGAAAATCCGGATCAGCAAAATTCTCATGATTTATGCAGCGGGTACCACCCAAACAAGTACAAGAGCATACGGATGCGGTTTCATCAAAATCATTTGTATAGCTAGAATTACCTAAAAGTCTGCCGTGCATGTCATAAGAGGATTCACCGTCAAAACTTATCTGTTGATTTGCTGCAGCCAGATTTTGTGCATCCTGTTCATCACGTTTAGCATCTTCAGCTTGCCTATATGTAATGTAAAAATTTAATTAAATATGTTATATATAATTAATAATGTATATACATTGTCATAAATCGTAAAACAAGTAAATTGATACTAGCTGCCACTACTGCTAAGCCAAATAATATGAACACTAAGCTAAGCGCGACATAACCAGGTTTGTTTATCAGGGCTTGATCATTTTGTAATGCCACATAATCCCCAAATCCAATAGTGGTCAAAGTAACGAAGCAATAATAAAAACTGTCAAAATAACTCCAGCCTTCATATCGGGAAAATACTGCTGCACCGGTTGTTATTATGATGGAAGACAGCATACCTGTTGCTAACATCAAATTCATTTCTGTTGCTTCTGTGTGTGCACAATGCAAGTATCGTTTCGCCCGACGTATTATCACCGATGCAAATTTATTTAAACGTTCACCAATCGATTGAAACATAACAAGACCCAAAGGAATTCCAACCTAAACAAATATATTTAAAAAAAATTAAGTTCTAAATCGTTTTAAATGTACATAAGATTATAGGTACACATAAATCCTATTAACATTTCAAGCAGTAGCAGAACGATTCCTATCAGGAATTAATGAAGGTTTTATAATTTAGAAATATTGAGTGTGTTACAAATTTTAATATATTTCAAGTTTTAACTTGAAATCGTTTTATAAAACGATTTTTTAAACGATATTGTACGTTCTTATCCTGATAAACAGAGTTTCTGCTTTTAACATTTCCTGAAATTAGTGTGTGACATATTACATTCTTGACATGAAATTAAGTCTATGAATCGTATACGTTTCTAATTTGCGGTGATTCAATACTGGAAACCATTGGTTCCGTTGAAAAACAGACTCATTTTTATAATAAGCCAGGTTCATTTAGACTTTGCATTTAATTACATTACGAAGTGATGGCTTTAAAGCCGGTTCGGTTTAGAACCGGTTCACAGCACTTTGTGCTATTATATAATGGCCAGTAAGTATTTCCACATGAAAAGATTTGGCAATTAACAAAGATGAAGATATTAACTAAGAAGTTATTAGTCTTCTCCATATGAAATTTAGTCAAAAACAATATAAATTTTTAAACCACAAATCCCTTGTTTAAAAAATAAATACTCTGCTTGCTTAATAATAATAAGAATGTCATTTTTAGGCAAGTTTTTTATAATTTTAGTTATTTGAAGTAGTATTATAGAATTGCTTAAAAATTAGTTTATATTAAAATTATATTTACCATTGCGTATGCCATACAAAATGCTTTTCCACCAATCGTTACTGGAGTAGAGTGCCCATAACCAATCATAGCAAGAACAACAGTTGCAAAATAGAAAGCCCCAGCAAATTTCCATTGAGGACCGGCCTTATGTGGTTTATTTTCAATAATCACTATTTCCATCATGCGATAGTCTTCGGCAGTTACATTATATTTCTTAACGAAATTATTTTTTACCGCTACGATTGTTTTGTGTTTTTGTGACAACGTGTGTTTGTATGTTTAATAAGCAATTAGGATTATCATTAACCGATTTACATTATATAATTTTGAATCAAAATCATTTAGACTTAATTGTTATTGTTTTCTGCATGCAAAATGTTTAAATTTTTTTAAGCTTTTTAAAAAAAATTTCAATTTAAAATAAAAAATGTGTAATTTAGGTCTATGTTACCTTGTAGAAATTGCCATCGCTTGGATTCTGTCTGAGATTCTAAACTATCGAAAACTGACGCACCGATGAGCAAATATGTGAAGGTACAGATGACCAGAGAAAGTGTACGAACATTTTGGCGTTTCATTTTGGAATTAAGTTTTTGCTATTTCGACGGAAACGGAAACAAACTTTCGTGGTCATCTGTTAAACCACTGCGTTCAAATCAAATATCAAACGAACAGCTCCTACTGCTATATAAGCTGAAACAAAAATGTGTATTTAAAATTTTTAAAAATGAAGTAAATTCAAATGTTTTTAATTTTAAGCGCAAAACTTTCTTCTCAAAATAGTTCTATTTGTTTTCAAAACAGTGAAAATCAATACAGTAAATTCAGAAATAAATTCTGGACATGCGCAGGACTAAAAGCAATTGGATTAGTGTTGGTAAAGCAACTACATATACGAGTATTAATATATGTTGTAAATATTACAATCGTCTAATACGGTAGCTTCTTTCTTCACTGTACTGAATTTCTAATACGACTCTTATATTGTCACTCAAATAATTATTGTCATCATTATTAATTTTGTAGTAAATGGGGAGAAGTAAAGCATATTATAATTTCTGATATCTATATTTTTAACATTCATGATTATTTGTAATTAATTATAGTATAACGAAATTATAAACATATAATATTATAATATTATAATATTATAATTTTGGATATCAATATTTTTAATATTCATGATTATTTTAAATTAATTATTGTATAACGTAATTATACACAATATAATATTATATTATAATATATTATAATATTTTAAAATATCATATTTTTAATTTTTTATTACAAATTCATGCTTTTTCATTTATCCATTTTCACGAAAGTTAGTCCTGGTTTAAGCATTTCATTGATTGTTTAAATTTAAATATATGTTATTTTGATAAAAATTTAACTTTTTATTTAATTTTATGATTTTCATTACATATATAATAGTTTGTAAGGAATTGCTAAATGATTTTTGTGAAAGAAAACTGCTATATTGTAAATTATTTACAAATACTTTAAAGAAATTCTATGAAATAAAATAAATAAATTTGGGTCAAAATTATTTGTAACCAGTATAGTTCACAATATAAATCAACTAAATTAAATACAAAAAACTACTTAAACAGTTATTAAAACCATACTTAGTACGAAGTCGGAGTATGAGTAAAAACTTCCTAAAACCACATCTAAAGAAGAAATTGTGTTCTGCTTGAGGTTCTTGTGGAATAAATGGCTCAAATTCAATTTATTAATGGTCTAAATCAATTCGATCTGAATTGTGTTAATTCCTAAACAGATTAGTGAAGCATAAAATAGAAGAGTTCGTATAACCTGCCACATAATTTTGTTGTTTAACTGTTTATGTCTATATTATATAACGTGACTCGCCACCACAGGTATTCAGAAGCTCATAATTGTTACTCTGTTCAAAATAGAGGTATCCCTATCCAAACAATGTTTATTTAGAGTCTATTCAGTATCCCGAATGAGGATATTGAAAATGTTACCTCTTTTTAATTACAGTGGTTTCCTGATCCAGAGTGATTATGTGTCTATTTAAAATTCCATCCGTCATCTAATGCTGTTTTAGAACTTTTCTGTTCATCCCAGACCCACTTTTTAGGGTTTAAGTTGGTCCATAATTGATGAGATGTGTTGTTACCGATATTTATCTATCATATTTTTTTAAATTGATTTGTAGATTAGATTATTTGAAAAAAATAATTAACATATCGTTTAATACATCTTATCTTATCTTATTTTTTTATCGACGCAACAGGGTTTTAAGACTTACAATAGACCCGACGGTCGCAGTCCCACAACCCATATCAATAGTATTAATAACTTAATATAAATCACATTACATCATATTCACATCACATCATATTATAAAAAGAGCTAGAATTAATTATTTGTTTTTTTAATAAATCCATTTATTTTGAGTTTTATTATATTGCTTGATAATGGAACAATACTGAATAATTCATTGCTAAGGAGAATTATTTGCCACTAACTAAATATAAATAATATAGTTAAAATAGAATAAAATAGAGGAAATAAATTTACATTTTATTTGAATTTTGTGAAATTAAGTCTTAAAAGCCATTATATAATATATATATACTAATGTAATTGTAAGAAAAATTATTCAACAGCTTTAAGCTTTTTTATTGCTATTTGGCAAAATATATATATTATTATTATAATAGTTATCGTATTTAGTATAACAGTTAGCAATTACAATTGTTTGTCATTTTATTAGTTAACAATAGTTTAATTATAACTTAGTCACGAAGACTAAATGAAATTTCAAAGATATATTATTTTATACTAATTAAGAAAGAAATTAACTTTTTTAGATTTTTTTTCAAATTTGTTTTTCGATATAAATTCATTTTTGGCAGTTTGGACACTGTGTGATACAGTCAACTAATCTCATGGAAAAAGTGCTAGTATTATAATAGTTATTTTATTTTATATACCAATTAACAATTGGAATAGTATCTTTTATATTCTTAATTTCAGAAGTTTTTGTTTACTCATAATTTATTTTTGGAAATTTTATTGATTTCGTTTCAATAGTATGTACATGTAAATATTATTAAAAATAGCTTTAATTGATTGTAATACACATATTGACGAAAGCAGAAGTAGCGAACAATTTTTGTTAAGCTTTTTAAAATAATTGCACTTGTGTTCTGAATGTTTTCTGGTAGCTCTGTGCAATTGAATGCATAAACGAGAAAATAGTTAAAACGTACAAAACAATAAACACTGGTTGAATACTGCGTCATAAAGTACGAAAAAATCTTTAAAGGTAATTCGCAAAAAATAAACATTTCGACTATTTTTTTAACTATTATATATTTATATTTATATATATTTATATTTATCTACAGAACTATACTACAAAAATTTCATTACCAATGCTAAAAAGAAACAATGTTGGGTGAGTAATTTTTAGAAAAAAAAGAAATGAAACTTCCGAAATAAATTCAAAACAAACAACTTCATTTGTTGTAGGCGTATGAACATAAAATATACAAATTAGAACTTTTTTTTTAAAGATAAATATATTGGGAATATATTGAAGAACATATATTATTTCCTTCATGGAAATTAAAATAGTGCATTGTTCCTATAAATATATATGTATATGTATTAGTTGCTATTAAAATTATATCTTATATGTTCATTAAAAATTTTTTTAACATTAAATACAGTTATACTTACATAAAAATTATAGTTTTTTTCTTTATTTAATAATTTACTTGGACTTTGGACAGTATTGAAATATATAAGCAAGTCATACAAAAAATCAAATGAAGATGATAAAAAATGTGTTTAAAATATATATTTTCAAAAAAATAATAAAGTAAATAATCCATTTTTTATGTTTGAATATATTTCAGTAAAAATGACAGCTTTGTACAATAGTCATTTTAGTATTCACTTTATACTATTAAAAGATAATTGTAGAATATAGTCGAAATATTTGAGAAAAATGTCTTTTTTTAAAAAATAAAATCTTGATGTTTTTCGTTTATCTTGAAAATAAAATTAAAAAATTAAAAATTGACCACATCTCTACGTATTTACAAGTAATTATTATTTTGTAGTTTTTTATCTAAGTAAGTAATGAATTCAAACTACGTCTTACATTTAAAATAATTATACCATTTAAATAGATTAAACGCGTGTCTTAATTTTCAATTAAAAACAAAAGCAAAGTTAGTATTTTACTGTTTTTAAATATTTATGTATATATTTTGTGTAAGAATTGTGTGAACATAAAATATTATATTAAAAATAACAGAGAATGTCATGATATCGTATATAAAATGTTTTTAGCTAACATTTCGAATTTTTTTTTTGAGTGTTTCATCAAGCTTAATTTATTTAAAAATTTCCCTTTTCTTTGTCTTTTCTTTTATTTACAAATAAATTATTTACTATATTTGATTTATAAAGATATTAATCGTTTTAAAAGACATTGAAAGACATATTGACAAGACAATAAATAAAGAGTAGAGCTCAATATACAGTAATGGCAACAAAAGCTATAAGCTAGTATTCGATAAAATATATATTCTTAATATTTAATTATATTATTCTTATATTCATAGTATAAATAAAGACAACAATTAAAGTCAAAAAATTTTTAATACTCTTACATTATCAAAGTAATAAATTCAATAAAACACAGGAATATTATTTTTTTGGAATTTTGTTCTTAAATAAAGCAATTATAGGTATGAACAGCTTTAGGATCTATTACTTTGTTAACTGATTGAGAAACTATCGATATACAAATGAAAAATATATTAAATCAATTTAATATTTTGTAGCTGAATGTAATATTATAATAAAAAATAATTTATTATATTTTTAAACATAAACGGTATGCTTTCTTTTTTAGATATCGAAACAGAAAAAGATGTGTTTAAAATCTTTTTGAATGTGCAGTCTAAATTATTTTCAGTGACTAACTGGATTAGTGAAAATGAAGTTGTAACGAAATTATTTCCTTTATTTTGCGGTTTAGTTTTTGGAATATTTTCGTTTATTATGGTGTACATAGATAGCAATATTCCCGGCGTATGTCCACCTATACCATTTAAATCAAATTCAGAATGTCTGTAAGTATTGTTTTTAAACTTTGCTAAATAAATATTAATATATTTTTTAATTATTTTTTAATTACTTACGCTTATATTTAATTTTTTGCAAAAGTATAAATTTTATAATAAATACTTATTTGTTAAAAATAATAATATTCAATTGAAGAAATAAAACAATAATAATTGTTTTTAATTTCAGAAACAAAAAGCAAAAATCCAATCCAATAAGTTTATCTTATTTGATGTCTTTCTTTGGCGGCGTTATTGTTAGTTTGTTGATGTACTATGATATCTAAGTAATTATTTTTAATTTAATTAGTAATTAGTACAGTATTATTTAAATTAATCTTGAAGTAACTAATTTTTACTTGTTTAATTAATTTACCTTACTGATGAGTCAAAATATTGAAGTGATTATTGTTAACTTACTTACAAACTAAAATGTAGTTTTAATTGATATTTAAGTAAGTACTTTCTGAAATATTTAAACAGTAATAATAATTTATTTGTATTTCATTATTAAAAGCAAGAAAATATATATGTTTTGTTTAGTTTTCCATATTTGCTTGCATGATAACAAATGATGTAACTGAGTGTATACGTGGAAAACTTTTGTCAATTTTTGGCAAATCAACAATTTCCAATTTAAAAATTTTAAAATAATTCGGGTTGCCAAAATTACCAACTGCACGTACATTGCAACCTATAATATAATTGTGTATAATTAGTCATGTAATAGTTTATTTAACATTTTTTATCAACCAATATTAAACGAATTTATTTTGTTGTTAAAATCGTAAAATATGCTTTGTAAAACTGGCCCACCGGAATTGCTACGTAATAACAATATGTACTCTCTTTCTAGTTTGCCTTTTATTATTTTTAATAATATACCTAGGAAAATGTTTTTATGAAATTGTATTTGATTATTAAATATCAATTAATACCAATAATGAAACTTACCATACACATCCCAAATAGCTTCAATGTTTGAATGAAGTTTATGCATTTTTATACAAAAGTCTACTTTACCAGTAATTGCAATAGTGTCACGATTTTTTATAGACGTCATGCTAATAATGGATTTTATTGATTTGTAGAAAGTTTTAATAAGAATACAAAAATGTATGTCTTGTTCAAAATATGTTACAAAATATTTAAATCAAACGTTTTAAGCTTTTTAGAACATAAAATGTCAAATTTTATTGCACAAAGTCAGGGATGTTTGAACTTTTTATGTGCAGATCCTAAAAATATTACTAAAAGTATTATATACACGATGTAGAAGCATTGTAAAAACTTAAACAAAAACCAATTTCTTTTAAGTTTTTTGTTTGTTTTGCTGTTTGTTAATCTCTGAAAGTTGAAGTGTAAATATTAATTTTTTCTTAGACAAAAATTGCTGACTCAAATAATATAAGCTAAAGTCTACATCTGCACGCTCATAAACATCGCAATGTTACAATATTTATTATAATTAAGATAATAATTACCATATGTATTGCAGATGTATTGTAAGTGTTTTGTAGTGTAATTGTAGTCTGAATCTACACTGATTAGATTTATGGTGTTTTCGATTGGTAAATCTGAATTCAATCTAAATTTACTCTCGATTTGTCAAATTTTGCTGCCCAATTCAACATTTTCAGTGTAATATAACATTTTCGTAGTTATATTAGTTGGCATTTATATTTTGCATAAATACATATATCGAATCCAATTACACCTTGTTTGTCAAGTCATATAAAAAATTTCAGGGTAAACTTGTTACTCTGCCAAAATATCTAAAGTTTTAGAAAGGAATGTACATTTCGTTCAAGATTTACCAATCGAAAATGAAAATTATACTAAAAGTGAATCTTGCTTGAAAAGCTTACCCCAGATTTACCAATTGAAAACGCCATTAGGCAAAAGTTTTGCTTATACTTTCACTTCGAATTTATACACAAATTTTTGTTTGCAGACAAAATTCGAATGTAACACATATTTGTATTCGAACATAAAAATCTTGCCAAAGTTTAGTTAGATGGGCGATCTACAACATCGACACAACGTATGAATGTTATAAATATGTGATATTAAATATAATAAAATTTTGAATGACGCTCTCGCATTTAATAATCAGCTGATCACTGTTTTTACAACAGTGTAGAAAAATCTGAATAACGAAAATGACTTTACTGATAGAAATACGACAATTAAAAACGTGGCTAAAGTAGTCATTTATGTAATCGTCATGTTATAACGTTACTGATAATAACTTAAAATTTTAAATTACCTCTATACGATTATCTTCAGAATCTTATTAAAAGGTTAAAAGTTTAATTTAAGAGCTCAATTATTGCAATATGGCAGCACAGCATATGATATTTTTACCTTTTACTTATTTTATTTAGTTACACGCGAATACTTCTGTTCCTCTTGGGTTATATTAGCGAGTGCTGGAATATTGCCTTTAATGTTAAATATTTTTATACATATTTAAAAATTACAAAACTTTCAAAATGAGTACAATTTTGGAAAAGATTTCCGCTATAGAAGCTGAAGTAAGTAACAAAATTTACAGTTAAATTATTATATTATTTAAAACTAACCTGTATTTACTTGAACCGTGGAAATGATTAGATGGCGAGAACTCAAAAAAATAAAGCTACTTCGGCTCATTTAGGTCTATTAAAAGCGAAATTGGCGAAACTACGGCGAGAACTTATATCTCCAAAAGGCGGCGGGGGTGGTGCTAGCTCAGAAGGTTAACTTATAAGGTTAATTTATATTTAATAATTTAACTAAGTTATATTTTATAACAGGATTTGAAGTGGCAAAAACCGGCGATGCACGCGTTGGTTTTGTTGGGTTTCCATCAGTGGGAAAATCAACATTGTTATCAAATTTAGCAGGCGTTTATTCAGAAGTAGCTGCTTATGAATTTACCACATTAACAACGGTACCAGGATGCATTAAATATAAAGGTGCAAAAATTCAGGTAAAAAATAAATGAACAAGACGAGTAGTATTAAATATAATTGATTAAAACTTGTAATAAACTGACCATTTTATATCACAGTTACTTGATTTACCCGGTATTATTGAAGGTGCTAAAGACGGCAAAGGTCGAGGTCGGCAAGTTATAGCAGTTGCGCGAACTTGTAATTTAATTTTTATGGTACTTGACTGCCTTAAACCTCTTGGACATAAAAAGCTATTGGAGCATGAATTAGAAGGGTTTGGAATTCGTCTTAATAAGAAACCACCAAATATATATTTTAAGCGCAAAGATAAAGGTGGTGTCAATTTAAACTCTATGGTCCCTCAGTCTGAATTAGATTCTGATTTGGTAAAAACAATATTATCTGAATATAAGATTCATAATGCAGACATAACATTACGCTATGACGCTACAAGTGATGATTTAATTGACGTAATAGAAGGCAATAGAATCTACATCCCCTGCATTTATCTATTAAATAAAATTGATCAAATCTCTATTGAGGAATTGGATGTTATATATAAGATACCGCATTGTGTTCCTATATCTGCGCATCATCGCTGGAATTTTGATGATTTATTAGAATTGATGTGGGATTATTTGAAATTAGTGCGAATGTAGGTTGAAAATCAAAATTAATATTTTTTTTCTTTAAATTTAAAATCTTTTTTTTAGTTACACAAAACCTAAAGGACAACTGCCTGATTACAGTTCGCCTATTGTTTTACATAGTGAACACACTTCTATAGAGGATTTTTGCAACAAACTGCATCGCTCAATTGCTAAGGAATTTAAATAGTGTGTATTATTATTTACCAATATAAAAATATTTTAAAAATTATTGTATTTCAGTGGTCTTGTTTGGGGTTCGTCTGTAAAGCATCAACCACAAAAAGTTGGAATTGAGCATGTGCTAAATGATGAAGATGTTGTTCAAATTGTTAAGAAAGTCTAAAATTAAAATGTCTGTTTTGCGTCCATTAATATTATGTTGCATTTTTCTATATAAATAAATTAAATTGGCTTTAAAAACTAGAATTGATTTATGTAAATGCAAAATAAAATAGCAAGGTTTTAATATATTTTTATATTTGTATTTTGATTTTCCTATTAAAATTTAATAAACTTCTTCAAATAAAAAAAATAACAATAACTTTTATTTGGATTTATCTTTATATGAATTTTGTAAAATCTATCACTATATTTTACAATTGTTTTTACGTATCTGTATGTGTTAAGGCTTCAGAGGTTGTAAAGAAAAAATTATCCGTTAAAAAATAAGTTGTTTAAATAATGTAAATGTAATAATGATTTTATTTCATAAGTTTTTAACTTATTTGATTTAAAATTCTATTGAAATGTTTTTAATAAATAAGAAATATTTTAAATTTTTAAAAAAATTGTAACAGTAGTTTTAAATTAAATAAGTCAATTTAAAGAATTTTTAAACAACTTTCATTATGGTTTTATTGCAAGTTTTAGAATTTGAATTTTGTGATTGCTTCAATTATAATTGTTGCGATGACTTCCCTGAAGTATAAAATTTGTTAATTTTATTCGTATGGATTTTACATTAATAAAAAATATTGCATTTGGAATCGTCTAATGCTTGTTTTGGTTATATGCATTACTTATTAAATAAAACCAATGCACTGAGAGAATTAACTTCTTTATATAAGCACTTATAAGGATTTTTTTAGAATTATATGGAACATACTTATTATATATCAACGTACTACATATTTATATCTTATTTCTAATTTCAGATCTCTTATTAACATAACTACAAAATAGTTTAATTAGTATACATCATAAATTTAACTTCGTTTATAACAAAAATATTTTTTTATAAATATCAGTTTTAAATCTGAGGCAACCTTCACTACATTCTGAAGACTTTACGTTACACTCTAAAGATAGATTTATGATCTGCTAGAACGTAATGCATTGTCAGAACGTGGTCGTTTTGTAGCTGGTTCGGATGAATCCCTTTTAATGTCATCAAATAATGCAGCATTCTCCTTAAATACAGAAATTATTCATTACTTGTATACATACATTTATACGGTGTTCAACTTACCTGCATATTAGATGACGAATTTTCATGAATTGATATATGATCAGTAATTATATTTTCAGCCAAACGAGTTGTGGCAATAGACGAATGTGTCGAACTTACAAGCTTAGTTTTAGAATTTGTTGTTCCTATTGAATATATATCAAGTGGAATATAGATCTTTTGATTTTGAAAGTCATTCGTGCTGTGTGGTTTGTAAAACATTGCAGGCAGTTGAATATCAACCGAAAATGCAGTATTCATAGCTGAATCACAATGTCCAGTTTTCGAATTGATTATGTACATTGCAAGGTCACATGCAGCCCACAATTTCTATAATATATTATAATGTTTAATTTAACATATTTATATGTTGTTTATAGTTCACAAAAAATTTACCAAATTGTTGGGATCATTTATATCAATTGCCATGCTATCCTGATTATTTTTCATTACTTCAATGAGGTTTTTATAAAAGCTATATGAAAAGGCATCGCGTTTTGCCATTAAAGGTTCTATTATGAATCGTAACCTTTTCTCAACCATTTTAAGTTGTGTACGATCTTCATAATCTGTGTATAAAGGATCATGTACCAGTGCTGGTATTGCGAAAGCTAGCATAAAATCAGGTAATATATACAATGTCTGCGCCTCCGTTACACTTTCAATTGCTAGAACATAAAACATATAATATATTATATGCTACATAATAAAACACATTTGTAAACGTAAAGCACTTTTATATACCTGTTGTAGCTATATTTTTTAAATATTCACGTCTCCGGTTAACATCTGTTTCAACATAATTACGGACTAAATCGAGAACCCTAAAATATAATTAAATATATTATAAATATTGTAAAATTTGAATAATTTATATATTCTTGTACCTCTTATCAGATTCATCAGCAGCTAATACATAGTATCCCATAAAATCCAAAGGCAAACTTTTATTTGGGAGTCCTTTTCCAAGTCCTTTGTGTAATTTTCGTACAAAATACTCACGAACTTCTACGACAGGATCATGCTATTTTATATAAAATAAATAATTTATCTTGATTTGGATAATTACAAATACAAATACTACTTACCATTAGTTGAGACAAATTGAAATACTGTTCCGTACTGTATTGATCTCCAACACCTTTTTGTTCACATACTTTTAACATTGCACAAGCAGCACCAAGTCGAAGCCATGACTTTTCTGCTGGACAAAGTCGATTTTGTTCAAGCAAATCACCACGTTGATTTATAAATGCTGTAAGCATACGAAATGTACGCTGTGCTGCTTGCTCATCTGTACGTAAACCTAGTAACCAGCGTGCCATTGTTTTCAATCCATCTAGTTTACAACGCGTATCATACGGTAAATCTTCTTCAGAACACCAATCACCATCAGGTAAAACACAGTCGCGGTCTTCTTCCACACCTTTGATTAACAGTTCTTTCACGATCCGTCTTGCTATCATATTTTTTATTGACGTCATAAACGCTTGTGGCATATTATATGCTATATGACCAAGCGTAACAACCTTAGTCTGTCTCTGATCACAATCAGGCACTAAAGTGGTCCGAAATGATTCAATTATTTCAGTAAAAATGGGATGAACAGTAGGAGCAGTAGCTGTTGTTATGTCAACTAAAGGCACTGTTTGGCTGTTGATAAAAATACAACGTACAGCATGCTTAGCTTGCTTTGGTGTACCAGATATAGCGAAATCCTTGCATATGGGTGCCAATTCTTCCAATATTAATGAATTGTCCTCTGCTAAAGGTTTATACCGACCAAGATGAGAAAATGCTTTTAAGATAAGTGGGGCAGCATATTCCTCTTCGTAGCTTAATAATGAAATCATATGGCGAAGAGTAGTTTCAGTAAAAAAATGTGCGGAAAACACATAAGAGAGCATCTGAAATAATAATAAGTAAAAAATTAATTTAATTATTTTGAAAACAATTATATTATAATGAAATCTTTTAAGGTACCAATTTTAAAACATAATTATTTGTAATTGATAAGTGCTGAACATAATGCGGCAGTATCATGACTATTACATATATTCAAAGTTCTTTGAAGACACACTGCAGTTAATTAACTATTCACAACAAATAGTTACCAGTAAAAATACCTGTCAGAGATCTTTATCACTAAACGTTCAATATTTTTTTTAATTAAATACTAGACACCAAAATAAATAAATGTGTTATATGTGTACAAATGATACAGTTGAGAAACTTTAATCAACTTACGCTTAGCAAATTTAAACCACGTTCGCCAGCTTCAGCAGGAGAAATGCCAATTTCCTCAACGACATTGCCACGCTGCATGCAGTTTTCAATAAGACTACATATAATAGAAAAAATATATAAAATATATTTAATATAAAAATTAGACATATATACCCAATTAAAACTCCTATGGATTCCTTATCGACCATAACAGAAGCAACTCTTTCAATAAGCATTTTCACAGTATTATAATAGAGGTTTGTCATAATAGGTGTACCTAATTTTTTTAATAAGGTTGACATCGTGTCGGCACATTCTTTACAAGAAACGTCGCGTTTTAAAATCATTTCCATACACCGTAACAAACTGGGATCTTTGCGCATGTTTGAACTAAACTTTGTAAGAAATTCAGCTGCTTTTATGGGATCTGGTAACAATCTTATATTTAATAAAAGATAATATAAGATTTAATATATTTAAAAATCAATTTTTTTATATATATTTTCAACATACTTGCATATAATCGCTTGCTTGACATTAAGTTGATTTTGCAATTTTGGTGTGATATCCTTAGTTTGATGTAGTTTCACCCAATCACTTACTGTTTTGCGTGTCTTCATTTGATTTTTTTGCAACTCAATAAATGCTTTCGTAGCATGGTCGTCTAGATTTCCAAGCAAATGGTACAATTTTTTCATTCGTTCAATGGATGGTAATTTATATGGGACCAGGCATGTTATTAACAGACGTTCTACCAGCAGACGATCTTCCATTCCTGCCATATAGTAACCATGCAGAACTTTATTTTTTATCCAATCGACATTTTTCTTCACATCTTCAGGTAGGTAATTTGCATCACATACGGCTTGTTTGTATATAAAAGCCAATCCATTCATAGCTTCTTTACGTATTTTGAATTTTTTATCAAGTGTGCGTTCACGTACAACATGTAAAAGATCTTTTGATTCAGCAACAATTCTAAATTGACGCTTCGCTGTCTCGACAATTGCCATAACCACTTCATAACGCACAGTTTCATCTGAGTCATGTTGACGAGCTTTTAAACACTCTATTATGTCATCCCGCAAATGTGGTTGATTAAGTAGAAAATGCATAGATGACTGTACACATTTAACTCGTATTCCGACTGCAATATCACAAAACCGTCCAAGAAACATACGCAATAGTGCCGAATGTTTTTTTGAGAGTTGCGAATCTTTTTCAGAAAACATACGTGCGAGAAGAGCAACTACCTCTGTTGAACAAACATAATTAGTAAAAATTAATTTTAATTTAAAAAAAACAAATTACTTTGTCGTTCGGATTCAACGGTTGACTTTAATTTACATTCTAATTGAGGCAGTGTAGAACACAAAATGTTGGGATTAATCAAATTAAGTTCATAAATAAGATCATATATTTTTGTTGATATAGCAAGATTCTTATCAACATTATCCATAATTATTACTTGATTGAAGAACTATAAACAAACATTCGAAAAGATACATGATTTAATTAAATTCAAATTCATATTACATCATTCATATCTTACCATCTTTATAATGGGTTCCAAAGAATCTGATGTTTTTAAGATAAGTTGTTCCGCAAGTTGAAATGCATATTTATTTTGAGATTTATTTGGTTCAACAATATTTATAAGAATTAAATCCAGAAGTTCAAAAGTAAAGTTATCAGCTTCTGTTATTAGAGGATTTAAAATATCGATTATAAAGTTTTTTACTTTACTGCTATGCTCCTCACTAAAATAAAGTAATATAATTAACATATATCTAAGTATATAAAAATTTTAATTGATATATTACTTTATAATTTTAAACATCATTCCAAATAGCTGGCAAAATATGTTTTGGCACTCCTCAATTTCAAAGCACATGTTGAACGATTTAACATAAGCCAAGTTTTCAAGTAGATAAAAATATCTTTTAAAAGAAGGATCTTTTGGATCTTTCAAGCCATATAATTGCTTTATAAAAAACATAAATATTGTTTTAATGAGTTCTTGGTCCTTGTATGGAGCTTCAGGTGCATAAACACGTAATACGTCTGCTATGCAGCATGCCACAAGCAATTGTACATCACGAGAAGTATGTGTTAAGAAATAATCATCGGCAAGATATATTGCTAATGGAATATACTGGTGGTTTTGAGCTTCATCTTGTTCCATTGCTTGTAATGTATGCGCGAGAGTCTAACCAAATACACATTAACATCATATATATAACTTTATTAAAAAATTGTAATACCTTTAATCTGCGTATTAATTCATCTGTGCCTAAGTCCTCTGTCAAAGGCCGGCATCCAATAGGATATATTATGTCTGACATTGGTCAATATTACAAATTTTCAATACTGCAGTTGAAAATATTTTGTAAACGAATTATTATTAATGTAGATCACTTAATGCATGCGAATGAAATTATTAAATGTCATTGAACACTTATATTAGTAGTAAATATATCTATTTATTTGTTTCTAAAATTCTAGAACCCTTACGAATTTTTTTCTGTAAAAAATATTAACTACTCGTTTTAAAAAATTATTATTAGTAAATCATAGTATAAATATATTACTACCCTACCCTGTATAAAAGAAAAAAAAACAATTACCAAAAGCAAATATCAAAGCGAATGAGAATGAAAAAGAATGAGAATAGAATAGCTTATTTTGCTAGTAAAATTTTATATTTTGTTTTAATAAAATATGCTGCGAAAGTTATATTCTGTATTTGGATTATCTAATTGTTAAATTTAGTACGTAATACGAAATTTACCACCGGCTTGTGAGTTTTCTCTTTTTTAGAGCAATGTTTTCTTGTATTGTTTGTTTTTTATGTTTCGTATATATTGCACTTTTTTTTCCGAAAATATTATTCATTTAGGCAACATCGATTTATGATTTGTTTTAATAATTTATACACTTAAACTTGATACAAAAAAAATAAATAAATAAAAATAAACCCGTATTCCTTACTTCAGTTTTTATCAAATATAATTATAAAACTACGCCATCTTGTGAGGCGTCATTTTATCAAGTATTTCATTTATAGATGGCGCAGCTTGTACGTCAGTTCTATTTTACACGATGGTTTAAAATAAATTATAACAGTGGTATCGAAATTTATTTTATATACTTTTTAACATTTATTTTTATTATTGATATTTATACACTTCAGGATGTACATTTAGTATGCTGCACTAATGCTAAATTGATATAAAGTCTAAGTATTATATGTGAGCTAAATAATTTGTACGGAATGCCAATATTTAAGTTTGTTTAAACTACCGTAATTTGAATTGAAACCAGAAAACGGTGCGATACAAAAAATCACAAATTTCATACCAAAATGTGATAAACGCGTACTTATTACATTATTAATTCCATTTATTCTAATAAATGACATCAATTGGGAAATGAATAACAACAGATGTCGCATACTATAAAACTATTAGGTAAGCATTTATTTTAATTAATTAATAAACGCGTTACTAACAAATGTTGCTTTAAAAAATTTCAATGCGACAGTTATTGACAACTACTAACAGAAAATGACTATAGATATTCTAAATTTAAAATAGAAATAGACGAAAATTGTAAAATTTTTTTATTATCTGCACTAATGCCATTTTCCATTGATAAATCTAGAGAAACTTTTTCAATAGATTCACTTTTAGTGCAATTTTCATTTTTGATTGGTAAATCTTGACCGAAATGTAGTACTCGAGATTTCTTCATACCACTCTAGTTCAACACGAGGGGTAATATCTAATATTAGGTGTGTTCTCTTGAATTTTTAATTAATTTGATGTTCGCACCCCTTATCGAAATCAACTTAACACATTTGGAAAAGTAAATGCTATTTTTCATATAAAATCCAAACATAAATGTGCTAATGAAATATGATATTCGTAAATTTAAACATAGTAGTATTATTAGATAATCTAAATAAGAAAAAAGAAGCCAACAAATTTGTCAATAAAATTGATTTAACATTCAAAAGAATTGCATTTAATTTTAATTCGATTAAATCATGTTCATAGTGATAAGGCTTTCTGCCGTTACATTTGTTAAAACTGGTTACTGAAGAAATAAGCAGATTTGTTTTCTCAGTAAATCAGTAACACCATAATATCGTAAGACTTAAAGTAATTTAAAATGAAAACTAAAATAGCTATGCTGTGTGAATAGCTAAAAACTCTAAAAACGTCAATTAATATTAGTTAGTTAATATATGTTGTTGTTGTGATTTGAGTTAGTGCTATTGCGCACTTTTACTCTTTTGTTGCTGGGGGGCTTATCCCTGCCCCACACTAAACTTTAACTATACTAGAATCTTTATCATTTATTTATCTTCTAACTGATGACGGACCGTAGATCAGCATATTTTCCTGTGCATCCTGAGGTGGACTTAAGGTTTGTTAGGGCGGTGTTGGGTAACGTATCAACTTTTGTGAATAATTTTAGGGCTCTGTCCTTGATATATTTTTTCACTGAGTCGATTCTTAGAGCTCTATGCATGGCTGTTGTTCTAATATACCAAGAAATCTTAATTAGTCTTCTTAAAGCCAGATTTTGTGCTATCTGTAATTGCTTTATAGCAGTTAGTTAATATTACCAGTAAAATTTTTCATATTTTAATTTTCTTTCCGTATTCAAAATATTTTAAATATTTTAATGTCAAGTTAATTTGGTAAACGAATAATAAAAATTTATAAACTTTGTTCAAAAACAATTGTAATTGTTCATTGAGTATTGATAATTTAGGAAGGTGGCATCATCTGCGTTAACTGCCGGCAAACATAATTCTAAATAATTTAAAAAAATGGAAGTTAGAGGAATAATATGTTATTTGTGCAGGAATGTTATTTCAGGAAAGAGCATCAAAATAACTGATGAACGCTTTATACCATTTATACGGAAAAGATTTAAGGAATTTCGGAGTGTTTACCCAATATGTGAGGAATGCTATAGTGCTGTTAAAAAAGCTTTTCGCATTAAGTACAAACATTCGATAGAAAATAGAAAGAAACAACTATTCAATGTTTCATCGTCGACAGATACGTCGTCAAATACTCAAGTTATTTCAGTAAGTAAAGTATCGATATCAAATGACGATGATGAAGAACCCACAACCAGTAGTGCAGCTGCTGTTCGAGTGCAAATGCGTTCTGTTGAAGAGGATACAGATGACAGCTCATTAAGCCTAAATGCGTTAAATGGAACACGTAGACCTGACTATCAACCTATACCTAGAAGAAGAGAAATTCAACACCGAGACCCAAATATACAGAACATCTACTTATCTGGTATAACAGGTGGATAACGAAACACTATTACATAGCAAATAATATAAAATAAAATCATATATTTGGATACACAACGATGTATATTGTTATTTATTTTATTATTTAAAATTAAAACTGTAATTATTCAGATATGTTTGGATTGTTTAAATTATGTATGTATATTCTTTATAAAAACTTAATATTCGTTTTCAATTAATATTTTAATTAAAATTGCTTCAATAATTGTTGATATTTATTTAGAATTGAGGTATTGCATGAGTACGACTATAATGTCTTTGAGATACTCTAAATGGACATCGTGTCATCATTCTAAATACAATAACTCCACTTAAGGCGATTATAAGCCAGAAAACATATAACAGTAAAAATACGAAGCGATTTGGAGACCATAAGACAGTATAAGTCAGATTATAATCTTCTAAAACAAAAAATATAAGAAATATAAGACATTTTTTAAAATTTGCAGGAAATAAATAAAATTACCTAAAACACCATAGCCGATACCAATTTTCGTTTTCCCCATTCGATAAGATGCAGTAGGCACCATTATTTCAATGTAAGTATGATCCTCCTTAAGTGTTTTAAGGTTAAAATGTTTTGTTGATGATTTATAAAAATTTATGACTTTCGTTGATGGATGTATAAATATTCGAGATTCATGCCAGTGTGCTGAAAATATCACGTGAGGATCAAGATCAACGAGTATAGCTCGAAGTAACGGTCCTCCACCAATAAGTATAGGCGCATGCGATAAACCAATTCGCAAACGGTTTGCATTATTCTCACGGTCTGGATTTTTATAATCTAACATCATTCGATTTATCTTAAAAAACCGTATGCTATTATTATAATCAAACAAATCTCCATCCGTGAAATATTGTTCAAATCGACGTATGTTAGAATTTGATATATATTCACCATTTTCCCCTCCAATGTCATTGTCACCAGGAATATGAATGCTCTGCTCAAAAAAAATTATAGAAAATAAAACTTTTAATGTAGTTACAACACACCTGTACATTTTTTACAGCACTGTATATTTTATGAAATCTATGAACATAACTATCAAATTCTTGAGGCGATGCAATGTTTCCTTCGTCAAGTAAATCTCCTAGAAAGCATACAATATGTGGTCGCGCATATGCAAAAGAGCGTTCAAAGGTTTTTTGCAAATATCTAATCCAAATGTAGAAACAAACAATTCTTATGTATGGTCTGTATGCTTAATATTTAAGTGCTATTTATTAAAATCTTACCTGTCTGAATCATATCTGGCTAATGGACTGTAAAATGATGTATCAAATGTTTTTCCAAGTAATTGTGAATCAGCTATAAACAATATCCTTGTACAATTATCTAAAGAAACGAAAAATTAATTATAGTCTATTTAACTAAAGAATTAATTAAGTTACTAACCATATTTGCAGTCAATATATTGCCAAGATCTTTGATATATATAATATATAAGTACTTCATTGAAAAATATTAATAAAATAGTAGAAAGAAACAGACCCCGAAGAACCAATCTAAAATACAAAAATGTTTATGGAGTTAAATGTTTAAATAGATTGACTTAATTTACCTGTTGAAAATGCGTACTGTTGCCATTTATACTTCGGAATTAATGGCAAATTTTGCTGTTGTTAACCAGTATTAAATATAGACGTTATTCGTGCGCGTTACTGATTACATTGTTTAAAAAATAACAAATGTATTGTGTAATATAAAAATTGGCATATGTGTTAATGAAAGCAATATAAAATCGATGGGTTCAGATACTTTCTTCTTACTAAATAGCCTTTTTGGTAATGAAAGGAAAATGAATTTGATAATACTAATGACATATAATATATATTTGTATAATTGGTCAGGAATTATGTATGCAGTCATTTTTGGTTGAAGTCAAATATCCATTGTGAGCTAAATATATTGTGGGTATAATGCACATACTTATTTTAGTTGAAACTATTTCAGTTTCAATGTTCTAATACTTGTTGACCGAAAGTGTTGGAAAAGCCGGATTAGTGTTCTCAACTAGTGTAAGTACAGAAAATTAGTGTAAAAATGTTATAATTGAAAAACATTTCGTACCTTTTAATGCAAATTATATGACTAGCTCAATTTAACATGAGAATTTGCTAACTGTAAACAAATATAGAGCAATTTTTAATTTATATTACTCATATTAATTAAATGAATTAATTTGTCAAATATTGATAAATCTTATATTTTTAGAAAAGCCTTATGTGAAGACTTACAAACATATAAGATAAACATATATGTATAACTGAGAAGTGAACTAATTACATACTTATTTTTCTGTTTAAATAAATTCGGCACTTATTTAATTGAAACTAAATAATATATCTTTTATTTACGATTTTTGTGGCTTCACTTTGAGAATTGTAATTTAATTAGAATTTGTAAACATTTGGAAAACATCTGTTTTGATGGCACTTCACATCAACGAAAATTAGCGCGAAAGGAAATAACAAAAAGGGCGGAATAAGAAGAAAATAAATAAATACTAAAATAACATTCAACATTGGTTAAAACATTACCTCTTTAAACTCGATTATAATTTTGTTTTATGTTTTAGTGTGAATAAATGAATATCATAATTTAATAACTTAAAATTAAATCAAAAAATTTAAATACGATCATATTTGACATATTTCTCACTCACTCACTTAATATTACAAATTTGAATTGTTTAAACTTTGTTTCATCTTTATAATAAAAACTAATTGCTTTTTGTTGATAAATTATTATGTTGAGGCAAGTTGAGTCTATGCATTTGAGCACTTTTACTCTCTACTAACTGCGAGATTTCTTCATAACCTCTCTCTACCCCTTGACTGGATTATTGTTTATCACTTCATCAGACTAAGCAATAACTGACCTTAGATCTCCATACCTCACCAAGGAGCCTGTAACCATTCTGAGATTCGATGACGCGGTGTTGGTAAGCCTGTCGGTTTTCGTAAATAGTTTCAGGGCTCTATCCTTTATGTATTTTTTGATCGGATCAATTTTGAGGTCCCTGAGGATGTCATTCGTCCTAATGTACTTTGTACCTTTGAAAAGTAAATGCATAACTTAAAATCGACTAATTTGAATACTTTTTTTACAAAATGTTTATATATCAGATGCAGTTTATTCGAAAATTGAAAAGGTTGGTAGGCAAATTATTTTGTAATATTTATCCCATAATTCTAATTTTATCCTAAACTGCTGAATTGGTTTATAGTGTGTTACAAGATCTTACATTCAAACTATAACATTTTTCTTTCGAGTCATTATTAAGGGTTAGGTGAAGTTAGGGTTAGGTTAAGTTGGAATGGCGGCTTTATAGAACAAAGCCCACTTGAAGTTAAATAATGACTCTATGTAATACTGCGGTTTATCGTTGTTTATATGCATATCAGACGGATCGCCAAATGGAATAATTAGAATTAGTTGATGTTTTGCCGACTCCTGGTTTGGCTGCGGTAATTTTTTAAATCGGTAACGCTGCAATTTCACAAAATCAAATATACTTATAATTTATTTATTTAAAACTATTATTAAAATAAAAAACAATTAATGTTCTACGGGACTAAAAAGATTGAAAAATATATCAAAACTATTTGAAGAAATTTGCGAAGTCGTGTTTCAATTCTGCTGGTGATTTATATTAATCTTCAGTACTCAAAGCACGCTTATGATATTTTCGCCGTCATTTCAGTAAAGTACCTGAGGATTTTCGTCATTGTTAGCTTGGTACAAAAGATTTGGGTTAGAGGTATTGACGTCTTGGACCTGGTGCTGAAACAATATTTTGAACATTAGAAAGAATGATAATTCAAAATAAAGTTTGTTAATTAAAAATTTTATTGACATTTTCTTATGTACACAATAAAGTTGAATTTACTTTACTGTAAATTCAGGCAAGCAATAGACTCAATTTGAAAGTTGTGAAAATCGAAGTACTTAGCGATTCACATCAAAACTAGTAAGAAAATATAGGGCAGAAATTGAAAGGTTTATTTAACTAGCGGACATTACTAATACGTGGGTTTGCGATTATAAGAACAATTAAGAGAATGAAAAATCAGACAGTTTAATGGCGCTTCTATGAATGCCTACTTTAAGGAACCATTTTATATTTCTCTATAAACTGTGAAGAGAGACTTCGTTTATCACTTATTGTAGAATTTTCTGAAAATTGGACAATCATATAACTTTTGTGATTGCCCAGTTTTTCAAACTCTTACTTTTCAGCTAAAACATTAAAAAATGTTCAACTATATTAACTTAATTGGATGCAGCTAATTTATCTATGGGTGGTTATTGTGAAAATGAATTATTACAACGGCAAATATTTGCTAAATATAAGAGGTACAACGGTATCTGCCTATCATCCACTGCAACCAGATAACCAACCAATAATATACTCTCTGTATTAAAAATGCTTTTACATTTAAATACTGATTTGGTGAAAGTACCAGTTGTTTACAATTCCGATTAAAGCAATCAAAAAGTCGTAGTTCGAGAATTTATTGTATCTGTTTAAATAATTGAACTTCTTCGCTGTAAATTTTACCATATTGAATACATAATATTTTTTGAAGGTGTTACTTTATGCTTGTTTTATAAGTATATTATATGTTATATGTCTATTTGGATACAAAACACACATGTAGATTTTTGGATATATAATTTGGTGTATATTACTTTTATAAATTATAAATAGTTTTTTTGCTTCCAAAGAATTATTACTTATTTTACCCATTAAGTAAGTTGATTTTGAATAAATTTTGTCGTTTAGGCCTATTTTTCAAATAATTGATGTTTATAAGTTTTTTGCAATAAAGTTTTCGTTCAAATATTGGAATTTGTTCTTCTCAGCAAGAACTAACTCTGTGCAAATATTTTTTGAAGAATCAAATCGAAGAAAAGACTAAATTGATTAACATTCAAAAATACTAAACCTTTAATGTTCAGAAGCCCAAACCTAATGTAATTTCCTATATTTAATATATTTTACGAGTATATTATATTATATTAATAAAACGTCAAATTATTAAAATTTCAAATTTTTTAATATTGGGTATACTTCTTAATATATATATAAATATATAAAAAAATCTAAGCATAACCCCTAATATAATTTTGGATGTATATCTATATATGGTTATATTTAATGTATATATTTTTTTTTTCATTAAAATGTCTTATATTTTAATTTTTGCACTGTAAGTAATATCCAACGAATACTTATATTTTCGTATCATAAAATTAAAAAATTACTTATATATTCTTAATACTATTCAATTTTATATTAAAAAAAATGTTTTGGAAACAAAACTAAGTCTCTCGAAATCATTACGGACTTGTGTGTTTTCCAACCTCAATTATACTTTTTTCAGTTTAAATTATTCAGGCTTTTGATTTTTTCAAATGAAAATGTTTATGATCTATAATGTATGGGTATGTATATTGTAGAACAGTTAGAACATTTCAAAAAGAAGTCATATTGTTATATATTAAAATCAAAAAAGCCTGCCTAACTTTGTATTATTGTAGAACATAATATACTATTGAAATATGATAATAATTAAAAATATTACTAATAATTTAATATATTAAAATGCCTAACTTATACTAAAAATATCAAAATAATTCAAAAATTATTTTTTCTTCGAATTTACTGGCAAAAACTTTTAATGGCAAATCAGTGTTAAACACTTATGTTTTTGCCAGTTGTTTACATTATTTCAACAATATTCCAAATATGTGTATATGAAATAAAAACTATAATTCTCAACTAATTAAAAATACTTAGAAGAAAATGTATATTTATAATTTTTGGCTTCGAGTAACAATATATATAAAAATATGTGATAAAATGCTTGAACAATTGAATTATTTATCACTATTTTGCATTGTTTTGCTGAGTGATGCGCATATTTGACTGAATGATGGACGATCTTTTGGGTTGACATTCCAACATGATTTCTATAAAAGAAAAATAATAATTTAATAAAAATACATAAATTTAGACGATTTTGTGATTTTGTGATTTACAATATTTTATATAATTACTTACGAGTATTTCTTTAAGTGAATCAGGAGTTCCGTCTGCCACTGTCCAATCTAATTGATTACATTTACTTCGTTGTATTATTTCTTCATTAGATAAATCTTCAAATGGAATTTTAGTTGCTTGATTAAATAATTCCCACACCATTACTCCAAAAGCAAAGATATCACTTTTTGTAGTATATTCATCTTCATCTATACATTCAGGGGCAAGCCAACGTATGGGTAACAAAGTGTTGCGATGTTTGAAATATTCACGACTATATTTATCTTTGCAAAGCGCCGGATAAGAAACCTTCACAATAAAGTCACTTGAAATCACACAGTTTCTTGTGGCTAAGTCCCTGAAACATATAATTATACATATATTCTTGCATATTAATATCACTAAAATTTCATTTTATTTTTTTTTATAAACTTTATGAAAATTATAAAGCTGTAAATAAGGCTTGAGTTAAACGAAACTTTACACATTTTTATGTTCGAATAAATGTATTCATAAAAATTTTATACAGACTAACAACAGACAACTTAAATATTCTAATGCCATATAAAATAAATGTCCACTGAAATTTTGCAATTTGACTGTTGGATCATCGTTCAATCTACAACAACGTATCGTTATTTACATTTATACTTTAAATTAAGGATCACAAGTACTACAAAATGAGAATACAATAGCAAACCATAAAAGTTTATATTTTTAAATAAATTATGATTTGATGGGTTTGAATGAATAAAATCTGTTTTCTGAATTTTTAAATTCATTCACAAATTTTTAATTGGCGTTTTACATCTATACATAATTTGTCGTTGATCTAATGAACCATAACTATTATTTCTAAAGATCTTTAATAATAAGTATATGGTAATACTTGAAACAAAAACTCGAAAAGTTAATTTAATTAAAAAAAAATCTTTTTTGTAATTCATTACTGTTCCAACCTTTCTATATAAGAAATAATTCCTTTTATCATTTGTAAATTTAACCAAATTTTATTTAAGACCCTATGTTCCAATGGGAGATAATGATGTTGAAATTTTATTTAAAGAAGCTTTAAAGACGAAATAAAATAAAACATTGAGTTCATTAGCTATCTGAGTAATTCGATGGTCATTGAGGAATTTAAACATCATCAAACTCGAACAGTTAAAGTACGCGAGCCAAATCTTTGAATTTGACTAAGTTCTAGCTGCTTAAATATCGTAATGTTTGCACACTTAGAAGCACTAATAAATAGACATACTTGTGTATAAATCTAGATCTGTAAATAGCATCCATTCCACGAGCAATTTGATAAGCAACAGCTAATATTTGTCCAGTTTTAAGCGGCGGTGGTGACACTGAGTTTACAGATGTGTTTACTTTGCCTGCTGTGGCTAAAAGAAATTGTTTCAGATCGCCCTAAATTAAATGGTATTAGCTATATATAAATTTTTACAAAATATTGAGATGTTACCCAGTCTGTATATTCTAGAACTATATAATGTGGATCCTTTTCCCTACAAACTCCATACAACCGAACTACACCTTTATGACTTATAGCTCGAAACATTTCTATTTGTCGCTTAAATTCTTGACAAGCATATTCATCTTTTACTTTATTTAAAGCTTTCACCAATATTAATCTGTGATTATCATTTGCAGCTTTTGTATCTCCATTGCCGCTTTCTTGTTCCTCTTTGATTTCTTCAATATTATCCATAGAGGTTTTTGATCGACGTTCATCTGCAAAATTAAGATTGGTGCTTGTATTGCCAGATGTTATTTGATTAATATTCTCGTATCCATTTTTCTTCTTGCTATCACTTTCGAAATCATCTCTTTCCTTAATAATGCTTTCTTTAATTTTACCAACAAAAATATCTCCAAATTCGCCGCGTCCAATTTGTATAAGTTCAGTTATATCTGTTCGTGGAAGCGTTAACTGATCAAAAGCATGAGAAAATTTTGAACCTTTAGAATGATTACTGCATGCCGTATCATCTGATTTTTGCGGATCATTACCGCTGTTACGTGGGTGTTTATTACCATTCACTTTTTTGGTCTTTAACGGTGTTTGATTTTTCATGGAATTACTTTCTGTGAGACATGGTTCATTTTCAGCTATTTTACTATGTTCACCTGTTTCTGAATTTTCTTTATTTGCTTCCTCTAAGCGAGCTTTACGAGCTTGTCTTCTATATCGACACCAAATCATTAAACCAACCACAAGAACAATATAAGCCAAAGCTACTGTCATAGTAATCATTACGGCTCGTGTTATAAGAAAACCTTCATTCGATTCACCATCCACTAAATAATTATCAACAGCTAAGAAAGAGTACGCAAACAGTTTATATACATAAATATAACGTAAAAACATTAAAATATTACTTACATTTTACAACAAATTTCACTTCTTCCCTTTTTAAACCGGCACTATTGCCAATAGTGCAACCATAATTTCCTTCATCGTCAGGTTGTACATCGCGTATTTCTAATGTTCCATTTTCTAGGAAATAAAATCTGTTTATGTCTGTATTATTTTCGCTTAAATATTGCAAGTCTTTGTCCCATTGAATGGTAGGTTTTGGATCACCAATTGCCTGACAGTGAAATACCACTATACCCTTTTCTTCCGTTTCTATTGGTCCCTCCGGTGCAACAAGAAATTTAGGTGCAACAACAACATTTACACTGACCGTTGCATTTATTTGTCCTTGGCTATTACTAGCAATACAGGTGTAATTTCCTTTATGCATAGCGGTGACATTTTTAAATATTAAAGTTCCATTAATGTCTTCAATTGTGTCAGAAGAGAGTGTTTCATTTACATCCTGTAAATGTTAATATGAAAAAACATAAAAAGAAATGAATAAACAACAGACATGAAAGGAAACAACTTACTTTCAACCATCTAATACGTGGAGGTGGAGTACCCTGAGCTTTGCAATGTACCTTGCCTACTAAGCCAAGTTCTAAGTTTTTAGATGTTGTTGGTTGCGGCATAAACTTGAGTTGTTCTATAATTTGTAATTCAGCGGTATTAAGAAGAGCAGCATCTTCGCCCTCAATATACATTTCGCATGAATAGAGACCAGCATCACTTGCTATTACGCCATTAAATGTCAGTGAGCCGTTTTCTCGATGAAATATAATACGCACATCTTCTCTCAACATTAAATCCTTATTAGGTTCTACTGTAGCTATAAGATTTTGAATAAGATCAATTTGACGAATAATTTTTCCATCTTTACGCCAACGCAACTGTATAAATTTATCCGCTTTTAAATAATTATCATTAGCTTTATACGAACAGTGTAGTTCTGCTTGCTCATTCTCTTTTATAACAAATTTCTCTTGCGGTTGTTCTATGATTTGATTCATTTCCCTAAGAATTGGTGTGTTACTGCTAGCTCCACCGCGTTTTCCACGACATAAAAATGTATGATTATAGGAATTGGAAAAACCCTTCGTCTTTTTTATGCGTGGTATACAATTGGAACCAATATGACCGGCCATAGGTTTCAAATCAGCTAGATTTAATTTGTATCCATTTTTACTGTTAATATGACACAATTGGTTATTGGCAGTACAACGGTAGGATCCATTATCTTTGATGCTTATATTACGTAGATAAAGACGATTTTTTATTAATTCAATATTTTTTGAGTAGCTTAACTTATCGTTGTTATGAAACCATTCAATTTTGAGATTACTGTTGTCGTGGGAGCAGTCCACACGACATTCAAGTACAATTTCGTCTATTTTACTATAAACCAGATGTACAAAGGCAATTTCTCTGACTACAATAAAAAATATATTTTTTAATTAGTATATAGTTTAAACGACTTTAATTAAAACAAGTACAAGATATTAAAAAAATATACGTATGTATATTGTTTTTATATAATTAAAATTAATATATAATAAATATAAACACATAATAACAAGCCAGAAATAATGGCTCTTAAATGCAATACAGCAGTTAGAAGTAAAAGTAGTCTTCAGATTAAGAAATCTTAAGAAAACGATAAACAAAACCGAATACATGAGTACGTCTATAACCCCAGCTCATGAAATGTGTTAATATATTTCATTCACTCAGTCAAAGGGTAAAAAGTTTTTTTCTTACCAATAAAAGCAGCAAAAAAGACTTGTTCCACTAGCGCAGAACTACTAAGATCCACTATTAAGATCTTGTTAATAAAGACATTTGCAGACTATGCCTAGAAGAAAAGGAGACAGCGGTGAATATATTGTGCCAATGTTTACCACTGGCAAGCTGGAGGACGACTGTCTTGAGATACCATTGAGTTGGTGATGACTTGGCAGGCAACTTTAATCCAAATGAGCTGCTTGCAATAACAAGAGATGTAGTTATGTGAATGGAAGCTCTCTAGCTTTAACTATAACGACATCTGAGAATCAAAGGACCAAAAAGGACCCAAGTCGTTTCGTGGTCTACTTCGGCTAATTCTTCATTTCAGTGGGGCCACTTGATGGACGGTGCCTTGTCCCAACATCTCTCAATTTATATATATCTTTTAAAACAAACTTTATATATATATGTAGCTGACATAGGCAAGTGCAGTATTGATGTGCAATAGCATAGCTCTTATTAGTGACATCAAAATAAAAAATTGTGAGACGTAGCCCTTTCATATTATACACTGACCATATATCGAAAGATAAAATGATGTGTGTGAAAGGGAAATAATAGGAAAATTCTCAAACATTTTCATTTTAAACTTCAGATAAGATCAGTAGCAACCAAGAAATTGGCATATAAATATTTAAAGCTGTTTATACTATAGGTTAGTAAAGAAAAGGTATAGTTATCCGTCCTCAAATAAGCAATTAATAAGAAGAGTCTTTAAAAACCAAGAATAAATAAGCACCTGAAGGCAGCTAATGTGTATTTAAAAATAAAGAAAGGTTATTAGCGTCTATTCAAAACTAAGAACTTCTTATAATGAAGTTATCTGAGGCAGAACTCTGAAAAGAAACACCAAAATTTATATATTCTTCTATTATAAGTTGTTTTAAGAAGTTCATATAAAATAAATACCAAGACCACGAAACTTTTAACTTGAGGACAATCGCTTACACAGACCTCTAAATGCCGTTTATCCTTCCTAACTATGGTTACAATAGCAACAACAATGCCTTTGTTGGATGAAAATTTGTTGTTAATAAATTTTTCATATGGATTATAAACTATTTCTACAATAAGAAATATAAATGAAAACCCAAATAAAATCGACAATGTACCGAAGAACTTAATTTTACTAGTATATGTATATTGTGTGAAGAATATGTATAAATTTAAGTATATAATTCCCATTTATTAAGTCTATAAAAAAGTGGTAAAATAAAAAACTACATTTAAAAACAAAGAAATTTTAAGGGATAAAAAAAAAGCTCCAACATACTACGAAGTTCTGATTTTTATTTAATGCCATATAAACATGAAATCGTAATAAAAATTGGAATTTAATAGTTATACATAAACGTAGAAGTATGAGGAAAATGTAATTGTGTTTTTATTTTTCATAATAAATTGAAAATTTATATATCATAAAAATAATATAAAATATGTATAAAACAACTCTTTGAAAATGTTGAATATTGGGTTTTATTACAATATAATACCGTCATAGTAGTTAATAGAAAATTTTAATATTACACAAAAAATATTAAATACAATATAAATACAATATAAAAAAAAATATTAAAAAGGAACTAATAAACAATGATAAAAAACAAAAGTTTATGACAGCTAATTTAAGCATACACATTAACAATCGTCATCAAAAAGTTTTAGAAATTACCACGAGGTAACACTTTCAAAAGTTACTACCAGGAGACGTATTCACATAGAGGTTAACATATTTGAACACTACCATCCTTATATGTACCATAAATTTCTGACAAAGAATAGTATATAAATTAATGATAAATATTTTATTTTTTTGACACGTGTTTGATGTTAATATTTATTTTTATTAAAGTAAAGACAAAAGACGTGGTTGCGGTTCTGTAGTCCAAGTAAAAGTGAACGAGTTTCAAATTGTCACGTTGAGACCTACGAAGGTCAAACCGGACTTTTCCAGCAAACAAGTCGATGGCCCGTTTGGTAGCAATCAAGTGATCGAAATAATATCGCATGATTTGCCGTTAATGAAATTAAGCGCAGGGGCCGTATTAGAGAGGACACTGATGTTAACTTATATACCATCGAACAGCCATTACATTCGTTTAATTTCGCTCTTTGCAGTTTGACTGACTCCAGAAAACATAACTGGGAACGCATTTAACCAGCCGAGAAGAGATAAAAAAATCGAAAACGGCTCTGATGGTTATACAAAAATCTGATTATATGCGCAGTTCAGTGAATAGAGAGTGCTTTTAAGGGAACCATGTTGATTAGCAATAATACACTAGTATTTTTAAGTAACTTTTTGTTTATGTAACTTTTTGCAGTGGGTATGTTACTGGTAAATATAAATAAGCATACTGTACAAAAAATTGGATTCACGACACTATTTTCAGTTTTGACATATAGATGGTGCACTATATTGTCCTTTTAGCTAAAAATACCGGCATGAAAAATAAATTATTTTAAAACTGGATGCTCTTTAAAGCATAATGAGCGCATTGATTTTAATTTAATATATACAGAATTTATAATAAAGTCGTAAAAAGTATAAAATCCGTCTGATTATCTTATAAATTCTTGTTTATAAGAACTATTCTTGACACAAATAATGTTTTAGGTTCTTATTATCAAAAGTACGTGTTTAATTTCCTAAGTAGAAGCGGATAGAATTTTTTATTGAGCTACAAGTATTTTGAATCTGCAGCAGAAATATGTCGTTTTTAAGTAAACATAAGTACAGATAATGCTAGTCGAACATAAAATACAATTTTAATAATATTTTTTACGATCGGAAAAGAAATTTAAAAGTTGTTGGTCTGCAAGAAACAAAATTAAACAAACCAAAACAACTTTATTTTACATATAAAAATGTACAAATAATACGACTTGTGAAAAAATGAAAACCAAACATCAACGAACGTAGTACTGACAAGCAGATACTCCGGCTTATGTGCCAAACAGTATAAACAAGTAGAACGTCAGGTGCGGCGTCACTTGATTGATGTGCGTTCGTTGCATTAAACTTCGAGTAAAAAATTTACATTTAATCTAAAAAGTAAACACAGGAAAATTGAAGTTTATGTGTGCTCAGCTCACACGTTTTAACTTTATTAAATTGATGGTGCAACTACGCAGACATAGACATACAATAAAGTGTTTGCTTGGGTATGCACGGTGATATATGCAATATGCGTGCCATATGCTTCGCCAGTTCACCATTAGATCACTTGTTGAAAGATTTTTATCAAAGAACGGCAAATGATCAAAGCAAAAACTATTTGAAGTGCATTTTCTCTAATGTTCACTTTTATGTTTAAGTTAAATCCATCTCTTTTAGTAAGTGTAATGATCCCAATATACATAGAATATGTTAGGTACATAGTTTTTTACAGGACAATAACAGTTCAAATATATACACAAAACTACGTTTATATATGGCGATGAAAGATTGTCTTAATAATTAATAATATTATTATTGTTAGGGGATGTGACACTGCGACCGTCGGGTCTTTTGGGCCTCCATCTGGGTTAAGTGTAGGTTTTTAAGCCTTGTTGCGCCAATAAAAAGTAGTACACAGCCTAGTTTACAGAATTTTATTACCTCTTCCGTATAATTAATAATAAAAACTTTTATACTTGGACCCATCCTAAGTAGGAAAGAACTTTAACTTTCTGGATGCAAACTTTGAAGAATGTTGGAATCACTAAACAGCAACATAAAAAGCGCCTTGAAGGAAAAATAAAACAGGCAAACTAGTTATGAATTAGATAACATTAGTTATTTATATTGTTTGTTTATATTACTACAAACATATTATATATTTCAATATATTTGTATATAATAGCTAGGAGAAGAATAATAACAATTATATAGTATATAACATATATAATATTTTATTGCTAATTTTTTTTAATATAACCACGTTTACAAAAACCTTAATGATTTATATATGCAATGGGAAAACTTTACATATCCACTATGTACTACATACATAATATTATATATACGTATATATATGTATAAATACATCCCTTTATAGTATAAAGTATATATATATACTATATATACATCCCTATAAAGGAGTTAAATGATTTTTCAAGCCAGAAGTGATGTGCTGAAGCTAGCAAATAGTTTTGAGGAGGGTAGGTCAACCAACACTTTATAAAGTCATGCTTAAGCTATCAAATTTGCTAACATAATCCATATTTAAGTCAGTTTTGAGATTTAAGTTACGTCTGTGAAACCGACACTTAGAAATTTATATTTTTAATTTATAAAAATATAAAGTTATATGTTTTTTCTTCTTGTAACATTGTTTATGATTTATAAATTTTTTTTTTATTGCTTCTATATTCTGACTGATGAGTACTTCAAACGGATTTGGACAATATTTGTAATTATGGAGACACAATTTACAAACAAAGTATTTATAAAAGCAATAATAAATTCGTTAGTTTTAGGAAATAAAATTTTTTCTAAATAATAGTTAATATACATGCTATTTACCATTTATTTTCAGGTGAGCTGGAGGTGAAGCCTGCCGAGCTCCACTGCCTGTGTTGGTCGCTATGCAGACGTAGTCACCCGCATCGTTACTTTTATTTACTCTTTCAATAATTAAATTAGAGTTAATCTGTTTAATTTTTGTTGAGTTGTGAAGAAGTAGTCCTGTAATAATAAATATTTATTTTAAATTTTTATAAAATTATATAATAGTTTAAGTAACGTAAGTACACAAATAAATTATTTTACTTTTTTAAATAAATTATTATAGAAATTAATATAATATAATATAAGAGAGTACATGCGGTAATACTACATATATAAATTTTGTTCATATTAATAAAATACAAATATTAATAAAAATTTTTATGTTATTTATTTTTTCAACTATATTTAATTTACTAAGAGAATAATAAAAAAGAATATGCTTACCATTAAATGTCCAAGAATATTTAAGATCGTTTTCTGGCGATGCCCGACATGTAAATATCACTGAATCCCCTTCAACAACAGTTTGGCTTTGTGGCAGTGTGACAAACTCTGAATATTCTGCTTTCACGAACTCTGTAAATATTTTTGTTTTCAATTACCAGATATTTCTTTAGTAACTATCTGTGAAATCAAGATGGTGCATAGTGTAAATAATACCTAATAATATATATGAGTTAAGATCATGTACACATTTACAGTACATAAATATAAAATAAATAAAATTTCCAAATAGTTTGAGTGTGTTTTTTTGGCTGTAATAAATAGTTGTAAGAGAAACATAGATACATTGGAAAATATACAGATAGTATCTATTAGATACTTAAGTGTGAATAAAATTTTGTACTTTGTTTTGCATAAACAAAAGAAAAAATCTTCTAAGGTTTAAAAGGAAAAACAAATTTGATTATAAATTTGTTTATAGTTCTCACACCTTAGTATTTTTTATGAGATAATAAATCAATTTCTTAATCACTTAACATATTAGTGGTAATATATTTACAGAATAGGATTCAAATGAATCCATAGAAAATGTTGAAGAAATAATGATATGAAACGAAAGAACCTAAAAATATGTTATTAAAAAAAATATTGGATTTTTAGTTATTCTTAAAGAGATAGGGGTCTAGATTTCCGTAGTCATTTTAGTTTGAAAGCTAATTTTCAAATTTGGATGGTAGAAAAAAATAGTTCATGTTAGCAAAAATAATTTTCAAGTTAAAGGGACAATCTATTTCTGTGACCTTCCTGAGAAGTTCATTTTGTTTTATTTTTATGTAGTATTTTGATTATAGTTAAGCAACAATAGTTATATAAAGATATTTTTCAGTATTCATGTATTGGGTGAAAGCACTTTGTATCATTATTGATATAAGCATATAGAATATAAATCATAAACCATCGTACAATATTGTAATGTCATACAAATTAATGTGGGGTGGGGTTTCTTAAACACCGCCTCCCGGATGACTACATATACGAATTATTAGCACTACGGTTCTAAAAGGTGTTGTATTGGATGGTTCTTGCAAAACACATTGAAAATTTTTTTCGCGTTCCGCAATAACATATATTTTGTGTTGAGATAAAGTTTACATAGCTATAATCGTATATGCAAATGTTGACAATAATAAATTTATTCAAAATATAAACCAAAACATTATCAAAAAATGCGGTTTGTTTGAGTTTACAAATATATATATTGTGATTTATATTTATTCATATATTTACTATATTATTAGTAAAATTATAAAAATTTAATGCTAAGGTGTGCTACGATAAGATAAGCAATTTATTGTAAAATTTACGAAATAAATATCAGACATTCAATTACATTATAATTCTTTAGAAAATAGTTGAGCTAAATAAGAAACACTCTACGAAAGGGACATAAATTTATAGGAAGGAATTGAAGTAGTATTGAATAAAGAGATATGGTATATTAAATTGCTTTCAATTTTTTTTATCTTTTTTTTCGACATTATACTGAACAGTACACTTAAGGAAAGGTAAATATCTATTGGATGATACAAGAATGAATAAAAATGTTTAATGCATAAAAATTATAGTTTCATTGAATAAATGGATATAATATATGACAATCAGGTGATACACGAGTATAATTTCATTATGAGTGCTTGCAAGAATCAATGGAACGTAAAGGGGAACAGAAATCAAACAGTTTTTAAAATAATTATATGACCATTTTTGTTAACATTTAGTAAAAATAGATAAAATAACGTAATCTTACGGTAATAAAATGTTACTAACAAGTCTGCACAGGTGTCTTACTAATATAAAAAACTTTAATTGATACTTGTGACACACTCCACAGGTACTTTCACATATTAGTATACATAATTAAACTTTTATTAATGTAATTGTAATTTGCCGTATAAAATAGTTTACTTTTAACAATTAGATAGTAAATAATATACAATTTAAAGTTCGGTACACTACGCAGGGAGAGCTAAAAAGTTACTAGAACTGCAATTAATTTAAATTACATATTATATTAATATTAGAAATTCTCCTGATGAAAGCATAAGTGAATTTGCCGAGATACGAATAGAAATATACTAAAAATAATGATCAAAATAAAGGCTAAAATTCTTAAAAGAATAAATTGATTTCAACATATTAAACAATTGCACCGATTATGAGCCCCCTATTATGGATTGTAATTTCATTATTTTGATTACTATTCCCAGCATGGCTAATATATGTAGGATCCTACCTTAAAGTATAATTTGGAATTAAAAATCAGTGAAGAACAGTAATACTAATCTTAAAGAACTTGTAAGAATGAATGCCGAATTAACACAATACAGTAAGAAATTTTAACTCTTGTGACCTCTCAATTTACTGATTGCAGAATAAACTAAAAACCAATACGTTAAAAACTTAAATATCAAGTTAATATAAAAACAAAGTTTTTAACTTGTTACTTTCTTTTTTCATTCACCATATTCGACAGATTTCAGATTTCATCCACAAAATTTATATAGAACTTATTAAGTTCTAAAACGCATACTCCGTGGAAGGTGATTTTACTTCAACAATAACCGAAAAAACTTTTATTTTGGCGTTAAAAATAAATCGCTAAAAACATATATTTGGAATGAGTGTTGAAATACTAACAAAAGGAGTTGATTTTTGCAATTGTTTTGAGTAGCTCAATAAATATTTTTTTAAGATGATTGTTAACACAACAAAATTCGACTTCAAAAATTATATATTCATTCCAAAATTTCTGTAACATATGGGGACCTTTCATTTAGAAACATTTTTCTTTGAACTTAAAAAAAGCTGCAGATTCAAAAATGATTTCATCACTGGAATTAAATTTCCTTAGCTGGGCATTCTTATCCGTTCTCAAACAAAAAGTAGCCGCTAGGAATACAATCGAAAGAATATGGTGGATGGGAAAGTAAATAAAAGTGCAAATAGTGCAATTTTGTTTTGTATTTAATGGACTTGAGACATGGTACATTGAAAGACAACTCTTTTGTTTTTAATTTCAGTTTGTTTTTTTTTTCATATATTTTTTGATAGACCAATAGTAAGATATTAGTATAATATTTACTTGTTTTTGCAAAAGATTATTGATGAAAAAAAAAAAAATTTGCGCTTAGCTGACATTTGCGGTTTTGGCAGCTTTTACCGGTTGTTATCCATTTAGATAACTATCTATGTTACAGTACTGTATAAAACATTTTTTGGTTATTATGATAATAAAAACATCAATAAGTTATGGTTTTTAGTACAGTGTAAAAAAATGCTGACCCTTTTTGAACACTGTTTTCAATTATCAGTATGGAATATAGTAATGTTGATAGAAACAATGGTGTGAAGAGATATAAAAAAAAATGATTTGAAGAATTGCCAAAAGAACCTTAACATCCTTTACTATAGCAATTAAGTGAGATACTGAAAGTAGCTATAAGTTCAAATATGTTATCAAAATTGGAATATGTTGATTTAAATTAAACATCATTTATTATGTTTATTTATATTATTTTTCATTATATTGAATTGATTTTTAACGTCCGTTTTGACAAAAGAAACTAAATTCTTAATATGAACTATTGTTTTCAATAGAGGGGTATTTCGAACAGTATTAAATTACCGCAATAAAATTTTATTATTTTATTAGTTAATTGAATTTTTGGCTGACCATACATCTGTTTCGAGTATTGTTAAATACCCATTATCAGTGGTCTTTTAATTTCTATTAATTGGAGTTCTATTAATTTACTGTGAAAGTTCATTAATAAATTTACTTACTGGGGGTTATTAGAACGAAATCATAAACCAGCTGTAAAATAATTAAATTAATTATGTTTTTATTTTTAATTTTAATACTATTCTTTTGTAGAACCATTATAATTCATTATATAAATTTGGGATTATTGGGATTATGTATTGACTTCTTAATAGATAAAATCAAATTAAAAATAAATTTTTTTTCAAAGAACTTAAAATCTATTAAAAGTTTTGCTCGCTTATACACACATCTGTAGATCAAGATAAAAAACAATAACAAATGCAGCAATAGAGAAAAAGGATAATAAAAAGCTGATTACAAAAAAAAAAGGAAAAAACAGAAGTAAACAAAAAGTGTCTTCAAATCTGAGAAAAGGAAGAAATATTTTTTATAGGAAATCACTTTAACTTGATTTAATCTGCTATATTATTTTAAAGAATATATTCTAATAAAATCTAAATTGTTAATTGCTTAGATGACACTTTTTATTTATAGTTGAAAATCTTGAATATAATCAGTGCTATAATAATTTAATATAATGTTTAATACATATACGAGAATTTTATACAAATTAAAAATATAGTATAAAATGTGAAATTTAAATTGGAGCTAATAAATGTCAATGAGTAGAAACGCAAAATCTAAGAAAGGTCAAGATGACAGACGATCTGGAAAAATGAAAAATTTTTTGATTTTAATTAATCTCAATTTTAATGTTAAAATAATTAAATAAACATTTTTTAACAATTACTAAATAACATTAATATGTACATACATATGTTTGTAATTTAATTCTGTTTTATTTTATAAACACACACATATATTGTATCTTAATTAATTAAATGAAATAATATCTTTTTTAGTATTCCTTAAATTAAAATTTTTTTAACAGTTATTAAACAGTATTAATAATATTTTAATATGTACATACATATATGTGTAATTTAATTGTGTATAATTTTATAAACACACACATATATTGTATCTTAATTAAATCGAATACTTACGAATAGCACAAAAATGTAGCACACTTATTGCAAATATAATTTTTGATTTCGAATACATGTTGAAGCTTAAATGCAAATGATGAATTGATGAAATAATGATATCAAATTAAACGTGCAATTATTTAGTCCTTCATCTATTTTATTCGATGTTTTTATGTGTAGTTAGTTTTATGAATGTGTAGAGTATTAATCAAAACAATGGAGTCACAAAAAAGAAGACAAAGCCATAGCACAGCACAAATGCACCAGAATTGAAAAAAAAAGCTTGAACTTGCTTATTACTTATTTTATGTGGCAATGGACTCCATTTTAGCTTGCTTTTTGTTTCGGTTTTGAACTTAATTCAGAGTTTTTAGAATTTCTTTTTTAAATCTGACTTATTTTCACTTAAAATTAATTGTTAAAACTCTACAATTTTCTTATTATTTATTTTTAATTTAATATCACAATGCATATTTGCATCTTGCTTATTATATATAAACAAAACGGCGACGGAGACGGAGACATGAACAATGGATTTAACAAAGATTTGATGCATAAAAACTAAATTATTTTTACATATGCATGTTATTTTGACAAAGATTTGTTTACATCAATTAAAAAACTATTTAAATAAATTAATATATTATGTATTAATTTATATTTCATAAATTTTTAACTTTTAAATGTTTTCCTCGAAGTTTAGATATCATCCATTTATTCCTTCAGACAAATTTCTCTTATAATTGAATACATTCTCATTGCAATCGCAGACAGCTTTGAATACATACAAATTTATGCACATCTGTATGTTTTTATTTTGCACACAAACGTTCTTACACAATTTTATTATCTTTTCTACATATATGTACATGAAATTTTCTCATTAAATATTGCATATCAATTATATTTTTGTTTACAATCCTTTTTTTACACTCACAACATTTGCTTTAGGCATGCATTTTTAATAATACATTTTCAACACAATCGCCTGCGCTAATCACAACCGAACTCAGACACCTTCCACTCCGAACTACCGTACGAAAATATTGAGTATTCCAACAGCACTGAAATGCCGGTAACAACATAAAATAAATAAATTAGCAGATACATATTTTCTCCTTGCTTGGAAGAATTGATTCCATTTGTGTCTCTCAACTTGGAATTTTATTGCCGGTTTATGTTTCTGTAAGCGCATTTTCTTATACACACACCGGAGTGCGTAAATAAGTCTAGGGTTGTATTCGAAAATTTAACTAAAAATATTTATCTATTAAAAATGATTGAAACTTAGATACGGAATAAATTTATAAGATATTTTTTTAAGTATTTATTTGTGTATTTATTTTGTTCAAATTAAGCAGTTACTTTGATCAAAATAAACTTCTTGTCTTGAACGAAGTGGTAGGCGTATGAATATGTGAAAATTTTGTACACAAACCAATAAATGAGTTGGAATTAAAAATATTTTAGTTATACAAATAATTGAATCATGCTATGTTTTTAGTTTCTCAACAGTGTTTGCCTGTTGGGTGGGAAGAATGCTATGATTTTCATATTCAAATATCAAATAATTCAGGCATATAGCCTGAAAGAGGCGACGACGCTTTTCCGTCGTCGGAAAATAGAGAACTGTTGTTAAACAGACTTAGGTACTACATGGACTATATAGTCATGAATGATGATGATGATTTGAATTAAGTGCCAAATATTATATAGAAATTTATACAAAATATTGTATAAATATTTTACAATATTTTACAGTAGTTATTCATGTTAAAAAAAGAAATAAAGGAACCATTTTCTAAACTCTTGAACTATATATACATAGTATACAATATATTCTTATACATATGTATGTGTGTATTTTTGATATAATTCATATATCAAAAACATAGAAATTTCTATGTATTTTTTATATACTATTATTACAGATGAAATTTAAATAATAAATTTTATTAATACATTTTAAAATGTTTTATATACAATAATTTATTGAATTGGAACTGGTAGGCCAAAACTGGTAGCCAACTTTATGTCATGAAGTTGAACACTATATGTCCAGATTGGTTTATGCAATAACTTTAACAAAACTAGTCTGTAGTAGATAGAATAGTATTAATGAATCATTGCAGATAAGTCATTTGTAGGCACTTTAATTTACTTGAATATGAAATTTAATACGACTGAGATAAGATGTTTACTTGTGATGATTTTATATGTAATGATTTTGTGTTGGTTAACTCTGTTTTCCAGTTAATGTCCATTGTTCTATGTCATTAATACAGTTTTGAAGTATTTGTCGCAATTCTACATTAGTATCAAAAATTATGATAACCACTGTATCATTTACAAGTGTAACTATAATTGAGTTTAAAGGTGTTGGTATATCGATCCAATACTGTATTTACTATAATGTAAATATCGGTTAAATCCGAGTAAGCTTTCTTGGATCAACCTGCAATGTTTTGTTGGAAAATAATAGCTTATAAATTTCACAAGATTTTCAATTTGAAACTCTTTGAAAGCAGAATATATAATATTATTTACATAGTTAAGTTTAGTGACAAATATAGTATTATTTAAGATCAATTATTTACCGAAAATAAATTACTCATTTTATGAAATTTGAAATTATGAAATTTCTGATCATGTGTTTCAGATATTTAAGGGAGAAACAGAGAAGTAATACAGTTGAATGTAAAACTTTATCGAAGAATATGAGATAAAGTTTGTGTATCCCATAAAACTGCTTCCATTAAACTAATTTAAGAGTGAGCTACAATACAATTTTTTCGTTCATTATAATTCTAGAATGGTGTTCTACGTCCTGCAATCTTAGCAATATATTGCAATGTCTCTTACTTATCTTAATAAAGACAAATTACGACTTTTAATGACAAGTGCCATTCGTATTGAGTGTTGTAATGTGATGTGGGCAAAATTTTATCAGTAACGTTGTGAGTACATTTGATTTGTAGCTTTTAAATGTAATACTAAAGTCAATAAGGTCCTTAATCATTCTTTTGTATATAAAGACTAGATGTTTTTAGAAATATTTGGAAAGATGTAATTCGTATAGAAGTATTGAAGTTTTACTAATAATTAAAAGAAGAGCAAAGGTTAGCACAGATGTAACAAATAATTCTACATTATGACAATATTGTAACAATGATTTATTATATTGATGTTATGTACTTTATGTATTGTTAGATGTGTTGAAAATATATATATGATGCGACTTTTCATTTATTCTTGATTTTTATTATAAAAATTTTAAAAAGTAAATGCCCAAAATAATTGTATGTTACCATAAGAAATGGCCTATAGGGAAGTATGTTACGAGACTATAGATCATAGCTATCGTACTTAGGTACGTTTCTAATTTGTTTCTGCCGTACCACCGTTTTTTCTTGGTTATTATAGATTAATCTAGCTTGTTATTTTAGATTAATCTAGAGGTACCACAAAAGAATATCGTATTCCAAATATCATTACATCTTTACTCATATCATGTTCCATATTGAAATTTCTGAAGAATGCATGTGAACGCATCTACTTAACTAGTAGTACTTTTTGCAGAAGAGGTACTGTGCTGTAGTACTGTGTTGTTGCACCCAGATGAACCGAATGCTACAATGTTGTGATACTTTATTTAAAGACTATACTTATTTTAATTTAAGAATTCTTTGTCAAGAAACTTAATTTTAACTAAACAACTTTCATCTTTTTTATTAAAACTTTTGGATCATTTTTATGAATGAAATGTAATTTCCTTCGGAAAATTTTATTTCTGTCTAACTTTGTAACTATCCAAGCTTGACATTTGTAGCTGGAATGATCGGAATCTAAATATAAAATATTCAATTTCTTACTTTAAGAGTGCACATGATTTTGGTTTAATAGCATTGCAGGGGTAAAATTTTATGCTCAGCTTTTTCTAAACGTTAAGGTAGTTAATTTTTACCCGCTTTTAATCCCCATGAAAACACTCAGCACCATTGACGAGACGTAATGCTATTTTACTGCCAGAGACTGTTTTACTCAAAGTTAGCAGTAATAAACAAAACACTTTTGATGACTGCGTTCCATAATTCCGTTTTTATAGTTTTTTCAACCCTCGCGTTATAGGACACCCAGCACCGCACAGTTTTTGCTGTGCTTACAGTTATAGTTCGCCTGATGTAATAATCCGTTGACTCTGGCAACAAACCAAATGCTACAAAAGAAAGTTTTGTTCATTAGAGTTTTAGGGGTGGCGCAAAATCATATCTTTACTCCAGACATTTATTGATGTCGTAAAATTGAAGATTTACGACAGTACTTCCCCTGTCACTAATTTTAGATTACCATAAGAAAAAGAAGAAAAAAATAATAAAATTACTTATATGCGGCAAAATGTTAAACAAAAACAACCAAAAATGTTTTTAAACAACAATACCGAATATATAGGATACTAACAGCTGCGTGATTAAAAAAAAACAAGGAATATCTACAAATCGTAACTTAACAATTTCAATTTAATTTATTTTAATTTAATAAAGAAAACTTTTTAATTATATTATTATAAAGTTTATATAACATATAAATATTATATATATATTTAGATAAATATACATATACTGATAGTTACATTGATATATATATATGTATTTATACACGAAAATTCGTATATAGAATCTCCTGAATTTAAATGAAAACTTTTTTTACTTTTAAAATAAATGTTACGCATTAATAGTAAAAATCCACATTTTTCCCTAAAAAAATATTTTTTTCAATTTCAAAAAAAATTAAATTTTTAACAACTCGATCCCTTTAATAACTGATCCATTTTAACATATATATCAAAGTACTCATTTAGGAATCGTATTGTTGTCATTGTAAAAATTTAGATATAAGTATAAACCAATTTTTTGCATTTATTATAACAAAGTTTCGCTTATAATATAAGATATATAATCTTATTAAAAATTGATTCTAAGGTATAATTGATAGAAAATGATTTCTAACAATATTAAGATTTAAGAAGTCTAAGAAGTGGGCCAAGAAGTGGAAATTAGAAAAATAATTATAAATTTGCTATAACTCGCATTTAGCATTTAAAAACAATAAAATTAAATGAAATAAAATAAAATAAAATAAAATAAAATAAAATAAAATAAAATAAAATAACATAACATAACATAACATAACATAACATAACATAACATAACATAACATAACATAACATAACATAACATAACATAACATAACTTAACATAACGTAACATAACATAACATAACGTAACATAACATAACATAACATAACATAACATAACATAACATAACATAACATAACATAACATAAAATAAAATAACATAAAATAAAATAAATAAATTAAATAAAATTAAATAGAAATAAAAATAAAATAAAGTAAAATTAAACTTAATATAATAAGATTAAACAAAACAAACAAAATAAAATAAAAAAAATCTATATGTTGATGGGAACAAATAGAAGAGTTAGATTAATAGTGAGAATAAATAATTGGAACAATTTGATATCTGGCTATCAATGGCATTTGATGAAACTTGGAAATAATTTCATCTTAGGTCATACAAATTAGCGTTCTATAAAAAAGGATCGTGGAGACGACATTATTTTATATTTATATTATATTATATAAATATATATATATTTATACGATGTAATGTAGATGCGATATCTTTTTTAACAGGGAATTTAGTAATATATTTTTACTTCTTTAAATTTATGGTTTTTGTAGTTAAGATTTTCAGTTGTAAGTCAATTTCCTTTTCAAAACTAAATAATCTAAGTTTTACTAGTATTTACTACTTTCATATTTTCACAATATTTCTTTTGAGAAGAAATAATTTTTTAAAAATAACCTGATAATGAGCCAAAATAAAACGTAATAGCAATAAATTGTTTATTCTATCGATATTGACTTCGTAGATTTTCCCATAGAATTATTTCTATTTATAACATTCTTCGACATAGTATTATTTTGCCTACTTATACATGTCCCGCTTTTATTCATTAATTTCAGTATTTTAATCACTATTGGACTGATTTCTATAGCAAATGTATTTTGCCCTTGTTATATGTGAATGATAGAATTCTGATAGATGATAGAAAATCTAAGAAGAATGCAAATCAGAGTTTAGTGAATCTAAACTACCATTTTATTACTGTTTGAAGAATAAAAATATATAATTTAGATAACTTTTCTATTTCTAACCCCATTTTAAGTTCTTGGCGTTCATTTTAATGCCCATGCTTGTAGTGATCAGTTAAATGAGTACGATAAGATAATAACTATACTGGATTAATACAGATCAAAGCATAGGCATATGTTAAGGTGCTACTTATAATAAATAAATCCTTCAAATAAATAAATATACTTCCACTAAATGCAGTGAAATAATTATAGTAAAAACAATACAAAGCTTTGAAAGATTAATAGGTTTTGTAATAGCTTTGTGAATACAACATTGATAAGTAAAAGCTTATGTAGTTTTTGAATATTTAATAACGCACAATTGAAAACTACTTTAAATAATATTAAACATTTTAAATGATTTTGAATGATTTAGTTTACCTTTTACTGACTTTGACCACAGTTTTTCATTATGGTATAAAAGAAGGTTCTATCGCGAATAAATGCGATTAGTTATTATTGAAGCAGTGAAAAAATGAGTTTTATACGGAAATGTTTACTATGCATCACGGATTATTGCTCGAATTGTACATTAGCTGGACTCAGATACATTGTAAATCATAAGTAAGTGTAAAATCCTATATAGAATTACCTAAATTAATATATTACCTCTTGTTAAATTTATTGTAATGTTTTTTTTTTACAAAGATTACATATTACGGAACGTCTGTTTTGGTTTATCTGTTTTGTGCTCTCAGTGTTTGGATCCTATTCCTTAATTAGTGAGTACCAAAACAATTTTGAAAGTAAAGCCGTAAGCATTGTGTATGAAAGTCTCTCACCTAATAATAAAATAGAGTTTCCTACTATAAGTGTTTGTGATACTTACAGTGATGAACATGCAAGAAAAGATATTGAGGAATATGTACAAAAGTAAGTTGTTCATATAAATAAATAAAATTCAATTTAATTATTTATTGCAAGAAACAAGTGAATGAATTAATAAGTAACTAATTTTAATTAAAGGCTAGGTACAGATTTAAGTGGGGAATATAACTACGACATCGAAATGTTAGTTTCTTTAATTATTTATCCAACGGAACATCACGAGGGTCTATTAAGAGCAAAATGTACAAAATATTTAGAATGTAGTGAATGCGCACAATGCCCAACGAAGGACTATAGGAAACTTGCAAAAAGGGTACTATGGATGGTATATGCTGTACGCTATACTATACAGTGTACATTTTTATTTACAGTTTACATTGAAATGTTCTCAGCTATTCATAAACTGCTCTCTGTCAAATAAACCATTTGACTGCTGTCAATATTTTTTGCCTCTAATCACACCATTCGGGAAATGTTTTTTATTGAATTCCCTGCAAAATAATAAAATGTAAGTCACAATTAAAACTTTTTTACTCCAAGCTATAGAATTTAATTTTGTTTGAAAACAAAAGAAATCTAACATTAAATTAGGTCTAAAATACTCTTCACTCTGTACTATAATACTTCTTAATATTTATTAAAGAATATATACATTATTTTAAATTTATTATAATTATTTATTTATTTATTATAAGTATAATTATTTGTTACACTTGTGGGTATCAATTTCTTCAACAATTTATCTTTCGATCACATAAAATAGTTATCTCCTACAGAAGTAAATTATTATTTATAGCATTTTTTAGGAGCGAAAACTTCATGTTTGAAGTAAAACTCTAATTTATTTGCATACTTTTAGAGTAAGTGAATAAATCTCTCTAAAAATTTTTTTCTTTCTGTAAATTAACAATATATGATCGAAGATGTTAATAAACAATAAATATTCTTTTTCGCTTTTATAAATATAGAATAAATGATTATTGAAGAGTGTAAAAATCAGATCTTACTATTGAATTGTTTTCCCTTTATAAATAAATAATACATGGTTACCGACTTATTAGCTTATTGATGATATTTTGATATTTCTTCAATTTCTCCTACTTACGTAAGAGTCAATTTGAGTCTAAACGATCAAGTGTAGGATTTTTTAAAAAGTCAGAAAGGTTTTGCAATGTGAGAAGCTCTAGCATAACTTTTATTCACATTACTGAGTGTGGTTAAAAGAACTAATGGAATCAGAAATAATAGTCAAATAAGTGATTAAAAATGAAAGAGTTATATAAGACATGTAGATTATTATGGCATTTATTAAGCACACGTTATCGCTGATAAGCAGATATACAAGGGCTATTATTACACTCATGCCAGTCGGTACTAGCTTCTGGTCTATTAGAGAGTAGACAGTTAGTATGGAAATTTCTTACAATATATACTCTCACTACTGCATTGAGTAGAAAAGCAAGCCATTCATGATTTCTTTTGTGTACTCTCCATGTTTTGGAAGACAGAAACATCGTAGTCGATACATAAAATTTAATTTGTACGTATTCGCATTTTTACTCATACAATCTTTGACAATTGTTTGAAGGATCGCAATTTCATAAATATTATTAATTAATTTAAATTTTATTAAAATTTTTGAAGTGGTAGCGAAAGTTGGCTTGATACTAATATGGATCAGTCTAATGACGAACCTTTAATGGAAATAAGCATTAAAAGACCGATAAAGGTTAAAAGATTACATAATATAATATGTTATTTTTAATATTTTTGAGTATCAATACAAAGGTTAGTATTTTAAATAAGGAGGATTTACCAGTTAAAGGAATACAGAAGTTATCTTTTGTTGTTTTAAACACTGGAGAACAAAAAATTATTGAAATTCGTATTGATAATACAGTAAATGATGCCGATGTTCGCACAATATCTCCTGAATATAGAAAATGTCGATTTACTGATGAAGTTTTACCGAATACAGAATATAAGGTATATAGCTTTAGTGCTTGCTTAGCCGATTGTATACGTATACATCAATTACGAATTTGCAATTGCACTTTATATACATTTCTACCACTTGGTGAGATAATTAGAATATATAACAAAATATTAAGGAAAAATAATATATATTTCTCCATAATAGAAAAAGAATCAATCCAAGAATGCAATTTTGATGGTTACCTATGTCTAGAAAAGAATTCAATGGTTAATCCGGAACCAAAATCTTTAATGCCGTGGCCAAATAACAAATATACTTGTGATTGTTTGCCATCATGTACCGAAAGTGATTTTAATTTAATTTACGAATCCAGTTCAAGGTTTATTTAATATGATATTATATTAATCTTGATTTTCAAACTTATTATAATAGCGTATCTCTTATAATATAGAACCAATTATCCCCGGAGCTTCACTATTAAAATTCCAAAATTCCCAACGGAACAGTTCCGCAGGCAAGCACTACGTACGCAGCTCGATGTCGTTGTTACAATCGGAGGTATATTAGGATTATTCTTGGGCGCTAGCATATTAAGTGGTATAGAAATAATTTACCACTTTCTTATTCGAACTTTTATTAGTTATATATACACACGAACTGTAAGTGAAGAAATAAGTGTTACCATAATATGAATTTAATTAATTTTAACTTATTTTTGCAATATTTTTATGTAGTAGGTGCTATAAGCCAGTGATATGAGAATTTTGATTGTAACTTGTGGAAAATAAAAGAAGGAGAAATTATGACATATTTACCTAATAAAATATTCTAGCCAATTAATTTTCAAACCCTTATTGATTGTAATTTTTTTTCTTATTAATGCACTAAAAATAAATATAATTGTATGTGACAACAAAAATATGGGCTTTAATTATATTTTATATCCCACTGATTAGTATAATCTAAATAAAACTATAGTTTTATGTAAATTGCACACATTTTTCTGATTTATATTTCTAGACATCAGAATAGAAAAGTAAAAGAAAAAGTGCTTGCCAAAAACGATGTGCCATAGTGGAAGCTCTAGCGGAACTCATATTCGCACCACTTAATGTGCTTAAAAAAACTGATGAAATCAGAGACAAAAAACATCTAAAAGGTGATTATAAATAAAATAATCATGTAAAACATGTAAGTAATTATGGTTTGGATATAATCTCAAGCAAACATTATCGCTGAAATGAAGAAATAAAAAGGATATATCTAGACTAATGCCAGTCGATACTAGCTTCTGGCCTTTTAGAGAGTAGACGGTCAATATTTCAATTTCTTACAATATTCAACAAATAAACAATTTAAAATTAGCAATTTATTAAATTTATTTTATTTTTAATAGTTTTTAATAAAAAAAAATTTTTGAAGTATATAACCGGTACATAAAAAAAATTCGTAACATTAAACTAATACATTTCATAAATAAAACTGAATCACACAAATTTTTATTTAATATTTTATAATTTTTTTAAATATATATAATAGTGTCTATATACATACATTTTACCTTATTTCATAGTTATTCAAATAATTATTAACAACATTTTTATAGCTCAGCCTTTCTTAAATCTTAGTAAAAATATCGTTGAAATTAAAAATACTGCAACCCATGCAGATATTGATAAGAAACCATGATAAACGACAGGATTCAATAAACCCCATCCACGTTGTAAAATGGATCGTAATGATTCAGTTGGTTTTGTTAATGGTAAAAAGACGGTCAAATATTGTAATAAAGGATACATTCCTTCAATTGGCCATATGATTCCGCACAGCATAACTATAGGCAGAAAGGATCCCATTGCTACATAAGTTGCTGTTCTTTCCGTATCCACCGCGCAGGCAATTACAAAACCAAAAGACATTCCGCATAAGCCACTGAGCACACAAAGCGCTACTACTAACCAAATGTTTCCAACAACCGTTAATTCAAAGAAATAAAAACTTACTAATAACACAAAAGTACATTGACTTAACATAACCATAAATTGTGTCACTACTTGAGAGACTAAAATTTCTACACCTGTTATTCCAGCTACTAAACAACGCTCCAGCATTCCAGCATTGCGTTCAATCAACATAGCACCTGAAGTCATTGCTACGGATAGGAAAAAAATTATAGTTAAAATAACTCCAGGAGCAGCGAAATCAGTAAAGTTGGGATTTAAAAATCCATATATGGGATCATTCCAATTAACAGGAACACGACCTAAGCGTGGATTTAAATCGCAATCAGCTAAAATATTTTCTACAAAATCGAAAAATGAGTATTGTAGATCACGGTACAGCAAAGTAGAAATTTGTTGATCTGGAAATGAGAACTTATCAGTAATGAAGCTTTAAATATGGTATATGGTTAATAATTTACTTGACATATCTAATTGCACATCTAAATTGGAATTCTCAATAGTTATATTGTCAGCGTATCGACCATTTTCGATACGTTCTACCAAAGCCATGGAATAATTTTTGGAAAAAGTTAATACACCCCAAGCACGACCGCGCCTTACCTCTTCAATGGCTTCTTCATCAGAATTTAGATATTTCTAATATAATTACAAAAGAAAAAGTTCATTATAATATATTCACTCGCAAAATAACTTGTTGTTTTTTATAAATCCATAGACGTGATTGGTGTTCTTACCACATTCATACTTTTGTTTTGTATTAACATCCCAAGATAACGACAACTAAGCATGGTATGATTACAGCCGGCAATTATTGGACAAGATTGTTGGAATATCATTTCATTTGACATTTCATGGTTCGAAACAGCTATTTTCAGTCCTACTGGATCATGACCAATAGCATAACAGAAAAGTATGATTTGCATAACTGGCAAACCAATGATGAACGTCATTGCTCTATAAGAAAGCAAAAGATGTTAAAGACAAGAAATTGCTTAAGAATTAACATTTTACTCACCCCACGTTTCGCATCATCCATAAGAAATTTTTCCACATTAGTGCATGTAAATGGTGTTTACTTAAAACCAGTATATTCTGACAAAATGAAGAACGAGAGTCTCTTGCTACGGTTTGTGAAGCGGTAGAATCTACAACGGAAGTTGTATGATCTTTTGTTGCGGATGCCATAGATATATTATCACCAAATTCACCAGATATTTCAGCTGAATTATCAAATGCGGGGTTTGTTATAGCTGTAGCAGAAATTTGATTCATCACATCCTGAGCAATCGAAGATCGACGTCTTTTTCCCATATTCTGTTTAACTGCCAACTTAAGGAAAACTTCTTCTAACGAGGTAGCATTATGTTGTTGCCTTAACAGTTCTGGTGCTTCCTCCGCAAGCATCTTACCACCACGCAATAGCCCAATCTAAATTTTTCAATTTATATAATTAAAACATAAAAAAAATATAAGGACTATTTTCATTGTTCCTTACTAAATGAGCTTGAGAACACTCATCAATGTAATGTGTCGTTATTATCACAGTTGTGTTTCCATTTTTTGTTATATTAACAAGGTGATCCCAAATGCTATTAATAAGTTATTTATTTAATATCCATTTTTAATAAATTTTTAATTATGAAAAAATTTTACTTCTGTCTTAATACTGGATCCACACCTACAGTAGGTTCATCTAAAATTAATAACTCTGGTTCTTGAAGTAAAGCCGTTGCTAAGCTTACTCGACGCTGTTGACCGCCACTTAATGTTTTAACAAATTTTGAACCATAAGGTAGATTTAAAAGTTTTAGTAAAAATTCTGTTCTATCCGCGATAGCAGCGCGTGACATTCCAGCTATTAAACCAAAGTAAATCAATGTTTCAGCCATTGTAAATTCTCCATATAAAGCAAGTTCCTATTAATATCATATTGTTAAAAAAACTTTCTAAACATTAATTATGAAGAATTTACTTGTGGCATATATCCAATTCTTGGACCAGGTACTCCGGAGCCCGGGGATCCTGGTCTTCCACCAAGTACCCAAATATCGCCAGAATTTAAACGCCGTCTACCAACTATACATGACAAAAGCGTTGTTTTTCCACATCCTGAAGATCCCAATAAACCATATCTATGAAAGAATCAAACTGTTTTAATGTTCTTGAATTCAGTTTAAATTATAAATAGATTGATTTTTTACTGCTTCATACCTTTGAGCAATATCTCGAAGTGGTTTAACATTAATCTTCTATAGGTACTCGATGAAATGGATATCATAGTTCGTTAGATAAAATAGAAAGAGAGGGTTCTTAAAGCACATTTAAAATACCTATATAAATGATTAAAGCGTGCAAATATTGCAAAAAATTCTTATGAAAATTGATTTTTCTTGAAAAGGAAAAAATATAATAATCTCATTGAGATACCCTGTAAAGATATAAATCTTACAAAACGTTTGCTGATAGATTAAGAAGTCATGCTGTGATTACGTGTATTTCCAGTATCACCATAATATCCTTAACTAATATAATGGTCGTCAGAAAATTTATGTAAACATATATTCACCTAGATAGGTAGGTCATACCAGGGATCCCAAGGGATCCATTTAGGCCATAGGCTCATTGTATTATCGTATAATTAAAAAATTAGGGGTTAGCACCACTTAGAACCTTTGCCTAAGCTTATATTATATATTCACCTAAACACATACAATTTTTTTTGATTTTCGAGTTGACTACCTCGACTACTGATTTCTAAATCCAATTTTATACATTCCTATTTCATGACTTCCTATATTAGAATTGCCATGTATGCATGTGTATGACGGTGAACATTAATATGAACTTTAAATGCAAATTTGAACTTTAATAGGTTTTAAAGAGAACAGAAATTATTTCGCTTTCTAAATAGTCTACTAGTATATTTTTTATTGTACGATTAAAAAATTTTTAATTAAAGATTTTATTTTTTGCTAGTGTATGAAATAAAATGGTGACCTCATATTACTTTATTTTTCTACTCGGATAAATTTCATTAGGTAATAATAAGATGGTAATACAACCCAATTATTTCATTACATTTTCTTGAAGGAACGCATTTTCATAATTTTAAAAGACAAGTGTCTAACTATAAGTCAGATGCATATTCGCTTCCATTGTTTTATTCATCATATAATTAAAACTTGTTCCTTAAATTTTCTACTTTGTTAATAATAAATTCTATATTATGTTTTTAATGCATATATTTGAAATATTATACAATTAAATATAAATAAAAAAAATAGCAACACTTTCAAGGTTGTCTAAAGTATAAAATATGTGAAACTAAAATAATGAAAAGGGCAAAAATGTCAAAAATTCAGGAGTTAATAAGTCTTCATTTCGTAATAGGAAACCACTTTTGCATGTATATTTTTTTTTAATTTTTATTTTAAATGCAAACTCAGGTTTTCAGAACTTCAGATTTAATATTATAAAAATATATATTTAGGGTGAGCGAAAACTTCTGCGACCCAAAATAGAGCATATATCATATATAGAGCAACATATGACATATATATATATATATATCATATATCATAACATAATCTATCATTGCAAATATATATTTTTGATTTTGTAAATAATACAAATAATATTTTTAATAATTTTTGTAATCACTCGACCTTAAATACTTGCATAAATGGAGACAAAATACAATAGTGACTACTTTTGACTAAAGCAAAGTAATGCTTTAGTGAGTACTATATTCAAAATATATAATCATATTGCAAGTTGAAGTTGTACTAACTAAAATTTGCTGGGACTGGATGCTATCATATGTAACAACAAATATGTGGGTGGCCGATTTCAAACATAATTGTACCAGTTTAGTTTATAGAAACTATTCTTAACGGTTCTGATCAAAAATGACGCCACTAATAAAAATATTGAAACAATACATCGAATGGCATTGGATTATGATTAAATAAAAATTCGATATCTTTATGAGACCATAAGTACTTTACTGTGACTGCTTTTCAATAGTGCTGTGTAAAGATTGAGATTAAGAAAGCGTGTTGCATTAGTTTTGACTGACCTCGGATAACAAACACTGTAGCTAAAACAGTACTAAGAATCTCTTATGTCGTTGTGGGGCTTCGATTGGTAAATCGGGGGTAACTTTTTCAATCGATATTCGCTTTTAGTATAATTTCTCGAGCTTATTACTCTAGATATATTGCCAGAGTAGCAAGATTTTTCTGAAATGTTAGATTGTTAGAATTACTCTAAAAAAGATCGATTAAGCAACAAAATTTTACAAATCGAGAGTAATTCTGGATTGAATACAGATTTACCAAGCGAAAACGCCATTAGACTAGTTTATATAAATCAAGTTGGACTTTTATGCAGATTGAAAAATAAAGGACAACTAAAATACTGCACAGAAAGAAGTAATAGAGCTCCCAAGAAGGCATAGACTGTGTTGTTAACTAGAAAGAGCGTAACTACTATTTTTGGACACAGTAACAACATACTGCTGATCGACTACATGAAAACAGTCGACTATGTCAAAAATATCTAGGGCATACTATTTAAAATTACTAAATTAATTCAAGTTCGTAATTACAGAAAAGCTTACTCATCACCAACGTATTGGCTAACAGTTCATCAGTTATTAAAATTCAAGAATTATTCGTCATATCTGTTTAAAGTGATTATTTTCTATTTCTAAAGTTAATAGAAAAAGTTGGCAGTAAAATAATTCTCACCTAATAAAGAGGTAAAATTCGTTTTAAAAGATCTTCATAAATATCTTCAAGATGACCTTGATGAAGTGGACTATTTATAGTGGATAAGTAAGCAGGAGCATTATTCGGAATAGTATATCGAATCAGCTAAGATTGTCATAAAATACGTAACAATAAAAAAGTTAAAAACCTTTTTTTTTAATTTGTGATGCAAAACTTTTCAAACACCCCTGGTTACATTCAGTCTAATATGAAATTATCCAAAAAAAACCGACATTTATTTAAGTGTAAAATCTGTTTTATTTGTTTAAATTTTACTTAATTTAAATGAATGTTGTACTTTAAAGCGAAAATTTTGCTGATATTATTTTTCGCTATATATTTGCTGATCTCAAAATTAAATAATAAATAATGCTTATAGTCATTATTATTTACAAAAATCTAATACGTGTTTATACATAAACAAATAAAATATTTCGTCTACACATTTGTGTTATAAACACTTTATTGTTGTAATAACTTATTAGAGACATTGACCTACATTATGTGGTTATTTTTTTATTTCATTTAAACGATATGGTAGAGGTCATTGTTCTGGTTTTATTTTCTTTATAATTATTTAAATTCAATTTATTAAATTCGCAAAAAATAAATAAAAGGAATTTAAAATTAATTAATAGTACTTCATTGAATTTTTTTTATTTTATTATTGTACATTATTTATTTTACACATATATTTAGGAAAAATTCAAATATTATAAGTAAATAATTTTTTTTTTATAATTACATATATATCTATTTGGATACAGCATATTTTATCATATTTACATACACATTTTATTGTACAATACTTACATAGATCCCTTTGGAACCGTCATGTTGAGGCCCTCCAAAACACAATTTGGATTTTTTTTACTTCCGTAAATTTTATATGCCTTGCGTACACAAATCGCTTGTTGCTGATTAATGGTTGTTGTTGAAGGCTGCGTCATAAACATTTCTCGACGCTTACTGTTAGCTGTTTCAGCATTACCAGTGCTAACTGGGCTAACTGTAGACATAGTGACTACGTCCATTGCGCACAACTAATGAAAATTCACTGTGTTTTAAAAAAAAATTATTTTATTATAAAATAATGTTTTTTTTTATAATATGTATTAATTTATTAATTTAATTTTTTTTTATTTTTTATTCTTCATTTATAACGAAAATTAATATTTTCTTTTAATTGTTAAATTTATGTATACACACCAAGATATAATTTTTTTTATTATAATATACTTATTATTATCACACTTTATTATAACACTATAAATAATAAAAATATTAATTAATATATACTATATGCATTTTTTTATTATTTTGCAATTAATGTTCTTCAATATTAAAATATTTGCAGATTGAAGAAAAAATTTTATACCGAAATGTTTACAGTCTATTTTTTCCACTATATTATTGCACTAGACATGCATAATAAATATAATATTCCTTGTATGTTATATATATTACTTTTATTATAAACTATAATGTCACCAAAATTTGTCAGTCATGTTTTTGGCCTTGAAGCATTTACAGATATAAAATGCACAATGATAACCGAGTTCAAAAAATCTATTTTATATACTCTATTATTGTACTGTATATAATAATACTACTCGTACATAATATAAATTTTTTTTTTTTTATCATAATGCGACATAAAAATGTCAGTTATAGTTTTCAGGTACTTCAGTGTTTCTAAATCGAATGTATAATGGTGTATTCAAACTTGTAAAATCTATTATATACACCATATGAAGGGCTTATTACTGAAAGGTATCTAAATCATTTGATGTCAATATTTGGATTATCAAAAAAGAACTACTTTTCGTATATACTGTTGAATATAAGAACGTGTTAAATTTGTATGATAGCCATTTAGGGAAGTATCCTTACGATCTGTTCTTTTCTGCATTTCTCAGTCTACCCTTTGAGCAAATGTTTCTAACTCTTAACTCTAGAAATTCAAAACATTGACTTATGTATATGCCTTTCTGTAATGAGTAGTTCATATATATTATTAGCACAATTTAAATTTTTTAAAATTTGTTTTATAAAGAGGTTTTTGGAACAGTAGTGAACTATAACAACAAAAAATCCATTTTATATTATTTTAATTAATTTAATTTTTGGCTGACCGTGCAGCTGTGTCGAGTACTGCCAAATACCCTACATCAGTGGTCTTAGAAATAATTCTTGTATTTAATTATTCGTGAATAATTTTTCAAGCCTGCAAGTATCAGGAATCGAAGTCGTGTAAATTTGTTTTATATTTTAAGTGTCGAACATAAATATACGAAATAGAACCGTTTAACAAATTTTATAATTTATTAATTTGATAATTCATTTTGATTATTTCTATAACTATGTAAATAGTCTTTTAAATGTTGTACATATTATTAACCACATTTTTAGAATGCATGCAGGATTGCCAATATTATATATTCTCCTGGACTCAAATCTTGACTATGCATGTTCATGTATAGTACAACAATATAATATTTGAATATAAAATTAATTACAATAAAATTTTTATTTTAAAATGTGGACTTAAAGCGTAAAAAATTTATTTCACTTCCAACACAATAACATAAACGATTTTACTTTTGTTTAGTATTTCAATTAATGTATATTTTTTTTCAAAAATTTTTTTTTATATATAACACATTTTTTTTTATTAATTACTAAGTTTAACTCATTTCCACATATCTTATATTATTTCAAGATCAAACAAGAATGAAGTTTTAAAGTCCAGTCATTAACTTGCAGAAGTTGTTTTTTTTTTGTAATTTTGTTTTTAACTTTTAAGCAAGTTCATTACCGAAGACTCTTAAGGTATATAATATAAATTATTTAAAAAAATTATACAAGACCGAATATGTTCTCTTTTTAATATTAAACCAGTTTTAATGCGAAACTAACCGAATAATAGGCTCTATGAGGAGATATTCAATCTCGTTAATTCTAAAACAAGCTTAGAGTTTTTTATACTGAGACGACGTTGCATTCGCAACTAACAAACGTTGAAGACTAACCTTTTAGGACGGCCAAAACTTACTTAAAACCATCAAATTTAAAAATTTTGACATTTGCAAAGAAGCAAACAACGATTTTCGATTCATTGTCAAAAAACTTAGTTCATAAATATACATTTCTGTTTATGGCATTCATTTAAATAAATGTAGACTGAGATAAAACAAGTTATCTTTACCCGCTCTGCTTTTTGATGATTAATAAATAAATTAACATATGTATATAAATAAATATTCATACATATATTCCTATATGTAAAGTTCGAAATGATCGCAAACACTTGATTAAGTTAAATAAGTACATACGTCGGTCATAAAAGGTTACCCATATTATTCTAATTTTTATACCCTTCACACATTAGTGTGAAAACGATATAATAAGTTTGGTAAGATACTTGTAACGTAATGAAGGTGATAACAAAATAATTGCAGAGTTTTTTCGTCATCAAAACAGTAACGCTAAGCTAAAAGCAGCAGTGACTGCAAGCATTAGTACGAATATAAATTGAAAACTCATCGGTGGCAGCGTCTCCATTTGACCCATTTGGTATTTTAAACAAAACATTTCAGTACAATGTTTAATTGATGCGATGGGACCAAAATTTCTCAGTAAATAGTAGTGATGTCTACTGCATTAAATTCTTTGTGGATAGCCAAGCAGCTATTAAGGCAATCAAATCATACTGTTCATCATCCGAAAATAGTCTAGAATGCAAGGAAGCTATGGCCAGACTGGCCTGCAACCGCAGACTCTATATGAACAGGATGGATTCCTGATCATAAAGGCATAGAGAGAAGTAAGACAGTTGATGCTATTACTAAAACTGGCGCAAGACTTTCAGAGGGCCAAACAAATAACTCAGACCTCTGAAACAAATACATAAACTCCTGGATGAGCACATGACAAGGAGAGCAAAGTAAAGGTAAAAAAACTCATACCTGTACTAGAAAAAGTACACAGAAATAAATTATTTTTTAATATGGTAGATCTGTACCGAAGTGTTCGAACTGTGAAACAAGCTAGTCCAGATTTTTTCCTGCATACAGTTCTTGAAAATAATAATTGTTTATTTTTAAAATAATAATTATTTATTTTTAAAAATTGGAAAATATAAAAATAAGAGCTGTTCATGTACAAATGTGTATACACTATAACAATTTGATGCAGTACTTATTAAGGAGTGATACAGAGTTATTTATTTTGTTCTTCCTAAAGTAAATGTAAATAAAATACATTTGTGATTAAGATTTAATTTAATTATTAATTCGATATTGTTCATAGACGTTGCCATTTGGTGTGAAATACTACATCATTCAAATATCCTTCACGTGACATCTTAGAGTACTTTTCGGCACACAGCTGGCATCAGTCCAGCTATAACTTGATGGGTGGTAAAATGTCGAGAGATTGAATATTATTTGCATAAACATAATCCTTTGCCATGCCACACAAAACAGTTCAGTAGCGACAAATCGCTTGTTCTTGGTAGACACATCACTTAAAAGTTTGTCGGGCAATAATGCCACAACAGAACGTGCTATGTGACTTGTGGCACCGACTCGTTGAAATTACAGATATTTCAGATGTATATTTTTTATTTCCCAAGAAAAAAAAAATTTTCAATATTTTTTTTTGCTGTAGGTGGAATGCATCGAAAGCGACAGTGTGAGATTTGAAGATTTACACAGCAGTGTGGAAACTTAATTTCAGTAATTATGGGAAAGAGATGGGAGCAGATACCCTTAATACCTAATATTCTGGGAAAGTTAATTAAACCAACTTAAAAAACCATATAAGTAGTACATCTTGTAATGGAGGTTTAAGCCCAGACAAATAGAAGAAGATAGGAACACGATTAATAAACAATACAATGAACACGAGAAAGGGTAGTGTAAGAATATTTATATTTTTGAAATATAAGACCAGTATTAAATACTTTTAAATTAACACACATAAGATAAAATAAATATGATAATACAAATGATGAATTTCACAAAGCAGGTATTTACTTGCGATGTAATATGGAAGAGTTTGAAAATACAGTATTTGCTCTGTTAAAAAACACTTTTCTTTATAATAACTATATTGAAATGTAAACACAATTCCAAACGAGAACAAAGTTCTAAGATGTAAATACTAAGGTCATATAAGTTTTGTTTTTTAAAAAAGCTATATTAGATAAGCAGTAAATAATTAATATTTTTTTTAGTTTTGAAAGTTAATTGGAAAAATTTAATACTGGTTTTTAAAAATTCTCTACTTTATAGTATCACTTTAGCCGACCGTAAAAATGCGGATTAACCCTATATTTTTACCAAAACAGAAATAGAGTATTTTATTTTATTATTTTAGTTTATTATTTATTTTATTTTTCATTATTAATTTATTAAAAGTTATATTAAAACAAATTTAAATAAATAATACAATTATTGTTCTGAAGAAAATGTTACAATTATTATTAAAAATATATATCTGTGTCATGTTTAAAAAAAATACTGCATTTATTTATTTAAAATACTTTTACCGAATTTGTGTAATATCACCACTTCTCTTAATAATTGAAACTATTTTTATTTTATTTTATTAATTTTTTTTTTATTTTGGAACTAGTTATATTTTTATTTTTATATTTGAAACTATTTATTTTAAATTCAATAAGAGTTATTGAATAGAAAAATAACTAAAACATAAACAGAATTTGAAAAGTATCTTTTTTTCTACAGATACTCTTATATCTGTGCATTATATGTTTACAGTTAATAACTGCAGTCAATCATTATAAAAAGTATAATTTAATTAAGTATTACATAAAATGAAATAATTACTTGTTACTAACTTAAGTGAAGAATTGCCTTACGTAAATGTGAAGAAAGTTTTTTTTAATCAGAAATAAGGGTACACGATCTATGAACCGAAAATATACTGGTGATATTATTTCTATAGATTGAAAAATATGTATACTCCTGAAGATAAAAAATGCTATGTCGTTACTAAAAATTAAATAGATCGGTTAACATATAAACTTAATGGATGTACTCAAATTGATGCAGGTTTCTATTTTGAGTGTGTTTATTGTTAGTGAATTCTTTAAAAATTTATATGAAGTGTATTTATTGTTTCGTAAAACCGAAGATAATGGAATAACTTAAAACAATAGAATATTTAACAAAAGTGTATTTATAATATATAATGCAGTTAATTTAAATATTTTTTTTTAATTTTTATAAAAACTCATGAATAAAAAAAAAACTAAAAAAATAACACACAGTTTGAAAAATAAACAGCTGATAAAATCTACAAAAATGAATTTTGTCAATTAACTTAACACATAACTCTTGTTTTTACAGATATTCTTATGTACTGTGTATATTTATGTGCAAATATATTTGAATAAATAACTGACATCAATCATTATAAAAAGTTTATATCAATTAAGTGTTAAGAGTTTTTTTTTACTGTAAAAACAGCATTTAAAAAAAAAAGAAATATAGATAGGAATATACTTCTTTCTTAACTTACTACTACATATTTTAACCATACTCGTATATTACAATAGCGATAGTATCTTACCGACGATTATCGTGATATACTAAAAAATATATTTTTTGTTGGCAATGTTTTGCACTGTACTAATTTAATTATAAGAGCATATAGCAGTAGATAATATTGTCACAGAAACAATCTATTCTCTAATCTCCCCTGGATACGCTACTGCAGAGAGAAAAATTTACCGAGAAAATATGTGAACTAATCAAATGAACCGAAGGTTGTTTTTGCAAAAAGATCTTTCATAATAAAATAAGTAATTAAATTAATGGTATAGTTCATCAGTGGTAAAATTTGCGAAATATGACTATTACTTATATGCAATAACACTGCCATAGTACAAACGTTGCAATTAAAGAACCTCGTAATATGTTATCATGATTTGTTTTAAATTAATATTTTTCTATTCTTGCTTAATATAAAAAGTGTTAAATATAAGGTATACTCCACTAGCGGTATAAAAAGTTTTTCGAACATATAGTATTTTTTTATATACGAGCAATACGATCATATGTGAAATTTCTTAGATACTTTTACTTTCTTATAAAAGTTAGTATTATTTATTATTAAAAGTTTAAACTTGAAATCGCTAACATCCGGTACTGCGGCTAGAAGAGTCATATTATACCAATTTCACTATTGATTACACAAAGCACTTTAAAGCTTTGTGAACTAAATCCACAACTTTATCTAGAGAAGAGTACTTTATCTGTTCTGGTGACAGAAATTTCATATGAAACTAGCCCCTTCTGTGTGCAATTAAAATTGGAAAGTCACAAAGAATATACATGGTAGTTTCCTAATTTTCGAGGCATAATCTGCTTTTCGAATTAATAGATAATTGTAGTTTATGAAGGTGATATTTCAGACCATAGTCACCTGTAATGAAACCCCCGTTAACAACCATAAATTACTTTTTTGAGAATTTAAAGATGTCTTTGTAGGAGTAGGTTGTTATCAGTGCTTTGCTTTGTCTAAGTTCTGGAAAGTTTTCCTAGTACTCCAGCCGCATATCATTTTCCCTTTTCTTGATAATTTGTTTTGTACTGGCCCAGTTTATCCCACAAAAGGGTTGAGGGCCTGTAAAAGCAGTGACACCGCATATTGATTTGTGAGAAAAGTGTGCATATTTTGGCAACTTAAGTTATTTTCTTTTGAAATTTGCTACTAAGTTTTATATTCTTCACTACATTAATAATTCTTATTCTTAAATTTATTCTTAAATTTGTTATTTTTTTTTTTATTTGTCAAACACTTAAATAACTCTTGAATATATTTTTATTTCAGAACGAAAGACCTAGCAGTTCATTTCTTTAATATAAGTTAACTTTAAAATTAATTTTAATGTTAACTCACAAATAAATAAATATTTTTATTTATTTTCGTAATAATTTTGTATATTTACAAAATTTTATATATATTGCATTTATAATAAAATATAAAATATTTAACTAAAATGTTAAAATCTTATAACTGCAAATTGTGTTCCTGTAATCTGCAAATTTTGCTTAACAAAATCATAAAAGCTCTGTGCAAAAAGTTCTAAAGCTTAAAAGATGCTAAAGCCAACTTCTGTAAAGTAAACAAAATAGTTTTAGATATTTTTTATTTTATGAAGTTATTTTATGTGGACTAATATTTATTAAGTTTCAGTTTAAAATTAGCATAAATAGCTATTTGTAAAAACCAACGAGAAATTGTTTAAAATTAGAACCATACTGAATAAATTTAAAAAATCTCTCGCCATTTCCCAGCTTCCATTGTGCTTGAAATCTTTCTAAGTATATTCCTTGAAAAGGTTGCTTACAGTACAATAAGGAATCTTAAATTTAAAATCTAAAATATTTTTTATAAATTATTATAAACTGAAATTTTAATAGTAAAATAGGTAATTATATAGATAACTTAATATGTATTTACTCCACCAAATAATGAATTTAATAAATATGAATTTATTTTACTTTTAAAACATTTTTGAATTGGTACATGTCTGGGCTCTGTTAAGTACATCCGGCTGTTTCTTTGCAGTACTATTCACACAGCAATGTTGTCATTTGAGGAAGAGCATGCGCATTGAGTAAGTTCGTATATCGATTTAGCAAATAATCACCATTATACAATTATTTTTCTTGAACAGCAGTATCACAACAATACAATAAAAAAATTAATAAATTAAATCCAAAAATGAAAATAATTTTTGCAATTATAATATTAAGTATAATCACTCTTTCCAGTGCCAATTTACGAGGACCGTTCTTATTATGGAGTCAAGAAGAAAATTTTAAATTACAAGAAAACAATTTAAGGCATTTCAGTGAATTTGATTATGATAACATTTATAAAAGTTACAATGAAATTATTATATATGTGCGAAATAATACAAATCGCTTGGATGATATTAACTGGCCGAAGTTTAAAAATTTAATTAAAAATTCCCAATATACCTATTGGCCTCAAAATCAACTTATTGCTGAGCCTTTTGACTACACCAATAATGTCACGGTAAGAACGAAGATTTTTATGATTCAGTAATATTTGTTATATGTGAAAATCTTCAAGGTTATAACTCTAAGTAATAATCCATTGGATGAAGATGCACAAATAGTTTCGAGTTTTAAAAAATCAAGCACAATTAATGGTATTGGAAAGGTACTCGGAATTTTAGTTTATAATAAAGAACCAGCACATTGGATATCAAAACGAGAAGTGACAGAAAAATCCACTACTACTATTCAACCACAAACAGATGAGAATGATAAGAGTTTTATTTACTTGGCTGGTGGTAATTACAAAATTTTTAACATAATAATTCATTAATATTTTTAAAATCACTATTTAACAATAGCTTTTATTATTTTTAGTTTAAAGAAAATAATTTTGTTTTAGTTATTATTAATATTTATTTTCCTTGTAGTGTTTGTGTTACCGTCATTTATAATATAGAGATTCAGAATATGAATTAGAAAATTGTAAGAATTATTTAGAGATAAATAAATAAAACTTGAGCCAATTGCAGTCCAGCAGGCTGTCTGATTATGACGATGGATAATGGACTGACTAAGGCTATAAGAATATAATGGTATATTATTATACCAAAGATTAATTTTAAGCGTTGCTAACTGAGTCTAAAAGCAACCGAAAGTGGTCTTTAAATATAACAGATAATAACTTATTACTGGATATGTCATATATGTAAAGATGTAACGGAATAAGAACTTACTGTAGTTTAATACCTTTGATAATAATTTAATATTTTTGCTTTAAAGAGCAATCGTTGAAAACGACTCCAAACTTATGAGTGTAGTCAAGTAGGTTCATATGGCCAGTAATCTATTAAAATGTGTTCGAAATAATATTTAAGAATAAAAAGAGTGCCTGTGGGGTGAGTCCTCTTCTATCTCTGTGATAGATCGATGACGAAACCATGATCGTGTGTATGTGCAGATATCTATAGCTATTATTGTTAGACCACAGATTTGATGACCGCTTTTTGTTTTAAGTGAATGACATTAAGCGAAAATTCATTAATTTTTTATTCGAATAACTACTTTTTTGTGCTATCGTGAGTTTTTATTAATGCAAATCTTAAAATGTTGCTTTTATTATTTTCTTTAAACAGTTATTTTAAATTGTTTTTAAATAAATTAGCAATGTGTATGTGTAACTTTAAATTAAAAACGTAAGAGGATATTACTGAAACCTTAAGATTATTATATATACATATATAAATAATACATTTATAATACTAATACCAGAAATATAGGTCTACAAATACAGTAAATATAATCAAAATGAAATTTATTTAGAAAGAAACAAAAACAAATTAAATAATGAGCATAAATACTATACTAAAAAATGCTCAATGTAAAGCTCACCTATACAATATTATAGTCACATATAAACTTATTTGTTTATTAATGAATGCTCTTTCTACATTGCCTTACTTTGTTAGTTCTATTTAATATAATGGTATATAATCGCTCTTGATAATTACATTGTGACATACAAACAGGTAATCAATTAAACATTTAACAGTCGTCACCGTGGTTAATAACGATCGATTTTAGAATTAAACTTTTTATTCTAATTATTTATAATTTTAAAACATGTTATCTGAAAATATTTATATTTTTTTTCGCTTTGCTTAACAAAAAGTAAACAGAAAAAGCAATATACATTTCTTATAGAATTCAAATTAGTGCAAAGAAAGCAAAAATAAATTCTTCATATGCGATGTCAAAAGTGAATAAGTGAGAGAAAAAATGTTTAATTTTATTCTATGTTCTATGTTTTGATATAAAATGTGACAATCCTAAACATAATCATCTAAATTTGATATTAAAATTAAATAATTATATTCGTTGGAGTCGTTTCCATTAAAGTATTACAGATTTAATTTAAGTATTCAATTATATTTAAAATTAGTTGTAAGTAGGATATTTCTCTTTAAAAATTTAATTTAATAAATATTAATTTAATGGTTCTTAATATTAAAAATTTAAATAATCATAAAAATATAAGCAATTGAAAAACTAATTAGAATTAAAAATGAAATTATTTAAAGGAAATATGTACATATTTGTTTAAAAATATTATTTTAAAAATTTGAAATAATAAAAATTAATATAAAAATACTTTACTATATATCTATAATTTACTATATCTATATATTTATAATCGCATTTACTATTTTTATAATATAGAAATGTGATGTAAATGTATAAGTTTTTACATATTCTAATGTAAATATATATGTATATAATATTGTATTTACTACTAAATTATTTATGCTAATTAAACGTTGTATAGTTCTACAACAGTTATATATTATGTATTTTTATTTATTAATAATAGTTTAGTTTATAAAACTAATATTAACTAAATATAGATATAGCTCTGTCTACTGACGCCTTTAGCTAATTATATATTATAATTATATTCCTTCAATACATACAAGATTTTATCTTAACATTCTGCACATTAACATATTTGTGTATTTCTTACATAATTCTTTTTAATTATTACAGGCAAAAAGGCAATTTTATATGTAACCAAGGCACTTAAACTTGAAATCTCAAATGAATCCTTAAAACTAATAGATGATAAGGAAGGAGTCACATTCGATGATCAAAAAGCAAAAGGATATGGACGTTTAAATATTTTATTCAGTGTAGATAATGAAAAATTAAAACTACGATTTAATTTTACATTGGCAAGAGGAACATGGTCCATGAAAGCCGTAGAAGTTGAATATAAAAATAATAAGACAGTATTATCAATTGTTGGTGATTCGCATAGTATACCTTCAGCGCCATTGGGATTTTCCTACCGCTGTTCCGATCAACAAGCTATATTTACCAATGGTTTGGATACTTTAACTTTAACTGATTATCAGGTAATAAGAATTCAAAAAAATTCTTTTCGCTATAAATTATAAAAAAAAAATACATATAAAAATAATAGTAATAAATTATAACATTAATTATAGTAATTTCAATATTTACTATTATTAAAACAATAACATATATAATATAATAAGAGAGCAGAATCAGTCGACTCACTTCACACTTCCTTTATTGTCGAAGCGCTGTATTCTCTCTTAAATAAAGCAGTCTGTAGTACAGTCAATAGGTTCATCCTACTTGACTTAAAGAATATAGAGCATTCTGTCTTTAAAATTCAGTGGTGCATCACCAGCAAAAAACTATGAAACTAAGTTTAACACTTTTCACGAAAAACTGGATACATATTTATTGATCTGCATTTGCCAATGCAATACTGTGTGGGGTATCTGTTTGCTAATGGTTTTCTGTGTGCGATATAGGATGGTGTGGTCGCTACTCAAACATATCGTAAACATATACTGAAAGAACGAGTATATGATGAGATATGTTGAAAACCTAGTTTAGCCCCAGAAACATTGGAACACATTATCTCGAGCTCTTCTGTAATGGAACCAAAGGAATATTTAAACTGTCATAAAGTTGTATATAAAATAATAAACTAAAGCCTTCTATTCGAGCATAGGATAATCTCTGTGACTTGATCGATTTACCAGTATGCATCAAATGCAGTGGTAGAAAATACGAAGTTTCATACGAAGTTTGTGTAAGGAAAACAATCACCGATCTGTAGAAAGAACGACCTCAAAATAAATGTATAACAAAGACTACATTCAAGAGAATATAAACTATTTAATACTAGCATCCGTAATTCCACAATTTATATTAATAATAATAGTAATAATATAGTAATAATAATAACAATAATAACATAATGGTTTTAATAATAATTATAATAGTTGTAAAAATAATAATAATATATCATAATATAATATAATATAATCATATGTTATAATTACAGGTACAACCTTGGTTGAATGGTTCAAATAAGTTTGGAAATGTATATGATTGTGTAGGTTTCGTGTCTTCACCAATATTAGCTGGAATTTTCGTTTCTTTCTTCCTATGTGGTATACTCTCAATTGGCATATTAGCTCTAATGGATGTGAATACACCTAATCGTTTTGAAAGTTCACGAAGTAAACAGTTAACTTTTACTGTACAGGACTAAATATATAAAAAATTATGATATTAAATTGTAAAATTATATGTATTAATATATGGCAAATTTAAGAGAATATCAAACAATAGTTATATAATCTGGAAAAATGTTTATATTAACATCATATAGCATAGTTAATGTACTTGTACTTTTCACATTAGCTATTGAATTCTTTCTGATACATCTACTTTTTATTTTAATATTTATGTATATTTATATTATGTGGTACTATTAATATTTAACGCATAAATGTTCAAAATAAGTTTCAATAAGTATTGTTAATTATAATTATCAAACCTTTAAATAAAGTTGTTTTAATTAATATTTTTATTTTTGAAATAATTAAAGTATAAATTTTGTTTTTTAGATAGAAATTCAACTAAATGTCTTTAGTGTAATTAAAGAAGGTGGTTCATAGGATAATCAAAGAAGCGCAATCTTAATTAATTTGTATTAAATTATTGCAAACTTAACTATCGTTTTGATTCAGGAACAATTCTACTGGAATAAGAAATTGAACTTAACGCTTCTGTTTAATAAGTTTTAATTAATTTGTGTAGAACTTTTACTGACTACATTTACTGGAAGATTGAGAATAAGTTATCTAGTCTCTTAATCACGAGAACAGATACAAGTATTATAGTAAACATTAAACAATTCTGCGCTACCACCTTAATAACCAAATGAGGATAATAAATAATATTTGCCAGCATTGCTGTTTTTTAAGCTTTAAATAAAGGTTCCCGGAAAGAGTTGTTCCAATAACTTCACCAAAATTAGGGTTAACTTCAGCAAAAAAACCATCTGAAATACTTCAATATTGTATTTAATTTATACAGTAAAAGATAATTATAATACAAAAAATTTAATTAAATCGGCATTCACACGACATATTTGGCGATTAAATTGACAATCAGCAGTTTAAGCAAAACATGCAAATAAGGAAACATATAATTGTCTATAAACAAGGGAATAGTGGAAAACAAGGCAATAGTATAAACAAGGAAGTAGTGGAACACAGCGAAGGATGAAAATGTTCAAATCGAAAGAAAATCTATGCTTCAAACTAATTTGTTGTGTGAAAACAACAGCCACATGAGCAATAACAAGAGTTCAATCCAGATAAGCAGTAAATGGGCATTAAGATCATGTATCGTTTCAATAGACTCTTACGTCGTTCAGACTTTTGTATTTTCTATCAATTTTTATAAATCATTTGAAATTATAACTTCTGTTTTTAATAGACATTTCCTTTGCAAAGCATTAACCATTAGAACTTTATGCGCAAGGAGGGAGTAGTATTATTAGCCCTGCAACAAAACGGTAAGAACATTTATTTATACATTGGAAACTTTATTAAATGATTATAAAACATTGATTTGGGCAGACATCTTCTATTGAACAGAAGAAATATTTCAATAATCCAATAACCAATAAATTGTAATTGTGATGGTCAGAATGGACTTTGCACATAGTGCAACGCAGTAAAGAATTAGTATTGAAGATACGAAAGAGTGAAGTACATATAATATTAAGTCAATAAAAGATGTCAGTATATACTTTGAAGACGTAGAAAGCATAATGACACAGTCAATTTTAAAAAATTAATTAGTATATATCAAAATAAATCATAATGAAAATGGCTTATAGTTAAGAGGTCTGTTATTTTCAGGAACAACGTCCTATCAGAAGATAAAATTTCATACTAAAGAAGTTAACATAAAGCAGAAATTTAAAAAATAAAAATTTGTCTTATTTTTACGAATTTAAATTTGACCATTTGGAGATGAAGATTTTTGTAAATTTTCCTAGTTCTGATATACCATGGTGCCAATCACATTATTTTTCGTATTTTCGACTAAGGTTTTTATACATTTATTTGTATACATATAAACAAATATAATAAAAGAAAAAAAAGATTTTTTTATTTCCTTGATAATTTATTATAATGTATAACCCTGTCGGAGCATAGGGTAATAATGAAATTTAATAGCCAATACCATTTATATTTTAAATTTTATGTTTGCAATGAGTAGCAGTGTCTAAAATCTTGGCATTTAGAAATAAAAGAATAGTAACATGGAAAAAATGAAACAAAAAAAGTGTACTGGTTGTTGAGTCTAAGATATGAATTGAGCCTGTGAAAAAAAGTTATCTAATACGAAGCTATTATTGTACCGCTCTGGCTATATAAAACACAGTTGTTAAAACATCGAGCAATTCGAGCAAAATAAAACGATTTGATCACTTAGATTAATTGTTCAGCTCATCTGATTTGTTATTAATACTACTATCCGTAAAGATCTAGATCCTTTCAGCATAAAAGATATAATTGGAAATTGTATTTCTAAATATTTCGAAACATTTTAAAAGTAATCGAATTATATTGTCTAGTTATCCTCACCCTATCTCTCTAATTTACGCCCCTGCTTTCTGGCTTAGACGAACGAATCTAGCTCGCTAGATATTACGCCTATATGTTCACATCTCCCTCCCCTGATTACTGGAATGAATTTACCTCAATGTCTGGTCTTCTAAATGTAGTTTTTTCATATCCGATTAGTCGATTAAATTAAAACTTAAGGATGTACAAAGAAAGTTTTATAAATACAAACACACAAAATTGAAACTCAGACTCAATCATCTCTTAGTTAGAATCGTAGTTCGTAATTACTGTAGGTCGTATAGTCATCTCTGTAGTCTTAGTAATGGTAGAATATAGTTTTTAAGAATATGTTTTTCGCAATCCTTCTCCATATATGTGGTAAACATTACAACATTTTCATAAATTGCATATTCATACACTCATACAATCTTAATCAGTGCATAACAAAAAGCAACTATTATGAATAAAAAACATGTATAAGATAAAATGGAAAAAAAAAACTTTAAAGTATTTACAGATCTAAAACTGCCGAACTATTTTATATTTCTATATGGAAAATATGCTAGGTAACAAAATATATTAAAATATATGTATATATATATATATATACATATACATATATGCTCAAAAGCTATTCGTTGAGGAAGTGCTTCTCAAGTAACTCTCATAGGTAAACAAAAATAAAATTTTTTATACTTCAACGTGTAAAATGCAATTTTCGGCCTTATAGCGATGTACATATGCATGAATATAGTCTGCGCTTAGAGTTTAGTTTACAACTTACAAGGTTACAAAATACAGATCAGTTGGTAAAACCCGAAAAGAGTAAAATGTGTATAATGAAGCAAATTAACTTGCAACTTTATACGGTATTTGGCTATGTTGACTAAGTCTATGGAAGATACTGAATAAGCAGTTTTCCTTACTAAAAGCTTCATAAAATTTAGTTTAGTAGTTAATGTCGAAGTGAGCACAGCGTCGAACATGTTGAGTTAAATGTGCGGGCATCGATCGGTACATTTTCTATATATTTTGTTGCGTGTAATCGTTACTCTGAACATTTTTTATAAAACTGGTTAACATAGATACAAAAATACATTCAAAAATCAGAATAGTACTTGTTATTTATAACAACAAATCTACTGATGATTTGTTTGTATTTTTTATTATTTTGTTTATTCTTATATCGTTTTTTGATTTTTTTCATTGTTTTTAAAAAAACATGCGAGAAATGATGAATCAACAAATTTATCGCATATTTCCTAAACTTTAAATATTTTTTTTAAATGGAGTATCCTAATGTGATTGATTATAAACTGCTAACTCCGGTTTTTTTATTAAAGTTGAATTTGTAAATAATGACCTGCATCAACTATAAAACGTTAAAGACTTTAAAGAAAAAGAATGAAATATTTTAGCTTTTAATTAGCATATTTTGTGATGTTAAAATATTTATATATATTAATTTATGCAAGTATAATGATTAAATATTTGTGTATCTATGACGAAATTCAAATTAAAACACTAATTCAAGTGTTTATCATATATTTACATATTAATTAATATTTTACAATATTTACAAACCAATTCGTTTTTAAAAAGTAAAATGGAAAATATATTTTTTATCAATATACAATCTTAACACAATTAATAACAAATGTTTAATTTAATTAAAATTTAAATCTCGGAGGGGAGGCATGGTAAAGCGTAGAGTCTGATACAGATTTGCCCTCAAACTTAACCTAAACCAAGAATTTAAAATATTTACAAATCAATTCGTTTCTGAAAAATGAAATGGAAAATACTTTTTTTATTAATATACAATAAATATATACAATATAATATACAATATAAATACTATTAATAAAAAGGTGTTGATTTAATTAATCTTTAAATCTCGGAGATGAGATATCATAGAACGTAGGCTCATACAGACTTCCCTTCAAACCTCAACTAAACCAAAAATTTTACTATATTTACAAACTATAATTTTAGTTTTTAAAAAGTAAAAAGAAAATATTTTTTTTATAAATACACAATATTAATAACTTTAATAAAAAGTTTTCAATTTAATTAAAATTTAAATCTCGAAGAGGAGACATCGTAAAATGTAGAGTCTGATAGAGACTTGTGCCTTCAAACCTAACCTAAACCAAAAATTGTACAAAATTTACAAACCAACTAGTTTCTTAACACCAAAATTTTTAATTTTGTTATCAATATATAATATTAATATTATTAATAAAAAAGTTTTAATATAATTATAGTTTAAATCTCGGAGAGAAGATATCGTAAAACATATAGTCTGATATAGACTTACCGCAAACCTCACTAAACCAAAAATGTTAGAATATTTATTAACCAATTAGTTTCTGAAAATCAAAATTTTCCTTTTTTCTTTTATTAATATAAAAGATTAATATTATTAATAAAAAAGTTTTAATTAAGGTTTACATCGCGGACGGAAGACATCATACAACATAGTGTCTAATACAAACTTACCTTAAAACCTACTCTAACCTAGTTAAAAATAGTAATAATTTTTCATTTAAATAAAATTTAAATTTTTTTTAAATTTTTAATTAAAGTTTAGTTATTTCATATACATTTAATATTATATATCTTAAAGGTAGTCGACTTTTCCAAGTACTTAATTTATTGGTGAGATACTCATATTTATAATTTAAAAAAATTGTAAGTTTACAGTTAAATTTTTTAATAAAAAATTTAATATTATAAATGTATATCTCAAAAGTGTGGTTGACTTCCAAAAAAAACTTAATATATTGAACAGATACTTATTTATAATAAAAGAAATTGGTTTGATTATTGAAAATATGATTTGTTGAATATTGAAAATATATTTATTGGCAAAATATAAAATATATTTATATAAATTAATATAAAGATACTAATTATAATTACAATAAATACAATTTTAAATTTAAATTTAAATTTTTATTTTATTTTTGCATTTGTTCACAAAATTAAAAAATTGAAATTTATTTAAAAAAATTTAAATTATTTTTAAAAATTTAGAATAGAATAACTGCGTTTTTTTATGCATATAAAATATATATGATCTTGCGGAAATTATAAAAATTAATATATCATAATTTTCAATATCTTTTATTAAATTTATTTCGCAAAACACAAAATCATATTTAATTTCTAATTTTCATTAATTTTTAATTAGTTGATTTCAAGATTTGTACGTATTACTTATTGATTGTACGTATTTAAATAATTAAAACTATAATGTTCATTAACTTTTTTCAAAGATAATTTGTATATATTGAAAGTCACTTTTGTAAATAATTAGTCATAAAAGAATTACTATTTTTGCACACATATTTAGCTAATTGGTTTGTTAAATATTTTCTTAGAAACGTAAATACCTTCAAATTATATGAAACTTAAACGCTTAAATATTTCTGACATTCATTGAACAATAATTAATTTCGACCTTTAATATTTTTACGTAAAAAAAATGTTGACGAGCTATAGATTAAAATTTAAAATAATTTTTTATTCAGCTCAATAAATTAAAATACAATTAGTTTAAAAAATAAATACTTATAATTAAAAAATTTTATAGAATTAAAATAAGTATAATAAAATTTATAAATTAAACAATTATTTAAAATTATTTGTTTTTTAAATTTTTAACTAAAGAACTCAGTCCCTTCGTATTATAACATAAGGGTATTTATTAAATTTTAAATTTGTTTCTCGACCTAGTTTTTTTAATAATATTTCTTTTAAATATATTTTATATCCGAATACAGGCCAACTTTTTTTTAAATTAAATGTTTATTTAATATTTTTTTTTATATTCTATATTTCGACTCTCCATGAGAGTCCTTATCAGGATCAGAACTCTACAGAGATAAATACAACAATTTTTATAATATTTTAATGATTAGTTTCTTGACTATTTAATTTACATTTAACCTTTATGAATACCTTAAGTAGTATATAAATAGTATAAAAAATAAGAAACTAATCACTAAAATATTATAAAAATTGTTGTAATTATCTTTGTGAAGTTTTGATCCTGATGATGAAACTCAAGGAGAGTCAAAATATAGAGAATATTAAAAAATATTGATTAAACGTTTAATTTTAAAAAAAAGGTCACCTGTAACCGGATATAAAATATATAAAAAAATATTATTAAAAAAACTAGGTCGAGAAAAAAATTCAAAATTTAATAAATACCTAAATGTTATAGTACGATTGAGTTCTTTTACCCTAAACATATCGTTAATCAAAAATTAATTTAAAAAAACATATGGTATGAATCATCGAATACAAAAATTTATAGTAATTGTTTAAAAAAAATAAAGTGAAAATAATATTATTGTATTAATTACCCCACATCTAAAAATTAGAACATTTCATAAATTAGAACTAATTTGGTTCTTATTTTCTTTTGAAAATAATCATATATATTTGTATAAAATTGTTTTATTTAATTTATTCATTTTTCTTTTTTAATTTTATTTTAATATTTTATTTATTTTAATTTCGTTGTTCCAAATTTTATTTATTTATGTATCTGTTCAATTAATACGAAAATCTGTTTTTATTTAAATCTATGTTATATAAGAAATTTTTTTTTATTTTGATATTTAAATTAAATTTATTTAAGTAATAATAATAAATTTTTAACATCTTCAATATTTTAACACTTTACTAAATACTTATCACTTAAATAATTATTGAGAACTTTGTTTACTTTAAAATAGATTTAAATATTGTAAATCAACACGTTTTGTGAAGTATCTATATAATTATAGTTTCTAAGCAAAATTCAACATTTAAGCAACTAAGTCATTCAAAAAGTAATAAATTATCAAAACAAATATAAAAAATACTCTAAACAAATAAAAAGCGCTACATCAATACTGTTAAAATGAAACTATTGCTTATAATATTTTTTTATATCTTCACAAAAGTTAAATAAATATTAATTTTTCTCTTAATAAAACATAAGATACATAATATATATACCTATAAGAGATGTAACTAAAAAATTCACTTGAATGATTTCATATATAAAAGTTCTATTTAACAATATTTGTTGCACAAAATGTATCTAATGTGGGTACTTAATCATAAATCTCATAAACTATCTCGTTTCATTACTAAATATTATTACAATATGTATTTAAATATTTTTATTTCCATAGTTGAGTTAATTACACTCAATGACTATCAATCAGTATATAAACGTAATTAAATGTAATTTATTTTTGAAAAATTTATTTAAAAATAATAAAAGTGGGTTCACACTATATAATTATGGTGAAAGAAAAACTTGTAACTTTAAAATAAAATGCATATATTATAGTTAAGCAATTTTAGTTTCAATAAAAGGCTCGAAGTTGTTACAACGATCGGAACAAGCTAAGATACTTACGAAAATGCTAAACTAATCAAAGTAAAATATAGAGAATACAGCAAAAAATATGAATAATTAAATACTCTGAAATCTGGTTAGTGATTAATTCAGTTCAGCTTAAAATAAGTAGAATATTTAATTTACAGTTGCGAAATTATCTTCCAGTTGCGAATACATTAAAATTTACTAAAAATCATTCCACAAGGACAATATTAAAAAGTTCACTACAGAAAAATAAGTTCAAGGTTTTAAAGTTTCCTTAACATATGGAAAAAAAAGCAAATATTGAAATTTCAAAATTGATACTTTGTGATATCTAAATTGTGTAAATAAATTAATTGTGATATTTTTATTTTAATAGCGAAAATGGAATATTATTACTAAATAAATGTACAATAGTATTATACGAGTGCTTTCAATAAGATTAATGTGAAGCTTAATCAAATCAGAACACGATTTTTAAATTTTACGTAAACAATTTGTGTTTTTACTGCAATAATAAAAAATTCAAATAAAAAACTATGGATGCGGAAACAGATGGAGTTCCTCCAGTTAAAAACGAAAATGATACAATGGATTTGGCAGCCCGTCGTCGTTTATTCATGTCACAGCCATCCACAGTTGCATTACGACGACAGCAAGCAGTCTGTGTAAGAAGGGCTCATAAAATGTACGGTAGCACAAAGAATCCAAATGTTGTTTTAGATGGACTTAATATGACAGTTCCTAAGGGTTCTATGTAAGTTTTAATTTTTTTACATTTACAGATAATCAAATTTTTTTTAAATACATATATTTATAATATTATTTTCTATGAAGTAGAGATTTTTTGATAAGAAAAAATATCTGTAATTTACAATCTTAAGTATCAAACACAATTACCAAACCATAAAGTAACAGAATCCATAATAATTTAACGTGTGCATTTTCTATGAAGTCTAGTTTCGTTTTATAAAAAAATATCTGTTATTCCCTATCTCAAGTATTAAACTGAGTAACATAGTAACAGAGTCCATATTTATTTAACATGATGCATTTAAAACATTGTTTTCTATGAAGTCCAGATTCGGTTTATAAAAAAAAATCTTTTATTCACAATCTTAAGTATAAAACTCGATAACCGAGTAATATAGTAACAAGTTCCAGAGTTATTTAAGGTGATTGTCTACGGTTAAGGTATAACACCACAGTGATTTTAATACACGTATCAGTATAATGCTACGATAAACACCCTCATTGAAATTCTGAAAAATTCCACTGGCACCAATTAGAGCTATACATCTGGATATAGTTTCCATCTTGGGAGGGATCGTGCCCTATCCAACACCTCTGTTGTTCTTTGGGGCACAGCACCCGATTGGAAAATGTAATTCCACATCGAAAAAAAGTAATGAATATAATCATTCTACTTACGTAAGTTTGTGCTTTAACCACAGCCACCACCATACTTCTATGAATGGAACCAACTTCTATTTATTATGATAGCTAAAGCGGTCCGGTTCCGCAAGTGACGCTTGTTTACTACCATTTATACTTCAAACATTATTAGGTGCTAATATTCAATGAATATTTAAAAAAGGCACATTCAATTGCTTATTAATATTTAAGAAAATTTGAATTTCTTAAACTTAAGAGAACAACTGACAGTTTGCTTAATTTTGTTAATTTAATTCAACATTTTTTTGACCAAAAACTTCAAGAATAATAAAATACATAATTATTTTATTATGCTTTATGTAGGTATATCTGATATAATGAATAGTATAAGTACATACGTAGGTACATTATATGGACTATTAAATAGGTATATAATTACAGTCAAACTTCCATAACTCGAATTTCTATATCTGGAATTTATTATAACGCAAACTAAAAATAGTGCAACAAAGTTTTAGAGAGCAAATTACATACAATTCTGCTTCCATAACTCAAACTTCTATAACTCGAAATTCTCCATAACTCGAATAAAAATATTGTCACGTGCCAATAGGAATATGGGAAAGTGCATTCTATAAGTCAAATTATTGTTTTAAGTATGAATCCATTTTAATGTTATGGGAAGTCCCTTTTTCCAAACCAATAAAATTGTTCATCAGTCTTCCAAAAATAAAGAAGAAATAAAAATTCATTCAAAATTTTGAATTTTTATTTGCAAACTAATGATACTACAACTGATGATCACTATAAGGTTTGGAATAAAGTGAAATCTCTTTTTGCTGAAAATTAGAAAAAAAATTAAAATCCTAAACCCTAATTTCTGAATATTTTACTTCACTATAACTTCTATGCCGTATTTGATTTCAAATAAATAAATAAACATCTTAAAATTAAGTTCTAATTTCTTTCAAAAATAAAAAAAAAATAAAAAAATTCTCTAACTAAAAGTCTACATAACTCGAACCCTTTCTTTGCAAAATGATACTTCGAGTTATGGAAGTGTGATTGTACTTCAAAATTTTTTGTGCTTATTTTCTAATATGCGAGATCTCAGTGGACAAACTACAACTACTATAAATCCAAACCTTTTCAATTTTATTTATGGATCATTCTTGACCAACCGGTCCACCGATTGGGAACCACTGATTTAGAGCAAAACTTTTTTTCATTTCATTATTATATATATTTTTAGTGCAATTGGTTAGCACTTTTTTATATTAACGGTATTACTCAATTACTATAGTAAATGGTGGTGAAAATTTTATAGTACTACTTTCGGTACTTACTGATGTGCTATTCAATACTAACATATATAATATATGAATATGTTAGAAAAAATAATTATTGTAAATGTGTTATGTATTATTATTATGTATTTTGTATTATTCATTATTATTATGTATTAATATGTATTAAATCTATTAACTATAAACAATATTTCAATGCTAATGAATTAACTGCACACATAAAATTGTTAATAAAAATTTTCTAGATATGTTATATACATTTATGTGGCAACTATCGCTTCATAAACTTTAGATTTTATGCATACAAATATAAATTAATATAGTATTGTATATGAATTATGTACACACGTATTTATTTTAATATTAATACTACTGAAGTAAGCGTTTTTGGCACAATACATAAAACTACCATACAAATTCACAATGAGCACATCGACCTGAACGACGATAGTTAACAAAAGTTTTCTGCTGATGCATTTACCATTAAGTGTGTCAATGTCAGCGAATGCTAAAAACAAGTCTTAAATCAGCATCCAAACTCTCAGCAGCAATTTATTTTACATCAAACAAAGATCTCTCAAATCACAATGACGTGTTACACGTTGAAAAAAAAAATGCTAAAAAATGTAAAAATTTTGTTGTTTTTCTATGAAAACTTGCGTATAATTTTAAGTAAAACAGCATTATTAGACTCGTCGGCAGTAGGTGTTATGCTAAATACCTTCCTTAACATATCATTTATTAATTGCTTTAAAAATACTAGTTTTTTGTAACATTTCATTACATACAAACGAGTGCTTCAATTTAATTAACTACAAATGTATTAATGTACTCGTCGTGATCATTGATCATTATATCCGTCTGAAAATGCTATTAAATTGAACTTACAATAAATATTATTACAAATAGATATTTCCACATGTTAATTACCTACAATAATTCAGATATGTAAAAAGTTTCCGTTGACCTTATTGGCTTTAGAAGCGAACAGTACATCAATTATTTAATTAAATGCGATTAAAAATTCGCATTTCTTACTCGTGTTTGACGTTGAATAATTATAGGGAAGTTTTTAATATTTTTCTTTCAAGAGTTGTTAATTTATATAATATATTGAATCTTATCTTCAAATCGAGACATACAATAAGTTATTAAGTCTTAAAATTATATCAGCATTAAAGTTCATACGACGAGGACATAACTACATGTAATTTACACTAAATAACTGTTATTCAATGATCATCACTTAAATAAAACTAGACTGATTTCATACAGAAAGAGCCAAGGTCCATAAATAGGTTCTTACATAAAAGATGGAGGCAAAAAAAGACAAGAAAAATAAAATTTAATAATATATAAACAACAGAAAACAAATTTTAAAATAGAATAGAATATCTTATGGCTAAGCGAACTGATATTTTATTAAGAGAATGTCTTGTCGTTATAATAATAATCTTGTTACGGGGTTAACATAAGATTGCAACTTTTAAAATATAGATTACTCTGAAAATATTTAGTTTAATTATCTTTATGTAATAGAGCATTTGTATTATTCTTTTAATTATATTAAGACTGTAATTTACTTCGTAATTCACTTGCAATAAATTAAAATTAAATTGGTTGATTGGTTGCAATAACTAATTAGTATAACACATTCCTAGCAAGAAGTTCGAATAGATAAATCAAGGTCTACTCTGCAGAGTTCATGTAACTTTACATATCTATTGTCTTTGCCGGTGAGCAGTCTAACAAAACAGTCTACTGTAAAGAAAGTAAAAATTTGTTCCTTCTGGTAGACAAACCTGAGCAAGTGCAGAAAAAAATGCATGATTGTTTCTCGTGGTCAAAATTTTTATAATATCTACAATGAGTATTGAAAAAATGCTTAGTTTTATTTGCATAAATTTCTATACACCTGTGGCCTAAAAGAATACAACAAGTATTGTCTTTTCTTAGTTCTTGTGCATAAGTTCTTAGAAATCTCTCTTTATACAAGAGTCAGGTCAATCTGGAGATTACATATATTGTAAATGATTTCTACTTATTATTAACTAGCCAATGAAATAGAAATAAATGTCCTCTCGTAACGATCGTAAACGACACATGAATCGGTTACTTAATATAGGGAGTTTTCTTTAAATTATATTTCTTTAAAAACAAAAAAAAATCCATTTTATAAAATATATAAATAGATAAAACTGGTTTAATTTTTTTTTGTTTCGATCTGCTGACTTCTATTTAAGTGAATACCTATTTAGGTGATATTATTACTTGTATTTCCGATACCTAAAGCTAATAATATCACTTATTTTAGGCTTCACTTAGATAGAAGTTGTTTAGTTAGGTGTCAACACATTGGTACAAAAGAAAATTAGCAGCCAATTATATTTATGCTCAAGCGTAATTATCGGGAAAGTTCTTCTATTGAGAGTGCATGTGACATGGCAGTATTTTAGTTCTTTTATTTTAATATCTCATTGATTCTACTATGCTTTAATATGAGAAATTGAATAACTAACATATCGATATTCAAGTTTATTAATTTTAACACTGCATTAGTCCATTAGTATTTGTGAAAATAATTTTTGAGTAGGTAAGATTTATTAATTTTTTAAGTGGAAGGAAACTGTTAACGACTTCGGTTTGATGGTATTGTCGGAACAGAGAGGAGTAGCCGAGTTAGATTCCAATCGTAATCTTTGAGTTGTAAAGATATTTTGTGAAGGAAATAAGTTGACTACATCAAAAATTATATATACAACTGTATTATATAAAAAATATATAAAAATATATAAAAAAATTCAATTTAAAGCATGACTACTCCATCAGTTAATTTACAAAATTGTTTACCTAAATGTTATAATCGATTATAATCGAACGGTTATATTCAAATTATTGTTTATATTTATATTGCTTCATTTTTAAAAAATTGAAACCAATTCATTAAAATAAAAATTTTTTCAGTTATGGACTACTTGGTGCTTCTGGATGTGGCAAGACAACCCTTCTTTCTTGTATTGTTGGCAGAAGGCGTCTAAATTCTGGTGAAATTTGGGTATTAGGTGGACATCCAGGGTCACGTGGTTCCGGAGTACCAGGTCCAAGAATTGGATACATGCCGCAGGTAAATTTTTGAATATATTAATAAATATAATGACTATGATTATAAATATTATTAATATTATCGCTATATATACAACTAGTAATGAATGAAGGAATATGCATTAACATTAATGTCCGAATATTATTGAACTAAGAAATCAAGCTTATACATAAATTAAGTGCTAGGAATTTTTTTTATTTTAATATATCATTGAAACTGAAAAGGGAAACTAAACGTATCCCTCGATTTAATAATATGGCATTAAATATTTTACTTGTGACATAAATACGAGTATATCTGATAAATTCTATTTTTCAAAAATGTTCAAAGAACATTAACATTTAAAATCAAATAAAATAACATTAAATAGTACAAATTAATATATATAATTAAGTTACACGTAACTTTTAATAAGTTTTTATGTAATAAAAGCAACACTTCGTCAGCTTTTTAAGTTAACCAGTAAAATTACGAGATCTATATGACGTGCTAATAGCTACAATTAGTCAATAGATTGCAGTTTTATATGATCCAATTATAAGAAAAAATACTTCAAATTAAATTGTTTAGAGCAATATTGAATGTTGTGATACGATCTAATATTTTAAACAGTATTGTAAGTGAAGGAGACTTTCTATCTCCACTCTAGTTCAAGTTATAATAACGTCTAATTAAAACTAATGCCATATAATCAAACTAAATGTAAATGCTTTGTACTTTCGCAAAAGTCGTTATTATAAAAAAAGAGAATAGGACTTATACAATATGATGGGTTCCTATACTGCCCATCTAGTACCACGATTTAAGGAGAAATTTTTTGTTAAGTTTCCTATAAGTTTTTGTTTATACCGCTACAGGTAAATGTCAAATTTTGTCAGCAACAAAATTAGAATAAGAAAAGAATGTTTGCAATAATTTAATAAATGCTTGTGGATTAAAATTTGTTTATAACCTTATAAACCATAATGTCTTAATCGTATTTTGTGTTTTTATATATTAATTTATTATATATCATTATATTATATTTTATTATATATTAATTTATAAAAAGTTGTTGATACTGGAGCTTGCAAAATCGTTTAAATATCTTACGGATTCTTATAAGATACATTAAGTATTTTTCCGTTCCGAACATAATTAAGGATAGAATGCAATGAAGGCTTGTTACTTAGATAACAAGCATTTTGAATTAATTTATATTAAATATATGTTAAATATATTTGTATAGAAAGTTATAAATTCACTGAAGATAGCACATATAAGATATATATGTCAAAAGAAATTTATGTGATTCTGACTATAAAATTGTTTTCGTTACTTAGAATTAATCATTATTACTAATTTTGAATTGCTGCTTAAAAGAACTTAATTTGAGCATCATTCAGAAAACTAGTATTTTGAGCAATGCATATTATCCCAATGCATTGTTTTTGATGAATAAGATAGTTTCATCGATCTGTAGTATTAGTTTATTTGTTTGTTTATAAGAGAGGAAGTTTATGAAGTTGATGAGATGTGATATACTCATGCCTGAAAATATGCAATTAATTATTTCATAAAATGTGTAAATATTTATAAAACAATTATATGGAATTTTATATAAAAATAAAATATAATTACACATTATTATAATAATAAACTAATATAATAATAGATATTTTTTATTTTATTTTTCTATTATAACAGATAGATATTAATTTTAAACTGAGAAGATATAGATAATGATTTCATTACATTTTAACAGAAATTTCCTTTAGTAATTAATAATTAAATTAAATTTAATTTTATTTTTAATTAATTTATATATATTAATAATTCATATTAACAAGGGACAATATTTAAAACATATTAAATAACCAAGAAGTTAAAATATTTCAACTTAGCTAAATCGTAAAAATATTAATATATTTCTAGGAAGTCGCTTTATATGGCGAATTTACCATGAGGGAGACACTAATTTATTTTGGTTTAATTGCTGCCATGCCTCAAAGTGATATCGACGATCGAACCGAATTTCTTTTAAAGCTTTTAAATTTACCGAATGGTTCCAAATTTATAAAAAATTTAAGTGGTGGCCAACAACGACGTATGAGTCTAGCAGTCGCTTTATTACATGAACCTGAACTGTTAATTTTAGATGAACCTACTGTAGGTGTTGATCCTGTGCTTAGACAGAGGTAAGCATTTGTATATATATAAATAGTGTATTTAAAATTATTTCTATTATTATAATTTTGTTATGTGTACCATAAATTATTTACAGTATTTGGGATCATTTAGTTGATATAACAAAAAATGGACACACCACAGTTATTATTACAACGCATTACATTGATGAATGTGCTCAAGCTCATGTTGTAAGTAAACTAATAACATTATAATTATTAACATAAGCCGCATTAGCATATGTATGTACTATGTATATATAATAAAATGTAATCTCTATGCTAAAACTTCAAGTTAAAATCATCCATTATCCCGTTCTAAGCAAGTACTTATTTATTTCGTAATATATATGTTAATCGATATATTGCGTGTTGTGTATATTATATCAAATATTAGTAACTTCTATATTTTTTAAAACTTTGATACTATAATTTTAACTTATTTATAAATTAAATTATATTTTATGACCAACTTCAGCAGCTGCTTTCCTTCTACTTAAAGCTTTATTAGGATAGCACGATTTCAATATCTCAACCACGCTCATTTGATATCTGATTTTAGTAAAAATAACTATTTTGAACAACTTTTACAACATTATATGACAATATATCTTGGTTTCCGATATATAGAATTTTAAAGTTTGACATTTTTCATAAAAACTACCAACAAATAGATGCACAAGATGTTGCGTTTAGGAAATCTATATCGCTACATAAATTATTTAATAAAGAAATTATTTAATTATATAATATCGTTGATGTATATATCAAAACAATTTAATTAAATAAATTTTAACTAGATTGGCCTTTTACGAGGTGGTAAAATGTTAGCTGAAGAGTCACCAGATTTTTTACGTCAACAATATAATGCTACTTCTCTTGAAGATGTTTTTCTCAAATTGGCTGTCCTACAAAATATGGGAAAACGTCGACGTTCTTCTATTGCTCAGGAAATTGTAGAACAAGTAGCCATACCTGCCATATCAAACCCAACACTTGATATTTCTGATGAACAAAATCCAGCCGAAATATCTGGCGAATTTGGAGATAATATTTCAATGTCATCTGCAGTTAGAGATCCAATTTCTTCATTGGCTACACCTGCTCCACCCTTGCCGCCCGAAGAAGAAATGCCAGTTTCTTTATGGAACAAATTGCATGTTATGCGCACAAATCATATACACGCTCTGGTCTGGAAAAATTTCTTATGGATGATGCGTAATGTTGGGTAAAACTTAAACGAAAGCATTTTCTTCCATAATATTAATAATATTAAACTATATATAATTCGAATAGTGTGATGTTATTTATTGTCGGTTTACCTGTGGTACAAATAATATTATTTTGTTATGCCATTGGACACGACCCTGTTGGACTGCAATTAGCTGTTTCAAATCATGAAATATCAGCAGATATGATTCTTAATCAATCATGCCCACTTAGAGAAGGTTGTAATCAAACTATGCTCAGCTGCAGATATCTGGATATTTTAATTAAAAATAAAAGTATGACTGTGGTACGTATAAAAAATATAAAAATAATTATATTATTGATTGAATAATAATATATAATAATATTTTTAAATAAAAAATGTACAACAAAAAATTATTTAAAATTTTTATTTATAGAAATTTTTACAATCAGATGAAGAGGCATTTCAAGAAGTAAAACGTGGCAAAGCATGGGGTTCTTTAATATTTTCTAGCAACTATTCAGAATCACTGGTTGAACGCATTGAAAGTGGCAGGTTTACCGATGATGCTACTGTAGAAGCATCTGATGTAAACGTCAGATTAGATATGTCAAGTAAGTTAATAAGTTAGTCATCAATTATTAAGAAAAATTATTCTCTATAAAATCTTCAGAATAAACATACAAGTTATTAGTTTATTACAAGTTTATTTTCCGATTTTTATCTATGAATATTCGTAAAATGGAGTACAATATTAGAGATAATCATCTAAACTCATAAATACCTATAAAATTTATAAACGTATAAATTTATATGCTTTATAAATGATGTACCAAATTTTGTATTAAAGGTAGTTACTTACTACTGTTAAAGATTCCTCTAAATCTTATTCTGTTGCCTACTTTTTTCGTAATTTGGTTTGTATGAAAAATAGTTTACACAAACTTGATAAATTTATACGATAATTTTACCAAATAATTTATATCGTATAAATTTATTTGTTGTCAATACAAAGTAGCATTCCAACACAAGCAAATCATTTACAAAATGATTTGCGCTCAATTTCGATATTTTATTTTAAAATTTATTGATAGCGATACAGCTGATCAATAAAGTTTGCACAAATATAAAAAATTGCAACGATATTGGCTAAAAAATTGCGCTACTGAGCATTGCATTTTGTGCTGTCATAATTATTGCTGATATAAATAGTGCTATTATAAAGCAGATTGATAAATTTACACAAATATTTCACTAAGTCGGTTCATATAACCGTTTACGTAAATGCATAAAATTACACATTTAATAAATTTATATGCTTACATGAATACCGCTATTATTGAAAAATGTATAAATTAAAAATAAAAAATTTATACATAAAATTTTATTGAAAAAATTATATTTAATTAAGTCAACCATTTTTACTTTCATTTTACTTTCAGATCAACAAATATCAACTCTAATATATCGAGATCTTCAATTCTCCTTTTTTAGTTTTCTCGAGAATTTATTAGATGATTGTGAGTTAAATCCTCGCTTAGGGCGTATTCCTGTTGATTGGCAAGATCCTATTTATGGTTATCGGAACCCAAATTTTACGGACTTTGCAGCACCTGGAGTTATTTTAACTATAATATTCTTTTTATCTGTTGCTATGACATCAGGTGCAATGTTAATTGAACGCAATGAAGGCATGTTAGAACGTTGTTTGGTTGCTGGGATAACAGGACTAGAGATATTGGTGTCACAAGTGCTTACTCAATTCACCATTATGTTAAGCCAATGTATATTTGTAATATTATTTAGCTTTTATATATATGACCTTACTGTTGTGGGTAATATATGGTTAGTAGCCGCTCTTTGTATATTGAATGGTTTATGTGGAATGTGTTTTGGTTTTGTTATTGCTTGCGCTGTAGATACAGAAAGAACTGCCACATATGTTGCGATGGGTTCATTTTTACCTATAGTAATGTTGTGTGGCGTTATATGGCCAATTGAAGGAATGTATCCATTGTTGCAAGTTTTCACTTCTTATCTACCGCTAACGAAACCTACGGAATCTTTGCGTTCAATTTTACAACGTGGTTGGGATTTTTACAATCCTGTCGTCTATAAAGGATTCATTTCAATTTCTTCATGGGTTTTAGTATTTATGATACTGACTGTTCTATTATTAAAATTTAAAAAGGGTTAAAAGTAAACATTTTTTTTTTTTAAGTATTTACGAGCATTATTAATTTATAAGCATTTTTCATAAGGGTTTATTTCATTATATTTATATAAAATATTCACATTACTTTGGTTTATACTTGTCATACCTTTTGTGATAAAAATAATTTAAAAATTTAAAATAAAATGCAATCATATTTGCAGCAAAGAAAATTATCTTGGTTGTTTACTTTTAGAGTTTGAATTTATAAATATTTAAATATTTAACCACACAATAAAAATATCAAAGCATATGTACCATCATGACGTCTAATAGTATATTAACTAATATTTGATGATTAATTTAATTACAAATTTAATTTTGTAATTAAACTATATACTATTCTAAAAAATTACTAATTTTATGCTCTGAAGTCTGCTGGTTTCTACTTAATATTTTCTCACTTCAGGAAATTTTATTACAACTGTCTATTGACATTAAGTAATAGGTATTATAAAATAGATAGGTGATAGCATTAAAATTATGTTTGAATATATCTTTTTATACATATGTTAAAATTAATCTTACAAGCTTTGAAACAAGCGACAATTTTATACCATTAATTTTTAGTTGCCATATTTGGAGTCTTTGTAGGTTACAAAATAAAATTTTTTGACGGATTCGAATATCAAAGAAAAGACAAGAACAAAAATTTAATTAATTTACTGAAATTTGGGTGACCACACAACGCTGTTTCGAATATTGCCACGTAACAGCGTGGAAACAGTGTTGTATAGTTAGCCAAATTTCAATAAATCAACTAAATTTTTGTTCTTGTCTTTTATTTGCTATTCGAATTCGTCTAACTTTTAAATAATTTTTTTTTGTCATAAAGACGGGTCACTATCGTCTGTAAGTACAAGAATTTAAATCCATAAAACTGTGAATAATTTATTAAATTGTTCGTTTTTAAAAATTTTTATTTCAACATTACTAAGTTTCATTATTCTATTGATCTAATATCCATGTATGGCAGGAAAGAGTAGAGAGAGTTCAATTTATAAATTGAATTAAGAAATTTTTATAAATTAAATACGAAATTTTTTTTTAATCCTGTTAGCATTACGTTATCGCCCAAATTAAAAAAAATATCCTTATTAGTAAAATCTTTTAAAAAATCTAGTAAAGTTAGAACTGAAAAATACAACTCCCGAATTTTATTAAGCATTTTTATTTTATTTCGTTAACAAATAATTTTCATATCATATTTATTTATTTCGTGTATTGAAATACATTTCTAAAATGTAATATTGCATTTCATATAATATCTGAAACATAGTTTTCAAAAAGTTACCATGCGTTGTATGTTCGATATATAATAATTTAAATATATATATATATATTATATATAGTAAATTGACTTCTTTAACAAAAACTACTTATATTAGTTATATAATTTAATAAATAATTATTTTTTTGTATATTTTAATTTAAATATATTTTATTTATTTTTTTAATAACATTTATTTATATCAACAAATTTTTTTATCATCTAAATTTAAGATCAATTCCTGTATTTTTATAATATATGTACCAACTTACGTTGTATAAAATTTTTAAAAAATCATATAATAGAAACTTATTTAAATAATTTCAATTAAATTGTTTGAAGTATATTAGGCGCTAACGGTGTAATTACTATTTAGTGCTCTTAATAAAATATTATGTTATTATTTAATTTATAAAAAAAGAAAAAAAGTATCTTACGCCGTATTATACGTTAAATATATAATATTACTTAATATAGAAAATATCCTAATATATTATCACTTTTATATTATGTTAATACAAGTTTGGTCGCATAATTCTGAACACAGTTAAAAAGGATATATGTTTTACATGCATTATATTACATATACAATATAATTAATATAGTTAAAGAACGTATATATTTCATTGAAATATTTAAAAATTAATTTAATCATTAAACGGTTATCTCGATATCGGACCCTGAAAACGACAATATGACCTTCCCATTATATCTTCGGATGGAATGGATTGATCGGCAGGAGGAATTTTCATAAGGTCCATTTTGTCACGTACCTATGAAATCAAGCAAATGTTATTAATCAATATTTCATAATAATACAATAATAATAATGTACTAATATATATACATGTATTATATTAGGAAATTCCAATATGGTACAGTACATAATTCCGAACGGATATAGTCATATTTTGGAAGTACTAATCATATGGTAATCATATAAACGAAAACATGTAAAAGCTGTATTTCGTTACTTGCAAATATAATGATTTCTTACATATTAACACATAGTCAACTATTGGTGTATTTAGGATGGGATTAGGGGTTAGACTCCATATTGATATCTAATCTACAGATAAGAAATACTATATAATGCTTCTAATTTTTTGATAGTTAAGTATCAATCTCAATTAGAAAGTTCTACAAAGAAATCCTTAGAAAAATATGGGAATATGTTATTAATAATGGAAAAAGAACTTGTAGAAGAGTTAGTTTTAATCTTTAAACTATGTGTGTAATTATATGATGAGCTTAAAAACAATACGTTTAAAAATACGTATACTACTTTCAATATACACATATGCATTTACATATGCATTTAATTTAGTCAACTGCAAAAAATCTTCTATGATTTTTACAAATCATTATTAAGTATTGTCTATAACTACAATATATACAAATTATAAAAATGGTGCGAAAATCCCAAAAACCTGTTTGCATTACCTTATTGACGGATGGACTCATTTTTACTTATAAATGGCAATGTACAGTATATTGTGATAGATATAGTTTTACATTTACATTTATGAAACACCCGCAAGTACAAAATATTAATTTATAGAACTCACCATTTCAACTTCTTTAAATACCCGAATTAGATTTTTTCCTGCTAGTTTTGCTATATCGTCTTCTGTCCATTTATCAGACTCAAGCAATGTTGCCAATAAATGAGGGTACTTAGAAACATCCTCTAAACCTTCGGGTACCCTGTACAAACATATTAATATTTTTGATCATTTATATATTAATATTATGAAATAATAAAGAATTTACTTACAAATTAACGCCGTCGTAACCGGCTCCAATACCAACATGATCAATTCCGGCAACATCACGAATATGATTTATATGAGCTGGAAATTTAAATAAAAATATATTTTCCAATATAAATATATAGTATGTTTCTGAACTCAGTAGTAGTATTAATTTATATAAATCAAAGCTTTCTTAAAATTTGTAATAGTATACATTTACATATGAGCAAAAAAAAAAATCAAATAATATATCAAATAATTCTGGAACTAGAAAAATAGATTTACCGAGTCATGGAATACTGTATCAAATGAACTATTTTATTTAATACTATATTAAAATGAAACCCCTCGCCATATCGTTAAATGCCCCCTCGTAAAATAACGAAAATTTTTCTACTGATTATCAATAGAACTTACAAGTAAATATTGCAATAATTATTATAAAACAAATTTATTTAAAACTATTTTAAAATAAACAATTAATTAAATTTGGCAATAGAAACAATGAAACTATTATGAAAAATATATTATTTTATTTCATATACAAAATATTTTAACATACCAACAACATCTTGCAGTGTAGCCTGTCCCGAGCAGCTAACAAAATGGGGATAAAATGCAACCATTACTAACCCACCATTTGTTGCCTATATTTAAAAATTAATAACTCAGTTTTAAATATTCTTAGAAACCTTATATTAACATACTATTCTTTGGAGGACATGATCGGGAACATTTCGTGAACTATTACAAATCGCATGTGCAGAGGAATGTGAAAATATCACTGGTGCTCTAGAAGTACCTAACGCGTCCAACATTGTAGGTACAGAAACATGAGATAGATCAACTATCATACCAAGTCGATTCATTTCTTGTACAACCGACTATAATAGAAGATGACATAATAAAAATTAATACAATTTTATTTGCAATGAAACTCACCTTTCCAAACTTCGACAATCCACCAATGTTAGGATACATACCAGGTTCATCAACTTTGCAGCAATCTGCCCTATAATTACAATCAATTTGTTCGAATTTTAAAAAATTTAAAAATTTAATTAATTATTTTATTAAGAAATTGGCCAATATTATATTATATATATTATATTTATATATATTTAAGTTAAAATTTTTTTTCGAAAAGACTTTTGTATATCATCCCCCAACTTTTACATGAGATATTAATGCACTATTAACTCTGTAGATGAGTTTCAACTTAAACTAACCTAATTCGCCTAAAAATCCGAATACATCCATACGATACTTTGTAATGTGTTTGTATTTAGTAAGCTTTAAAAATAATGGGTTCATAAATGTTATTTGGATGATAAAGTTCCTACAAATGTGAACAAAGTTCCAAATTATGGAAGCATTTTGAAACGATCCCCTTGAGTTAAATAAAAGATTTTATGTGTATTATGAATTGCAGTCAGTTGAAGTACAACATTACACCCAGCTCACTTCGATAACTTATTTTTAACGTTTAATTAAAAGATAAACTTCTATTTCATTAATTGCCAATCATGTTTAGGGTCTTTTGACTGTACCTATAACTGCTGCCAATAGGGACTCTCTGGTCTATCTGCAGTATGTGTCTAACTAATTTCCGCAATCTTACTGCTTTTTAAAATATTGTACTAGAAGTTCATTGAATTAGTTTTATACTAAATTTAAACTTGCAAAGGTATATAAGACGAACAAAAATGTTAAACTTACCATGGAGTATTACACGTATGAGTTAATGTCAAATATCGGGCTCCAAGTTGGTAGAACATACGCAATACACTTAAACTTGTACCAATTGCATGACCACCTTCCACTCCTATAAGACTGGCAATTTTTCCACTTTTATGACTTTGCTTAATTCCTTAAATAAAAAAAACATATATTATATGCACATCTATATAAATAAACATAAAAAATTGATATAGTTTACCTGCAGACGTTGTAACTAATGCCATGTGATGTGGATACAAATTAACTAGACGTCGTATTAAATCAATTTGTTCAAGAGTTAATTGTACAGCATCCAAATGTTGGGATGAGCACGGTGCATAAGCTGACCAAAACTAAATAAATACATTAGTTAAATATATTGTTGTTACAATATTGTATAATAATCAAAATTTTAATGAATTTTTATTATTTTATTCTATCTATATTTCAAAAGTTAGTAATACCTGCGCAGATACCATTCCCTCTTTTAAGCGTCTCAAATCTGTGTGACTCCACACACTTGAAGACCATGGTAGAATTTGTCGCAAGTCTCCACCAAAATGAAAGTCTTTCAATTGATTCTTTAAAAATTTTCTTATATTCCATGGAAGATCATTATGTCTATAAAATTTCATTGTTAATAAAGACGATTAAAGTTGTATCCATAGATTATATAATTTTAAAAAAAAAATTATAAAAAATAGTGTTTAACAACATCACCTAGCACTATGGGTGTTTATTCAAGACTGTGCTGCGATAAGTGCTCTCAGGCTCCGAGAATCTAAGATATGGAAACCAGCTAATTATGGAAACCGTACAATTTTGGAGGAGATCAAAAGGAGGGGTCATGGCTCAGTCAAGACGGATCTAGATTCTGCTACAGACTACATGACACCAATACTAGATTTCAATATCAGAACTCCCACTCTTTATCCAACCAGAGATAACTGGGAGCTGGGATCTGCGACATGTAACTCTGTAGTTACTATCTATACAGATGGATCAAAGATAGAGGGTGGTAGGGGAGCAGGTTTCTTCCCGAATGATATGCAGATAAAGTAGTCCTTCCGAATCCCTAATACTTGTAGCGTCTTTCAAGTCGAACTATATGCTACTGAATGAGCGCCCAATCTTGTACAACTAAGTAAATTTCGTCCTTCGAATATCACGATTTTTGTAGATAGTCTTTAACATATTTTTAATAATTAAAAAAAGACAGCATAATAAAAATTATAACAATATATAAACAATATACACTCTTTTATTTTTGTAAATAAACAAGGCAAGGAGTGTACTGTTGGAGCCATTTGTGACAAACTTTTTTGTCAATGACTAGAGCATCTTCGGAAAAATAGTATCCATTTTCTGTTCAAGATCCAGTGAGTTGACACATTTCCCTTATACATTTTTAAAGTTTTTTTTATGAAATCAATTGTTATCAATACTCTTCCGCTCATAACTGATAAGCCATATAGATATGTATAAATATAATCTTTCCATTTACTAAGGGTAGTTGTTAACACGTATCTTCATTTTTGTCTACTCTCTCACCTTTCAATTAAATAATAAGTAAAGAAACTGGAAGTAACATACAATTGCCAATATAAAAAACTTAGAGAGTTTGAAAACTAAGAGTTATTTATTTTGTAAGACCACATAATTTTCTAGTGTTTCTTTTAAGTATAGGTAATTGGTCAAATAAAACAAAATTGTTTCAACACAACGTTATAAATCATTGTGTTCCATTTGGCCCAATAGCCAATACTTAAAAGAACACTTTAAAACCCATTACGTTATATTATTCCGAAGTTCTAAATCATAACAATTCAGAAATAGATTTTCCATCTGCATAAGCACCCATTTAGTAAAATCTTAATTGTGTTACTGTAACTTCTTAGCGCTATTGTGCTTAGTCCCAACTCCTTAGTCTCTTTACTCTTTAGTCCCACATATATACTTTATTAACTATAGTGGCAAACCTAAACTTATTATCTTATTGAAACACAGCAACTTTCTGTGGTTTACATGTCGTCACTCTATTCTATTCGAAAGTGTCCCTTGTTCATTAAGTATATTATTAAATATATATTCATTAAATATTTTTTAAATTACATTAAATTTGAAGTTTATTTAAAATTGTATTTTTTCTAATAATTCAAAAATAAATAATTCAGAAATATTTCATAAATAATTCAAAAATAATTCATAAACAATTCAGAAATAAAATACAAACAAATAATTATATTATTCTTACCCATCCACTAAAGGAACCTCTTTTAAAACATTTTTAACTTGTTCCATACGATAATGATAATCAGCTCCTGAACTTCTTATGATTATGAGGAACCAAATAAATGATAAATAAAATGTTGCAAAATTGTTGCAGTTGTATAGCAAAGATAATATTTTAAAATGTATCATTGCAATATTTCAGTGTTGATTTTCATTGAAAAGCCTGTTAAAATAGATTTTTTAACAATGGTATAAATTAAAAAGAAATATGTAATTAAATAGATTAATTTATAATAAATTAAATAGAGTGAAATATGTAATTTATATAGGAATTATAATCGTCATCATAACTAAACATACATATATATTGCAATATGGATTTATTAAAAGATGTTTACTTAGCAAAAACAAGCATTCAGTCGGAGAGTAGAAGCTGAAGTCCCACTCAATGAACCGAATATAAACATATAAACCTTTATCAACATTTTTATATTAAAAATGTTTATTTAGCGATTTCATACAGAAACTTTTAGTGCTCTTATTTTTTTGTTCTCTTATTTTTTCAATCTCTTATAGCTGCAACTTCACAACTTTTCTAAGCTTTGAGCTAAGTTGAGTACTGACTGCGACGGTGAACGAAGCCAATGCCTTTAGGTTAAGTTAGAGTAGCCAATTGTACACTAAAGCTTGATATAATGATTCGTTGTGCTGCCATGGAAAAGTGTTGACTTACATATTAAGTCTAGAAACTTGCTTAAGTCCCTTTTTGTACAGAATGGCATTCATTCAAGTCGGTAATAAGAGGACAAAGTTGGGTATTGACAAAAAAGCTGTCACACGGATTTCTCGTCGTTCTTTAAAGCTACAACTACAACAGTAGTCATTTTGCGTAGACCAAGTCTCATGGCATGTCTTCTTAGTATGCACTAACCTGTAATCACCGATATTGTACCGCTACCTTAGCAAGGTCGTCTGCGCTGCAATTATGCAAGTTGTCTAGTAAATGAAACTGTCTTCTAGGCTCCTAGGCAATCGTGTGAAAGCTGTACTTTGTAAACAATTATTTTCAACCTCATTAAATAAATATGTTCAGATGATTGCTGACGACACCAACATCGTTATCCTTAGCAAATGTGAGGTTACTACTCCCTTTGCTGTTATCAAAAATGGACTTAGTGGTGAATGAATTAAGATATATTAAGGCTGGTTGCTGGAGACTATTCTTTTAAATTTGTCAGAGATTTCATCTATTATGGCACCGCTACAAACAACAGTAACGATATCAGCATAGAGATCAAATGAATAATTACCATTACGGCTAGAAATTGGGTAGACAATTTGTTAACAAAAAGCAACAAAAACTCAAGCACTACCTTTAAATCAACAGGAAACTCAGCTGTATATGTCCAAATCAAAAAGTGGTGTACTAATATAGTAGTAATTGAAAAGAAAGCGTTTCACAATACTTGAAATGATACCTGTCGAGAAGTCCCATGCAGATATATTTTGAAGACCTTAATGGGACATTTCTTTGTTAAAAAAGAATCGTAGTAAATAATTTCATAATCTCACAATTAATAATTGATATATTTTACTTATTTCTTATTTATTATTATTATTATTGACATGTTCAGAAATAACATTTATGAACTTAGTTTATTCACAAGAAAATTCCAATTACTACATTGCGCGCCATTGCTCTTAGCTCACTAAATGACATCTATTTACGGAGACATCTATTTACAAACGTTTGCAACTTATGAGTGATAGCTGTAGTCACATACCAAGTCTCAGATTCATACAGCAGGATAGATTTGACGCAGGCGTTGAAAATTTTGATTTTCGTTTTAATATGGATACTAGTTGATTTCGAAACATTTTTAAGATTGGCAACAGCCCCCTTGGCTTTATGAAACCGCGTAGAAACATCAATTAAAGCTCCATCATCCGTTGTGACCATACTACCAAAGTATTCAAATTGAATGACATCTTCAGTGTTCATACCATTTATATCAAATTGAGTGTTATTATTAGAGTTGATGTGCATAGATTTGGTCTTGGAGATATTGATTTTTAGGCCCACTTTGGCACATTTTTGCTGCAAGTTTCTGCATATTAACCGTTTCTAGAACCCCATCTAATGCTGCTATAAATAAAAGTGGGGACAGTGCGAATCCCGCCAGGAAACGACTCACTAAATTTGCCATTATGTAGGACTTGGCACGATGCATCCTTATAGATGCTTTCAATTATGTTGATGATTTTCGTAGGTATACCTCTCACCTCTAAGGCTTTCCAAATAAATCAACGCTTTACCGCGTCAATTGCCTTTTCGAATTCGACGAATGTAAGATACAGAGAAGTGTTTAATTCAACTGATTGCTCTATTAAAATTATTATATTAAATTAAAATTTCTTATTTGAACTTCATCATTTTTACAATTTTCGATTTAATTGCTTTAATAAATGATTTCGAGAATTCTTAGAGTTTTAAATAGTTTATAACATTAAAGGTAATTAATCTTTTGTTAAAACTACTAAATTTTGATGTTAATTTTAGCTTTAACTCCATAATGATTATATCGCAGGAGTATGCGGAGTTCACTAATTTTATGTTTTATCTACCAACAGTATAGCTTACTTATATTACTAGTAATAAAACTAATAATAATAGCAATAAATAAATAAACGATTATTAAATATATTCTCAGTTAATCAGTAGGATTATAGCAAGTATCTTAAATTACCATAACTAACGTTTATATACAATAGTCGAATGCTCGTATATTGAACTTACCAACAACAACAGCAATATTAGTTTTGTTTATTTTAAATACATTTGTATATTATATGTCCACACGAAAGATTGAAAATCATTATTTCAGTTAATGTATACATATTCTGATGTTTGTTAACTTTTTTTATCATTATTTTATTATCATTCATTATTCATTATTCATTATTCTGAATTATTTATCATTATATCTTTAATTTATTAATAAGTATTAAAAATGTAGTATCTTAAGGAGTAGTTAACTTTTAAATGCTTAATCAATCACCTTAGCGTTAAGTGGATGATATGATTTTTGACAGATAATAAAACTAACTTTAATTATAATATTAACTATTTATAAATGCTATTTTATATAATTTAAGAAAATTGTAAAAAAAAATTCACTCCTTATAGCACATACACAACTTTTCTGCCTTTGAGTTTTGAGAGTACTGAAATAAATTTTTGATGCTTTAAATGGATAGCTTATAATACACAACAGTGAAAGCTTCTTCTAATAAAAAAAAAATAAAGTGAAGAAAGTTCGAAGCTTTAAATATAAACAAAAGGAGAAAACCCAAAACAGGATGAGTTTTAGAAATCTCAATTTTAAATATAAAATCTTAAATCTTAACTTAAACTTTATATTTCACTTATCATTCAAAGAAATGATAAATTTTTTATAATTGCACTGATAAATACATCGAGCAAATGTGTCTCTATATTTTGCCTATTTTTTTTTTGTAATTAAATGCACTAAAAATGTTAAATTACTTAATTTCATCTTTTTTATATGTTAAGAGGGTTGTTAAAACAAAGATGTAACAATTATAAATATATATTGCACAATAAAAGTTATTAAGATAATCAAGAATAAATTATAACAATTAAAAACTCCTTAATATAATGACTCTTGAGATACTATGCTTGTAAAAAATATCTGACATGCGCTTTTAATATATTTGGTTTTTCAATAAAAAAAATTCTATGGCAGGAAAAAATTACTAACAATATAAAATGACCACTATTTATTGTTTATACTCTGGTATAAGATCTTTTATTGATATAAGCGTTTATTTATGAACATATATTCATATTTAAGTCGTTAAGTACAAAATTAAAACTAATAATAAAATTAATAAATCAAATTAAAATGTAAAATAAAAATAAATACAAGATATCAATTCTACATACATAGGTATACAAAATACATATAAAGTATAGTCTCCAAATCACAGTTGTTCCGAAACTGCAAGAATTGCTTATATAAATTAGTTACCAAGAATAAAATAACACTTATCTTGATATGTGTCCATAAAGTATTCGAGTGCCTTATTTCTGTCATGGGACTTAAACCTTATCCACTTATCAGACAATAACAGTAGTAAGCACCTTCCTCTGCCTTGATATGGTTGACTCCAATTCAAATCTCACCCATACCTCAATCCTCAATTCTTACTCACACAACCAATACCCATCCACCTCCTAACACATGTACTCTGCTATATAAATCCTTAGTGGTGTAGCCACTATATATAAACTGTTTGAAAATATCTGAATTCCAAAAGCGTAAGACAATGCAAAACAATTCAAATCATTCATGTCTACAAATAAATATGTTTGTATCTTATCACTGATTTCTCTTCCGGAAATACTCTTATTAACAAAAAGATGGGACTCACATATTCTGTGAACTGTAGAGTAAAATTTCCAACTATTCTATATTCTCGTGCTCTATGCTTCTCGGGAACGTTTCGGATTTTAAACCAAGACACATTGTGAGGTTTGTAAACCTTCAAATATCCTCAATAGATCTTGGATATTAGATAATAACAATGTACCATTGCCCTTTCTAAAATAATTATATAATATGTATAAAGATAAAATAATACATAAAATTAATAAACTAAATTAATAAATAAATAAGATAATATAACATAACTAAATATATATAGATTTTTAACGATTGGAAAAACTTAACTTCGATGGTCTAGATAGATTTAAGTATTACTTGTTCGATTTGAAGTCCAGTTAAATAATTGTATGGGCTTATGTCAACTATCAGAACATTAAATTAGTTGAATAAAAATTCAACAAACGTATTTCGTTTCGTTTGTATTCAATGATAGATAATCATTTTAACATGATTGAGCTTAGAGCTTTGAAATATTAAAATAATATTCAAAAAGTGAAATTGGATACGCCACGTTAATACGACCGCTATATATATATCCACGTAGCCACAATATCAATCATGCTAAAATGATCATTTTTATTTTATAAAATAAAATACAATTGAAATTAAACAAATTTATTTTATAAAAATATAATTTATAAATCATTTTTCAACATTTTTAAAGATTTGAATGAGGTAAACGGAGAATTGAACATTTTTTAAATCATATAAGTAATATTTTTTAATAAAATTTAAATATTTTTATATTATTAATAATGAAATTATAAATAGATTGTACTAATAATATCTATTTATGATCAATTAAATAATGGAATGAGTATGCATAAATGACATAAATATATATATACGCTATGCAAAATATATATGCTAAATATACATATATGTTACATATGTATACAATATAACGCAATTTGTGTTCATTAGTCTTACATAAATTACTTAAATATTAAAAAACCATATGTATATGAACAGTTTTAATTATGAAATAGATAACTAAATATTTTTAAATTTGCGAGGTGAGTGTTTTTTAAAACAAAAATACATATATCACACAAGTTTTATACATATGTTATTAAAAAATATTTTTCAACTAAACTTTAAAAAATTAACTCTTAAAGTAATAATAAATTAGTATATTATATGCAACTAATTTTGTAAATGCATATAAAAAAGTTTTTACCTAGCTATAATTAATATATTAATACTAACTAAATTAATAATATAAACAATATTAACTTAAAAAGAATTAATTAAATAAAAATAAGTTAACCTATGAGCACATTGACTAGTGGTTGCATGTTATTATTTATATTTACTATATAAAAATTTAACTATTTTCCATGTAAAAAGTTTGCAACTATTAACAGTACAAAAGTGCTTGTAAGAAAAAGGCTCCCTGGAAGTGATCGTCTTATATATAAAGTTGGATCTCGCTCTCGTTGTGCAAATAGTTCTATGTCAGATTCATAGGTTTCATAGTTATTCCAATTTAAACACTTTTTCACAGCATACTCCCACCGTTTATAAAGTAATTCTCGTCCTGAAATTAATTAGAAATAATTAAAATATTAGTAATATATACGAAATACATTTCTATTTAAAAGCAATGTTAAGGTACAAATATAAGTGAATATAATACTATTCACACCAATCGATTAATAATTTTCTTAATTAAAGTTTATATATAATTTAATTTCTAAAACAAAAAGCTTACTATTCATAGTAGTTGTCGGAGTAAATATATCGGCAGGTGGTCTATACATAGTATCAGCGAATCTTAAAGTTACAATATTCATTGTTATTCCTGCTGCTATCATCGCGCCTAAGCCACACGGCGATGTTGTTTGTGGTCGTTCCAGAAGGCGTCCAACAATATCAGATATAAATTGAACAAATGAATTGTTTTCAGCAAAATCTCCACCAAAAACAAGTCGGCTATTAATTTTCGATTGATCCCAATTTTTTGTATCACTCTTAAAAGCTTTTAATATTTCATATATTTGAAAACCAGTTGCTTCGTATGCAGCTTGTGTGACATTTTGTGCGGTTGTTTGACTAGTTAATCCCAACATTATTCTTAAATGTCAATCAGTTAGCAAATCAAAAATGTATTAAATTTATTCTAAATAAAATACCCTCTTGAATCATAACGCCAATATGGGGAATATAGCCCATTAAATGCAGGTACAAATGTTATTTCAGAACGTTTCGACGCTAATCCACAATCAGTATTTAACATATTTGACGAACATGATGATGATATCATAGAATTTTCACCAAGGTAAGTATTTAGTACCTCAACTACATTATCATTTGAATTTATTTCAGTATTTATTTTTAAACTTTCTTTTAACCACGACACAGTTGATCCTGCATTTGATATAGCACCTTCCAATGCATAGCAAGTATTTGCATTTGGACCAAGTTTATGTGCAACTGTTGAAAGTAAACCATTATCTGATTCTACAAGCTCGCGACCTGTATTAAGTAATACAAAACAACTATCATCTATAGAGCAAATATTTTGACCAACGTCTTTAGACAGATGCCCTAGCATTGCAGCTGGTTGATCACCAATAACCTGCAAATTTCATTCCCGAATAAAAAAGATATTAAAGAATAATGTAAATACATACGCAACTTATGGGTAATCCATTTAAAGACCCTCCTATTATAATACCGTATATCTCTGCATTTGAATTTATTGTGGGTAATATAGCAGTAGGAATACGAAAAAATTTACATAACCTTGAATCCCATGTTAAAGACCTTATATTCATTAACAATGTGTAGCTGGCATTAGTAACGTCGGTTGCATGAATACCACAGTCAACAGATCCTGTTAAATTCTTAGGAAATAGTTCTTTTATATTTTAGTATTTTTTGGAATGGTCATCTATTAGCATATATTATTATGTTTTATTTTATCTATTTTATACTATTTCAACTTTCTAGTTTATTAACATACCCACAAAATCCACGTATCTAAAGTACCAAATAAACAGCTTTCGTTTTTAATTGCATCAGCTACTGCAGGAATATTTTCTTGAAGCCATTTAACCTTCAAAGCACTAAAACATGTACTAATCGGAAGACCTGATCTACAGCGTAAATAATCAACATTATGTTTGACAGTTTTAAGCACCGTTTTCAGAACAGTTTCTGATCTGCAATCATTCCATCCTTTAATATATAAATACATAAATATCTATTTATTTATAAAAAATAAATTATTATATCATACCAATTGCATTATAAAGTGCATTCCCAGTGACTTTATCCCACAAAAGCGTGGTTCCGCGTTGTGTGCAAATTCCCACCGCCATTATATCATGTGGATTAATTTGCAATATAATTAAATTTTTATATGCCGTCTAGCAAGTAAATTAATAAATTATGACAGTAAGTCAGAAACTAGCAATAGAGCATTAATTTTGCATCCCATTATAAATTGTCATTTACCTCAATACATTCTTGTGTACTTTTCCATATCTCAGTCGGATCATATTCTAGCCAACCTGCGTTATGAACTATTTGACGTATCTTTATTTCATGAAAGGTAAGAAGTTCTGCATTTTTAGTTGAATAAATCTAATATTAAAAAAGAGTAAAATCAATAATGACGTTAATATATACAAATGTGTGTACTTACAAGAAACCGGCAATGCGTGTTATTTATAAATACTACTCCAATTAATGGCCCAAATTTGCCAAAAGTTCCTTTAGACATATTTCTAATCCACACTGTTCAAATCAGGGATGTCCCTTTGATCGAAAAAAAAAACAAGTCCTCCTATTGAAAGTAAAGAAATCGGAGAAAATTGTCTTTTTCAAAACAAATTTTACGATACTAGTTTAGAACCATTTAAAATCATGAAACATCTTCAATTTTTACAAATTGCGTAATTATGACATTTGGTTGCTGTCATTTTACAAAGATGCCATCGCTATTTTATCAATTCATGCGTTAAAATTTGAACGTAAAAACGTAACATATTGTTATGCACAAATTTTGCCCAATCTTTGTACGTTCAAGCTAAAATACAATCATAATAAACGTAATGTTCATTAATGAATTTTACAATAAACGTATTTATTGAGAGAGTTTAGTAAACCTAATATGTTTTGTGTACAATATGAAATTAAGAAGACTAAAAACAACCTATTTGAACAGTTATTTTAAAAAATAAAGTTTTTTCAAGTATGATCACACCTTACTATAAACCTTTTTGTTTTTGTTTCTGATCATTTTTAAATTCCTTTCGGTTTACAAAAAATATGACTAAATCGAGAATATATAATTACTTGAATCAATTGAGAGAGTGTTACAACGTACTAGTTAATATATAACTATCACTCAGATCGGATATCATTTTATTTGATAGAAAAATGTTAAAATGATCGAAAAAATTGGTGTGTACGAAACAAACAAGCAATTTTTTTAGAGCGAAAACTGATTTCTTTCTCTCTTTCTCTAATTCTTTATATTACTTTAGGAGTAAATTTTAGAGTATATTATTATATACACACGGGCCATGTTATGCAGAGTGTCTCGGGCACGACAAATTCACTCTTTCGGGCTATACCGAACATGCATGTTATGCAGTGTCATATCAGTACTGCCAATTTTGTATTTTTACAGTGTTTTGGTACTTTTTTATTATTCCTAAATTTAAAAGGACATGTAGATATGCACACTTACAATTTACCACCAAAAATAATCAGCAAGAAAAAACACATAGAGGCTGTAATAATATCAATTTATTATTATTTTATCTTATAATATGCTTTTTCGGTGGCTCGCAAGTACAGTAAAAAACAGACAGTTGCTGGCCTATACTGGCCGATATGTACGCAAAACAACAACGCTATTTTCTCTACCTCGGTGAATATAGGTATACTAGCCACACACATCGACCAGTAAAAAAAATGTTACCAACGCAATAAGCGAACTATTATGAACTTTCATTGAAAATTCCAACGAATATTGCAATCATATGTCAAAAATTATATGTAAATAAAAATTTAAACAGAATTCATAAATTTTAAAATTGGAAAGAAAAGAAAAATTTCAATGTTCTATGTTGAAATTTTCAACATTTTTACCATTCCTTTTAATTTTGTATTCAATTTAATTTTCAAGTTATGTTAATTATTTATTTTCACACAAAATGTAAATTGCTTGGATTATGAAATTTTTGCTAATTGTCAAAACATAACACTTGACAGATTGCAACAGTGATGCTAATGCCTCGCGTGGCCAATATAGGCCAGCATGCTTTTTTTGCCGTACTTGCTAACCATCGAAAAAGACTAATAATTGTTAACAGTACTTAACAGCGCTTACGCCTTCGGAAAGTGTGATAATTAGATTATTAACGGTTTATAAAAAAGGCTGTGTTGGTTACTGTCATTTCTTCTCTAAAACGTATTACAATACTGTTTTATCTTAGTCCCGAGGCGCAAATACGCCGGCCCCTCATACCGGAGTTTGAACGGCCGTATTGTTTTTTCTTCGTGACCGAAACATTCTTCATAACATGGCCCTACGCTTACGCGAGTTTTAAAACCACTTTAAAAACTAATTTCTAAATTAGTTTTTAGAGCGTTTACGCAAAAGATTTAAACGCACTTTTAGGGTATGCATTGTCAATCAGTCAGCTGTTAAACGATAAACAAAAATGTTGATTTCAAATATTTTAAAAATGAATAGAGTCAAACTACAAATTGATTTACTTTTATTGCAAAAGAAAAATATTTTAATCAAAATAGTACAAGAAATTAAAAAACAACAATGGCGGTTTTAGAAATATACCATATAAAATTATGAAAATTACGAGAAATGCAAATACAATTCTTTAATAAGGTGACAATTGTTTGGCAAACTATTTCATAAATTGTGTCCTTTTCATATTTCTTTCAATCTTACAATTTCTTTTTCCGCAAATATTTTAATTAAATACTCTTCTTTCATCCAATTTTTTTTTCCCCTTTTTTTTCTTCATATTTTTATTTTTTTTTATTGTCAACAGAGTTATTTGAAATAAAATTCAAATATCTATTGACAGTTAAAAGCTAAAAATTTAAACATTAAACTGCTTTTAAGTTCTTTACTAAATGCTTTCAAGTGGTGTTTTTTTTACTAAAAGTGATGTTAAACTACTTTTAGTTAGCTAAAAGTGTTTTTAGGCAAAATTCAATTTAGTGTGTTAACGCGACGCAGTTTTAAAAGCCTTAAAACAAATTTTAAGATTCTCGTAAACGAGGTGACATAAACGTTTGATATTTTTTATATTGATATTCTATAAATTAGAAAAAAATTTTGAAAAAAAATATTTGTTTATATTGAAACGCGTTGGATATTTAGTTTAATTCAATTTCAATTGTTAAATTCTATATACAACATATACAGTGAATAATTTGCGTAATCGCATTATATTCAGAACGTTATAAAGATCACGAAGATTTTCTGTTTTCTATTTACTACTTCTACTTTTTTCATTCTAGTAGTTACTAAAATTGGAATTGGTGGTATAAATTTATTAAAATATTATGCAAATGCAATACACCCTCATATCACAAATGTTTCATAAACTGTACTAAAAATGTCTTTTATTTGGTATTTATGCCTATTATACAATTTATTGAAAAATTTTCCGCCATCTAACAAAACTTATTAGGGGTGTGCGCGATCAAGGGTTCATTGAAATGGTATCGCATTGCTGCACATATGCGAAAAACAATGCATCAAATTTAAATACAAGATTTTTGCACCACCATACAGATGAAGTCAAGCAAAGCAGACAATGTAATGTTGTATGTTTGAAATCGTGACTAACTTATGATCAAATGCAAATTATGCTTATTTGAAAATTTACAATTTTTTTTTGAATGCTGATAAAATATTTATGTCCACAATTTGTAACACTATTAAAATTTGGACTACGTATATTTGCCGACAGCAATTATTATTTAATTTTAGTACCCAATAATCAATTAATAAAAAAAATTAAAATTAAATTAAAAAATATAAAGTATAAACAACTTTCTCAGCTCGTTTATCAACCGTTTTTTCAAATTTATATATACAAAATATATCTGTTAAAATATTGCTTCAATTTTTAATATAATGCAATTATTTACATAATAATTTTTTATTAAAAATTTTAAGACCTATATATGTATCTGTATTCATTTATATTAATAATTCTTAATATGTACAACGTTGTTGTTCAAATATATCATTCAGAATTTATCATTTTTTCTTACGTATGGCAACTTTAGCAAATTAATTGTTTACACCAACAATTTATCATAACATAGTAAGGACTTGCGCAGGGGTAGAGTCAAACAACCCTTGTTAAAAACATCCTATGCGTTTTCAATAAAAATTTTGTAATGAAGTAAGTGGTGTGTTAAATTTATTAAAAAATAATAGCTTTACGAATTTTTAAAAATATAAAATGCAAAGATTTTATAGCGACCGGGAATCTTATGGACCAGATTTCGGTAATTTAATTATAGTGTATACACATATCTATCAAATAATTTATCAAACTGTTTTCCATATCAAGATGATCGATTAATACAACTCGTACGTGCAAATCCAGCAATATATGATGTTAAGCATCCTAATTATCGACGCAATCCAGTTAGAATAGCTATTTGGGATCGTATAGCTAAGGAACTAAGAGCTCCTTGTAATTGCATTAAGATATACGTGCAATAAGACTAAATTTATAAATTAATTTTTTTCAGCACGTTTTCTGCAAACAAAATGGAAAAATATACGGTACAATTATTTGCAAGAAGTGAAGTCTTTAGAAACTGGCCTTACAAATCCAAATATTCGGAAAAGGCGGTTTACGGAGGATTTATCATTTCTACAAAATACGGCGCAAACCTATAATGTTAAGAAGTATAATAATACATCATATAATAGCTCGTAAATAATTATTAATGTTAATTTTTAAATATTTATGAATATAATTATTTTTTAGTGACAATGACAGTAATAGTTATTTGTATCCTGACACTGTTCCACAAAATCCGTTAGAAGTAATTGAGATTGAACACAGTGATGATGGCTCCCAGAATGATTTTCTATGCAATAATACTGACAATTTTACAAATGCATTTGATAAAACTAGTGATGATTCGGCATTTTTGGAGCATGCAAACCAGGATACATCAGACGTTAACGAGGACAATAAAAATGTTGATGAGAAGACACACGATGATGTTAAAATTCCGCTGAAAGAATTATATTCCAATCCATCTTCACCGTTATTGACACCAATGGGATGCGTTACTGATAAACCAAAATTTGATACAAACGGTTTCACAGGATTTGAACCATACGAAAAGAAAAACGGTCGTTCAAACAATACGGGTTTTGATGTCATGAACAATGCTGCAAAGCGTAAAGCTATGCCTGCACAGATTCCTGTTTTAACACCTATCAATGACCCCATTGAGCTGTATTGCTTGTCGTTAGTGGACAGTTTAAGAAATATGCCTCGATCTGAGAGAGAACGTGTGAAGTTCGAGTTTTCAAAAATACTGAAGGATGCTAAATATAAGGACCAAAGTTAGTTGTGTAATTAAAATTTTAATTTTTCGTAAAAAAACAGTATTTTAACATTATTTTTCTATATTTTACAAAAAAAAGCACATTGAATCTATTATTATCATGTATATATAAGATTTAGGGGTGTTCTTAGTAGCAAAAAGCATTCATTCTTTGAAAGAGAGCCGATATACAATTAAATGGAAATAAATAATGTATCACATTGTTTTGTAATATATGTATATTTACATATGATGTTAATATTGAGTTATTCTAAAACACTCGTTAGGTTAAAATATTTGTACTGTAATCTCTAAGTTCTATGTTATTTTTAACTGAAATTTCTAAGTCATAAAGTTAAGTATTTTATAAAAAAAATAATAAACATCCATAAAACTCATGCTAGAAGAGCAAAATCAAGTTACTGAAACCCCCTTATATAAGTAGTTTTAAAATATTTCTAAATAAATTTTTACAAACAATAAAATTTGTTTTCTTTTTTAATAAGATTAATTTCAAAATCTATGAAGAATTAGAATATAAAGAATTAATTTCAATGCGAAAATTGTTTTTAAAATAAGTGGTTTCCATATCGAATGGTTTGTTTGTATATAAATGAAGTTCTAAACTATAACAAACAAACGAAAAATATATCATAGAAAGTATTTTTTTGCTTTATCAAAATAATCGCAGTGTAATTTTATGTTAAAATACATACCTTGAAAAAGTTCAACATAAAAACTGGTAAATAATAAAATACTGCATTGTTATAATACATTTTATTAGTAATCGAAAGCACACGTCATAAAATTAAAATTATTGCACAATAAGAACCCTGCTAATCGATTTTTTATTTAATTAAATATATAATATATACACATACAGTTTGTCTAGAAAGTGTTTTGATAAAGTAAAACTTAATTTTTTAATTGTATTTAGCAAAATTCTTGTCATATTTTATTTTGCACTTGCATATATACTGCTAAGATAATACATTTAATATACAAGTTAGCAATATGCAATAATCAAATTATAACTTATTTGTTAATGGTAAATTAATTTCTCAAGGCGAATTTGAAAAAATCGAATAATCTTAAAATTATTGTTAGTTTAAATTTGTTTTTTGCATTAGCTTTATATTAAATGTTATTTAATCAAAATGTATAAAAAATGTGCAAAATAAAGTATAAATAATACTTTATTTAATGTATAATTGATACTTTAGCTAATAAAGTCAAATCTGAACTTTTACCTTATAAGCATTCCTCGCAAACTATATATATACGTATGTTATATATTTAATATATAATTAAAAGTAAAAAAATACGCATTTAGAATTATAGAAAAATAGAAAACGTAAAAATAATTTTTTTGAACAAATTAATTTAGAACAAATATTTATCCAGCAAAAAATTTAATCAATTTATTAAATAATTAACACACAAAATAAGAGTTGTTACTTATTATATTGTAAAAATATTTATATTATTAATAAAGTTAGTAAAATATTACTAAATATATATAACAAAATTGCTCCAAACACTGGTATAGTCAAAGCTTGGACCTCACTCATGATAAGGAGTGTTCAGAACTGAATCTGACCCTCCACCTGGAAGTGAAGTTTTAACTGCATCAGAAGAACTTGCTACAAAACAAAAAAATTATACATTTGAAATTTAAATATATTTCACTAAAATAGACACATTATAATATGAACAATATTTACTAATAAAATAATTACTTATTTATAATTACCATTTATTTCGTCTTTATCAGTCATATCCATTATATCAGAAAAATCATAATATGGTTGATAAGTCATTACTTCTGATCCTGAATAAAGGGTAAATAAAGGGTATAGGAAATTAAATATAAATATAAAAATTAACCTTTTTTGTCGTTTAATTGGTCACCATTTAGACTTAAACCGTAGGAATTTAAAAAATCACCATCATTAAAAAGCTATACAAAATAATATTAAAGTTATATATTAGTATAATATTTTAAATCAAGAAATTCATATCGCTGTTATACATATTATATAGCATTGTTTTAAAAATATTATAAAAAGAAAGTGTACTTTTATAAAAAAATTTAAAAACAGATAGTAGTATCTATATATATATTTTTTATATGTTTTTTAATTTTTTTTATAAATATTTATAAATATATATATATAGAGGAATTATTTAAAAAAAATTCAGAGCTAATTCAGAGAATTCAGAGCTAAGAAAATTTAAAAATAATAATAAAATTAAAATAATTTATAAAAAATAAAATGATTATAAAAATAAAACAATAGTAATCAAATCATTGTCTGTTTTAAACAAGAGCGACAATTTTAATTATTATTTCTATTCAAAACCGTCATGTAAATAAAACAATTAAATTATAATATTAAAAATATAATATCTTAATATCACAATAAAAATAATATTATTAACAAAAAGAATTAAAATAATAAAATTATAATAAAAAAAATGATTATTTTAATGAATCTAAAACAAAATAATTTTATAAACTATAATAATATAATTTTAATATAATTATAATAATTAAATTTTAATAAAACTATTTAATAAGGTCATTATAATAATAATAAATCCAATACAATTTCATAATAACAAAAATATGAATATTATAAAATTAATAAGTTGATTTTATATATAGAAAAGTTTTAATATTTCTTCCAGTTTTCATAGCTATTATAATTATTAGTGTACTTAACTTACAAATGATAAACACAATTTTATTCGGACAATTACTGATTACTTAAAGTAAAAAAAATTCCTTAACATATTGTTTTTTTTAACTAATATTATTTTTAATAATTAATAATTATGTTTTAGTTTATAATTAATAATTATGTTTTCATTTATAATTATTTATTATTTTTTAATTTTCCTTTAAAATGTAAGTGTACTTACTCCCAATAACGTATTTGCATCAAGTGAATAACCTTCACCACGAAGTAAGTCTTTAAGAGAATCAAGTTCTCCTTGCATACTTTCCAAATGTCCATGTACATCATCACTGTAGCAAGGTAAATAAACTTTATAAAAAACTGAGTTTAATATAAATTTAATTGAATAGTTTACCACAAATTTCCATCACTATCAATTTTGCCGCTTTTATATTTCGTAATAGCCATATTGTTATCACCTTTATTTTGTTCAGTAGAATCCTTTTTTTCCGTATTCGAATTAATGTTACTCGATGATGGCGTCGAGTTTTTTATTAATTCTGGGTCACTTATAGATGCACCGTTCAAAATACTACGTTTTTGTTCACCTAATCCAAATTCAGGAGTAAAATTTTCATTTGAATCCTGTAATTAATTTTTAGATACACAATATCGTTTAAAAGATGGTAAGATAAGTATCGTATTTATTTCATATATAAAAATTTATCGTTCTATAAAAATACCTCAAATATATTTGCAGGAATCTCATTTGGTATGAAATCATTTGTAATATACAAATTTGGTGCTTTATTCTGAAGAGAATTAATAACAGAAGGAGAAACGGCTTTTACATTTGCATTTTCATTTAAATTGGGGAATGTTATTATTTCATTATCTGGAAACGAATTTGAATCAGTATTTATTTCCGATTTGATTACAATAGGCGGTATTTCATGTTGATGTATTTGTTGAAGTTTTTTTGCTTTAGCTGATGTAGACGGTGTACTATCCCTATTTAAGTTTTTATTACGACGTTGTTTGTTTTTTTGCTTTAGTAACATTGAACGCGCCATTTGTTCTTGACCCATTGGTGTATTTAATATATTGTCTTCGTTATAATTAACGTTTGTTATCTCAGTAGAGTGAGAATCAGGAATTTCAGTAACATGATAAACAACTTCTGATCCATCTGGTTTTATGGATTCAACAATGGAAGAACCGCCTGTATTATCAACAGTTCCCTCAAGTATTGAAGTATTTATTAAATCATCATCGCTTTGATTTGAAAAATCACAATCTTGAGATATGTGACTTATATTTGATCGAGGTCTATCGATATTTAAAGGTGAAAAACTTTCACCATCCATGTTGCTAGTTATATCTCTGACATAAGAACTATTCGGATTGTTAATAAATTCCTGACCAGAATCTTCAACTTCATCTAGCAATTCTTCACTGAGCTCATGTATAACAGGACCACTATCCGATCCCGATTCACTGGGTTTTCTATCTTTTACGTTTTCTGGTGTGTCACTTATCATTAACTGCATATGTCGTTTAACACCTGACATGTTACGTGACGGTTGTACGATTGTTATAAGGAATTGAATAAGCTTTATAGGAACAAAAATCTTTATTACATATTTGCATTAAAAACTATAAACATTTTATACATACCTTATTTACAATTTGTTGTTGTTTAGCATGTTTTTGTCTTAATGATGCTATTTCCCTCCACAATGCTTCATTTTCTTGTTTCATAACGGAGAATCGAGAATCTAGAGAATCTTGGCGACCACGCATAGCTTTCACATCTTGTAGTACTTTTGTTACTGCTTCAGGTTTAATACCTGTTTTTTCATCATTTTTTGGATTGGCTATTTTGCGTTTAATGTGTTCTAATAAATATGAACAATTACGTTTAAAATATGGATGCGAAAACTCCATTTCGTCTTTATCAAATTTCAATCCACCGTTTTCAATTGAAGTTATTTTGTGGAATCCATCTTTAAGAAAGTCGATTAGAGTCGTTAAATTTTTAAACAAAAATATACATACACATATTAAGCTGACGTATAAAGCTTGCCATGTTGTTATGTTTATAATTTTGAGGTAAAAGTTCCCGGGCAAACTGTGCTTGATTTTGAATAATAAAACTCTGACCGTCCTAGTTTAATAACAAAATGTTTACATTAAAAATACTGTTGTTTTTTAATATATATAAATTGGGATCATTTCAATAGGTTACAATCACAAAAAAAAAAAAAAAATAAAGTGACCTTAAAATTATTATTGAGTAAAGGATCGTGCACTGCGACCTAAAAGATCTATTGTGCCCGACCTTAAAATAGCAATTAGAACATATTCAAAAATAAGTAGACAAAACTAAGTACTTTTTAGTTTTACGCATATATAGTTTGAAACTTCATAATTTCTAATTTTGTATATTTTATTTTTGTGTATAATTAAACAATTTAATATTACTTCTACTTGTTCACGAAGAAAAAGCATTGGTTTTTCTTGTATAATAATAATGAAAACTTACATTGCCCCAACATATCAAGTTATTGGTATCCGGATCCTCCACAAGACGCCATAGTTTAGCCAAGAATGCAGGAACACCAGCACTCATATCGTTAAAAGTGTGCATTTCACTTATTTTATAATGATCTAAAAATTATAATAGACTTCAATTGTTAAAAACTTTAAAATTAGGCATATTATATGTAAATGATAATAAAATTAAAAAAAATTTTATAGTTGTTTGAAAAGTGAAATTACATAGTAGCAATTTTATTTTTAATGAACACTAAACACTGATAACTCGTTATATATACATATTTATAGGTTTATGTATGTACAAAAATATACTACATTTGTATATATATAGATATATACAATAAATGTATTTATATATGTATATATATCTACATATATAGTATATTAGTAGTATCGAAAATTTTTTATGTGAGGATACAGGAGACACGAAAATTTACATTCATTTTATTACATTTAATACGAAATAATCTTAAAATTTTACCTATGACTACTTTATACACGTTTTTAATATTTTTTTACTCCAAATTATTGTAATTTACTGCAGCACTATATCGCAATAAAAATATAACTTCCCTTTCACATGTACTTCGCAATTGAAACTTGGTCTAAAAATAAGGGTTACCAAAGCACCATTTCAAAACTATTACTTAGTCCTTAGTAGAGTGTAATAAAAATGTCATATACGATATATGTATATATCACCCTGAAGGAAAATCAAAAAATTTACAAATTTATATCTTGGATTGTGAATCTCATTTTAACAAATCCATCTTAGTAAAGGGTAATAAAAATGTCATGAAAGATATATGTATATATCACCCTGAAGGAAAATCAAAAAATTTACAAATTTATATCTTGGATTGTAAACCTCATATTAACAAATCCATCTTAATTATTTGGTTAAGTATTTAATATACATCATAGCGAACAACGACACATAAGAAAAACCAAAATTTTTTTTCTTAATTAATTTTTTAATAGGATTCATCTTTTTATTTTCTTATTATTTATATACACATTTTTAAGGCAAAAAATAAATAAAATCTTCGACCATTTAGGTTTTGAATTTATTTCAAAAAAAAGTATACACGAGGAAAAAGTACAAATTTATTTCTTGCTGCATTTTAGTACATAATTTGTTTCGTGCATTTATTTGATATATGCTTTAATTCGAGTCTTTTTTTCTTTTTGATTTAATTAAAACTTACATCAGTGATTTACACATTGGGATATTCTTGGCAGTATTTATTGAGAAAACATACTTCAAGAATAAATACATTCGTATCTCGCACATCGTTGCATGAATCTTATGTCAAATTAATTAAACTATGCAAAATTATAGAAATAAAACTAAATCACTAATCAATTAGGTTACATATTATTAAACAAAATGACACAAAAGTGATACAATTTTATATATATTTTAAAAATACTGCATTAGTTTTAAATATAAATTCGTACTAAAAAGTACATGTTTGTAAAATAAATAAACAGTGTTTTGTATATATACAATGATGTAGGTAAATATTGTGACGTATATATACATAGTATATATGTGCGTTAAAGTGATACGTCTAAAATATTTAAAAAAAAATTAAATAACAAATCTGCCTTTAAGTTCATATAAGAAATTTTATAACAATATTGTAGTGACTCCATCAATTATATTGTGTAACTATTAGACACACTGTAACCATTAATACCTAAATTCTATATTTTTGTGCAAAGTGGTAACTCTGTCAACTATATTAGACTTAAAACACACAGCTGTATGCAAATTTTAAACGAAAGGCCGCAAATACTAAAACGAAAAATTGAAAGGAAACAAAAAAATCAGTTCAGTGAAAATGGCTACCTGTATTGTTGGAATAAAAGTGGTTACAGAAATTAAATAACCAATACAACTTATAGGTATTTATAGAAACGGTAATTTCTCAAACTATTTTTTTGTTTAAGGTTTCCATAATGTTGTAGGCAATTATGTTTAATTAATTTTAATAACAATGAAGCTAAACTCACGCGTTTAGGTATATACAGAAATGGTATACAGTTATGAATTTTTTTAAATTTTTTCTATTTCAATACAAACGCAAATTTCTAATAATAAATTACATTACATGTGTTCTTTTTATTTTATATATAGTTAATCTTACTTTTGTTATTTTAAACAATTCACTAACTTATATTACAATTAAATTTTTGAGCGTCAGTTACCGGCTTAATTTTTTTATTGTCAATAAGATGTTGCCCATTTCTTGAGATTTCTGTCAAATAATGCGGGAATATTGTTTTAGATACTGTCTTTCATTATAACTTTTTTATAATTTGTTAAATTTCTTTTTTAACATCTAATAGTAATAGTATAATTTAATATCAGCAAGATTATTTATAAAATGTTTTTGTATTTTTTTAGATAAGACTGTCAACAATTTCCACAACAAAATTTTGTTTATATTAAGTATAAAACCGATACCATAACTAAATGTGTACATAATGAATAATAGTAGTCAAACGGTTCAAAACTCTTCGGCGATAGCATTTTTGCAACATCAGCCCGATTTATTAGCAAATTTGTTAATTAACAGACAATTACAGCTTGGTGACATTGAACCTCCATATTCCTCTATATCAAGAAACATTGCTGCAAATGCTTCAATAATTAACTCACATATTTCGAACATAACAGCGCAAGGAAATCCAGTTGTAATTTCAAATAACGTCGGTCAGGAGTCGTTGTCAACTTCACGAGAAATTCAGGATAAACATGACCAACAATTTTCAAATGGTCAACATAATTTTAACGCTAATAACATTAGTTTATTAACGACTGTGCCAAAAGGATTACATGACTCTCGTAGTCAAACTGTTTACAACATTAAGAATTCTATAGATAGAGATATGAACCATGTGCATGAAAATGAATCATTGGATATACATCATCAGCTACCTACACAACAGGAACAAATTTATCAACAGCAACAGCAACAGTTAAATATGTTGCAGCAACATTCATCTAATCGCCAACATAGTATTCCAGCTCTAATAACACAATCACATAACATAAATCAACAGCATTATCCTACATATTTGCAACTAAAATCGCCTCCATCCTCATTCAGTTCAATGCAATCATTTTATATACCTAAGGAATCAGCTAATGGAACCACTGCCAATATGGTACCTGCTAGTAGTACATTACCATCAGTACATACTATAACAACACCTGCTGCTATTAATATATGCATCAATAATCATTATTCCGATAGTGTAAATACAAATAAATCAGTTAACTCCCCACCTACATCTGTTGCAACATTAGCAAAGGCACCGCCTCAACAAACTTCTCCTATTATTCCAGCTATAAATCATAAAATTGTAATTGACCCTAATAATGGGTATCATATTGATTCTTATTCAAGTGCAGAATCTGCGCTTATAATTGATGAACCAGACTCAACCACTACTACTCCAAATACTCCACCAGAAAATTCTTCAGCAGAATTGTTAAAAGCAGAAAAAGTATTACCAATAATAGAAAATGCTACAAGAACAAGTTGTTTTCTTTACAACACTAAAGAAGACGAGGAAAGTAAATCAGATGCGTTATCTCCAAACAAAGATCCAACAGATAATCGTAATAGTATTCAACCTGATAGTGACGAAGTTATGTTAACTACAGTTTCAGTATCTAGTACACCGATAGTTACATTTAATAATGGGGATTCAGTGCTTGTTAAGCATCATGATGGGCAATATTATTTAGGTACTGTTATGAACAGTACAAAATATGAATTTTTAATACGTTTTGATGATAAATCGGAGTTATGGTGCAACACTGATGAAATTCGTAAGCAAAATAATGAGGACGTTGTTCAAATATGTGAACGATGTGGTCATGGATATCATCGAAATTATACTAATGAAACCAGACTAGGCAGTTATGAATACATATGTAAATGGTGAGAATACAAAATTTTAAAATGCTTCTATTGCTCTTATATCCAATTTCTTTTAGTTGTGTTAAGCCAATGAATGTATCTGTAAACGAGAAGTATGAAATTGAAGTAAGTAATAACTTAAATAAAAACAAAATGTATAAGGTTTATGTGAAAAAAAAAACTAATTCAGTTATTAATATAAACGGCTCAGTGAAAAAAGTCAATACAACTTCTAAAATAAAATAGAACAAAATTTTAAAAATATTTTCAAATATTTCTTTTAAAGGCAAATAATATTCGAAGTTCATCAGAAAACGATGAGAAAGAAAAGCAAGCGAATTGCTACTGTGGAAGTACTAATAGTTCTGAAGAAAAGCTTTTAGAATGTAGTAAATGTTGTAATTTGTTTCACAAAACCTGCATAAAAGACATAAAATTGTTCCCACTACAGGAGGATGGGTAAGTACTAATCTTAAATAAATATACATAATATTAATTTTGGCGCTTTTAAGGCTTTTAGTATTTTGTTGCAAAGTATGCAACAATGGGGAAGAATTTTTACGTCATATTGAAATACCTTGGGATGATTTACTGCATTTATATATGTATAACTTATCTATAAGGAACAGTTATCAAAAATACTTCCATCTTATAGAAGAGATTTTACCATTTATTTTGGAAAATCAGATTTTGTTACCAATTTCAAAACAGGTAATTTAAAACAGTATATAGATATATAAATATATATACATGTGAAGCATTTACTTTTTCAAAAATATAGTGGACGCAAATGCCTCAGACTGAATTAATAAAAATAATTAAAACAACGTTAGAAGAACGCACGGATATATTCATAAAAAATCAAAATGTAGTAGACGAACAATATTATACTTTACGTTTAATTGGACCACCTAACATTGCAAAACTGAATATAAATCCGAAAGACAAACTAACTTATGAGTTTTTAACAAATGTAATAAAATTGCCATTACATAGTTCTTCGAATTATTTCGAGTAAGTACATGAAGTTAAACTTATTGGTACATTATATATATATTAAATTTTAACAATATTAAGTTATAAGCATTACAGTATTACTTTAAATATATATTAAATGTTAAATAATTATAAAAATATTTTAAGATTTCAACTTTATATGATTAAGCTACGAATAATAAATTTATAAGTTACAAACATTTTTTGAACGATCTAATAACATAATATTTAACAATAAATTGTCTTAACTGTAAAAACAGTCTAGCATTTGTATTTTGTTCAAAATATTATAAATAATTATGAAATATGTAGAATGAAATATATTAAATAAGAACAGAAGGTCTAATTCGTCAGGCAATTTTATGGCGAAGATATTGTGATATTTGCTAAATAATAGGGATTACGTGGACAACGTGGAATTATTAAATCGAAACAGACGTACGAAAATAATCCAAAGAAGGCGTAAAGTAGACCAGAACCAAGAGAGATGAAAGAGTCTAGTTAAGAGGCTTGTAAATCATGATCTTTCAAGTATTAAAAAATTTAATTTTAAAATAATTTTATTTATATATTTGTATTTATTTGTATTGTATTTATTTATGATACAAAATATTTGAAGAACATAATATTAATTTACATTTATTATTTGTAGGTATTTTAGAATGTTTGAACAAAAGGATATATATGAATTTCATTCAGAAAGTGAAGAAACATCAGAAGATGAAATTCGTTGTATCGAGAAAGTGAAAAAAGAAAATCCGGATTTCAAAGAAAATGTAGAAGTGATTGCGAAAGAACAGATGGAAAATAATAAACTTAATAATGAAAACAAAATGTTGCCAAAAAACGAAAAAACAAGTCGAAAAAGAAAACATTTTTCACTATATAATAGTTGCAAGGAACTTGTAGATGGCACCTGCTCTAATCGTTATAACAAAATTAAAACCTGTGATACATCTTCAGATGATAATTCTAGCAGCAGTCGCAGTACATCGTTAGATTTGATAATACCACCACCAAAAAATTTTTTAGGAGCTAACAATCCATTCCTTATGTTGACACCAAAAAAAAATACTGAGTCAAATAAACAATTTATAAATCAGTATACGCGTACTAACACCGTTAAAAACAATTGTGTAGTTAACATACCACCACTAGATTTCAGTTCGAAATTAAATGCTCTTAATTTTATAAAAGCTGCTGGTCAGCCAAGAACTGTTCGCACTATTAAGCGAAGACTAAGTGCCAAAGATATTACAATTGGACCAAACCAGGAAGTTAGACGACGCCGTACACGTCGTTTAAATACATCTGTTGAGGTAACATTAAAAATTGTTATATATATTTTTTTTAATGCAATAATTATATATATTTGTTTTTATTTAATTTAAGGTTATTAGTACAACAACAATAAATCCAATTCATGGTAGAGTGCGCTTATCTACTAAAGAATTGTTAGGAGCTCAAAGCATTCTTCAGTCATCGAATTCTACACAATCTTATTCTACAATATCTTCAACACAAGTTCCATCAACAGAAAATATTTCTATAAGATTAACAGAAAATAAAGGCAGTAGACGCCTTCGAGATCGTCCACAAAAAAGTTCAAACTCGCGTACCTTTTCCACACAAACAAATCAGTTGAATCTAAAAGAATCTGTGAACAAATATTTTGGCGTTGGAAATCTATTTGAGTCAGGTGAAAAATTTTCAGTACATGCTAAAAGACTATTACCTAATGGTCAAACACAATATTACATTGTTTTTGGTGAAAATGGAGTGAATAGTATACCAACGAGTACGAGTACGTAAATTAAAATTAAAATTTTTTATGGATCATATTAGGGGTATTCATTGCAGTAAACTTGCTATTTGTTATAATTACGATATTTTTGTACTAATTCAATTCCTGGCATACACTATCGTAATTAACTTGAAAAATATGACGGAATAACAGTCACTTTATATACAAAATCCATACAAAAATGCAGTAAAGTGGTACAATAATTACAAGTATAAACATAGTATTACATGCAATTTATTGACATTAAAAATGTTAATAAATTTATTAATATTTTTCTTATCCATTATCTATTTTTATTACATTTCATTTATTTATTTACTTCTTTTTTTTTGAACATTGAGTAATAATCAAAATAATGAGAATGAGTTTGACAATGTTAAAATGAGCATTATTGGCAAAATTAACGGTTTATGTGATCTTGAACTTAATACTATGTATTTGTGAATACCCCTTTTAAATTAATAAAACGAAAGCATTTATTTAATAGTGGATCATAATATAATTAATGGGTCGATATATGTGGGATATGCAAAAAGCATTGGTTCAGAAAGTAAAAATTTTCCTCAAATGAAGAGGTAATAATATCTACCGTTAATAGATTATTTTAAAGACCTTAGATGAAATGTACCATAAAAAAGGTAAACAATGTTGAGAGCAGTTGAAAAAATATGTAAAAACGTTTATTTCTATGTTGAGTGCAATAGTTTATGAACACCCACCGTAGAGTAAAGAACATTATTTAAGTTGAAATCAAATACATAAACATTTAACAACTGTAGTCGATATAAATTTAAAAAATTTTTGATTCCCGTCAATTATGTATGATTAATACTTAAAAGTCTTGATAAGTTAAATGAAGTTGATATTCCGTTTATAAACTTTTATATTTTTGTTATTAGAATTGTTATATAAATGTTGAACAGTTTGTACTAAATTTAATAATAAATTATTTTCAGTTATTTTTTGATTTACAAAAACGATATAAACCTGAAAAATACATTCAAATCAATTGTGTAACTTTTGACTTTATTATGACAAAAATATTTAAAAAATATGTTTTGAAATTGTTACAAATATGTTTTAGTTTTTCAATTATGTACTATTAAAACTGCGCAAAATTTTTATTTTTAAATTATAGTATGTAAGTAATAATTACGAATATATTTTTACGTTCGTTTTAAACTTTAAATTTAAAGTAAATCATATATATATATACTGCCAATAGTTAATTTATTTTAAAAGTTAAAAATATTTCTGAAAATAATGTATTATAAATTATTTTAAGCTGATGTGTTAAATAGAAAATCTAATACAGGACATAATTGTGCAATGGCAGAAAAAGAAAAATTTTTATTTGTTTAGGAAAATTCAAAATTAAAGTAGAAGAAACTTATAGATATGTTCTTTGTTATATGTTAATGATATATGTTTTGTCTTTGAATATATGTAACACATCGAAATTATATTATTTTTAATATAAAATCAATTTAGGTTGTTAGATAATATTTTAATTAAATTAAAATTAGCTTCTAAACTTGATTCAATTGCAGAGTTTTGAAATACATTCTTGATACTGTAATTAAAATATATTATTAAAAATCATACCATTTTTCATATATTCTGTGTTCACAAAAAACTTAAATTTTTACAATTCCATAATAATATTTAAGCTGTTGTTTTGAAACGACATAAATGTGTTTTTGTAAATAAATATATGTATGTATGACTTGTAATAAAATGAAACAGACAATTGTTTTTATTTGTATTTTATATTTTATTGTTATTTTATATTCTTTTTCATACTTTTATGTTTTGTTTTTATTTTATATTTGATCCTTCAATATATACAAGAAACACAAAACCAACCGTAAGAAATTATTTTCATTAAAAATTAGATGTTTTATTTCATTTCAGCTCTTCCCTTTAAATCGAAGCTCTACTTTACCTGTTCTATATGCTATGAATTTTATATTACAGTAAATAACTAAAACAATATAGCATTTATTTGAAAAAATAAAAAATATAAAAATAATTTAGCAAACACTTAGCATACAATGTAAATATATTGTTATCCGTTTTTCAGATTGTGTCAAAGATTTTATTTCTAATAAGATACATGAAAACTTACTCTTATTAACTATGATATCATAAATCTCTTGACATAGGACTCAGGATTCAAGACTTAAGTGGGTCGATATTTTTGTGAGAGGAGCTATTACTTGCATTTACATATTTTTTTTTTTTTAAATCCATTTATTTTATTACAATCTGTCAGGTATGAATGACAATAAGTAATATATATAAGTATAAATCGTAATAATAATTATTACGATCTAAAAAAAAAGAAAGACACGTATGGACTATGCCCAGTGTCATAAACATATATATTTAAAATAACAGTGTGTGTATTTACATATGACGATACTAAATCCAAATAATAAATTTCATAAATTAGTAAAAAATAAAATTTTAATATAAAAATAGGAATAATTACAAACTTTGACTTACTTCTTAATATTGTAAGAAATTGTATAAACAACCATAAATTCTAGATTTAGAATTAACTTATAGTTCTCAAAACAATTAAGAACAATGTTTAAAAAAATATTAATATCTACTTTAGATTTTTTAGTCTAATTTCCCCATATTTATAAGGAAACAATTTATGATCAATATAACTTTAAATAATATCACAACAATTATTACAGGTCCGTCAAAAAAATAGTCAATTAAATCAAATATGACTTATTTGTGTTCGAGCAGGTCGATTGAACAAAAATATGATTGGATCAAACACTTTTAGTGTTAGAGCTGCTCGAAGAAGTTCCACGTTTTTCATTTTTTTCACAATATGCTGTTTTAATATTTTGGAACGATTAGAATAGTAAAATATTCGCGAGGAGGAAAATCAAGGGGGATATACAATATCACTTAAAGATCACTTATGTGCAAATGCCAATCGCTTGACAATGAAATTTGTACATCAAGCTTTCCTACAGATGACGATAATATTGAGCATTATAGCATTGAATTAGTGGATCCGATTCTGGACAGGGTTCGGTGTATGAAATTGTTCATCAGCCTTTTAAGAATGAAGTAGAAGATTCATTCAAAATTTTAAATTTTTATTTGCTAACGAATCATACTACAACTGATGATCACTATAAGGCTTGAAATAATTTGGAATTGCTTTTTACTGAAAATAAGAAAAAAATTTAAATCCCAAACCCTAATTTCCTAAATATTTTACTTCACTATAACGTCTGTGCTATATTTAATTTCAAATAAGTAAAATGTAAACTTCGTCAAAAATTATTTACTAATATATTCACCCCTGGCATATCTAAATCTTATAATAAATTTATAGAACCAATAGTATATTATTAATGACCAAGTTTATATTCATTTAAATATTAATTTTGAAACCTTTTACATAAATTTTTTAAAAATTATTTTCGTTAAAGTTTTATTGTTTACAAGTATGGTGGAACGATTCGGGTTACAATAACAACCTATAGAAAATATCAACATTGAATCGATTAGGCGATTAAACCGTACGTTATAGCCTGAATTTTTGATTTCATTGAATGAAACTTTATACATAAACTATAATTATTTCAGCAACTTAGGACATAAAAACATAAATTGATATCTGAATGTTATCTGACGTTTTTAAAATTTTCTTTTTAAAATTTAGAGCAAAAATAAAAAATTGGAAAATATTTATAACAAAGTTGAAAAATATTTAGCGGTAAAATACCAAATAAATCATTTACAACAAACCTATTGATTCTAAGGGTATATTAAGTTTTTTTAAGGAAAAGTTATTTTTTTTCTTTTTTTTAAAGATTTTTTTTTTCTAAGCTACTTTCTTTAATTCTGAATAAAAACTTTATATTTGTTTAACTAATTAAAGTGACATTTTAAAAATTAAAAACTGTAGGTGACAAATTCAGTAAAATAAGTTAAAATTTGAAAATATTTTTCATTGAAAAAAAATACCTATAAATCATAATTTATAAAATTTTTATTTACTTAAAATATCTATATTTTTTTCAAGTTATACAGCATTGGAATGGAATCTAAAAAACGGATTACCATTGTACCGGAACCTGTGCAAGATACTCCTGACGATATTTTTAAATCTGTGGAAGGTAAAAAAATTTTAATAAATTAATTAATTAATTTTCACACCAAACCCATACTTAGCTACTCCTGGAGATGAAAACACTGATCGAAATGTACAGGTCGAGAGTGTTTTACGAATTATTGATGAATCAATTCGAAAACTAAGAATCTCACTTATATTACCAAATATATTTGAAAATCCCAGGTTGTTCCGAGATTGCTTAAAAAAAAGTCGATTTGAACCCTGTGCAGATGCTCTGGATGCTTATTTGCATATTAAAAAGAGTGTAATAAAATTTAAAAATGCAGAAAATTTTTTTTTAGATTAAATTATTTACAGGTACTTAGAGAACCACCACCACATCGAAATTTTAGAGTTATTAAACTAATTGATATGTTTCTTGAAAACTATGAAATGATTAAATTATTGCCTAACTGGATTTCTAGATGCAGTTTAGGTGATAAAGCTATGTTGGAAGGTCTTGACGTATTATTTAAAATTGCAAAGGAACGTTTCCGGCAAACGGCTGTAGATGAATTGAAGAAGGAAAGAAAAATACATGAACTTTATTTAGAAAATGAGCGAATAAAAACAAATATAAAATGTAAAAATTTCATTGCTTAACTCAATTGCTTTAATTAATATATTTTTTAATAGCTTTTCAAAATAAATTAAAAAATCAAAAAATAAGTTTACGTTGGAAAATGGCTGCAAAAGACGTTCTTATACATAAAACGGAAGAAGATTTGGCCTTTAAAAAATGGGATAATAATCTCCGCATCAAAGAGGAAATGTAAATATCATTTGTTATGTGAAATTATAAAACATTTATCGGTGTACAATATGCCACTTTATGGCATTTGCACTGACTGTATATGCGAAGGTGGTGACGACAAATAACGTAATTGATATGGATTCGATTTTTCCTTTGTGTTGGCGTCCAGACCCACAGTCGCCCAACGAAGCTCGAATCTAAAAATTTGGCGACTGAAGGTCTGGACGTCAACACAAATGAAAAAATCGATATATATATATTTGGATATATATATAGAATTTATATAGCTATATTTTTATAAATAAATATTATAGATCTCTTCCAGTACGTACTTGTAGTAAAATTTAAGTAAAAAATTAGCTTTTACTGTGCCCAAACTCTAGTAAAGTGGAGTTTGTGAGAGTTGTCAATTCATTATACAATGTTCCCACTGAAACTAAGTCAATTTTTATTAACCAAATCAAAATTTGGTTGTTTCCATTAGCATAAGTTGATTTATACATGTGAAACAGCTTTTATGTTAGAAAGTTCTAGGAAACCTTTCGTTTGTTTACATTGTAATTGTTGTTGTTTACATTTTACATAGAATACATATGACAAATAATTCAAATTTTTGTAACTTCTCTTGTGAAAAATTTATTTTTAATGTTTGCAATTTACATTTTTGGTCTAATTTCCTTTGATTTATTTTTAAGTAAGTTAGAAAACACGGAAGCTCTCTGCATGGCTAATGAAATTTAGTTCGTAAGTCATACTTACTAAGTAATCAGTATAAGCCACCTAAATCAAATAAACTGCTTTAATGAAGGTAAGGGGAACATACTATTAGCGACAATATATTTACTTTGACAAGTAGAAGTAGATAAAATATATGAACCAATTTTACTGCTGTTTAAACTTATTACGTCTACGTGAGTGTTCTAGTTCTATATACCACCAGATTCCCACACAGCGATATTTATAAGGCGAAGTGGTTATTTCCAAATCAATCAACACGAAATCAGTTTGGTAACTTCGTGGTTGACGCAAGGCACGTTTCAAGTGTGCTGTACGTACATTCATTCCGTGGTTCAAATACCAACTCACACCACTTCCTTGTTGCAGCCAAGGTACGCGTGCAGTTTACTATCGCTCCCATGCAGAGAAAAAATTTGATGTCGGTAAACTGCGATCAAGAGAGATAGCCGAAGGCGCAGTCGAAAAAGGAATGATGTCCGCAACATTGATCAAAAGCTCAACCATCTGACTCAAGGCTTTAAACCTAGTGCATGAAGCTGTAAGGACAAAAATCGTAATTTGGTTACGGATACACAGAGTGTACTGAAAGTATGTAAGGAACATTTCTCCAAGCAACTATCTGGCAATGATAACATCAATTCCGTCTTTGGAGAAATACTTTCGGGTCCCCAATCCAGAATTATGGTGTTGAAATTTCATCACATAGCCATAACGAAGTGCGTGTTGCTATACAGCGACTAAAGAACATGGTTGGACGAAAGTATGCTAAATGATTGGAATCCTAGTACTCTTTATCTCAAAAAAGATGACCGGACGATTTGCGCCAACTATGTCTATATCGAGTCTCTCCGAACCTTTTGATATCATACGAGACTTCAGCCAAGGTGATCCCTTATCATGTGAACTTTTCAATTTCGTTATGAAAGCGATTACATCTGAATTTTTTTTCTTTTCACAATAATTTACAAATTCATTAAAACACAGCTGATTTTAATAGTTGTCGTTAACAAATCGACACAATCAGGTGTACTTACGAGTTAGCGTAATTGGTTGCACTTTTATTCGGTTATTGAGTTTGTTACTCGAATTTGTGAATAACCCTAATATTTAAAATAAAAGCCAAAAAAATAAGATTGTTTACTAAGAATAAATTTAATATTTATTTTTATATATGTGGAAAATAAAAAAAGCACCAAAGCAGTTTTTGTAGTCTGTAATTTTAAAGTGAACACGTAAAGAATTACTTGTGTTTAATTTAATTTGAACTTATGATGTAAAAATGTTTTATTTACAGTGATAAGTCGGCAAAACGTGTTCAAGGCATACAAACTGCAAGCCTCGCAAAACAAAAAGAACTTGAAGAAGAATTGGAAAAGGTTAAATTACAATACGAAAAAGCAATAAAAGAATTTCTTCAACAAGAAAAGGATGCTCGTGATGAGAAGTACGTAAAGTGTTAAAGTATTTCAATTTTATTAATATACTTTCTAACGATCTGTCACTAAAAGATTTAAAAGTTGGGATAATAACTTAAGAGTACATGTGTCTTAGTCACATAGATTGAATGTTTTATTGTTATTGTTCTTTCGAGAAGCTAATTTAGTTGTTGCTGTAGTAAGATCAATTTTTTTCTATATTTTGTTTCATGAAATTATAAAACAAAGTCACATTAAAATTATATATTTTTATGGATACAACAAGGTTTGACTTTATTGGATAAGAATATATACTAATTAAAAAATTTAATTCACAGTTTTATTTTTTATACTTTTCAAATAGCCGAATATATAAATAAATGTGTTCATAATAATTAAAAATATTTTTATAATTATCTATAATGTATTTAATTATGTTGTTATGACATCAATATTAGGTCTGTTCCACAAACTACTCGTATTAAAACTTAAGTAAAACCCAAGTAAAGTATAAACTGAGAGCATAACAGAAATAAAGTGCCAAATTACGCTATTTACACAGATTTTCATGAAAGCTTTGTGTAAAGTCTGGTGTGAACCACAACAGTTCATTCACACATCATACAAATTTTACTTGAAATAAAATGTACGAGTAAAGTCTGTGTAGCATTTTCAATTTTCTCAGACGCTTTCATTTACTTGAAAATTAGCTGGTGGAACGCACCTGTGTATACACAGTGTTTCTCATAGTTACTACGAGTAGCTCGTGGAACAGACCTATTATGTATTTATATTGATGTCAGTATGAAAGTCAACTAAATTGATTCCAAATTTAATTTGTTTTTTTCAAAAAAATTGTTTCAGAAATAAGCTTTTACTTCAATTGCAGTCACTTAATAAAAAATATGACCAAAACATTGGTGATAAAATGAAAGAGAACTTATATCTTAAAGATTTTCATGAACGCCAAAAAATAGAGTTTGAAATATTTATGGCGAGATATTCAAGAGAAGAAGCAATTTTCCAAGAGTTGGTTGTTAATGTGAGAGAAGAAGAAGAACGTCGCCATGAAGAGGAAGTGGAAGCATTCAGACAAAACCGCGCAGTTCGAGTTTTGCAGAAATATTGGCGAATATATATGAAAAAGTTAAAGGCTCGAAAAAAGGCGGAAAAATCTGCTAAGTCACCAAAAGGTAAAAAGGCTGGAGAGGCTGGAAAAGGTGAAGAGGGCGCAAAGGGCAAGAAGAAGAAGAAGAAATAATAGACGTACCATTTTTAAAGTAATGTAAAAAATACAGAAAATTTGAATATTTTATTAAATTAGTATTTACTATTGTATATTTGTTAAATATATTGTGCAAAAATATAAATTAAAAATATTAAATATGTATATTTATATATTATAAATAATATTTTATTTATAAATATACAATAATTTGAAATATGTTCGAATCATACATACAAATACTTATTCACAAATTAAACATAAGAGCGACGGCAAGAGTGCAGTCTGTGTCCTATTGGCTTTACTATTACTTCTTAATTTCAGGCAAAAAGACCATTTGTAGGTTGTATGTTATCAATACGATTAGGCAAATATCTGGTTCCAATTGAACTATTCTGGACCTATGCTATTCCAATAGCGGTATCTCTGACGACTCCGGCAAAACGAAATTATTAAACGAATATTATTTAATTACGTGTTTGTGAGGAATCTTGAATGCTGATGACCCTGATTTCATTTCAGTCAAAATCGAACCTGCTTAATGATGACAGATATAGAATGCTACGGTTTTTATACCATGGGTGACAGCTACAACTTTAGCCCCAAGCCGTTCACACGGGGGTATATCTAGTGGTACTATGTCAAAAAGCAGTTAGAACAATGTAGGCACCAGCTTAAAATAACTTAAAACGTACGTTATAATTAGTTCGTCTACGACATTTATAGTGGTCAAAAGTACTGCCGTCTGTAACACCAACATACAAGATTCACGTTACCTATGACGCACCTTGAGAAACAACTCCCCGATGTAGAGAGTTGTTTCTGTAATATCGAGTATATATACATTACTATATAGACAGATCTTCATAATAAGACTGGTGCAAAATTGCAAATTTAACTGTTACTTAAGTAGTTTAAAACTAAGTTCATTTTTTTATATATTGTTATCTTGAAAAGATCGGTTCTTATTTTATTTTTGTATCCTTTTTCAATTTATGAATTTTTTGTTTCTTATTAATATATAAATAAACGCACAAAAAAATTATCAATCACTTTGAGGAAAGTGACTTTGAGGGAAATAGAAACAATTTAAATTTCTACGTTATTAGTATATATTCTTCATGGATCACATCCTTGATATACACATAAGCTTATAGCTGAGATAACATATCGCTGATGCTGTTTCAAGGTTATCAGCAGATCCTGTTTTCGTTGTGTTAGCTATGATGTCATGAATCAAATTTGTACCTATCAAAAAGTTTGTACAATATTGTTGCTTTATACTGGAATCACACGAGAGTTTTGTTTGTAATTTTAGCTGTCAAAAATTTACATTTTTCATTGAAAGCAACAAAAATTTACAGTTAAAATTACAAACCGCAAATTAATTTGGCTTCAAACTCCTCCATTTCCACCTTTAATTATATTTAATCATACAAGATCTGATATTTTTTCAGAGTTTTTTCCAATAGTAGTGGCACGCATATTGTTCAAAACATTATGTAGGGTACTTCACGATGGGAACTGGGATGCAGTTAGGATGAAACAGCACAACATTTTTGGTGGAACATTGTTGACAGAGATATAGAGGAAATAGCAGATGCTTGTGACACATGCAAGACGACTACACCAAGTTTAAAGCAAAATATTCTTTATCATCGGAATCTTAGAAAGAAATTTTTGGTCCAATTTTTTAATATATTTGATTAATTTGGGTGGACAGTCTTTTCTCTGTCTGGTTATTATAAATGTTAGGAATATACTAGAAAATATAATTTTAATATTATTCTTATGTATATTAATAAAATTAAATTATTATTAAATTCCTCAAAACATATATATATTTCCATAACAACATGAAAAATAATAATAAACGAAATAAGAAGTTTTTTAACTGTCTGTAATCAATCTTTTTAATTTCCTATCTGCGTCGTTTAACATTTTCGATTTTGGAAGCAGAATGACAAGTATACTTAGAATAATAAAAGAATCCATTTTAAAAGCACGCATTTCACTTTCGTTACTTCATTTAGTACATAATCAAAATATAATTATTACTGAAGACCAACAACATGAAGTCGAAATCTTGATTAATTTATATTTTCAGAACAAAGTAAGTATTAAACTAACCTCAAATTATTACTAAAGTTAAGAATATACTCTACAATTACATTATATGTATATTTATTTAATGCAAGATTGAACCCTCAGATGACGGAGAGCTTCAGTTGCATAGTTCTTTTCATAAGGTAATTGAGGCTTTCTATGAGAACTTAAATATTCTTACAATATTACATGATGGGGTGACCTCCAATAATGAAGAAACAACAAAATGTATCTACATTTTTGACAAATTATACATTATTATGGCTGAGAGACTGCAAAAATCAGAATTATTGAAACTACATAGTGAAAAACGAATATATCAATGGATGCATAGAAATGATAATTTAAGAAGCTCAATCAACGGTAAAACTCAATGTGTATAAATTTTATTTTGTCATATATTATTAATTATTTCAAAAGCAGATACTGACAAATTGTTAAGTAGGTTGAGAATAACTTTTCTTTGGAAGATTGCAGCGAAAAAAGCAATAATTCAAAGATATGGAGAAATGTTGGCTCGCGAAAAGTGGCAGAACAGTTTAACCATAAGGGATGAAATGTAAATACACAATATATGAAATATGAGCATAATTTTTTGTGTATTAACTATTTTATGTTTCAGTAATAAATCAAATAAGTTATTCCAGTCAATACGAAACAAAAAATCAGAAGTTGAAACCGAACTACGCGAGTCCTTTGAAGAAACGGAAACTTTGTACAGGACCCAAATGAAAAATGATTTCAACAAAGAGTTCAGTATGCATGATGAAAAGTAAATAATTCTTACTTATTTTATTCACAGGAAGTTAATTTATATCTAACAATCAATTATGCGATTACTCGCACGTTGTGTGGTTAATTAGTACTAAGCGGAAACTTTATTCATACTCGGAAATTTTTGAGTGAATGAAAAGAATAGGGAGTATTATAATAAATATGCTATAATTTGAACATTTGAATTAAACATTTCAAATGTTCAAATACATTTGAAGTCCTCGGAAAGAACTCTCCTCTCTATTTCGTATTAATTTCGCGTTGTTTTTACACATATGCATATACCTATTTGCTTGATTATCATATAATGTCTGTTTTGTATTATATTTTATTTCTTCTTTTTTCATCTAACAGAAATAATTACAGTAAGGTGAAGTTAAATATAATTTTAATATATATTGTAGCGAATATATAATAGGTCTGTTCCACGAGTTACTCGTGGTAAATTTGAGTAACATTGTGTATACACAAGTGCGTTTTACCCTCAAATTTTCGAGTAAATGAAAGCATCTGAGACAGCGTAACATCCCTGTCGAAAATTGAAAATGCTACAAAGACTTTACTCGTGCAATTTATTTCAAGTAAAATTAGTTTGATGTGTGAATCAGCTGTAGTGGTTTGAATTCAAATTTGTGTATTGTTTATTTGCTTGGCAGTGGTGTTCACACCAGACTTTACACAAAGCTTTCATTAAAATCTGTGTAAAGAGAGTAATTTGGCACTTTATTTCTGTTGCGCTCTCAGTTTATACTTTACTTGGTTTTTACTTAAGTTTTACTATGAATAGCTCGTGCAACTGACTTATTGTAGCGATATATAATATCATAACAATATTATATTTAACTTTTTTAATTTTTTTCATGTATTCTAGAACAGCACTTAAAACTCAATTACAAAACATTATTAGAAGATACGACGCGACTCTTAGTGAAATGACTTATGATGTAATTAATCTGGATAAGAAATATAGCGATATTCGAGAGATATATGATGTGTTCATGGAAAAGTACAATTCAAAAGAAAAAGAATATTTGGAAGTTCTGGAACAAATGGAAAAGGAGGAAAAAACCCGACAAGAGGAAATGTTAATGTTATTTATGATGAATCGAGCAGCACGATTTATACAAAAATATTGGAGACGTTATCGTAAGGATAAGAAGAAAAAATCAAAAAAAGGCAAAGGTTCGAAATCAAAACGACGATAAATAATCAAAAAATAAAAATGTGTAATATATATAATAAAGAAATAAAATAAAATGATATATAATTTATAATTTTCAGAAATACTTTTATTTTATATTTCATAACATACAAATACAATATATGTTATATTGTGGGAGCTATGATCTCAATAAACACTGCTATTTAAAATAGTTTATGAGTTTGGTTCGACGCTTACCATCGTTTAAAAAAATTCGAACGAATCATGCATCAATTAATAGGCTATTTTGAAATTCTATTAAAAAGAACAAAGTATATGTTAAATGATTTAAAATGCGTAAACTAACTTCTAGGAATTGTAAATAAAATCTCTCTATTCTAAGCCCAAAACCAGGAGCTAAATTTATTTTATTTAACTAAGAAAATTCCACCGTAATCATGTCGTGCTCAATCAAAGTTGTCCCACATTCTCCACATAGAATCCATGGCAAGTACCCAGTACCAGCTGAGTAATACATCAATAGTGCGTACATTAACTCCGATCCTCAAGACTTTAACATTGATTGTATACAGAATTTGGCAGCCATCACATAATATCAGCTACCAATAGAGGTTATAAGATTAAAATAGCAAGATTCTGCTAATGTTTCTAGAACATTGACGACACTGGCAAACAAAATATGAACTACGATTTACTTATATGCTACTAGTTGTCCGGATTCTAATTTTTACAGTTGTCACAGCGAGAAGATATCCGATTAATTATTCAATCTCTCCGTCCCGATATTACCAGCATTCAATGGGGACATATCTCTCACTCTCTATGCACGACTGCGGAAGATGTATTTAATTTCCAACGTTCCTTACTACGGAACCAATGGTACGCTGAAGAGTGTCACGAGACTACTGCTACGAAGAGGTTACGCGAGCTGTGTACGAACAATATCAAGGGATAAGGAAGGAAGAGGCTCACCTCTTTAAATAAAAGAGACGATATCAATAAATGCACGATCGAGAGAAAACCGATGTGTGTAGATTTTCTGAACTGAAATGATTGACATTACCCAGTAGAGTTGTTAGGGGCACAGCTTTATGTTTTTTAAAATTCTTTTTCCACATACTATAATGAATGGATTTATGTGATCATGCGCACTGAAGGTGGAAGTGGTAGTTCTCTGTCTTAGTCTTTACAGACATCGATACCACTTTAAGAACACTATAATAGAAATTATTAATAAGATTTATTGCTATGGTTTGGAGCACTTATTTTTCAATTACGAACGGAAATTTTTACGTAGCTTCCGGAAAAAAATACCAATTTCATGAAAGGTATTTGTATTTGCCATATATTACAAAAACATATAAATCTTCTTCTCTGCACTCGTCCGATAGTGATCACCACGGTTGTTTTATATTTATTGACTGGAATTTATAAACAAATATATTGAAATAGGTATAACTAACAAAGAGTAATTATATTTTCTATGCACACATAACCGCCAAATTAGTAGTACATCTTTGAAATCTAAACATAATAAACATTAAGATATTTCAGCAGATTTTATATTTATTTATATATTTTCATATTTTTTATATAAAATTTTTTCAATTATTCTTTTTGTGCCAAAATTATTCACATAAATCAAAAAAAAATTATCTGAACAAACACGCTGACATGTTTGATGCGTTGCCAATTACTTTCACATGTATCGTTACAGCAAAGAAGATTTTGCTCATAGTTTGCTGAAACGCAGATAAGTATGCAACCAATATTGATTTCGAGAGTTCAGCGCAACTAGTTATAAAGTTGGTTTCGACATCACAGCAAAGACTAATTGAAGCTATTGTCAAGAGTGTCAATTATAACGTTGAAATAACACGTAAATAATTTAATAAAAAAACAACTAATTCTCTAAAGCCATACTTGTCTTTTATACGATATATATACATATTAGAGGTATTCAGACAACTGAATAATTGCTTAGTAAGATGATTACAACAAAAATTTGCATACAAAAAAGAAACTAAGCAGAGAATCTACTATTTCGGAGATTCTCAGATTAGTGAAAATTTGATTAATAGTGCTGCCAGTACCAAGTGTCGGCGCTATGAGCATAGGGTGTCTCATAAAGAAAATTCAAAAATAGTAACATAAATTAATAAATAAAATCCAGTAAAACTATAATTTTTAAAGGAATAAAATATAATTAAAAAGTATAAAATTGAATATTCTACTTTTTGATATATGACACGTTTTCAATTTTAGTTATATGATAAATTATATGATAAAATTAAATGATATTAAAATTTACGAATATTTGAGTAATGCACTGTTAACATATGTTTCGCTTTTGCTGTTGATACGAGTGCTGCCAAGGTTTTACACACAACAAACTAATCAGATTATGCATTTTGGGTCGTTCAAGCAACAGATTAATATCAAAATTTTAATATTTTTTATATGAAGTTTTTTAATCAACTAAACAACTAATCAGTTGCCTAAATACCCCTATTGTAAATGCAAATTTATTTTGGAGTGTGGCAACGCTATCACTTAATTAATATTAAATTAACAAGAAATTTTTATGTCTATATCGTCGTGATAAATAAAAGCGTCTTGTTTAAAAAATTAGTCAGGTACAAAATAAACAGTACTTTTATACATAAATAATCAACATATATTACAACTATTATTTTTGGGTTTTTGCTTGCATTCTAACAAAATAATCGTGGTTCATGGTTATCGATAAACTCTAACAATACCAGTGATAATGTTCTCCAAATGAAAATGTATATCATGTAGACAATATCATACAGTCAATCGAACTTCTGTACATAAAAGCATAAAAAAAATTCAATAATTTATTGGTATTGAATTTATTAAATATTCTTTGAACCAAAATCAAGAAAAATTAATGTAAATCATTAAAAAAATTAATTAGAAAAGTTATTCATATATGAAGCCACATATATACATATTGTGTATATTATTTTTTGTTAAATCAGTTTTAAATTCATTTTTTTATTTACTGATCCTACATTTGATATGCAAATACTACGTACACAGGATTTATTATATATTTCAACCGTCAGACTATATTAATATCTATTAAGACTGGAGTGATTTTTTTGATTCGCCAGAGATTGCAAAAATAAACCTAAAATTGAAAAAAATTAAAAGTTTAGGTATTGCATTGGTATGGTGTCATACATGTTGAGCGAAATAGCAAAATACTGAACGGCTAAGCGATTTCAGTCATGAATGAATGATTAAAATCTTAAGATTGCGTTTGAACAAAAAAATTCAAATTGCAGGAATACATAATTTCTATGAATTATATTGAGATAAGATTATAATATATTATATTCTTATCATTTTGTGATTGCAAAAAATTTTATTGTTATCCATATATTCTTTTGGATGAGTTTAACATGTTAAAGTTTTCATATTGGCTTTTACTTAACAAGTTAAAATTAAGTATTGTCACATAGCCGTTTTTAAGAATATATCAGAAATTAAATAATTTGTTGTTAAATCGTTAGTTGCTTATTATTATAAATTTTAATTTATGTATTGAATATGGTAACGTAGAGACTTAGTTATAAGTTTATTTTTAAGTATTTATTTATTTATGAGAAGTATTTATTATATATAATAATCATATTTATAATCGTGTCATGAAAAAAATTAATATATAATTAAAAAAAATTTTTTTAAGTTTATTTTTCGACCTGTTTCTTTATATTGTTTTTTACATATTTTTTAATCCGGCTAAAAGTCCCTTTTTGTTAAATAATTCAACGTTTAATATTTTTTATTATATTCTATATTTCGACTATCTTTGATAGTCATCATCAGGATCATGATCTATCATAAATTAATATGACTAAAAATATATCCACGTCATCCCCTTTATTCTATGCCCTATGTTGCACTATATGTCTAAATGTTAAAAAAAAATAAATTAAGGACGTGTGCGAGTTAGGCTAAGTTGATGCTAAACCAAATGGGAGATTTTTTGGGATTTTTTGCACTGCACACATTTAGCCATTTATCAACACGTATCGACACATCACTACATTATCGGCACAACTTAGTATTTCCCTCATTTAGAACGCAACTTAGCCTAACTCGCACACGACCTAAGAATAAATGAACTTATAAATTATATGATACAAAGTTATTTAAAAATATTGAAAATGCAAAATATTGAAAAATATTGAAAAAACATATCAAAAAATATGTTTTTTATTTACTTAACAAGCTTTACAAAATTTGTAATTAAATTGTATACAAAATGTTATTTAAATTATGTACATATATGAATTATATAATGTTTACTGAAAAAAATTTATTGTGTAATATCAATCACATCATGGGTGTCATGCATGCTTATGTATTGTATCGATATTAATGTCAAAAATAATATAAGATGGCAATGATTAAAATTTCTTTCCAACGCCATTTTGGTTAACCTCGTCCATTTTCGCTTTTACATCAAACGCGAAGAGTCCGTTTTAGTGAGCGGTCGTGTTTAGGCTTGTGGCACACGGCTAATCACGTTTTTTTGTGAATAAAAAATTTAAAAAAATACAAAAAAAATATTAAAATTTATTAAAAATCCACAAAAAAAAAATTGTAAAAGTAGCAAAAATCGAGCTAAGTGTAAAGAAGTAAGTTTTTATTTTCATTAAACAATATCGATAAGTTCTCTAAATTTGCCAACATTAAAAAATAACGCGTGGTACTCGTCAATTAGTATTATAACCTAAATTATTGATTTTTGTTTAATGATTTCTCTGAAAATTTACACAACTAATAAAAATTTGTAAATTTAATAATTAAGATACATTCAGATTTTTGGATTAATAATTTTTTTCTTTTCAGATTCGCTTTTTTTTTTCTCTTCTCTTTGTACCATCAAAAAGGAGAAGACTATACTAGTTTTTTTTGGCAGTAGATGAAATCAGGTGGTCCAAATTATCAAATGGCTTCACTTTATGTTGGTGATTTACATCAAGACATCAATGAGTCTGGACTCTTCGAAAAGTTTTCCACCGCTGGTCCAGTATTGTCAATTCGTGTGTGCCGCGACGTCGTTACACGTCGTTCATTAGGTTATGCTTATGTTAACTTTCAGCAACCAGCAGATGGTAAGTGATATTATATTATATATAATAATTAACTACTGATAAAATGCATTTAAATAATATAATGTGCAGGAAATGAAAATAAAATATTTAAATGCATTTTTTTTATATCTGTTTTGCATGACTCACACAACTACAAAGAATATATTTTTTTTTATTGTATTGTATTAATGTATGTGTGAGGTCTCCACTAATGCATAAGTCACAAACGTATAAACAAAGACCATATCTATTTAAGTTAAACAAGAGAAAAAAATAGAGTAAATGTGTTTTCAAGTGCATGAATAAAATTGTTTGTTTGTGTTTGTTATCAGTATTTCATATGTATTTCGATTTTAAGCTGAATTACGATTGCCACGAACAGCCATTATATATATTTCAATATTTGTTGGAATTTATAATGCACTTTTTTTCTTATGAAAAATTTCTGGTATTTATTTATATAAATATTTTTTTTCTTTGTTTATAAGTGATGAAATTTATCAAGCTTGCAATATAAAATGATAATTAAGAAAATATGATTTCGAAAAAAATTTTATTTTATACTAAAATTTAATTTCAAGAAAACCTTACTCAGCAATTAGCAAAAAGCAAAAAGAGACGGTTTACTTCTTTTGATGTTGTTGTTTTATCTAAGGGACGAGGAACGGCACAGACGAGTACACATATCAGCCAGTTTTTGGTAGTGCAAAATGCATTTATAATGCAATTTTGAATGCAAATATAGAATACAAAATCTTAAACACATCTGCCACTATTACATTAAAAATATAAAAAAAGATGTTTTTAATTACGTAAGAATAGTATTACTTACGCCTTCCAAGTGTATTTAAGTACAAATTAAAAAATAAATGGAGTGCAATATGTCGAGGGTGCCGATATGAATATTGCATTGGGGTTTAAAGAATTTAGAAAATTTATTTACGACGAATATTATTGTTTTAATAATTTTAAAAAAAACAGAAAAAATAAACTGCAAATTGTACGAGTGAGAAAGATCATCAAAAAATTCGAAACAATTTTTGAATTGCCATGCGACTTACAAATTTTGAGCCGATGTTTCTTGTTTTGTGTCAAATAAAACTTTGTTTTCCTTTACCCATTAAAACATTTTTTCGTAGTTACGATGTCGAAAATATTTTAATTTAGAAAGGATTTTGTTAATCACAATACGTATTTTGTGCACAAGATAATTGTGCGATTCTTTTCTACATAATCAATCAGTCCTCTCCCTCTTTTTTAATTATATTTTGCTTTGCTATCTTTTCGATGTATTCAGCTAGTAACTCGTCCTTTGTGGCTGGCAAATTTGACAGTTCGTACGTTTTCAATTCTTTGTTTTGATTCTATGATCTTCGATACATAGTGTTAGATTTACGTTTCAGCAACAGTTATTAATTTACACAAAAAGTATACCATATAATGGATAAACTATTCCAATAATGTCTAAAAGAAATGTATTTTTATATTTATGTGTATTTTGTCCGTAAACGCTACAAAAAAATATATATTTAACGGTAAAAAGAACTGATCACTTTCAGGGTTGTATTTTAAGCTGCTGCGCGTAACATCGTAAAATATTTGTGCTGTCAAAAAACTTCTTCATATTCGGGCGCGAAACTTTTAGCTCATAATGGTATTGTTGTCAGTAGGAGTTGAAATTGATTTCTTTGGGATTGGGGCTCGTATTTTTTTCTTCTATATTTAAGAGAAGAGACAAATAATCCTGTTATTTAAAACAATGGTATTTTATCAAAAAAATATGTAAATTTAAAAGAATTCATCAATATATAAAGTCTAAACATAAATTTTTTTACCACGTTTTTTTCAAAAACAAAAAAAAATAATGTACCAGTAGTGGTAGGCGCTTTCACAATTAATGTTGAATGAAATACTGACAATTTATATACGTTTATATTATTATCAAACTTTCACTATTTTGTAAATATTTTGCCAAAGTCAATGACTCTTTAAGTTTATATTAGATTTCATATAATGCACATTTAAAAGTTTACATAAATTTTTAAATGTAAAGTTGTTTATTACTTTATTTGTTGCTTTTTTTTTATTGTTTGCATTAAAGAATTCTCGTATATGTATGAGTTAATTATTTATAAACAAAAACACATTAATACACTAATTTAACGGCAGCTTAATACCCATTGATCAGTTTAAACTTAAAAATTATTTATTCTGATTAAGTCAACAGTTGCTAGAAAAACATTCAACTTACCCTGTAAATTTTGTATATAAAATTTTTACAGAAGTAGAAGAATAACAAATATTTTTTTAATTAAATACTAACAGCAATTTATACCCATTAGTTAGTGTAAAACATATTATTTTTACATTAATTAAGAAAAAATTGCTATAATAAAAAAGATTCAAATTACCCTGTTAATATTGAATAAAATATTAGCAGAAGTGACAGAATTACATTTATAATGCACTTTTTTTTTATAAAACTTTGTTAACGGCAAAATGATACATATATTTTAAACTAAAAACAATGACTAAAGCAATTGCTAGTATGATCATCTGCTGAATAAAGTACATTATTATTTTTATAATAATAAGTTAAGATATAACTTTTAGCTTGAGTTCTCTATAAATGACTTTGAATTAGAGTAAAATGAAAATATCAGCGTTTTAACGTTTTTTTAACGATAATTTTTCAAAACAAATTTTCTAAATTTAAATATATATAATTTAAATTATATATGTTTATATAATTATATATGTATATATTTTTTTAAATATAAAACTATTTAATATAACTTATCTACAACACGGGCTACTCAAACATTTTGTACAGCCAAGCAGAAGTTTCACTCTTTGATTATTATAGAGCGCAATTGTGCGCTATCATAATGGCATATTCTTAAAACAAAAACATCAAAAATTCCCAGTTCAATTCTTTTATGTTATTGCCAAATGCATGCAAATTATAGTAGCTATTATTTCAAATATTATCCATGGAATTATACCCTCCTAAATATACAGCACATCATCTTTCACGTTTTCAATACCTGTTTTAATACTATATATAGGATTTAAACTTTTTTTCGACTGAAAACGAAATGTTTTACTTCCTTAATTTTCCAAGAATAGTACAATTTTGAGAAGAATTCGCAAATAATACGTATTCAAATCTATTGTGTTGATTAATTTCATGATATATTCTAGCTTGTCTTTGTAATCAGCTTACTGTGAATAGCTAAAAGCAATATTTTGTTGTTAGTCCGCTGATACTTTGCAACGTGATGACTGTACGCATTTTGGGTTTCTTACATTTTAACCATATCTATCACTTTTACAACGACAGAACAGGTAACGGGCATCTATATACATCCGAATTTTCAGAATACACAGTACCAAACATTTTCTGGCAGGTAGTGAGTACCTTACTTATAAAAACTACTATGAACAAAACATATTTTCCACATTATTGCAGTAAAATTGTAAAATACGTCGCGTATTTTCCCTGAAATTTTAATTCCTTGCTTTGCTTCAGGTAACCGTTTCAAATCCAAAACAATTCAAACGAATAGAAAATGTTAAATACTTTCGTTCTAACATATATATGGTATATATATTTATATATACAGAATTTTCTCTAATAAGTCCAGAAGTTGATTCTTTAGTCTAAGAAATGAATAATCGTGTACATTAGATGGGGAGCTTCATTTGTAATATCTGCGATATGGTGTGTCTAAAGTAAAGTTTATCTGAAAAACAATTTTAGTAAAAAAATTAATTAACATCATCTAAATAGTTTGTCATATACCAATTTAGAATTATAATGGCACAAAGTTTTCCTTTTTTTATTTTAAAAATTGTTTGCAAACAATCTTTCATCTATTGTTCAAAGTTTTCCTTTCTACCTATTTGTAGGTCTATAATATAAACTTGTATATATCATTGAGAGTTTTTATGACTAATAGCTTTTTTACATCATCTATCTTGGTTACAATCAAAAATAAATGAATCATGTTTAATCTCAATGAGCAAAACTTTATTCGATTAATTCAAAAACGGAGCTTAGTTTGAATATTAACACAAACAGGCAAATATCGCTTTGATTGGTTATTTTTATACTAACATTCAAGAATATATACATGTTGTTTTTATCTTTGCCAACTTATCATTTAATACTTTGTGTAAATTTATTGACCCTTTTTTGACAGTAGGGTGAGTGAAAATAAGTATTATCGTCTAAAATCATAATTTTTAAAAATATGGATTTATTTTTTTTTTTTAATTTATTTATACCAATCAACTTGTCATTGCTTATAATATGCCTCAATTTAAAAAAATATATCTAAAATAATTAACTGTGTTTTAATTTATTATATTTTAATCTAATAATACAGAATTAGATTTAGTTTTGCATCGTGAAATAATATTGATCATTAGAAACAGTGAAATTTTAAATTTTAATTTCATTAGCAAGAAAAATTGTATTCATAGCGTAACTATTTTTAATTTTTAAGGCCTAAATTATGTCTCTTGCAAATGAGAACTCACCCATATCCCGTAATAATAATTTTCTTTCCCCCAACTCTAAATTTAAACTTACTATAATCACTAAATGTTTGTATTATTTTAGCTGAACGTGCTTTGGACACCATGAACTTTGATTTGATTCGTAACAAACCTATACGTATTATGTGGTCTCAACGTGACCCTTCTCTTCGTCGCTCAGGAGTAGGCAATGTTTTTATCAAGAATCTTGATAAGAGTATTGATAATAAGGCAATTTATGATACCTTTTCGGCATTTGGCAATATTTTAAGCTGTAAGGTAGCTACTGATGAGAAGGGTAATTCAAAAGGCTATGGTTTCGTCCATTTCGAAACCGAGGAGGCTGCAAATACATCAATTGAGAAAGTAAACGGTATGTTGCTGAACGCTAAAAAGGTCTATGTTGGTAAGTTTATTCCACGTAAGGAGCGTGAGAAGGAACTCGGTGAGAAAGCAAAACTTTTCACAAATGTTTATGTCAAAAATTTTGGTGAAGATTTTGATGATGAGAAATTGAAGGATTTGTTTGAACCCTATGGAAAAATAACTAGCTACAAGGTAAATATATATATATTTATAAATTTTTTAAGGTTGAATGTTTTTATGCTATTTTAATAATTGTAAAGGCTTATATGAATAATTATAAATAACAAAATTAAAACAGGAGTTAGTATAACTTATTAAAATTTTTAATTGATTATATTCGTCAACAAATACTAAATACATTTTTTTTTATATAGTACATCTTTTATTATGATTATATTTTATTATTAGTTATTTTTAAAAAAGTGTTCAAAAATATTTCAATTTTATTATTAATATTTATTATATATATATGTATTATTCATTATATATATTGTTTTTATATAAATTATTTATTTATTTAAAAATGAATTTGTTTATATAAGTCTTTACACATTAAAAATTAACTATATGTATATATATTTATTTAATTTGAAATCGATTTTATATATTATTTTTAAATTTGTGTTCTTTAACTAGGTCATGATTAAGGATGACGGTAAGAGCAAGGGTTTTGGTTTTGTTGCATTTGAAGCAACTGAAGCTGCTGAAGCCGCTGTAGATGCTCTTAATGGTAAAGATATGGGTGACGGTAAAATGCTTTACGTTGCTCGCGCTCAAAAGAAAGCTGAACGTCAGCAAGAGCTCAAACGTAAATTCGAGGAACTCAAGAAGAAACGTCATGAATCTGTTTATGGTGTTAATTTATATGTTAAGAATCTTGACGACTCCATTGATGATGAACGTTTGCGTAAAGCATTCTCTCGTTACGGTACTATTACCTCAGCTAAGATTATGACTGATGAAGAGGGCCGTTCAAAGGGTTTTGGTTTTGTTTGCTTCAATTTACATCATGAAGCCACTTGTGCTGTAACTGAAATGAATGGTTGCGTTGTAGGTTCTAAGCCCCTATATGTAGCCATAGCTCAAAGTAAGGAAGTCCGTAAAGCTCATTTAGCTTCACAATATATGCGTCATATGTCTGGTTTACGTATGCAACAAATCGGTCAAATTTATCAACCCAACACAACTGGTGGATTCTTTGTACCAACAATGGCACCTAGCCAACGCTTCTTTGGTCCCCAAGTAACACCAATGCGTAATACACCAAGATGGGCACAACAAGTACGTCCAACTGGTGGTGTACAAAGCGTTGCTCAAGCTAATGCTGCAGCAGCAGCTGGCTTCCAAAATGCAGCTATGGCAGCTACTGGAGGAGCACAATTCCGCCCAACTGGTGGCGCTGGACGTGCACAACCACAAGCTGTACCAGCAGCTCATACAGCTGCTGCTGCAAATACTATGCGTCAAACTGGTGCTCGTGCTATAACAGGACAACCAACAGTTGCTGCTAATATGCAAATGGCAGGTGCTCCAATTGCAGCAGGACCACAACGTACTTCTAATTACAAGTACACATCTAATGTACGTAATCAACCAGTTGTTCAACAAGTTCCACCTACCCAGCAAGGACAACAAATTCATCAAAAGGGTAAGAAATATTTAAAAAAAAAATAATGTTTTTTTGATTTGTTTATAAATAGTAAAAACATCTTTAATAAAAAAAAAATTTATTTCAGGTCAAGATAAAATTTTGGCATCACTATTGGCCAACGCTAAACCACAAGAACAGAAGCAGCTGTTGGGCGAGCGTCTTTACCCATTGATTGAGCGTATGCACTCCCACTTAGCTGGCAAAATCACTGGCATGTTGCTTGAAATTGAAAACACTGAGCTATTGCACATGATTGAAGATAACGAGGCTTTGAAAGCTAAGGTTGAAGAAGCTGTAGCTGTTCTTCAAGTTCATCGTGTTACTGAACCAACCAGTTAAACATGTGACGCTAAAATTTTAAATTTAATAACATATACACTTTAAGCTCAAAAAAATTTAAAAAAATTCATAGATTAAAAATTCCAAAATCTAAAAAGGAACCAAAAAAATTGTAAAATTTCCTTCAATTTTAAACATAACAGCTTTTCAAAAATAATTTGTTTGTTTTATTTTGTCTTGGATTTTTCTGGAAATTCATTTTATCAATTCTTTTTTTTTTACACGTCTTGTATTGATTTACACTTTGTTTAACTTGAACTAAAATCAACAAACTTTTTATTACCGGCGAAAAAAAGCAATAACACCATTTGAAATATAAAAAAAAGGGAGATCAATAGATCTTCAAGCAACGTACTCTCATGGTACACATGCTATGGTGGTTTCCTTTCTTTTATATTTTGAATTATACGAAAAGAAATTTTTTTTGTTGAACTATTAAAAAAAGTCTACAGAATCTTTAACAATTTTGATAAATCAAGGAAATGAATAAAAAAATGAAAAAAAAGGAAAAGAAAAAAATCATGATAAAAAATTAAAAAGAAACGAAAACATGAACATATAAATTTTGCTACTTGAAACAAATACAAATATATAATTAATGTATGTATATTAAAAAGACAAAAAAATTGTAAAACAAATAAAAACTAAACTTTGTTGGGAGTTGCTCTTGCTAAGTTTAACAATTAAAATATGTAACTTATAACGACAAACAATTTACAAAAAATACAAAATACAAAATAAAAAGTAAAAATAAAATGCGATCGGTTGGCAAATCTTATTCAACTTATATTTCAAATATTTACGATTGTAATAAATATCGTCCAAAATCTAAAATAACTTTTCACACACAATCATTTAATAGCAACAAATAGATTTATTTAATTTTCTTTAAATTAAGTAAATAATACACATATGCAGGAAATAATTTTGTGTTTTGATATGATCATTTCAGCTAAATTTGATTGTTTATACGTATTCATTAAATGTCTATTTATCCTATACGTATTTATATTATATACAAAAATATTAATGGATTTATATATTTCAGATAAATAAAATTCAAATTGGGCGATAAAACTTGTTTTTAATGGTTAAAGATTAGTTTAAAAGAAAATTTGCATACTATATTCTGTCAATATTAGAATTATTGAGCACAACGATTACTTATTAAGATCAGTTCTAAAAGTAAGAAATAAAAAATGCTTCTCAGGCAAAAATTACTATTACAAAATTTATATTAAAACACGAATGGATTTCAAGATGAATGCATGGGTTAGGATAAGATACACCTAACATGAATTAGGTAATATACACTTGGATTAACAGAAACATATATCAGAGTAGTTGTTAGTTCATTTATTATTCCTTTATAATTGATAAAAAGGATTTAGTGAAAAAAATTAGAGCTTATAAATCAGTTTTTATTTTTGTTTTTATTATTATATAGTATTCTATATAATTATCGCCAACATTTGGAAGATAATTGTTCTTTTTCCTCAGGGCGGAGTATTATAGTTGTTCTTTTCCTTCTATTCATATAAGGCGGTTATTTATACTGTTTACAATTTTAGTTTTAAATAATAAACAATAAATTAAATACTTTACAATGTATAAACAAAAAACAATAGGATTATGTAGTTAAGGTTGTAGTAGTCACAGCTAGCTCTCTCCTCTTTCCTGTTCATAGTTCTGTTTATGTTTTTTAGTATGTGGAGGCTCTCTACATTCAATATTTTGTTATGCTTTTTTCCCTTATTATTGTTACTCTGTCTAGGTGTGCTCTATGTTTGGTGTTTGCTGTGTTGTGCTAATGCAGAACACATGCATTCAATTTTTTTCACTTCAGGTTTTTTATCAACTATCAAAAACATTTCTTCCGATATTTTTAAATACAATTCTTTAGATAAAGAGTAAAAATGGATATCTTGTCTTAAAGAATTATATTAAACTACTTATATACATATTTAGGTTCTTGTAAAGTGTTCATACACTTTACCTTGAATCCAATCAAATCCACCAACCCTGGTCATAAGCATAAAAATTACGAACTAAATACGCTTCCACCTGAAACGGTGGAATATATCGAAAAACTATAAACATTCATTTGGTGTTACGACTTCGAACAGAACAACATTCTGCGTCAGTTCAATTTCTTAGTGTTTAAGTTCCAGCTGTTCTTGATGTTACAAATCGACATAGGATCAACAGAGAGAAGGCGCATGCCTCATTCCATGTTAGGAAGTGATATGGTTTAAATGTAATGAATCGGAAAACTACATTTCATACACACTCGCAGATTCATCACTGCAAAAGTTCTTCGTGGATGCATATGAAAAAAAAAACGATTAATAAACGCAATACAGTTTCGAATCTGTGAAATATAAGAAGACTTGGCTTTTGTTATATTTGTAATTGAAACTCAAAGTTATATCGAAAAATGAATATAAGAAGTTATAACATATACATGTATATTATATACAAATACAAAGGACAGCCTGTACAAATAACAATCAATGACTTCAATATCAGACTACATAACATTATTATTATATTTTGAAAAACTATTTTATTTTTATAATATAAAATTAAAAAATAAATAAATTTATATATTTAACGTTTTATTTTTAGCAACATATTATATTAGCTTTATATAAATTTCTTAAAACTTAGCTATTAACCAGCTAAGCTAAGTATCAAATAAATATTAATATTTATTATAAGATTCGTCTTTAAAATTAGATGTGAACTCCTGTTTCAGTAATATGAAGCAAATTTTATAAAATTTTCTGCTGATTTTATTTTATTAAGATGACTAGAGTATTTTTTGAAGAAAATGTCAAAATTTTTTCTTAATCCATATCATCATCATCATCATCT